AAAGAACAGAACCCTGATTTTTTTTTTTTTATACTTAACAGATTTCTTTTTTAATGCAATAAAAGGCAATATACCACAAGTGTAACTAAGTTAATAATAAACTCACAGTTTTTATATGATTTTTTATTGATCCTGCGCTTAAAAAACTTTAAGTACTCAACACTTAAGTGTGGGTAAAAATTAATTAACTTAATGTCACTGAACTACCAGAGTTGAACTTTTTTTATGCGACATAAAATGGCAAATAGCCGAGTTGCATAAAAAGGCTAATATTTCACATAATGCAAAGTGGTGACCGTCACCTATAAACACCGTGGACATCACAAAATACTCCTCTTCGTATTAGCTTCCATTCTGGCCTCTAGCTATTTTATCACGACTGAAATATGTAGCCTGTTAATAAAACAAAATTTTTATTACCTATCATTGTTATCATTTATTTTTTTAACCCTTCTTTCCATGATTTTTTATGTGTTCCTTGGTGAAATAAATCAATGTGATATAATTCATGTTCAATAATTAAAGAAAAATGGTTAAAAAATAAATTTGACAGCTATGTTTTTTTTTTTCTGCAATGTACATTAAAAAGGTATCCAGACACGATCAACTTAAAGTGAACTTGTTCTTTTATATATTTTTTGGGCATACAATGTTATAATGGAAATTTCCAACATTATGGAAAGAAGGGTTAATAACTTTTACCACGACTTCGTCTGCATGACCGCGATATATTCACTGACCGGAATAATACTATCCCTACCATACATATATACTAATTTTCATATGAAATGAATTTAAATTCAATTATTGGTAGTCTTTGGTAGTATCCATAGTAATTTATTTAGCCATTAAGACACTAAAAAGTAACAAACAAACGTCCTTTCACATTTGTAATATTAGTAAGGATAACCTGATATATCCTTACAACATGAATTTACAAAAAGCTTACACAAACAATCAAACAAAATCTCAAATTATCTTTGACTGTAATGCACTGAGCGGTTGGTAGGTTGGCTCGCGGGGCCGGGAGAGCTCTTGCGTGGCGCGCCGGGCCGATGCGCGATGGGTGGACACAACGCGCGATCCGGCACACATCTTCAAATTGTTTTTTTAATAAATTATTTTATTTACCGAATAATTAATTTATTTTACACATTTTATACATTTTACATAGGTGATAATACGAGTAGATAGATACTCTTTATTGTTTCCTCCAAAAAGATTACAATAGTAAACTTATTATAAATTTATATATTATTATATTTATAATTATATATATAATATTTTAATTTAAGTAAGTATTTTTAGTTAAGACGGATTTTTATTATTATAGTGAACATTACTGTAAGTAATTATGATAATTTCTTACAGTTATAGTCAGCATTGCCACAGCTGAAGTACGTTCCTTTTTGTGTGGTGTTTAAATATCACTATTAGTTATACACGTATCTCTGAAGTAATGGAAAATTTCTTTAAACTAGTTATCTTAGGTGTGTTAACTATTTAGTGGGAATTTCCCTTGAGTTAATTAAATTTAAAACTTTAATTACTCGCTGCTGAACATAGACCTCACCATAAGAAACAATTCTGAATCACTTCGCGTCCACTGATTCCCACCAATATATAGAGATAGAAACATCATCAATTGGGTGATTGTTTTTCATTTAACTATGTAAACAATCGAGTACCTTTCTTCTCTATTGGTTGTCAATAATCCTAACTATATGGCCAAGCCAACTCAATTCCAAACTCAATTTGATGATCCTTCTATATTATATCAGTGACTTTGATTTTTCTGCAGATACTTCATTTCAGAATCTAGCTTGGTGAAAAATTTAAATACATTTTATTTACCATTTATGTGTGTAAGTTTTTATTTATTTATATATTAATGTTATATTATTATTCATGTACTTTTATTATTTATATATGTAGGTATATAGAGCTGTTTTTATTGTATTATATATTCATTTTTTTACTAGGTATTATTTAGTTTATCTTTAATTTTACGGTTATTACCCTTATACATTCTATAGTTGTCTTTCAGCTTGTCAAAGGTTGACTGTAAGAGATCCCTTTATGGGATAAGTCCGCCATTGTATATTAAATCATTTATCAGTGCTTAATTTGAATTATGTACAATAAAGATTTTACAACAACAACAACCCTATATAAATAGTAGCCTTATTACTAACAATGTACTCTTTAGTTTTCTCTGAAAATCATAGTGATTAATTCTGACTAACTTTGCCGTCAGCATATAGCGATAACGTGGATGGTTTGTTAGAATCTCATTAACACCCCTTTAAAAATTCCATTCTCCTGTTCCTCTGAATATGAAAACAAATCGCCATTTTATAGATATGTAGATTAAAACCACAAATTCCTAACCTAACGTAGGTTAGCTACATAGTTATTTTACTTGTAATAGAGAATGTTCTTTACAATTATTTCTTCTGTGTGAAATTCAATATCGCAACAACCATCTTATTTAACTTTAATAAATACACCGTCCGCAGTGCTGGAGCGCATTCCGATCAGACAAAAGAAAGTACGGGCCGGGCGGGATGATAGCGGCGGCGGCGCAGCCTGCGACCGGCTCGACCGGTTATGCTAAACCCAATAAAATCGTGGTCAGTTTTTATGCCGGAGCCCCGCGCCTCTCGTCACGACCCACCGAAGGGTTCAATTCGCCAAAATTCCTCACAGTGCATGTTGCAAATAATAAAAAATAAAATGCCAAACATCTATGTATATAAACTTTCACAACCTACTAATTTATAAATGCGAAAGTTTGTGAGTATGTTTATACAAACATACTCACAAAGGGATCGATGGATGGATATTTGTTACTCTTTCACGCAAACAATACGACGCACTTGAAAAAAAATCATATAACAAGCAAAATAATATTGTTTTCACAAGAGTGTAAAATAAAATTTTTACGACAAACTTTAATGAATCTACTTATAGTAGATTCATAGTCTAGGCATGATTCTGAGTATTTAAACTGTCTTTTAAATTTGACTAAACTGTATTTTCTCACCATCATATCAGCCATTAACTGTCCACTACTGAACATAGGCCTCATTCATAAGGGAGATTCTGCCGATAGTTGCCTCGCTTGGCTGCATGTTTGCAACCGCAGTTTTTTTTTATGGGTGAAAATGATATATGGTATCCCCGCCTACGCTAACGGGATACGCTGGCGGAGCACCAGTGAAGGGTGACAGATGAAAATGAAAACAGGCCAGTTAGCCCATCATGATGAATTCATCAGGAATTAACCATGATAGTTTCCAGGGAGAACCGCGAGGAGGTCGACATGGTTGGGTATATTGCTAGCAATGGAATTCTCAGTCTCCATTACTAACAATCCCTTTCCCCCTGCAACCGCAGTTAGACTTTTGGTGATGTTTTAAGTGGAACACTGCTGTCCATTCCTTAACAATTAAGTTCCCTTAGTTGCCTCTTATAACACTCATGGAAAAGAAAAGGGTGGCCATTCTATGCCGGGACCATGCGGCGGTATTTTTTCATGCAATTGTCCAATTGACGCTATTTGTACAATACATTGATGAATTTTTTTTATCGAAAAGTAATTTTAAAACGTATGTTCATTATATTCATCAGATATATATATATCGTTTCCAGCTTTTTCTAAAGCAGGAAAATCAGCTCATCGTCGAATTTATCAAATTATATTGCTAGCAATGGGCATGTTAGAATTTATTACTACCAATCATTTCCCTCCCCCAACCCCTTTTTTCTATAGAAGCAATATATGCGTAACTTCGCTGCGTAGTGTATGTAATTGCAATTAACTTAATTTTATGCTACATGTAGATAATGCCTACGTCAGACTTAATAGTATTTGAATAAGTGGAAATTTACCATCTGGTACTACGAGGTCTGTCCGGAAAGTTCGTATAAAAGTGTTCTGGAATGCGAGAAAGAGGAGTGGGGAGGCCAGGTAAGCGCAGGACCCCTTCCTTATGTCCCTAACAATGCTTCAGTTCTGGTCTGACCGCCGTGCGGTGCGAACTGGCTTGTCACGCCATCTGTGAAGTTACCTCTTAACGAAACCCCGTCGGCATGGAGCCCGCTTCCGTTGAAGAGCAGCGCGTCGTAATCAAGTTTCTCTCGAAACTCGGCAAGAATGGCCGTGAAATTTTTGCCGATCTCAGAACAGTTTATGGGGATGATGCTGTGAAGGAACCAACCGTCCACAAGTGGCTAAAAAGATTCAGAGAGGGCCGAGAAAGCGTTCAAGTTGATTGTTTTTTTCGATGTTCGGGGGATTGTCCATCAAGAATTCGTCCCTCCAGGCCAGACAGTTGATGGAAAATTCTACGTCGATGTGCTCAGACGCCACAAAGCTCGTGTGGCACGAGTTCGTCCAGAATTGGCGCGAGAGGGGCGTTGGATTCTTCACCACGACAATGCCCCTGCCCACACCTCTCTTGTTGTCCGTGAGTTTTTGAGTAAAAATTCCATTACGGTGACCGAACACCCCCCCTATTCGCCGGATTTGGCCCCGTGTGACTTCTTCTTGTTCCCAAAAACCAAATTGGTACTTCGGGGGCGGCATTTGGGGGACATAAATGAGATAAAAAAAGCTACGACGGGGCAGCTGAGAAACCTACAACCAGAGGACTTTCAAGGAGCCTTCTCACAGTGGAAACGGCGTTGGCACAAGTGCATTATGTCACAGGGGGAGTACTTTGAAGGGGATAAAATAGATTTACCTGAATAATTGTAAAATAAAATTTTTAAAAAACTTTTATACGTACTTTCCGGACAAACCTCGTATTATTATTTCCTCCACTGTGATATACAATTATTTTGAGGTTACTTTGATCTTACAGTGCCATCTGTTTTTTAATAGCTGTACTGCTAGCGTAAGGGATACTTTTGTCTGATACTGACTCTGTGGATTGATTTGATCTGTGTCTAATTGAATTTTTAATCTGTGGTTACAAATGTTAAGTTAACATGCTCTATATTGGCAATGGTCGTACAAACGTCAAAAAATGTCTTTTTGACGACATTTGCCGATAAAATTATTTGAAAAATACATTTTTATAAACATGGGTGGTTCACAAAGTACTCGAAAAATAAGTGTTGATAACGAAAATGCTATACAAGTGTCCCAAGAAGCATTAGACCGAATACAGGCTCAATTGAACGCTAGGGTAAGTTATCATGTCGCATTACATAATTTAGATCAATGTCAAGTCTTGTTATTTCAAAATAAATGTATCATACACAAATATAAATCATACTCAAATATAATATCTTGTATTTATAAAGTCCATTCATTTGTATGTCTATTCTATCTTACAAGCCATACCCAAAAACTGTCTTAGGTTATAAGTGCTATATGATCATAAACATTTAATTAGACACGACTTACGTATCAAATTATTAATGAACCATCAATATAGATACTTTATCTTAGCATATACACTTTTCCTGGTTGCACCTTTTATTTACATATTTAAATCAAACTAGTTAAAAAATATTAATTTTTTTTTTAGCAAGCAGAACAGCCTCAGGCATCACCACCACCAAATTACCCGCCACCTCCATTCTATGACTCCCAAAAGCGGCAAAATGAAAATGCCGCTGAGGAGGCTTATTGGGCCCGACGCATTGACAACTTGAAGAGAGCACATGAAAAAATCAATGCTAACATGGTTATTGAATATCAGAAGACATTGAAGGAAGCCAATGATTTATTTGAATTAGCACAAAAAGACAAAATTACTAGTAAATTACCCCCTTGTCAGGATGAAAAAGCAAAGGTAAACTGTGTAAATTTTTATATTTATGTATAAATGTATATTAATTGTGACTATAAAAACCCTGTTTGAAAACATGAACAATATTTATTTATTTATTCATAGGAAAACCAGGGCTACACTACAGCAAATAGATACAGTTTTAGGATAATAAAATAAGCCACTAATAGGTTTTCACAAATATAGTAAAAGCATATTTCCTTCATGACAAGATAACAATCTATCAAAGGATTTATAATATGTTTTTTTTTTTTTTATTAGTATATTTAATTGTCACTTGTATGTTGTTTTACAATAAATAAGAAATTCATTTTAGTAATATTGAAATAGGCAATTCATATTTCAATAATTATTGCATATTGAAAAGTTTTTGACAGTGGAGTTTTAACCCACACTAAACCCTTTTTTTATAGTCTATTATTCATATTGTTGTTTTTATACAGTTTTCTTACAGTGTATAAATTAATTCTCTTCTGTAAATTAATCAGTGATTCATATTAGTAATGTTAAATTCCAGGTGCTGGAGTGCTACAGTGCGAATGCAGATAAATCACTATTGTGCTCAGTGTTAGTGAATCAATTTAATGACTGTGTTTGCAAGAGTAGGGTGGCTGCTGTATCTGCAACATCTTGAATGTAGCGCCAATTGTGTATATAACAATAGCTAAAGGGATACTAACATAACATAACCCATTTTATGAACAACTTCAGGGAACACTGCAATATCCTCCTGGAAGTAGATTTATTAATATTATTGCTGTATGAATAAACTGTTAATTTCATATTTAGTAGTTTATCTTAATAAGTCAATAGTTCTTTATTATAATAAAATATGCTTACTGAATTAATACCATGTGGTCACAGAGGCATATTTTTAACCAATTGTAATTGTACTGCAATCTACTTACAACCATATTTATTACAGCCATGAAACTGCTGATTTGTATTCTGTGCATTTACTTGTTAGCTACTATAAAACTATTATAAATTTGAATATAGATTTCAGAATTTAGTTTATTTAGTCTTCATATTTAACTGCCTCAATATTCTCTACATAAAGACTTGCATAAGCGAAGTACTTTTTGTCACACAATTTTATACAACTCTCCTCCAAAAAATAATATTGTCCACCAGTGCCCAACAAAAATATCAAAGTTAATTATATGCACAGACCTTTACATTTATTGTCGTTACGCCATAATTAAAATATAAATTAGAAAACAGATCATTATGTTATTTATCTTATCAACAATTTGACGAATTTCATATATCTTTATTTCAAAGTAAACTTAAGTGTGAGTTTAGATTAATAACTAGTACATCTAAGCAAGTGTCTAAACTATAAAAGAATACTGAATAATTATTACACTGTTAATTCATGATGCACCATAATGGGCATACAATATACCATTTATAATTGAAACTGTACTTACTTATTTTTAATTATATCATGTTCGTAAAATAAATTTGTTTATACCTTTTATGAACTGTTTTAACAAAGTAAATTTGTAAAGAACGTACCTATTTTGTATGATCCAAACTAATGAGACTGTGGTAAAAGAAATGGCCTTCTAACGTTCAGCAGATGACACGTCATATCGAATGACGTCGGTAAGTAGGTACTTTATTACTTTACATAAAAGGTTTATCATTATCATGGCCGTAGCTAAGAAGGGAGAGGGGCATTGAGAAGCAATGTCCTACCTTAAACTGTAAGGCCCCAAGAAAATTATAGCTTCTGCCCTACCAAAAAGTTCCTTTGCCCGACTTTAATCTTAGGTCTAGCTACAGCCCTGATCATCATATTTTTACGCATGCACTAATTATGATGATGTTGAAACAAAAAATTTGGCTAGATTTTTTCAGACAAAAATGGTCCTCGCGTAGAATTTTACTCGTTAGGTAGCTGCACTCCATTCCCCTCGACCATTCTCCTCCTTCGCAGTCCCCCACCGCTGTACTTATTTGCCGCTCTTCACAAGCCTCTCACAACCTTTCTAACTGGGTACAGAGGAATAACACCCGAGCCCTCAGGAATGGCAACGCATGGGGGGTATCATGGGCGAAACAGTATACTCTGTTATGTCCATGGTACTGCTCATGTCTATAGGCGACGGTTACCACTTTCCATCAGGTGGGCCGTCAGCTTGTTTGCCATTCTGAGTAGTATAAAAAAAACCACTCTAGACGATTGTTGCACCTATGTGTACTACGAATATGAGAAATAATATTAGTAATACTTTTTTATGAAGGTATCTAATCTTCTAATTCGATAAAACAGGCAACCAATATCTAAAATAAATAAACCAAAATATACATAACTAAAATAGAACTAGCGACCTCATTTACCCAAAGCTGCGCCTATTACCGCGCAAAAGAGGTCATCACTCACTTATACACAAAATCCGTTTCTATAGCGACCATGTCGCTCAGAATCAACATTTTCGCCTGCGTCTTACTATTTTAGTGAATATGGCCTTCCAAGAGAAACCCCATGAAGAGACCAAGAGGCGTGTGCCGTTATATCCTGGCTTCCCCGAGTTGGCGCGGTCAGATGTTAGCATATATCCTACTTACTCCAAGTTGGATTTGGCGTAGTAAGTACTTGGCACTTTTAAGAACCTCTTTATACATACAATTGCAACTTAGATTCTCAAGAGGCGACCCCTTGTATGCAAGTCGTAAGTGTATATTTTTAATATGAGAAAATGAAATGGTAACCCCGCCTGCGGTATCTAGTGGGAAATGGTTGGCGAGGATGAAAGCAGGCAAAAACTAACCACAATGGTTTCCAGAAGGAATGGCATGGAAGTCGACAAAGTATATTTATTTCAGGCAGGAAGCTGTATATTATTATATTGCCAGTAATTCCAACTTTTAGACCTCTATTACTATGAATCCCTTTCACCTCCGTCTTAATGTCTGTTAATACATGTAGCCCAATTTTTTTTTTTTTTGCAAAATATGACGAATTCTCTTTATTTTGGGTACAATAATGACTGCATATATTTCAGCCGTGTTGTTTGCCGCCATCGTTACCATTGGGCCAGTGTAGCTCAACGCAAGCAATTCATGAAGGAGTTACATAGTTTTGAGAAACTGCAACCAAACGCACTAGATGGGGTACGTGTTCACAGAGAGTTCTCTCAAGGAATCCTTTCACATAATATACCTCCACGGCGGTACATACAAAAACTTACACCAGACCCACTGAACTCCCACCAAAGGATGCGAGTTGAAGAAATAATAAGTGGTAGAGTTGATTTCAATCAAAAATAAATAATATCAAAACAACACATTTGTATCATTGTAGATATTTTTATTTTTCAGCAAGTTAAAAATTGTCCTGATTTAGATTTTGAATATTAACTAATTTTAATAACCAACCTGATAATTAACCCTTTAGATTTAAAAATATAATAATGTAATATAATCTATACTTATAATAAATCTGTAGAGAGGTCAATTCTGTACATGAAATATATTTTCAAAATAACTATCAGGGGCTGATTAGTGATCGATACTGATGCAAAAAAATGCAATCAGTAAAATTTTTGTCTATCTGTATGTCTGAAACAAAAACTACTCGACGGATTTTAACGAAATTTGGTACAATTATTATTCATACTCCTGGGCAGGTTAAAGTATACTTTTCATCATGTTACGATCAATAGGAGCAGAGCAATGAAGAAAAATGTGTCTGTAACATCAAAACCACTGAACCGTGAGGAAGGACATAGGCTACTTATTTTACGAAGAACAACAGAAATGAGGACAAAGTCACAAGCAACAGCTAGTAATGTAATATAATAATATTTATTGAAATCAAAAAGGCAACAATTATACATTTGCTTCCAAGACTTCACACTATGATACCCTGTGTCCAGAAGTCATGAGCCCTTTAAATGTAAAATAATAGAATTTATTTTACATTTAAAGCATTAAAACTTTACAAATCAAAAGGGTTTAGTATTTAGTAATAAACAATTAATGACAAATATTTGCTAAATCTATATTTTTCTTTTAGATCAAGGGAAAACTGTGTAATATAAAATTAAAATTAAGTCATATATTACTTTATTACTATTCATCAGAAGGTTCAACAAGCTTTTTCTTTTTCATCTTTTTACTTTTTTCTACATTACTCTGCAAGTAGTGAGCTTCCTTCTTTGCCTGGGATATCTCAGCTCGAAGTCTCTGTTTATATGCTGCTCTTTCATAAGCTAACCTTTCACTTAAATGTACCCATTTAAATCTAGGTATGTATTTGATATTCCATATCATATCATAGTAACGTGACTTCTTTCGCGTACCGATTTTAGTATTATTCAACTTAGCTGCAACCTGCTTTGCAATTTTTTTCTTTTCAAATTCCACCCATCCTTCAGTAAATTGATTGGGGACCCGTTTTCTTCTTTCACCAATTTCTACAAACAAAATAAAGTGAATACCAATATTAAAACTTAATAATAACAAAAACATAACCTCGAAATACTAACTGCCACTCGGTTGGAGAAAAATCCTTCCCACATCTCCAAATTCACTGAATATTTCACGGATTTTAGCCACGTTCATGTATGGTGGAATTGTAGACAAAAACACAATGCCACGTTTCCTAGTTTTCTTATTTAAAATTTTTGAATGATTTTCCTCTCGAGTGCTACAATCAAAGCCGTTTTCAGGAACTCTTTCTTCCTCTGTGGCCGTCATCATTACAAATTACTCTCGCTCGGTAATCTTTCTCAATGTACAAATTAGAAATGTCGCTATTAAACTGGGAATAAAATTAGTAAAAATAATACATAGAACAGAAATAACGTGATTGTATTAACCAGGGCTAGAATCACTATAATAACTTAATAAATTGACATTGACATATTTGACAACTAAACATCAGTACTGATATTGCTCTATAAACGGTCTTCTGCTTGAACCTAATGACTTTATAATACCTACTTAGTTTCGTAATATAAACTTAAAAAATAATATTGGCCACACTAATATCGTCATATCTTTAAACATAGTTGACCTTAGCCAGTTCCTTATGAAAGAAATAAAAAATTTCGAAATAGAACAAACCTTGTTAAAAAAAAAAAAAATCTCTCTGGCCTGTCACTGTCAAGCGTTGCCCAGCTGTCGCTTTGCATTTGCTTTGTTTGCTTATAGTGATTATCAAGTGATTGTGTTCTCTATTTTCAATCAAGTGAAAACGAAATAAATGTTATTAGTTCTTAATTTTCAAATATTAAATAAATTATACTGATTAATACTTAAAAACAATTATACATCTACTACAGAATCATGGGTTGCGATGGTGGTACAATACCGCGTCGAGATGAACTTGTTCGCATGAAAAAGAAACCAGAACAGGTACTCATCAATATTGTAATAAAACAAATTCATTCACAAGCTTTTAATAAACGCCGTTCTTTCTTAAAATATCCATTTAACTTACTCTGTTTATATTGCGATTACAGAAAGATAAAGATGCTGAGCGTTCGTTCAAGTGGCGTAATTGCGCGTTGTCCCAACAACGGCTCCAAGAACCTGTTGTCGCGTGTGGACTCGGCCGTCTTTACAGCAAAAGTTCCGTTCTAGAAGCACTCCTCGACAAAGAAACTAAGCCAGAATCCATCAACCATATTAAGAATCTCAAGGTTATTTATATTCCTACTATTTTTTAAATTAATACTTGAGTACATTTAGTAGTTTTTTACCTTAATAAATGGAAAAATCACAGTTACATGTAAGTTATACTGCATAATTGATTGATAATGTTAAAGTCTCTCCCAGTCAACCTTTGGCAAAACAGAAATTTTAATATGCGGTGAAAAAAATTACAACTAGAGTAAGAAAGCAGTATTTCCGAACCGATACGACAACATAACCTTTAAGAAAAGAGCATATTCCTTTTTAAAAGGCCGGCAGCACACCTGCAATGTCGTAGGTGTTGTGGGTTACCATGGGCGGCGGTAGTCACTTACCATCAGGTGAGCCGCATGCTCGTTTGCCCCCTGTGTTGTAAAAAAAAAAAAAGCTGATTAGTGACAGAAACATGAGTGTGACAAAGATAACAAACAAATAACAAGGGAATAAGCCCTCGTGTAATTTTCTTTTTGGTGTCCTATGTTGTTATATATTATACTAGCTTATTACCTGCTTCCTTACGTGGGCATCTTAAAAGAAAAAAAAAAAAAGAAATAGACTACTTCTAGATGGCGTATCAATATAAAACATAGACCTTTCAGGTATACAACTATAAAAACTGTGTCCAGTTTGATGCAGTAGTTTTTACGTAATGCCAAAGTAAACATACAGAGAGACAAAACTTCCAAAAAATATTGTTTTGGTGTCTGTTGCTCTTATTAAAAAATTCTTAATTCAATTTACATAAGGAGCCATTTACATTTTTTTTTTACTCCTATGTACAGATGTCGTTCAGTTACAATTTTATTAGTAAAATTCCCTATAATTACAAAATACCTCAGAGTTTGAAGTCGATCTTTAACTGTTGCAATTTGACTTATGGAACTGAAACATGGTCCTACCTGTATCAGCTGTTAACTGTCCATTGCTGAACATAGCTTCCTCCATAAGGGGAGTTTTTGCCCTCATGAGGCACATTTTGTTTTAAGAGGGATGATGATCCCTCATTGAGAGATCTCAACCATTAACTTATATATCATAGGTATGCACAACTATAACTTTATTTTCATTCTCCACAGGATATAAAAGATTTGAAACTCATTAAAAACCCAGCTTATGTTGAAACTGAGCATACAGAAGGCGCTGTGGGTGATGGCAGTGCTCCTTACATCTGCCCCATCAGTGGGTTAGAGATGACTGGGAAATTCCGCTTTGTATTTCTCTGGAGCTGTGGCTGTGTTCTTGCTGAGAGAGCTTTAAAGGAAGTCAAGCAGAATCTTTGTCATATGGTAAGTTGTTGTGTAACATAGAGGCTGATTCTGATACACCTTTTCTCTAAGCATGTGTCTTAACCTAATAATTTAATTTGGTAATTTGCGAATGTACTATTTTATGGTTTATCATAAAGTTATAAAAACTTTAACTTAAATATATTAGAAAATTAATTCATATTGATCATTACAATAAAAATTTTACTGTGACATCAAATTAACATTTAACTTTTATAGATAGGTTTAGAGAAATGGTGCCTCAGAATCTCTATTAGGTGTTTAAAACTTGACATAAAAAATAAATACGTGATGTGTTCATCCATCGTTAAAATGTAAATGGCAACACTAGAAACTATGATGCCGATTTTTTGTTACACCACTTGTCTGTCAGCAGTTAACATATCATTTGATAGTTTAATTTTGTTCAACTGTTCACATAATTTATTTTCTTGAGGCTTCAGTTCGTTTCAATGACACTCAATGTTATGGTATCTCCTATGTCTGATAGTCATGCTACATTTAAAATGCTGGGGAAGAGGGAGTATGATTGTATGATGCTATTTCAACATATTAAAATTCAAGATATAGGAATACTGTCTATTTATTTATTTTTAATTTTCTACATTAATTCTTGTTTTTTTTTTTAAGAATTATGCCATAGATTAGTCATTATTTTTGTTTTGTTACCAGTGCCAGGAGCCATTCACAGACAATGATGTTATTATTATAAATGGCAACGAAGAAGACATTGAGCAGTTGAAAACAAAGATGGCCGTACGAGTTGCTAACAGGAAGAATAGTAAAAAGATTAAAGCAGAAAAATCAGAGAAAACCAATATCAAAACTGAACCTACAACTGATGAACCGTCCACTTCAGGGACTGCTTCTCAGCCAAATGGAATTGAGGTGAAAGAGGAACCTACAGCAAGTTCTAGTCGGGCGGTTAAAAAAGACATTGATACAATACCTCTATCTCTGCCTAAGTTCAATCCCAATAAGCAACCTAGAGGTCACTTTGGGTCATCAAAACGCGCACACCCGACAGAACTAGCTCAAGATCCGTCTTATAAGAAGACTAAGAAGGACTACAGTGTTGCCAAAGACCCGCAAACTAGTGAAGTCTACAAATCTCTATTCACGTCACATAAGAGTGACAAAGAGCAACAGAGAGCCCATTGGGTCACATATAACCCATTTTATAATTAAGCTAAACTAAAAATAGTTTAAATTATAATAAATAAAAAGCATATTTAAAGACATTGAGTTTTATTTATTTAGTAAAAACTTGACTAAACGAATTATAATTATATAATTAGATACTAATTATTCTATAATAAAATATTGCACAAGTATGGAATGTCATAGATAATTAAACAACAAAGCATCTTTGAGCTTTTCTTTGGTTTTCAAAATAACTAGTCTAACTTTACCATTATAAAAGGTGATATAGAAAGTGTCTAACGATGCGATATACAGGAGTTATTAAATAAATTTAAAGCAAACCACAATCTAGACATGATAATACTAGATTAATAATTCTACATAGTTTGTATTTTTTATTATATTTTTCTTTTAGTAATAATCATCAACTGCGTATTATTAGATTTTCGACTGTACAATACAAACAAATAAGCAGTGCTTATGACGTCGCAAATTAACAAAGAATTATATATATAGTCTGCTATTAAGACTCCCTATAGTAACATCAAACACAACTAAGAACTATCCTGTTATAACAAATTCAAAATTAATAAAAACAATTGAATCTCTGAAGAAACAGAAAAAAAATCAAAGATTAAGATATGGCAGTGAAATTATAGGACATGTAATGTTCAAATCACAAAAAATTACTTATAAATCTAGACAATTATCGTCACAAAGTTGACAAGGATTAACATATTACGGTAGTAACTCAAAACAATTAAACAAACGCTCCACGTGTGTCATATCCGGCATGACCCTTTTCATTACAGATAAAAATGACAATTTCATATAGAATTCAGAAATACCATAACAATATCTCCTTTAAAACCGCATACTTTGGAAACGTTACCACAAATTCGTTTACATTTATTCAATAATAATTTTTAAGATATGACGCAACGCGTGATTGTAAGCGAAACACATTCTCCCATTGCTTGTACAATATTTGTCGCTTGCATGCCCACTCATTTAGCTCTAATAGGACGTGTAAATTATATATTATTATTATTTAAGCCTTCTATGCATGTTTTTTTTTTATTTATTGGAGAAATAATTCATATTCAAAATTAAAGGAAAAATGGTTTAAAAAAATAAATTTGACAGCTATGTTTTTTTTTTCTGCAATAGACATTAAAAAGGTATCCAGACACGATCAACTTAAAGTGAACTTGTTCTTTTAAATAATTTTTGGGCATTCAATGTCATAATTTCCACCATTATGCAAAGAAGAGTTATTTCATAGGAGTGTATTTAATCGTATGGTTGGAGGTCAATAAACATAAGTACATTATGCGGTCGCGTCTTGCTGCACGGATGCTAATGTTGCTTCTATGATTAGGTTGAAGTCGAGTTCATTGAGACTCGCCTTCGCTGTCAACAGATCCAAAAATGTATCCAGTGGTGATAAACGCTCGCCGGACGGCAGCGCTGCTATACCTGCAACCAAAATAGTATAATGGGAAATTGTACATTGAAGGAAGAAATTGATCGAATTAAGAATCATACTTTCTCGTAAGTGATGTATAACAACTTGTTAATTTATTTCATTGTTTATATATATATATATATATATATATATATATATATATATATATATATATATATATATATATATATATATATATATATATATATATATATATAATATATAACTCAAAATATGAACCAATAATATTACCGCTCTATCCGTCTAAATAGCTTTCCAAATTCCACATCATTTGTATAATTCCTTTAAACATTAAAATGGTTATAAAAAGCTATCTGTATAATATAAAATGCCAACACTGACTTTATTGTTGATAACTTTAATATTGAATTGCATTATACATTATTTTGTTATATTTTAGCATTTTCGATTAAAGTTCTCAGTCGACTTTATGCCATCCGACATCTTGAACAATTACCGTCGCATTTCAACAAATTAACACAAAACAGTAGTAAGCAATAAAAAGCAAAAACCTTCCTCTTAAATCACTCTATTTATTGATGAAACCCGTATTAAAATCCGTTGCGTAATTTAAAAATCTAAGCGTAGGTACAGATGACGAAAGGGAAGAAACTTTGTTTTATACTACATATGTAGAGAATAAACGTCGCCTATAGACATAAACATGAGATTTTTTCTATTTTATCTATGGTACTCATCAATATTTACTTAATATTTTTAATAAATAATCATTTAACACTCAACAAACCATTCACGAACAATATAAACCGCCTACAATTTTTTATAATTTCGGTCCTTCGAGCCGGATAGTGTATGATTGCCACATACCAGCGTCGCGCACGGGGCGGTGCCTGGCAGCGGTGCCAGCCGTCCCCACTGCCTGTCCGCCGCTCAGCAAGCAGGCGGCGTGATCACGCGCGCGAAGCAGGAGAGCACGCTTATGCGGCCACGCTGCTAGCGCGCGGCGCCCGCGTCCTTCACCCACTAGTTGGATTAAACGGAGCTTATTGCTCACCGTTTTCTCACTGTCATCTTTACCTGGGGATAAAACAATCTAATAGGAGCGAGAGGATCTCTAGGTGTGTAATCTAGTAGCCCCATTTGCTAGCAATATAGAAAGAAAGAAAACATTTATTGACAACAACAAAAAGTTACATAAATTATGAATTAAAAAACAAAAAAACTTTACATTTATTATTGCCAACGTGGTCACTACTCAGCATGTGCTGCAGCAATTTAATTGCTACAGCGCTGATATACTGTGGTGCCCATACATGACATTATATGATAGGGTATAATCAATAGGTCAAACCAATTAATTTCTGGTGAGTCCCTATACAAAACGTTCAATATCTTCTCTAGTTAAATATATACGACTAGTAACCCAGCCCGGCTTCACATGGACAGATAGAATTTTCAACAATAATATATTAAGCTTATGTTTAGATCCTTTAAAGAGGAATAATTCTATCATACATATTTTTTGGGTAACTTGAATCGTTTACACAGCGCACGCAACGAAAGCCCTGAAATATGAATAATTTTTCCCGTTTTTGCAACATTTTTCACTGATGCTCTGCTCCTATTGGTAGCAGCGTGATGGTATATAGCCTAAAGCCTTCCTCGATATATGGGCTATCCAACAAAAAATGGATATTTCAATTCGAACAGGTAATTCCTGAGATTAGCGCGTTCATACAAACAAACTCTTCAGCTTTATAATATTAAGTATAGATTAATACATACAAGCAATAATGGCCTTGAGCACGTCGATCTGCAATTCGAACACGTTCCGGTGCACGTACTGTACGAACGCGTGGAACGGCAGCGTACGGTAGCCGAGGTACGTGAAGAACGAGCTGAACCCGGCCGGGAGAGGGAACGCGATCGAGTCCGTCGCCAGGTAGTACTGCTCCAGCAGTTTGAACAGGATGAACGCGTGCGTCGGCTCCATTTCATCGCTGTGAAAGTTTTTTTGCAACTTAGAATGGCAAACAGGCTGCCAGCTGCCAGCAACCAGAGAGATCTATGCCTATAGTATACATGGTATGGTACCCTAATTTCCTCATTTCTTGTAATTATTTGTACCTATAGTAAGTAATCTTTTGGAGGAAACAATAAAGAGTATCTATCTATCTACCCAAGCGGATCCCACTGGTATTTAAATGTATCTATTTATTATTGTTATTATTATTATATACTACCTGCATCCCGTAGATCCGTATATAAAGTATCCTATGTGCTAAGTTAGGATATAACCTACCCGTGTATCAAATTTCATTCAAATCTGTTCAGTAGTTTTTGCGTGAAGAAGTAACAAACATCCATTGATCCCCAAAAGAGGGGTTTGCCAGTAGTTGCCACGCTTAGCAGGCGGGTTGGCAACCGCAGTTAGACTTAGATAATGTATTAAGAGGGATGCTTCTTAAATTTTAGTTATTAAAACATCACCAAAGCCTAACTGCGGTTGTCAATCCCTCTGCCAAGCGTGGCAACTACTGGCAAAATCTATGGAGGAGGCCTATGTCCAATAATGGACAATTAACGGCTGATATAATAACAATATATGTAATAAAGTACTAATCTGTGGACATAACAGAGACATGATTTCCATAACCACGATATGAAATTACCTGTGAAATGTCAAACAAAAAATATTTTAAATAATATCTGAATTGTGATTTTTTTTTCATTTCTCTTAGTGCGCCTAAACGCATGCAATAAGATTCTAATTAATTCACTACATAAATTTCATGCCAGAAATATATTTGGATATTTAAAAAGGTAATATAAAATAAATATTTATTTTATTCTTCAGAAATTAATTTTTTTTTAATAATTATTTCAGAAATATTTAAAATAATTTATGTTTGAAAGTGACAATGTAACGTTAAAAAATATGGATTCTTAACCTATAAATCAATTACCAATGTTAACAAATAAACACGTGAGATTAACAAATATGATGAACGAACGAAACCGACAATGACAAAAAAGAAAACAAAATTAAACCAAAATAAAAACCCAACACAAAACCTGTAAAATAAAACCAAAAAACTGCATAGCAAATGATCGGCGGCGAAACGAAAAAAAAACAAGCGAAAACCAAAGACGACACAAAAACCAGCGCAAAGAAAACGAACATCGACACTCGTGTACTATTCGATTTTTGAAATAGACGATTCAAACAATATTTTTTTTTTGTAAATCTGTAATTATCGTCCATTTCTCACTATAGTACACGACCATAGATATAGAAAGGGACGGTATGTCAGTCCTAGAACGCACTCGTAATTATGATATGATCAATTTGTTTTTTTTTTTTTTGTGTGTAATACTCATAGGTGGTCGTTTTTACTGCGAACGGCATGCAAAATCGTGCCTTAAGATTTCGAAATTCAAAAATTATTTTTTCAAGCAAATTTGCACTTCGGAATAGTGTTTGAAATAAATAAGATTAATCTTTATTGTCATCATGTATATTGTAAAATTGATTTTTTATTCGTAGTAAGAAGGACCTTGAACGCATTGTAACACTCGCTTAGCTTACTGAGCAATCATGAGTTTTGGTCTTTTTTTTTATGCAACTTAGAATGGCAAACAAGCTGGCGGCCCACCTGATGGAAAGTGGTAACCGTCTCCTATAGACAGGAGCAGTACCATGGACATAACAGAGTATACTGTTTCGCCCATGATACCCCCCATGCGTTGCCATTCCTGAAGACTCAGGTGTTATTCCTCTGTACCCAATAAATTCACGCCATATCCCACCCTTCAAACCGAAACGCAGCCATGCAAACACAACTGTTTCACGGTTGAAACACGAATGGGACAGAGGTACCCAAGCAATCGACTTTTGTACAAAGTCTCCCTCTGGTCTGAAGAGAGGATAATAGTTCTAATTGACGTTGATTTAAATATGTACAAACTTAGCATACTAAGTCCTATAGTACTAAACGGGAAAGAATAGTTAAAAGAATTGGAGAACAAGTTGCGTTATATATATACGTACGACTACAAGTATAAGTACGACTTAGTGACACAGTTGTATGACCCAGTGACATAACCGTACAGCTGAGCGATACGGCGAGTGCGCTATCTGTGGCGTACCGTCGCTTCTACATCTATGCGCTAGACAACAAACAGCGTGCGGTGGTCGCGCGTACATGAATGTGAATCCCCTGTGCTGGTGGTGGTGCGGCGCGGCGGCGGCGGCGCGCGTGACGGCGCGGCACAATGCCCGCGACGCGTCCAGCTGCGCGGCCGCCCAGCGCGTGGCCAGCGCGTGCACGCCGCTCTCCAGTCCGCCCCCTGCCCCCGCCCCTGCACCCGCCCCCGCCCCCGGCCCCGACACACCCCCGCCCCGCGCCCTGTCGCCGCTCGACCGCATCAGGTGTACGCTCACTTCCCGCAGGTTCTGTTCGACGCGTAATATTGTTTAAAACCTTTAAAGTGTACAAGTGCCATTTCTCAGTGTTGCTAGTGATAACTATAATATTTTAAGTTTCCTATACCAGTACACACTGATGATCGCGTATGTTGACGCACAATCCATGATATAAATCCACTCACACAAGTATAAAAAAGTTGAATTATTTATAGCGAAAAATGTATAGAAAATTATATAGTTGAATATTATTAACGTAATTGTAAACTGACCGCAGCAATAACGTGCTCCTGCTTGCTGGCAGTGCACACGTCGACCTCGAAGAACGGCAGCAGGTCGTGGTGCGTGGCACGACGTTGCGATGGCGCAGAACCCGCTCCCCCACCGCCTATACCACCCGCGCCCCCAATTCCCCCGACGCACCCTCCCATGGGCGAAAGCGGTGTGCTGCATCGTGACAACGCTTCCGGCTGCAAAAATAAACAAATAACTTAAATATTGGCCTAATAATTAATCAATGGGGGATAGTGGATTGTTAAAAGTGAGGATTAGTAGCCCCATTGTTAGCAATATACCCTGTCAGGTCGACCTCCTCGCGGTTCCCCCTGGGAACTATCGTGTTCTATTCCAAGTGCATTCATCACGATAGGCTAACTGAGCTGTCTTTTAATTGTCACCTATGATGCCTCACTGGTGTCCCGTCAGCATATACCGTTAGCGCAGGCTGGGTTACCATTCCATTATCATCCCTTTAAAAAAAATCATTAATCAATAGTCATTGTTGAATATATTGGTAATAAATAATAAATATTTCTTACTACCATTATTGTATTCCTAAGTGTGAGAGATAATGCAGTACTAGAAGGCAAAAGCCCCACGTGACATAGTGTACCGCACTAAGAACAAGGTATTACATAGAAGGAGTGATAAAATTGTCAATTCATAGCAGGCTAGTGTATACAGAAAATGTTATACGGCCGTATAACCCTACCAAATTCAGATACAAACTGCTTTAATAGTTTCTACATAAACTGTGTTGAATATATAATCTAGTAATGTAAAATTTGTCATTATGATGTATCTTTCGTTCTCTTTCTACTAATTATATTTGCATGAGAAGAAAGGAGGTAACCGTATGATTTACAGTTTTTATTTCATCATTCCTTCCATGGAATTCCTTGTTGTCAGGTACGGTGCGCAGGGGGCGAGGAGGCTGCAGTGCCCGCGTTATCAGTATACACTGGCGGGGCACCAGTGAGAAGTGATAGGTGAGGAAGAAAGGGCAGGTCAGTTGGCCCATGGTGACGAATTCAACGATAAATTAGTTATGATAGTTTGGAGGTGCAACCGCGTGGTAGGGTGCGCCATGTGGCGTGTGGCGTGTGACAGCGGCGGGGCGGCAGCGGGTGCAGGCGCACCTTAGTTATGATAGTTTGGAGGTGCAACCGCGTGGTAGGGTGCGCCATGTGGCGTGTGGCGTGTGGTGTAGTGTGGCGTGTGGCGTGTGGTGTAGTGTGCAGGCGCACCTGGTAGCAGGGCAGGCTGAGGCGCAGCTTGTCGAGCACGGCGCGCGGGCGCAGGCGCGGCGCGGGCGCGGCGCTGAGCGCGGCCCAGACGCGCGTCCACACGTCCTCCGCGAACTGGCACACGCGCTGCCGCGGCGCCAGCACCGCCGCGCTGCTGCCCCACAGCTGCTCCTGGCTCGCCGACACGCTCGTCGCGCCCACCTGTGCGCCGCCCACACACTTTGTAGTCGTTTGGTGGAAATAAATAACAACCAATCTTCATTTTTTTTTTTATACTACTTAGAATGGCAAACAAGCTGACGGCCCACCTGATGGAAAGTGGTAACCGTCGCCTATAGACATGAGCGGTACCATGGACATAACAGAGTATACTGTTTCACCCATGATACCCTCCATGCGTTGCCATTCCTGAGGACTCAGGTGTTATTCCTCTGTACCCTGTAAATTCACGCCATATCCCACCCTTCAAACCGAAACACAGTCATGCAAACACAGCTGCTTCACGGTTGAAACACGAATGGGACAGAGGTACCCAAGCAATCGACTTTTGTACAAAGTCTCCCTCTGGTATTATTATTTACATATAATGAGAGAATGACACCAGAAATGAATGTGAGAAGTAAACGTCGCTGTCATGTCTGTACGTCCAGTCCGAAAGACAGAAAGAGGTGAAATATCAATGTACAAATAAATTAAACTACTTGATGGAAAAGAAAGTAATGATGTTGACAAGTGGCTATGAGATGAATATTTACAATATTTATTTACAGACGCCACAAGTTATTGGCCTTTTATTCAGTTTAGAGTACTGGAGACAAGAGGTAAATTTGCGGTTTCGTAGAACATTAATATACGTTCTATATAAACAACTCATTAAATCTAATTTCAATAAAAAAAATTATTTATTGGAAAAAGTTACTTATAGGAAAAAAAGGAGTATAAAAATACTTACAGTCTGAAAAATATTTTCACTTATATCTTTTACTAATTAAGCTGATTAGAATAAATAAAATATAAAGAATGTTGCTTATAAAGAGTTTGCTTATATAGAGCATTCACTATACTAACTTAATACTAAATGCAAGGGGGAAAGGGATTGTTAGTAATGAAGACTGAGAATCCCATTGCTAGCAATATACCCAACCGTCGTCGACCTCTTCACGGTTCTCCCTGGAAACTATCATGGTTAATTCCTGATGAATTCATCATGATGGGCTAACTGGCCTGTTTTCATTCTCATCTATCACCCTTCACTGGTGCTCCGCCAGCATATCCCGTTAGCGCAGGCGGGGTTACCGTACCATTTTCACAAAAAAAAAAACTAAATGCAATGAATTAAATTCCCCATTTATTGGCCGCTATAAACCGTAAGGATTGACTACATCAGTCACACCAGCACCAAACTGATTACGAGTCAAAATATGTAACTATTTTAACCAATAACAAGTCGAAATTAAATGGGGGGTCGCAAAACCTCACCCTAATCATTAAATCCAAAACATTCATTAGAAGAATGGTGTATTGCTTTATATTATTATTTTCTTGTTCTTCTCCAGCAGACAAAATGGAGGGAAGAAAATAAAAAAATCTTAAGTTCGAGTATTCCTAGGTACCTTGACATCGGCGAACTTGAGATGCAACGTGAACGGCAGCATCCTCATGAGACTCAGGGCAGATGTGGGCAATGAACGTCTTGTTACGGCGTACGTGGTGCCAATTAGGAATTCCTGCATCACGTGCTGCAGCGCGCCCAAACCCTCACGCTGATTCACGCACATCCACGATATAAGCTGCAAGAGATCATTCGTAAGTATTACCGCGACCTATATTTTTTTTGTATGGACGACTTCAAGAGCCTTTATACCGTAACTTACTGAAGTGTAAAAATGCTTTTTTTTTATACCACTGAGGTGGCAAACAAGCATACGGCCACCTGATGGTAAGCGGTTACCGTAGCTTATGAACGCTTGCAATACCAGAGGTATTACGCGTGCGTTGCCGACCCTGAAGAAACCTCTTTAGCCCCCTTTTGAAGAACCCCATGCTGTAGTCTCTTGGATAAACCTGGGCAGGGAGCTCATTCCATAACCTGAATGTTCGTAGGAGAAAACATCTCTGAAACCGCGTTGTACGCGACCATTTAGGCTGTAAGGTATGAGGGTGAACTCCCTGTCGATGGTGAGCCGTACGATGATAGAAAGTGGCCGCAGGCATCATATTGAGTAATTCCTCTGAGCACAATCCGTTGTATAAGCGGTAGAACACGCAGAGTGAGGCAAACTCTCTCCTAAAACTTAAACGTTTGAATAATTTGTCAATTTCCAAAATCAATGAAATCATCATCATCATACCAACCCTTTACATTTACATACAACCCTTTACATACAACTTTTGCCAGTAGTTGCCACGCTTGGCAGGCGGATTGGCAACCGCATTAAGGTTTTGGAATTTTTTTAAGAGGAACACTGCTGCCCATCCCGCGTCCTCCCTTATTCGCCTCTTACGACACCCACGGGAAAGGAAGGGGTGGCCTATTTTATGCTGGGACCACACGGGAACCACATGGTGGATTATAAGATGGTGAAATTCAAGAGCTAATATTAAACGAAACATATACATAGACACATTTGTATATTTACCAAAGGGAGACTTTGTACAAAAGTTGTTTGCTTGGGTACCTCTGTCCTATTCGTGTTTCAACCATAAAGCAGTTGTGTTTGCATGGCTGTGTTTCGTGGGATATGGCGTGAATTTACAGAGTACAGAGGAATAACACCCGAGTCCTCAGGAATGGCAACGCATGGGGGGTATCATGGGCGAGACAGTATACTCTGTTATGTCCATGGCACTGCTCATGTCTATAGGTGACGGTTACCATTTTCCATTAGGTGGGCCGTCAGCTTGTTTGCCATTCTAAGTTGTATAAAGAAAAATGGCTTACAGTTTAGAAAATATACACATACCTCCTCAGCCAGCTCCATATTGCCCTCGTGCTGTATCAAGTAATGCATAATTGCCAGTTTGTTCTCCACAGCTGTGTTACTCTTGAACGTTGCTGTAATATCTTTCTCTTGGACCGTCATCACCACTACATCTAAGGTGTTGAGGTCGACCATGGCGTGGGGTCCCCAGCCCAGCAGCGGGGCGAGGCTGGGCCCACTGTCACAGTCCTCCATCGGTATGACGATGTGGCAGCACGGCTCGTGGTGCAAGCTGATGTCGATGAGGTGCGTGAATAACATTGGGATGTTGACTAGGAGGTGGTTTTCTGTTGACAAATTCAAGAAATATACAATTAGAAGCATGGTATAAATCAAGAAGCATGACACAAGCGCGCGCGCGCACACACACACACACGCACACGCACGCACACACACACAACTTCCAGATTAAATTATAATTAATTAATTATCTCTTCCTATAAATTATATTTATTACATTGAATTCACTTATTATATTATAAGTACTTAGTAAGTAACCCTGCGGAGTGAGGCCCTGGTGACCTGTAATACAGGTATTCTTATACCTATCTCAGGCACCAGTCTCTCACAATTATATTTATAATTTGATTACTTTAATATAAGCATGTCTCAAAAAAAAATTGGCATTAGAACGTCATGCTATATTATGTGTGTCGTATCAATGTGGAAAATTTTAATAAAAATCGCACAAACATATGAAAGAAGCTTCGAGATATAAATGCTATTGTATTGTATAGCACGGTAGAAATGACTTACGTTAGACAGACGCTCAATACATGTTTAAACAGTTCACTGCAAAAGCGTGTCTAACGTCTTTTCATATATAAATAAAAAAAAGCCTAAAAAGTCTAAAGTTAAAATAAAAGGTGTTTGAAGTAACAAATATTCTTATGATAATGTAACTAAACAATATTTAATCACTTTGACAAAGTTTTGTAAAACGCTATCCGTTTTATTCATAAAAAAATATCGTCCCAATAAAAGTCCTCTATAACAAAGAAGTAATTAGGATTTTTTTTTATTCATAAATGTATTAAGTCTGCATTAACTGTAGTAATTGAGGACTTATTTATTTATTTATTTATTTATTTATTAGTACAAATATGTGTACATGGAGGACTTAATGCTAAAAGCATTCTCTCCCAGTCAACCATAGGGAAGTGTCAGAATACTCGAATGCGGTACTACTAATTATTGATATACATACATACTAAAATTACATATATAAACGAATAAATATATATATGAATAACAAATATACTTACATATATATGACATATACTATATTATACACGAATTTGAGAATAATATACTTACTTACTGCTCGGATAAAGATAAAAAGTGAGCGTGAACGCTTTTTTTGAAAGACGGTTTAGTCGGTAGTCTCTTATTGAGCATTTCTGAATAATATATTATTTTAAACGCTCAATATGGTTATTTGTCATTTTACATAAAAGTTCTTTAAAGCTGTAGTAAGAATTTTTATGAATAAGACTGTATTAAGACAAACATTGTTTTAAATACTTCTTGTAGTAGGACCGTGGCTGTAAAAATATTGCAATTGACGGTTATGACGGAAATTTTTGAAGTCGAAATAAAGAATCATAATCGAATAGTTATTCGCAATTAAATATTTTGTTGAATATGTAAGTTACGTCTTAGAAAATTTTAATTTTTAATTTTAGTGATTCACATATTGTGTTTTTTTTAATGGGTGATAATGGTACGGTAACCTCGCTGCGCTATCGGTATACAATAGCGAGGCACCAATGATAGATGACAGATGAGGATAAAAGCAGGTCAGTTAGGCCATCCTGACGAATTCGAGTAGAATTAACCACGATGGTTTCCAGGGGGAACCACGTGGAGGTCAACCTGACAGGGTAAATTGCTAATAATGGGGCTATTTGACCCCATCACTAACAGTTCCCTTCCTCCATCACATATTGTGTTATAGCTTTATAGAGTGTTGTAGCATATTGCTATGACACAAAATAGGTAGTGTAGGGGGAAAAGGGATTGTTAGTAATGGAGACTGAGAATCCCATTGCTAGCAATATACCCAACCAGGTTGACCTCCTCGCGGTTCCCTCTGAAAACTATCATGGTTAATTCCTGATGAATTCATCATGATGGGCTAACTGATCTGTTTTCATTTTCATCTATCACCCTCCACTGGTGCTTCGCCAGCGTACCCCGTTAGCGCAGGCGGGGTTACCATACCATTTTCATCCATAAAAAAAAATAGGTAGTGTATAGTGACTCGACAGACTATATATTTATATTCTTATTATATGCAGGAATCTTACACCTATTTGCGTTATACATATACATTTTTTTATGCAACTTCAAATGGCAAACAAGCTGACGGCCCACCTGATGGAAAGTGGTAACCGTCACCTATAGACATGAGCAGTAACATGGACATAACAGAATAAACTGTTTCGCCCATGATACCCCCCATGCGTCGCCATTCCTGAGGACTCAGGTGTTATTCCTCTGTACCCTGTAAATTCACTGCCATATGCCACCCTTCAAACCGAAACATAGTCATGTAAATACAACTGCTTCACAGTAAAAACAAGAATAGGACAGAGGTACCACCCAAGCAAACAACTTTTGTAAAGTCTCCCTCTAGTATTAGATAAATTGTTCGCGACATTGTAATTATTTGTATAGTTATAGCGATATTTTATAGTTAATTGTTAGCATAAGTCCTTAGTTTAATCATTTTTAAATTGTTAATTTTACATAGATTTTAAGATGTATCTATAGCTCGTAAGTTGAATAAAACATTTTTATTGTGTCTTGTTATTATTACCCACAAATAGGAATAAGAAAAGAAATTGTAAAAGTAATAGAAATAAGAATAATTGTACAAATAAATAGACGCCGAAACGGTGCCACTCTGAAGAGTAACGCGTCCCTTTCACACTCGCCCCGTCCCGCTCGCACAGACTCGCTAACGCGAGTTAGTACATGTTGTCGTGCGACCGGGCGGGTATAAAGATAGGCCGCCTACCGTCAAGCGGCATGCTCTGCCACGCACTGACGCAGTACACTCCCAACCGATAAGAAATAGGACAAGAAAACTCTTCAGAACGGAACCGGGGGCTTCAAAAAGGAATTATTGTGTTTCTCTCCAGCCTGAACCAACGCCCCTACAGTCCACGCTCATCGTACGGTGGAAGAACATCGTTCATAAATTATAAAAAGTTTACACCTCGATTGCTATTTTAGGTGATAAGAAAAATTTTTTTTTATACCACTGAGTTGGCAAACTAGCATACGGCCCACCTGATGATAAGTGGTTACCGCAGCCTATGAACACCTGCAATACCAAAGGTATTACGCGTGCGTTGCCGACCCTGAAGAAACCTCTTTACCCCCCTTTTGAAGAACCCCATGCTGCAGTCTCTTGGGAAAACCTCGGCATGGAGCTCATTCTACAACCTGAGTGAAACATACCTGCATACAAAGTATATGAAGGCCTCAGCGACTTGGCTCGCGTCCACGGCAGGTCAGGCACCACGCAATGCACCACGGTACCATGTTGCAGCAACGTTATGGAGTAGGCGAAGTTCACGCCCGAGTCCTTTAGGTCCGCGCTGTCTTCCAGCACTAGTGATGTGGTTGAGTCATCTAGAGGCTGAACGAGAAGACCTTATGTTAACAACTTGTTAATGTCCCATTGCTGGGATCATATCCCTCGCCATAAAGGGAGAGCTATCGTCATCGTTATTACAACACATTCATGATGCAAAATTATTATTAATAGGGTCTTTACATAGAAAAAAAAAAAAAAAAAAAAAATATATATATATATATATATATATATATATATATATATATATATAAATAAATGTGTGCTTTCATGAGGGTAACAGTATGTACTACGAGAGCGTATACATTTATATGTTTACGCGACAACGCCAATTATAATATCAGTTAAGATTTTTTTTATTGCTGTTAATCGCAGACTGCCTTGACAACTTTACCCAGCGCGTGTACAGGGGTGAGTGCGGATGACACTCCAAGCCCGCGAGAGGGGAGCGACCGAGTGTCGACTCTTACCGATGGACTGCACAGTAAGGATTCATGGTAGCATTACCTTATACAGATAGTGATGGCATATGCATAGCACGCCGCGCTGGTCGCACACGATCTGCAGGTCGAGGCTGCAATCGTGCACGCGCAGTGGCACCGGGTCGTCCTCGTACGCACCGCACGCGGCGCCCTCGGAAGAACTCGACACGTGCGGCAGGCTCAGCGGAATGTTCAGCTGACAAACGGTCACATTTTACACCACTGAGATATCGGGGGGAGAAGGGATTGTTAGTAATGGGGATTAGTAGCACCATTGCTAGCATTATACACTGTCAGGTCGACCTCCTCGTGATTCCCCCCATAAACCATCGTGATGAGCTAACTGACTTGCTTCATCTTCACCTATCATCTTTCCCTGGTGCGCCACCAGTGTATACCGTTAGCGCAGGCGGGATTACCATTCAATTATCACCCATTAAAAAAAAAACCACTGAGATATCAAACAGTTATACAGTACGGTGTCTTAAATAAAATTTATATATATAAAATAAAATTTATTCTATGTTCATCACGATCGTCTAAGCCATTATCTGTCCATTGCTGAACATAGGTATTTAAATTGTTGTTCATTTATTCAATGTAAATCGAAATTATTGCAAGAGAAATCTATTTAAAAACGAGCAATTATATGTAAAATAAGTAAATATAATGTAATAACTAAACTGACATTCATTATCATCATTTCAGTCATTATTGACATTGATGCATGTAAATTAGCTACCTATCAATAAAATTTTGCTATACTCAAATAGTGACCCTATTTGAGTATATATATATATACTTACTCTACATAATTTACTAAACCCATTGTAACAACTCTATTATGTATATGAATGCAATATAATACATAAATGAGTGTTTATTTTACACAAACCATTAGAAATCTGTCAATTAAATTAAATACAAATAAGAACCCCTATCCGATTCCGGTTTATTTACATTTTATTTATATTTTTGAAAAACTTTAATAATTTTCCATAGTCAACTTACCACAGTCTCGTGAGGTAAATCAGCGTGGAACTGGAGAGCTGAAAGTGTCGGTGTCGCTTCGGAAGGCGATTTAATCTCTTCCCCTTCGGCGAAGCTTTGTGTCGGCGGCCGATAGTGTATGTAGTAGAGCACCTGGATACACAAATAATATTTAGTTAAAATATTACATCTGTCTCACACATTTCTACCACGCTGTTAGAAACTAATAATCATTTCTGTTTCATTATCTGGCAATAAATGCAAATATTGGCTCGTACCAATGTAGTTTTGTATGTGGCAACACAACAATAACAACGGACCTAAGAATAAAGAATTACATTGTATTTTTTTGTAATTTTCAAATACAGAGACAAAAAAAAATTAAAAATTTTAAACTGTTATTCGAAGGGGTAATGCGTGTAGGTTGGTATGGCTTAAATCCACGATGACGCAGTTCCTGTAAACCAGGTGGGGGTAATAGTGGGCGTGAACATGCTAAACTGCCACTAGCCTCATTAATATTTTGATTGCCGTGATAGACGGTCAGTTTTTACAGTAAGTACCTACTAAATTTTATTTTAAATAAAGGTACAGGGCGGGCGTGCGGGCGTGCGTGCGTGCGTGCGTTTGTGTGTGTGTGTGTATATGTGTGTGTGTATGTGTGTGCACATCAGCTATATGAAAATTGTTACTTTAATGGACAATGGAAAAGTCTGAAATGAATGTAATTAATGATATTAATCATAGTAATAATTATGATAATTATTAAATTACAAATCTTTGCACGATAAGATTAATTAACTACATTTTTTAAATGCAGTTTAGGAATAGTTGCTAATGATAATTTACTACATACTAGTTACATTTTCTTCAATTAGTTATTATGTAATTCAAAAAGAATTTTTCTCAAAAACAGAACTAGATAAATAAAACAAAAACCACTCACATGTGACGATAATTCCAAAAAATCTTTGTATTACGATAAAAAAGGGCTAACTGACCTGACTTCATCCTCACCTATCACCACTCACTGATGCCCTGCCAACGTATACCAATGGTACAAGTGAGTTAAGTTACCATTCCATTACCATTCACTAAAAACCAATAAATCTTATTAATAATTCTTATAAATATTATAATTTATCCATGCTAATGTTTTGGCCGCTCCGTGTGCCACCACATATCAAAGGAATACGCCATCCTGTCATGTGACGTAGGGAAGAATTCAAGCATACTAACCGACTCATTAGCGGGGGAAAAGAGATTGTTAGCAATGGAGTTTGACAGCCCCATTTCTAGCAATATGCCTTATTAGGTCGACTTCCACATGGTTCTCCCTGGAACCCATCGTGAACAATTCTTGTTGAATTCGTCACGATGGGCTAACTGACCTACTACATCCTCACCTATTATCCTTCACTGGTGCCACGCCTGTGTATACCGATAGCGCGGGTGGGGTTACCATTCCATTATCATCCATTAAAAAAAAACCGACTCATTACCTAAAGTCAAAGTTCGTTGTTCTCATATTATTTAAGCTTCAATTAAAATTTCAGCTTAGTATGTATTTGTTTTATTTATAGATAAAACGCTGATATTGAAAAACGATATATAAAGCATTAAAAAGGATCGCAACAGCTTTAACAGACTATCTTAAGTGAAGCTGCATGCAGCAATTGTTTGTTCATATTTGAAAAATAATATTCGCGTTGTACGTATTCCTACCACGGTAACGATACAATGCAATGACCTCTTAGTGCTTTATTTTCACTAAGACGATCATATTAACAGTATTAAAAAGTACAACATGGAAAAGAAACAAATGGTAATACCTATGCTTTTTATTAAATGTATCTCACATGCCCATTTAATTTACACCTCACAAAAGCTATCACAAAAAGAACAACTGTATTTTGCAACTGAAGTATTTTTTGCTTTAACTATTAAACATAGTAGAGTGGCTCGAACCACATTCTTATTTTCTGAGGCTATATGGATAATTATTCAAGATTTCATTAATAAGACGTACCAAATCTAGGATTCATCATTTTCATATATTTTTAAAGTAGAAAATCAATAGTAAAATTTTTTAAAATTTATTTAAAAGCAGTTCTAAGACATTTTTTGGAAACAATGTTATTTTTTAAATTATTTTATAAATGTACTAAGGTAGCTTTTTATTACAAAGGAACTTGACTGATACTGTAGCTTAGCTATAAAAGATATCTAACCTATCTACCACAGAAGAGAACTTTTGTATGGTACAAACTCACTGAACTAAATGTTACAAAAAAATTAAGCTTTGCTGATATATTTGACAATTAGTGAGCTACTGTACCATAGACTATTTTGAGTTGCTCTCAACACCTGGCTCTCAAAAATAACCATAAAAAATTAATGTTTCACACTTTATACACATAAACATTGGCATGCATGTGTACAGACATTATCTATTTAAATAATAGTGATTGGCCACTTATAAAGCAATTTTTTTATGAATTGTTCAAAATGTTACTATACTGTTCTTCAAATATAATAACTGCTCATTTCTCTCACCTGATTAGCACAATCCCACTGCGCCCATGAGAACACCTTCACAATAGTCTCTGGTTCTGGATAGATACCATCAAAACCCCATTTCTCTGTTCCATCATCACACTCATTCAAAAATAATGGTGTGCGGTAGATTTTAATACCTAGAATAAGTACAACATAGATGAATAGCAGGTATAATGTTACAAGTATAAATTTAGTTTCATTCTGATAATTTGGTGCCAGAATATAAAATAATTTAAAATTTTGTTCCATAAATAATTCAAAATTATGTTCCAAATCAAAAACAAAAACTGATGTCAATCTTGATAAATATAACTAGTTTTTTTTTTTTTTTTTTATTTACCACTGATCATTTTTTAAATAAAAAAGGATTTTCCTTTTTTTAAGTAAGTTAAAAATATACTTATAATAAGTTAGTGTCATCTAGAATTAAACATATCTTATTCTTGTGACTCAGAAGAGTGAATCGCTAAAAGAAAAACATAAACTTACATTCTAAATGTTTGAAAAGAAGAAACCGATCATTCCTTATTCCTGGGCTGTATTTATTACTCTTGCCATACACATACTGGACCATTATCTGTTTCATAGAGCCTTTTTCCACCTCCACTGGACTGTTTTCTTTACCAGGAAGTAGACATATTAAATAAGGGCAATACTGAGGCTGTTCTATTTCACTGTCTTCAATAGGTAGCTGTTTTACAACATACACCAGCAGACTGTGAGTAGCATTCACTGATGCTTGTATTATGTTTAGTTTTTGTTGGAAGGTGTAGAGAGTAGTGAGAGTTTTAGTTTTGTTGAAATAAACACCAATGTTGAGCACTTCGTTGCAATCATTATTCGAGACCCAGGATAAAACTTGTGACCCATCCTGTTCTTGCCCCAATAGGCGCCACTCACGAGCCGTTACTTCTGCAAAAAAAAACAATTATTTATAATTTGTATTAGGTAAAAAAATTTATTTAGAATGTTCTTAATACATATATATAAAAAAGAAAATAAAACAAATATATAAATATCTTTTGCCTAACTTTGAACCTGCCTTTAACAAATGAAATTTGGATGAATATTGATAAAGATTGTAAAATATACTTTATATTATACGAACTGAGTAGAATTGGTCATTAAACAAAATACAAACCTTCATCTGATTGCGTCTGGAGTACACCACATAATTTCACTGCGATGTTTTGCACAGCCATTGTAAATAATGTTTTCCTTAACTACACCTGTTATTCACATAACTCTAAAATATGGCACTATAGGCCACGTTATCAATATAGAAGCGTTCTTTATTGACTTTTCTCGCTCAATTTTCTATCAGCTGGCGCCCAGCTGTAGTGTGACGCGAAGTTGTTGTTCCAAATTTCAGGAATACCAATCGTAAAAATAAAAAAAATAATGCCAAGCCATCAAACTTTGGCGCTAGAGATTCAAATTGACCAATTAAAGCTAAGCATCAACCACTGCCAGCACACTGAAAATAATTTTGTAACAATTTCGTTTTACGTAATATTATACTAAATAGTTTACTATTAATTCAAAAATGTCTAATAATCATACTTGTACTACAAAATACACATTTTTTAGATTAGTTTTTCCAAAATTTTGTTTTTTTTTGTAATATTATATTAATATTTTATTACAAACTATTATTTATAATATACATTTTGCATTTCCATGCTGTTACAAATTATATATTTCAATTTGTTGCAATTGTATATTTGTGTGGTGTTTAATTCTAACTTTAATCAATTAGTTTTCTGTCAAATAACAAAAATATTTCTGCGTGAAACGAAGTACAACATTAAAATGACGTCAATTTTCAGAAGAAACAAACATGAAGTTAGTCACTGTCATCCTTGAAGAGTACCTAAGTTTTACCGCGACATTTTCGCGCGGAAAGCCGGGCGTTATCGAGCCGTGAAATCCTGAAATATAGTCCATAAATTTGGGAAAGTGCTCCAAGTGTATCTTTTATAATCATATTTTGTGTATTTACTTTTAAATGTGAAAAAAATATATCATATTCTGAGTTTAGTGTGATCATCCATATCTAGTTTAGCAGAAAATTTGTCTTGTGAAATTTGAAATAATTTGTGAATGACCAGGTATATGTTTAATCTACTATCAAATCCTTGAAAATGTAGAGAATTTTAAGAAATGGCCTTATAAGATGTTAGCTTTAGTCTTTGCTTGCTATTAGGTTATAAAAATTTGGTAGGAGATAAGCCAAGCCAATTATATTGACACCGGTTATACCTGTAAAGGTCTTAAAATTCGATTAAATATGTCTATATTTCTTCGAAATATTATATGTACTGGTATATTGTGTCACCTAGGTACTATTTTTATCAATTTCCAAAAGTGGATGGCCCCAGAAACCCAAGCTAGCGACGTGTCTAATGGCGCTGACGGAGGATTTCGCGCGCGATTGCGGCGAATTCGTGGCATTTTTTTCAACAGCTGATTGCATTATTTATCGAAATTTATGATATACAATTACTAATAACATTCTATACTGAGTATAAAATACTAAAACACCTGAATTATTAATCATTTACCACCCAAAAATACCCCCTGAAAATTTTTCTCCCGCCAATCAGCAGGGGGCACGCTGTGAAATATTGGCTTTACTGAGGCTCTGTTACGATGAATATTTCATGTTTCTGTTATTTATATGCTTCAGTCATATCTCACTAAGATATAGAAAGGCAAATTTATACGTTAGATTTGGTAATGTGGCCTCAATACGGTTGTCAAATGACATAACCCTATTTGCAATTTGAACATGACATGCGGTAATTTTAGGTCATTAATCCTAAATTTCTTAACTCCAACATCTAATAAAGACATATATGGCTAATCAATACTCTGTTTCAGACATTGGGGATAGTGTGCCACCTGTAGCCTTAGCCCACAATGGCACAAAATGGGTATGTAGCAAGTGTTCCTTCAGTCGCATTTTATACGTCAACCTTGATGTTCTGTTTACTTTACACTTACATTTGTTTTGCAGATCCCCTGATGACATTGAAAAACGTATGAATTTAAAACGGAAAAGAAATTCTACTGATGATGAGGTCTGTAATTCTTTCCTTATATGAGCTATATTCATTTGATTCAGCTTAATAGGACAGTTAATGTATTATAGGTGGAAAATATGCCTCCGGTGAAGATATCACCAAAACTTAATGAGATGCTGCAAGACCAGCCTGCACACAATGTGGTTGTGGAGTCGTCTTGTTCTAGTGATGATGAAGGCTCCCAATATGAAAATGCTGACCAGCCAAGAAGTGTCTTCACTGACATAGATTACAATGCTGATAGTTTCCTAAGCCCACCGAGTGTATCAGACTTGCCAAATTGTGTGCTGAGTCCTTTAGAGAATGTGGCAAGGGGCGAGTCTACACCACACTCAAATAAGAGACCCAGGTAAGAATATGAAACAAAATTTAGAACTAAGTGTAAATAAGAATAAATTTCACAAGCTATAATAGAAGTTAAGGGTTTCTGATATAAGTTTATAATAAAGTTGTCTTCTCATTTAAATTGTCTAATTATAATTTGAATAAAAACCCTTCATGGTCATTAATAACACAGGATAAATGACAATAATACTGTTTAAAAATATTGCTTTATTTGGATAAAAAAAAAAATATAATAATAGTGGTCATCTGTTCCTACAATAGTATAGACTACAAAATATGAACTGTTATTACAGCACAAGTAAATCAGAATATCCCACTCTTCCGAAACGGAAGTGTCCTTTGCCAGTGCTCTCCTGGGCAGACCCTCAAGATGTTTGGAATGGCATGTGCGAGTGTGATGCAAAATCCAGTAGCAAGAAGAACCCTAACATGTTTGATAATCACCCCAATCTTCAGTTAAGAATGAGAGCTATTCTACTGGACTGGCTTAATGAGGTAATTAATATATTTTCACATCATTATCATCATCATTATATCAGCCATTATCTGTCCACTGCTAAATACACATCATTATATTTTATATCATTTTATTCATCAAGGAATGTACTTAACAATATATATATATATATATTAATAGTCTACAAATAATATTATAGTTAACAGTATTTGTGTTTTACAATTTGCTAGAAATTTTCAGGAATGTTTATCCTTTTTTTAATTAATATGATCTCCTAATTATAGAGTTGATATTTTTTTTTAATAACATACAAAGTATAAAATTATTGTGTTCAAAGTGATTTAATATTTTTTCATGCTGCAATTTAGTGAAGCCTAGCAAAAGGTGAGTTGATTAGGTAATTTATATACTCAGTAAGGTAAGCACCATCAGGACAAATCAGCACTTTTCTCAGACTGCGTTTTTATATCTAGGAAAGTTAGTGATGTAATATTGGGATCAGTGACCTCTTTTTTGCAGTATGTCATTGACCTTACCAGAACCAGCGCGTTAATACACTACTGTGTTTTAATTGTTTAAGTATTCAGTTTGAATATTTCTTATAATAATAAATGGACAATGAAGTTATTAATGTATATCCAAAAATTAGAGATATGACAATTTATTTTAATTGATTCATTTTTTTGTCTGGGCCTTAACTTTTAAGGATCGCCGATTTAAACTTCATTTCCGTTACAGAGCTCACCATGACCTATTTTTTTATTGTACTTAGATTACTATTATTTTAATAATATCGAACAGTATCGCGATTCGCCATTTATTATAATACTAATTGTAACCCGCGGTTTCGCCCGCATTATTAGTATATAGTTTCATATGTCTTAAGTTATCCATATACGAAATTTCATTGAAATCCATTTAGTAGTTTTTCTGTAAAGGGTAACGTCCTAACAAACTTACGTGTAATACGTGTAATACAATAGCAATAAAATGAAATGCAGAGAGTGAGCAATAGTTCTGCATGTCATCGATACACCAAAGTGTAGATACACCAATTTTATACGTTACCCATTAGATATGTGCACCAAGACGGCACTAGGCACATCTAGGCAGATGATATAAACGCCAGAATCTCACTTGTGCGTTATTTTTAGTATGTCATTAGTGCAGACCGCTTTTTATATTCACGCCTTCACTATAGCAGTACCCCATACCGGGCCTCTGCGCTTTTACGAATTCAATGCGACCTTTATATTATTAAAATATGCGTTTTGAACACATTACCGTATTATTTGAATGCAATTCTGAAGCTAAATGAAGCGAAATAACTTGGTTCAAGTAACCGCGTCTACCGGTTTTTGTTCTTGCCGTAACTTTCGTAGCTGCTTCAAGAATCGGAGTTTTAGATGTTACGATTAATTTTGAGTAGGCAATTATTTTATTATTTACAGAATACCATATATATATTTTTTTTGTATACAACTTAGAATGGCAAACAAGCTGACGGCCCACCTGATGGAAAGTGGTAACCGTCGCCTATAGACATGAGCAGTACCATGGACATAACAGAGTATACAGTTTCGCCCATAATACCCCCCATGCGTTGCCATTCCTGAGGATTCACGTGTTATTCCTCTGTATCCAGTAAATTCACTTATTATAAGTATTGTTATAGAAATTCTATAAAAAAATTAAAATTTTTAAATCAAATAATCAATTTACCAACAAAAGAAACTGCTTCAAACTTCATGTAATTAGTATGTTTGGTCACATACTAATAGTTTAATTAGAAATAATAATCGTTAAGAACAGACGCAGATATCGCGTTATAAAAAAAAGAAAAAACAGTCGAATTAAGAATTTGAACCTCGTCTTTTTGATCGACTTCAAAGGAAGACTAAAAGGAGGTGCTCAATTGGATTCTTTTTTTTTTTTAATGTTTGTTACCTCATAACTTCGTCAGTTATAAACCGATTTGGAAAATTATTTATTTAAAAGTAATATACTTGAACTTAGAATGCCAAACAAGCTGACGGCCCACCTGATGGAAAGTGGTAACCGTCGCCTATAGACATGAGCAGTAGCATGGACATAACAGACTATACTGTACCATAGTTTACCGGATATCTAACCGAGCATGGCATGTTATCACCATAGTACAACACTAGTAGAATCTTGTCTCAATTTGAAGACCCTCAAAACAGCTGACGGCTACTATTATGACGGTAATCGAGCAAATGCAAATTATATTGCAACGTGCATCACATGCAACCGATAATTGTACACACAAATATACACAAGTCTTTGTATATTTACTATAAACCAAAAAGTACTTTGATCACTACATTGAAGACTCCGTATAAGGGTCGTTACGTGTAACGCAATGCGCAATTTATTTTTAGTGATTTACACAAGAAGCAAATTTCACATCGCCCGCGCGGTACCCGATATCTCTCATTTCCATGGATATTATCAAAAAATCTGTTCTAGCGTTCACTAAACTACAGTCCATCTTGGTCTCATAGTTTTTTTTTTTTTTGATGGGTGAAAATGTTATGGTAGCCCCGCCTCCGCTAACGGGATACGCTGGCGGAGCACCAGTGAAGGGTGATAGATGAGAATGAAATGAGGCCAGTTAGCCCATCATGATGAATTCATCAGGAATTAACCATGATAGTTTCCAGGGGGAACCGCGAGGAGGTGGACCTGGCTGGATATATTGTTAGCAATGGGATTCTCAGTCTCCATTACTAACAATTCCTTTCCCCCTTGGTCTCATAGTAGATCCTATAGATAAATCGTACTAACTATATCCCGCGTATCCTGTATGTTAGGATATAGCCTATCCGTGTACCAAATTAAATTCAAATCCGGTTTATAGTTTTTTCGTGAGATTGTCAAACAACCATCCATCGTCACAAAGTATCGCGTTTATAATAATATTAAGATGTCCAAAATGTTAAAATTTCAAAACCCAAATATAGATTTCACGAATACTTGAAATTTTTAATCTTAAAAAATCAAAAGAGTTTTTTTTATGCAACTTAAAATGATAACAACCTGACCCCAACTTATAATAAAGCTAACACCAAAATATTACTATTTTGGTGAGCGTGAGGGTAACAATTATTTTATAAAAGTGGCGTAGTCAAGTGGTTACAGACACTAGACCTGTCGATATAGTGGCATCTTAGTAACGTATTGCATATTAATGAAAGATACAATTTTACATGATTTTAAACCAGTTTATATACATTTTGTCGCGATTTAAAAAAATGTGGATCCCATTTTACACTACGTAATAACACATAACATTTTTTTTTTTATTTATTTATTAGTAATAAACTAATATAACATAATAAATGATTACATAATAAATAATAATTTATTACATTATATTAGTTTAAAAGCTACCACTGCAACCCATAAACTGCAGAGCCATTACACACGTGTTTCCGGTTTTTTGTACCTCAGTTTAAAATTGAAGAATCGAACAAATATGTCGTTCTTCAAATACATTGTATTCTACTTTCAAACTAGCTTCTTGGGAGCATAATTAGATAAGACAGAGTGAAATACCTATCTACGCAGACGACTGTATGTGCATATGTGACAAGGATCTTAAAATAGAAAATTATAAAAAAAAAATCAGATAAATACGACGAAAGAAATTGTTTTTTTTTTTTTTATTATTATTATAAATCACATTTTTTGATAATATCTCGTGTAAGTATAAGTATCCACATGTGCTGGTTTACTTACACCATGAATTAATTAATGCGGGGCAATGGAATATTTGTTTGGAAGCTTTATCGTAACAATGGCGGCGACCAGCGACCGATACGGGCTCACTGCACTAAAGTGTAGTAAGTAGCTACCAACGCATGCACCCATTAGCTATAATCTTTATCATCTTCTGAGTTATATTCCTTTTAATGCTTACTACTTACAACAACTGTTTAAAACGTTAAGTCCTTAATTTCATCATCGCCAATGCAAAAATAACGAAAACGCACTGCAAAAATAAAAAAAAAAAAACTATTTTGGAGTACAGGCCACATATATTATTTATAGTTTTTATATTATTATTTACCAAATTCTAAATCGACACGCAACTCTATTGTTTCCTTTTGGCTTCCCTTCACGGATCTTCTAAGTTCCTTTCGCCAATATACATACACATATACACAACAATATTTCCAATTTTAATTCAATTTTTTTATTGCATTTTTCAATATTATTATAAAAGTTGTTAATAATCGATACAGTACATTATAGACCCTGTGGGGCACAGTAATTAGAAGCGAGGAGGACGTCGATCTTTAAATTTTCATAAAGATTTCAATAATTCAATTTCATCAATGTAATTAAATTCTAATTAAAAACCAAATTAATTTAATGACTGGTGATTTTTTTTGTTTCCATATGTTTTATTTTAATTTAATGCAATTTAATGTAGATGTTCATATTTTTTTGTTTTGTGTTCATATTTCCATTCCTGGTTTTCAATTTTCGCCCACAACTATACACTCTTAAATCAAGAAAAAAAAATGAATATCAAGTCGTTAATAGAAAAACGTATAATTTAAATATTTCGACTAATACATATCCAATACAATTATAATTACTTAATAAGTATAGAATTATATTGCATCAAAGCCAATGACCATCATTAGGGTTACTAGACTTATGAAATATCATCAAATAAATCCTTAAAAATCAATTAATTAATTACGATTTACTAAATGCCATAATAATAATATTATTATCTATCTCTATCTATCCTATTTAAGAGCTCCGCTCTTGTCGGTGGAGTTCTTGCCACTCACTACGATTTTCAGCGAGTCTCTTCACCTCTTGATACGACACGACACCAACTCCTTCCTTGATCTGCCTGATGTAACTATGTCTCGGTCTTCCTCTACCCCTCCTTCCTTCTATCTTACCTTCTTATTAATATTATTATAATCGACATTAAATAATTAATTTTTATTTGTACAGAGGAATAACACCTGAGTCCTCAGGAATGGCAACGCATGGGGGGTATCATGGGCGAAACAGTATACTCTGTTATGTCCATGGCACTGCTCATGTCTATAGGCGACGGTTACCACTTTCCATCAGGTGGGCCGTCAGCTTGTTTGCCATTCTAAGTTGCATAAAAAAAGAACATTTCCTTAACGGAGAAGAAGTAAATTAACAAAATAATTATATAAATGTACAATAATAATTATCATCAGAACGTCATCTGTGCTTTTGTACTGAAAAAAAATACTTTTTTTCGGTTAAATGGTCGGTTACAGTAGTGAAATAATTAGGTACGAACGCATTGAGTTTAGAATAGCGATGCATGAGGAATATCACGTATTCACTTTAGGACACCCAAATGCCACCGTCTATGTTGTTAGGGGGGGGGGAGGGATTGTTAGTAAAGAAGACATTAATTCTCATTATAGCAATTAACCCTGTCGAATCGACTTCCGCGCGGTTACCCCAAAAACCATCATGATTATTTCTTGTTGAATCTGTCACAATGGGCTAACTGACCTAGTTTCATCCTCACCTGTCACCACTCACTGGTGCCACTTAGCGCGGGCTGAGTTACCAAAATCATCCACTAAACCCTAATTGTCACCACATCTATGTCTGTCCAATCTATTTTGAGCCAAAATACGTGATATTTAATAAATAATTACAATTTCTATTTTGGGAATAAAATTTTACACAGAAAGCTTTTCGCTCGGTACTTCACGCTTAGACTAGTAGTAGAAAAACCTATGGAACAGACCAATTTTTATCTAGAATTCGTAGTTACCTATCGAGATACATTAATATAAACATACATTAATTTTGAAGTTAAATCTTTAGGGGCATAACTGTAAAAAGCGCAAACAATTTGGTAGAGTAGTTTTTGTGCAATCCCGTAAGAAACGTACTGACCGACGGACGAAAATTGTAAAAATAATTGTTGTAGCTTCTACTGCTCCTATTAAGACTCCTCATTTTTTCCCCCTCTTAAATGTCTTCCATGTACAGACATCGTCTACTTATAATTTTATTATATTAGTAAGATATAGGTGAGATTATTGTTGGGTTTAAAATAAAAAACTATATTCTATAATTTGTTTTTTGTCAAAAAAAAGTTATAACAGACACTAAGTGCTATTTTTCTAATTAGCCAACTCACAAAAAAGCGAGTTCTTAATTAGATTGTTTTTTTTATAATTTTTTTTTTATTATTGATATGTTACGTGACATATGCTATCTTTCAACAGACTTCTAGAAAGAGCAAGCTTTTAATTCGTTTGTATTTTTTTTTGTTTGTTACATCATAACTCCGTCAGTTGTAAACCGATTTGGATTTTATCAAAATCGATTCAATTGTTTAGTTTTAAAATAATTTTTTTTTTCCACAAACGAAATTTATTTTGTGAAACACAACCTTAATTGCAATTACTCATATGTTAATTCCATATAAATACGGTAACCCCGTTTACCATCAGACGGACCGTATGCTTGTTTGCCACTATAGTAGTATAAAAAAGTCAATACGGCTATAATAGGTATGTATGTACTTTATACATTTGTAATACATTATTCAGTCATCGCCTTCGTTTTCATTATATTCATAAAAAGTAGTGACATTTTCCCATAAGATATAATTTTAATTGTGTTCCATTATTAATAAATCAGTATGCTTTCATCCCCATATAAGGCAAACCTCGCTCTTCTCAATACGATAAATTATAACAATGAGCTACGTAACTACAGACAGCATTACGCCATCAATATAAATAAGTGGGGGGAAAGGGATTGTTAGTAATGGAGACTGAGAATCCCATTGCTAGCAATATATCCAGCCAGGTCGACCTCGCGGTTCCCCTTGAAACTATCATGGTTAATTCCTCAAGAATTCTTCATGATGGACTAACTGGCCTGTTTTCATTCTCATCGACCACCCTTCACTGGTGCTCCGCCAGCGTATCCCGTTAGCGGAGGCGGGGTTACCATACCATTTCCATCCATCAAAAAAAAATATAAATAAGTAAACATTATAATTCTAAACTTTCTATTTTTGTATTCAAAATCTTATAAAATCCATTTTAAAGCTTGCTGGTAATCAATTGAGCTGAAGTTTAGAATTCATATTTGGTATGGTTTTCAAACTAATTATATGGTACTATGTAATTGACTTTACGATTGAGATGGAAGATGACCATAAAAAGTCCTAAATTTAAAAAAATAAAGCAAAATAACCCCATCGTATTTTGTGACATATTCTTACCATAGCCTTGGGTTAAACTATGAAGTAATCTATGCTTAACCATTCTTTGCATGATTTTTTTATTGGTGAAATAAATCAAGGTGATATAATTCATATTCAAAATAAAAAAAAAATATTAAAAAATAAATTTGACAGCTATGTTTTTTTTTCTGCAATGAACATTAAAAAGGTATCCAGACACGATCAACTTAAAGTGAACTTGTTCTTTTATATAATTTTTGGGTATTCAATGATATGATGGAAATTTCCAGCATTATGCAAAGAAGGGTTAATATATAATAATATAATAGTGAAGCTATCTCAATGACGGTGATGCCTGTGATAGCGAATAATTGAATTGTATTCCTGAATAATAAATTTATGAAAATAAAAGTAAAATAATTATTAATATTATAATAATAATCAAACACTAATCAGACCTTCTAATACGTATTTACATGATGCTATAATATCAAATAAAATTATGTATATTTATTAACATAAATATTATTTGATATATTTTTAAAAGAATTATTAACATTGTTTCAATCAATATACTTATATATTTTTTTTATTTTATTTATTTATTTTTAGATAACTTGGATCCAATTTATGTTAGTAAGTGTACTTAAAAACTATATAAAAATATACTATATACTTGGATCTGTATACTTACCGTGTTTCTTGCAAATAAATATTCTTTCATTCGTAAAAGGTTCGAGTGTAAATATCATAGATATCACAACGTATTCCATGATACACTTTGACACCCATGTGATATCATGTCCATGGCTCCATATTGCCGTTCTTATAACATACATATCGGCTTTTTACTAAGTACGTAAAGTAAAACGTACTAAATCTGTAGCAGATACATATTATATGCTAGTACTAATCTATATAAATATAAGTAATAGATTAAATGTAGCGGGAAAATATTTTATTATATATTCTTTATTGCACTTGAAAATTACATTGTTAATGCATTTATAAATATTGTGAGCAAGGGTGGACTTATCTCTGACAGAGATCTCTTCCAGTCAACCCAATGCAGTTAGAAAGCATGTTGTTAGCGGGCAGCTGAAGTGCTACAACTATTAATATTTAGAGTACATAAACAAATATACAGTTAAATAAAATATTAAGGTATATAATAAAATATTACATAAATACATATACTATATATAAATATAATACCTACCTACTTGTGCAATAGATGTTAAAATAAATTAATATACTACCTATTTTTTTGAAAGAAAGAAATATTTTTATTCAATTATACTTAAAAATTTTGTTCTGGTAAACTTTAACTCGTCATAGTGCGGCTAGCGGTTGAAGGATGAATTAGTTTCCCTTCAAATGCTAGAACTGGAAAGCTGCTCTTCGCATTCATAAACCAACTGTCGATCTAAACTAACATATGTTGTTAGTTATGTGACTCAGGACCTACTACGAAATGTTTTCCGAAATTTCTAAGCCAAACGAAACATAAATTTGATGTTAAAAATACATGATATATAAAGTTTTAAAATTTAAAAATATAGTTCCTTTGAGTTTTTATTAAGCTTTATTTACTGGGCCGATTTTAATTTGAACAAAAATACGAAATAAATTTCGAAAATTTCGATTTTCATTTGACCCCCTTATTTAGGCCATGACGCATCCGTACTGGCATAGCTAGTTTCCTAGTACTATGGGACTTCTAATGTGTAGTCATTCCTGAGGACTACTAGACTTTAGGAATGATAACATGAGTACTGTGGGCATAATAGTGGATTCTGTAAAGATCATGGTGCTGTTCATGTCTGTATACGATGCTTACCTCTTTCCAGCAATTTGTTCGCCGTGTAATTTTAGGTAGTTTTTTTTTATACAACTTAGAATGGCAAACAAGCTGAGGGCCCACCTGATAGAAAGTGGTAACCGTCGCGTATAGACATGAGCAGTACCATGGACATAACATTCCATAAAAAATTGTACATTCTCACCACAGGTTAATCACTGTATACAATATACATGTCTGATCACAAGATTCTGTGAATATAAGTCCATCTTCACAGAACCTTGTGACTCGTGTCAATTAATCAAAAAATTAAAGCGAAAGTGGCTACGCAACGCTATTCCGCTCATGCGCAGTGGCAGTACACTTCATATTTATGTATATATATTAACTCTTGTTTTTTCTCATGAACTCTTACCAAAGGTACCTATCATCATTATATTGATATAACCGTTATCTGGCCACTATTAAACATATGCCTCCACCATAGACTATCATAAGGAACAGGACCGATCCTTATGGTAGTTTACCGTTAGGGCGATTTTCCAGTAGTTTTCACACTTGCCAGACGATGGTGCCTATATTTGACGTTATTTTCTGCTTAGTGAATTTTAAAATATTTTGTAATTGTTGTTGTCTTCAGGTATGCGAGGTGTACAAACTACACAGAGAAACGTTCCACCTGACGGTGGATTATATTGACAGGTACCTCAGTAATACAGAAGACGTTCAAAAGGGCCGACTGCAACTTATTGGTATGTATTGTATCATATTTAAATTTTTAATTATTGTATATCAGTTACTGGCACTTGCCCGGAATTTCTTGCGCGTGGATTATAGACGTAGGAAAGGTAATGAAATAGACTACTTCTAGATGAGTTCAACCTTCAGAATCATGTTAAAACTGCATTCAGTTGCCATTCTAAGTTGTATTAAAAAAAAAAAGATCAAGTTGATACAAAAGTTTTTGTATGATGCCAGAGCATAAATATACAATATTTACCGTCAGACGAAAATTAAAAAGTTTCTTTTTTATTATTATTCTTATTTTTTATTCTTCATATAACATTCTCTTAAATATCTCCTATGTATAGACACTATAAATAAAAATCCAGATAACGAAGCCAAATAACAAAGATGTAGTTCCCCGTAGCCTGCATGGCTTCCTTGGTGATGCAAGCGTCCATGGGCTAAGATAACATGATGAGGTGTCATGTGTCTTATGTGCTTACTTATTATAATAACCAATTTCTAGAATAGAATAGAATTTTATTGCTAACTGTGTACATACATATAGCAGTAACCATTGCTTTGGATTTGAGATCAGTATCAACAGTTATACCCTATCGGGCATGCAACAATTTAAGAACAGGTAATTATATTAACATCGAAACATTACTTGATTACAAATAAATATGAAACATTATACAATACAATTAACAAGACAAAGAATAATCATAACCAAATTAAAATAAAATAAACATAATTTCGCTTACATGTCAATTATTATTAATTATTAATTTAATGAGTTTTAAGATTAAAGTATTCATTTAAATTATAAAAAACATTATCAAAAAGCCAGGCTTTGAGTTTAATTTTAAACATATGCTTATTCTGACATTTAATGTTTAAGGGAAGATGATTAAATACTTTAATACCCATTACAATTGCACTCCTTCCATATGTATAACTATTTATTGTTGGTAGACAAATATCATATTTGTATTTATTACGTAAATTATTTCGAATATCGGATTTATTAATCATATTATTATTAACAAAAACACACAATTCCATAATATATATGTTAGTCAGGCTGAGATATTTTTCATTTTTAAATATATTTCTTAAAGTCTCATCTGAATACATATTATAAATAATACGTAGACATTTCTTTTGAAGTAGAAAAGTCGATGCAACATCTACAGAATTTCCCCAATATATAATTCCGTATGTTAGTAAAGGGTACACATTACCAAAATAAGCGGACCGAGCAACAGTAGGCGAAGAGTTTTCCACTAGTATAGAAAGAGCATAACAATAACTTGATATCTTTTTATTCACTTTATCTATATGCGATTTCCAATTTAGATGACAATCTATGGTAACACCTAAAAAGTTATGTTCGTTAACTTCCTCGACTGTTGTATTTGAATGATGGATTTTCAATTTTAAAGAATTATTTTTATAGTTGCGAAATTGAATAAATTTTGTTTTCTTAAAATCTATCACGTAGCATGCTAAAAAATATAAATAAATAACCGTTTATGGTAAATCTAATCTCGTCTCAAAAAGCCGTATACTTATTTGAAAAAAAAAAACAAGGATTTTCAAAAGAGGATATCATTTAGCATTTCAGCTGTCCTTTATACCTAGTTCAACATCGGAAATAATCACTAACAGATTTCACTTATCTATTATATATTTACTCACTATTATCTGCAAATAGGTTCCAAGTCTCTCTTTTTATTTAAGACTTTCCTCTTGTCGGTGCAACAATTTTATTCATTTTCTTCCAGCCAGCTCTATCCCAGGCCGTATCTTTGACCTCCCTAAACGGTATGACATCTAGTCTTTTCTTTATCTGTCCCATGTAGTTATTCCTCGGTCTTCCCTCTACCTCATTTGCCCTCTATTTTTCCTTCTACTATGCTCTTTAAAAAACCGTCAAGTCGTATAATGTGGCCTAACATTTTGTCTTTTCTATTCTCTATTGTTTTTATTAATGTTCTTTTCTTACTCACACTTTTCAAGACTTCCTCGTATGTTACTTTTTCTCTCCATCTTATCCTTTCCTCCTCCATGTCCATATTTCGAATGCCTCAAGCTTCTTTCTTTCCTTTTGCGTCATTGTCCATGTTTCACACCCAAATAAATATGCTCTAAATGTAAGTTTTTATAAATTTCTTGCGGTTTATTTTTGATTAGATTCCAAGTAAATGGCGTAAAATTTTTTGATCTAACTTTATAGTACAATTACATAAACATGTTGGCAAAGTGAGGTTTTCGAATCTTTTTTTATAATTATCAGGTATTTGATTACACTACTAAGCAGCATGAGTGACTGAATATAGCATTCCCATTAATCATATCAAAAATACTTCTCGTAATTTTGCCATCGAAATAGAGAGAAGTATTGAAATGTAAAAAATTTTTAATTTGTACGTAGTAATAGGAAGTGTTTCTTTCGGTTCGTGTACATAGCACATAATCCTTGTTAAAAAAAAATGTATAATCATAATAGCCAATTTTATTATCGTCCCTTTTGCTCCATCCATGTGATTGATCCATGTGGCCAAAATAGTTCCTTAGCAATGGACAATTGACGGCTGAAAACGTGATAAGTGGTAAGGGCTCTGGCCGTAAGAGAAAATTACTAACCGACAATTTATTATCCCATTTAGATGAGTTATTATAATATGTTTTTCTCAAATACGCTTCATATCTGTCCTGTTATTTAAAAATGGAATGACCTTTTACTTCAAACTTGGCTACCAAGGAGGTAACTAATAAAAGGTTTTATTTAAATTTCGAACTGGCTTGCAAATAGAAAGCTGTTTATTGAAAAAAAAAAACAGGGGAACATTATGGCGCGTGAAAAATTATTATTGTTCGTTATTCGTAATTGAACTTAAAAAGTAAAATTGTGTTTTTGATTTACGCGAATTGTTTGAGAAAAGTACTATACAAGCCACAACTAGGCATTGATAGACTCACGTATTTGCACGTTCGTCCATCAATGCCTCAGTTGCTGGCCGCTGCAGTAATGTACTATAATCAGATGACTATACTCGTATAATAGATGCCAATGACGTCTCCTATTTCAGGTATAACATGCCTATTCATCGCCGCGAAAGTAGAAGAAGTATACCCACCGAAAATAAGCGAGTTCGCTTATGTGACTGACGGTGCATGCACCACAGAGGAGATTCTTCTAGAAGAGCTGCTAATCCTCAAGATACTGTCGTGGAGTATTACTCCGATAACCATAAACAGCTGGCTGAACATATACATGCAGTTAGCCAGCGAGGGTCGCAGCGCCAAGAGGCGGCTGGTCGGCGAAAGTGATATTGGTGCAAACGCTCTCAGAGGCTACACGTTCGTGTTCCCCCAGTACTCGTCGCTCGAGTTTGTGATATGTGGACAGTTGATAGACTTGGCAGTGTTACATGTGGATGTAAATATGTTCCCTTCCAGTGTGGTCGCGGCCGCTACCATAGCGCATTCGTTCAGTAAGGAGCTAGCTGTAAGGGTATCAGGTTTGTAAATATGTTGTCTTAACGAATTATTAATGATTTGATAATCAAATGTAAATATTAAAATTGTACATTCCAGTCTAATGGACAGCTGATTGTTTGCAAACTGGCTGGATATAGTATAGAATAAACACATTTGTGTCATTAAGAAAAATTATTTGAACAGTTATATCTATCACCAATATGGATTTTAAAAATACTTTAATATTTACGAAGTGATACACACTGCACTGTAGGTACAATATATGCTGTTTGTACGGGTTATGCATGCTAGCAATCAGTCTCTGCCTAGGTTACCTTTTTGATGTCCAACTATGTACATGGCGTTATGATCAAATTTCATCGTTTGAATTTAAAGCACGCTTGGTATTCGAACGTGCGTTTGCACCTAATTTCTATACTAAGTTACTTTGGTCATTGTAGTGTGGTTTTTTTTTTTCAAATCCATATGCAAAGGTAAATCACAATAGATGTTTTACCGGATATAATACACGGAAGATCCGTTGATGAACCGTAAAAGATTTCTCGCTCTCTGTCTGATCGCCAAAATCAATATTGTTGCACATTTATACCACACTCGGAGGTGGGTTCGTGACATTGGGCGTAATAGGTGCTGGACACCAAAACATATCCGTTAATGTGAAGTTAACAGTAGCACGCATCTAGGAACAAGGTGCCCAATACTAATATTTTATGAGAGATAATGGAATGGTAACAGTATACGCTGGCGGAGCACTAATGAGAGATGATAGGTGAGGATAAAAAGGCAGCTAGAATTAAGCACGACGGTGTCTTTTAATGGATGATAATGGAATGGTAACTCTACCCGCGCTATCGGTATACACCGGCGGGGCACCAGTGAAGGATGATAGGTGAGGATGCAGCAGGTCAGTTAGCCCATCGTGATGAATTCAACTAGAATTAAACACTATGGTTTCTAAGGGGAACCACGTGGAGGTCGACCTAATAGGGCATATTGCTAGCAATAGGGCTGTAAAACTCCATTGCCAACAATCCCTTTCCCCCCAAGCACGACGGTCTCCGGGCGTATCGGTAGCGTAACGAGCGGCGTGTGTTGGTGTGCGGCAGGGTACGCGTGGGAGGCGGTGGCGGCGTGCTGGGCGTGGCTGGCGCCGTTCGCGGCGGCGGTGCGCGCGGCGGGCGGCGTGCGCGTGGTGCGCGGCGGCGACGGCGAGTTCGTGCAGCGCGCCGCCGGCCTGCACCTCATCTGCCCCGACCTCAATCTCGACGAGAGCCACCGCATACAGTCGCACAACGTCACGCTCGACATGTTTGTGAGTACCGCCGCGCAGCACCGGCCTCGGCATCATCACTATATCGACCTTGAACTGTCCTGTGCTGAACATGAGCCTTCCCCTTGAGAGGTTTTGCCAGTAATTGCCACGCTTGGCAGGCGGATTGGTAACCGCAGATTAGGCTTTAGAGATGACCAGAGGGAGACTTTGTACAAAAGTCGATTGATTGAATACCTCTATTCCATTCGTGTTTCTACCGTGAAGCAGTTGTTTGCATGGCTGTGTTTCGGTTTGAAGGGTGGGATATGGCGTGAATTTACAGGGTACAGAGAAATAACATCCGAGTCCTCAGGAATGGCAATGAATGAGGGGTATCATGGGCGCAACAGTACACTTTGTTGTGTCCATGGTGCTGCTCATGTCTATAAGCGACAGTTATCACTTTCCATCAGGTGGGCTGTCAGCTTGTTTGCCATTCTAAGTTGTATAAAAAATAATGTTTTAAAAGGGACCCTGTTGCCCATCCCTCGCTCTCCTATAGTTGTTTCTCACGACACCTACGGGAAAGGAAGGAGTGGCCTATTCTATGCCAGGATCACACGTCGGCAGTACCGCCGACGTGTGGTCCTGGCACCTGGATATGCCAGTCGAATTACAGGCTACGGGGACGTAACAACTTAATCAAAACAAGGATTTTTTTTGTAAATACCGAATACAAACAGTACATTGAGAAACAGATATGATAGCGATTTCTTTAAAAAAAAATCTAATAGTATTCTATTATTTACTACTGCAAAACTACAGACTCTTCACCGTTATTCAGCTTATACTGGTTTTGGTCCTTCAAGCCGGATTTAATCAAATAATTTAATATGTAATGTCGCATAATAACCTTTCATCATAGCATTGCGGTGTACGTTGAACCACAGCAAATAATACAGTCAAACTTCTTACATTATAGGATACATTCTGGATCTTTATATAAAATATCTATGTCTATATTTTATATTTTAAATTACTGTCTACCAAAATTCATTTAAATTCGTGCAGTAGTTTTTGCGTGATAAAGTATCATATAATAATAGGTAAGATCAATAATATTATGACTTCCGATGACTTTTTTTTTTCAGTTTTAAATTATAATTAACTTATGCATCATATCATTTTATCAACAGGACAAGGTATACCAGCAACTCCTAGAACAATCTACGACACAAGGTGACGCCGGTGCGTCCACATCACAGGACACAAATCACGTGTTCCCGCCAACGCCTCCGCAATCCGACCAGAAGAGTCCCAAGACACCGTCGACGAAGACGCCGTCCACGAGGCATCAATCAGTACCTGATCCTCATTCAGAGGTAGAATGATTGTGGTCTAAATATTGAATTCTTTATTTGTTGTTATAATATTGTTATAATGTTAAGATTGCTCATTAATTCTACGGGGTGTAACCAGAAAGATAGAACGACCTAAAACTTTTTATATAGTATTTATAGAAGGAGGGACGACTGAGGGAGACTTTGTACAAAAGTCGATTGCTTGGGTACCTCTGTCCCATTCGTGTTTTAACCGCGAGCAGTTGTGTTTGCATGGCTGTGTTTCAGTTTGAAGGGTGGGATATGGCGTAAATTTACATGAGCAGTTCATGTCTATAGGCGACGGTTACCACTTTCCATCAGGTGGGCCGTCAGCTTGTTTGCCATTCTAAGTTGTATAAAAAAAAAACTCCCAGCTGCACTATTTCCAAACAGATACGGCATTGAAACGTTCAAGAAAAGTGCATATTCCTTCTTAAAAAGCCGGAAACGAACCTGCAATCTTTCTAATGTTGCTGGTGTAAACACTATCAGGGCGGCGGTAATCACTTACTATCATGTGAACCGCATGGTCCTCTGCCCCCTATGTTACAAAGAAACGCTAATATAAAAATAACACGCGACTTCTGTTAGGTCGCAATGTACAAAGATATTTTTTCTGTTACGATGCTTGTTTATTAAGGAATAGTTTAATACTAACGTAGGTTTTAGTATCATTGTATCCTTTCAGTTACACCCTACGCATTTACTCTCATCATCTTGTATACAATATACAATCATCATCTCTAGAAACCGCCACATTACAATATATTTATTACTGTAAATAGCTTAAGCCATATACGTGGTGCAGAAAGTTAACAAAACTACAAACAATATGTTTCATTACACACTAAACTGTTAAGCCGCACTTAGTCTGTAATGATTGCCAATGCAAAAAAAAAAACATTAAATCAAGTTATAAGTTTTCGTTGACATCAGCGCCGCTGGTACACCTCGAACTTTACACTATAACATGTATATACATAGCATGCATAATATATATATACAGAATTCGAATATTAAACAGCATATTCATATTTCGAATTAATTTCAGCCGAAAAATAAATAAAAATTTTGTTTACACAAACGGCCAAAACAAATCACTATAGTGCCAAATCTCAAAGGATGGCAGTTGCCATGTGTTGTCTAGATTATAATTTCTTATTTTAAATAGTGAAAAAAAAAATGCATTTCTTAACTACAACTTTTATCATCCTATGCAATATAATAATCTGTATTGCTCAAGGTGTTTTTTTTTTACAATTCATATAATAAATATATCAGTCTGTAATGTTCACTTTAATTTAAAAACACTAATAATGCATGAATTGGTTTATTTAATACGTGTGAAGTGTTGGCAATTAACAAACTGACCAAACTAATTGCTTAGTTTTTATGCCAAACTCACCACAATGTAATTAAAGTATAACTTACAGCCTGATATAGAAATATAGTATTATTGTAATCTTTATTGTTGTGAACACCAATTGACCTGAGTATATACAGCATCGTTCATCATGAATAAACAAGCAATTATTGTCCTTATTTACAGATAATAGGGCATATTGTGAACTGTCACTTCCTATCTATAAAACTTATATTTGAGCTGTATATTAGTGGGAAATAATTATTCTAAGTAGATACCAGTCAACTAAATTTTTAATAGATTTCAGTCGTACCTACAATAAATTTACTTCTTAATGGTCCGTAACATAATACTTATATATTTTTTATTGCACTTGAACAAAAGATACAGCGATTAGTTTAACAACTTGTTAACAAGGGTGGTTGTTAGCAACTTATGCCAAACTATCGATTTAAAATTTTAATTTTAGAGATACGTTTAGAGAATGGCTATGTAGACTCGACCACAGTAGTACTTTCTTTCATTCCAGACAAATTTGATAATATTGAAGACTAGGCAGCATGGTCTCCGACCTTAGCCTGTTCCACAACGGAACAAACGTACTAAAAAAAAAGTACTTTCTATTAATGTCAAAATTTTACACTCAGATAAACAGAAAACAGAAGCACGTTATATACAAAACAACTGGATTACTCTATTTATAATTTACTCCGACGAGTTTTAATTCGTTGATTTGAATTATTAGTGAGATCAATTAAATTTAAATTGAAAAATAAAATTTATCAAAATTAAATTAAAATATTTAAACACTGCACTAACTCAATTTACAAACAAATAGTAGGATACTTGCATGCCCACTTTGCATAAGTACACTCAACATTACAGTGCAACTCGACATCTGTACATATTATTACAGAACAGTGATGAGAAACCGCGCAGTGAAAATTCACTGTGCGCATGAGCTAAATTATTATTTATTTTTATTATAACGTTTGACAATATACTTGTATTCAATATTGATGTTTAAACTCGCATAAACATATTTAAAAAAAAAAAAAACAATTTTATCTTGTGTACAGCATTTATTCAACTTTCAAAAAAAGTGAGTTACAGAATTGCTTAAGTATCCCCCCATACGGGTCGAGCCTGTATCCGGGAAACCTTTTAAATTACATTTATATTTTCAAATGTATTTAGTAATGTAATCAAGCTAAACTTATCTCTATTTAAGGCGTAAGAACGTGAAATATTAATTAAACCCATTTCCTTTTAAATAACGACTGTTATGTTCTACATACAATGCATACAACCAGTCATTTACTGAGTGATAAATTTACTAAGAAATTATATCCTTTTACTCGCAAGAAATTTCAACAACTAAATATCAATTTATAATATAACTTATCTACATAGAATTAATTCACAAAACAACAAGAAACTTTCTCGATATCATAAAATCACTTGATAATATTACCTGTTATTAACTAGTATGCATTGAACATTACGTTTATGCATTGACGCTTAAACATTGTTCCTATATAATTAGGATTTAATGAAATAAGTACATTTATAGTATTTTTATATGAAGAAAGTATGTTTCGACTTAAACTAGTGCGTGTGCCAGCACTAACTTAGTTTTTAGTAGTTATAATATGTGAATACACCGGTGTGTCAACATTCCATACTTAATATAACGCATCTATATTGATAAGTGTCGTTGTCACATATCGTTTCGTTTGTATAAAAAAATCTAAGAGAAAGTTTTCCTCGTTTTTTTTTTTTTTTTTTAATATCATTTTATACCACCTATGTATATAAATAATAATAAGTGTGCATTAACAATCCAATCGCTGTGAATCAATGTTTTGTTTTGTTCATATTTTCTCTATCTTATCAAAATTTTACTAATTTATAATCATTTGTATTTTTTTCTTTAGTCATACATAAATCATTACAATACATAAGGGACTGTACTGTGAATTAAATATACGCATCAACAATTTATAAGTAACCTTTTTAAGTGAGCAAATACACATAAAAACTGTAAATTAATTAAAAGCTCACCTTCAATCAAATATTTTAACGTTCTACACAAAGGACACAAGGATCTTATGTCAAAATAGAATCGATGTTAATTTAATTGTTTTATCGTTAATAAACTTAGTTCTTCACTCTTTCTAAATTAATTTTGTAAATATTAAATAATTATAATATTTTATATAATTTATTGGTTGATGTGATTAATAAATGAACAAAGTAAGTTCATGAGACTGATTAACTACGGACTTTCGAGTCAGATGAAAATCCTTATAAAATTTGAATTTAGAACATTTCTATTTGTAATGGCTTATAAACAATATTTTAACCAAAGACTCGTGGCTGACTCGAAAATATATTAGTAGAATTATTGCCTGTAATCACATAGATTGAATATACAACTATATGCATGGTTTAATTTATTTTTTAAATTAGTTCTCCACCTCTTGTATCACTCGCTTATGATATTATCTATCGTCTTGAGAAATACTATTGACTTGTCCACAGATATGTTTGATGTTTTACTTAAATATAAATAAATTTATGTAATTGTTTCAGAATTGTAAAAATATTTTGTGAAATTTTTAAGCCTGAAAGACGTAAAAAGTTTTATAATTTTAGCTGTATAGCATGAACTTTATTTTTATGCAGTCCAATTAATTTAAAATGTATATATATATATATACATTTTAAATTAATTGGACTGCATAAAAATATGTTTTACCTATTTTTTACTATACACAATATGTTTTACCTCTGCAGTGTCTATAACGCGGACATGGATTGATTCAAGTTTCTACGTGTAAATAAAGATCATTTTATATGCTAAGACGGCTTAAATATAATCTGTTGAAGATATCAAACAATTTAATTTTATCAATGCTTCTACGCACTTATCTATATAGAGTAACCGCTCCCGACAGAAAACTTCACAAATCGTTTGAACTAATTTTAAAATGTCGCCAAGAACTATATAAATATGTCAATCACTCTCGATATACCTTCATCATCATTATTTCAGTCATTATTCGTCCACTGCTGGACATAAGCCTCCTCCATAGATTGGCATAAAGAACGGTCCTGAGCCACCTGCATCCAGATTCCCTGCAATGCATTTCAGGTCGTCACTCCATGTAGTGGGGGGGGGGTCCTATATATTTTAAATATGTTTTTTAAATAATTCATTTATATTCCAACAAATTTTTCGTTCTACTTTCCTAAGTTTCACTAATTTTCTGGTTCAGTTATTGCTCTAAAGTTTTATAGACAATTCTAAAGCGTAATTTTTCAAAAAGGTCTCTGAAATTGGATCTCCCACGCCACTTATTTAGGTGCATCGTATAAACCAAGGTCACTGATGCGTCTTATATTGCTATTAGAGTAGACATTTGAACAATCCATGTGTGCCGGTTAAGATTATTTGATTCACCACTTCTATTGGCTAATGGCAGATGCATTTTCATGTTTGTCTCTGCCGTTTTAAGCAGCTGTTCATAGTTAGTATATGAAAAAAAAAACAGTATTCTGATACGTTCTACAGTTGAATTATTTCGTTATATGTTCCTATAAGCACACAGAAATTTTGTCGTCGGCTTACACCATGCTACACGTTGTTATCAATTGGTGGTATTGTTTTCATGGTTATAGTGGATTGATAGATTTATACTTAGGTGAAAAACATTACGCTTATGGTAAATAATTACATTTACCTTATAGGTACATAAGATTTAGATGAATTAGCGTGAACTGAAAACTAACATTAACCGATGCGGATATTGTAAATATAGTAAGAGCTAGCATTACAAAGCAAAATTGTCTTGAAAATAGTCAGTGTTGTAAAGCTAAGGAGTTTTTGCACCATTAGCGAATTGATCGGTTAGACCTCGCCCTCATTTTGTAAGGAAAACTTGTCGGGGACGATGTCTAACTAAAAAATTACTGTAGACACGGGTTTTCTTTATATACATATATAATACTTCCATCATATCGTTGTCAATTTATTATTTATATATTTTTTTTTCACAACAAATTAGTTTTACAATGCACCGGCTGTAAATTTTCATCACAAAGTTACATGATTTTGTATATTTTGCTGGCTTTAGTTTATTAGGAATAAGTTATTTTTTTTTATATAAATCTAATAAACTAATATAAAAAAGAATATGTGTTAGCAATTATTACTTTTTCAATTGAATTCCAAGAAATGGTGTGTGAGTGATCTCATGGACAGTTCAATGGGAAACCTTATGGGACTGATTATAATTTTTTTTTGTATAACTGTTGTATTTTCATTTGTGCAATAAACATACATTTATCACATTTTGTATGATTACTGCTAATGTCGTGCGAGTATTGAATAAATGGTATCAATGAATTTTTAAATTGCTTTTGTTTGTCTTTCCTGACCCTTTATTCCGTTCTTTCAAAGCCCCAGCCACACTGAGGAACCAGATGTAATAATCCGCTTGTATAACGGATTGTGTTCTAAAGGATTGTTTGAAATGATGCCTACAGTCGCCTTTTATCATCGCACCGATCGCCATCGACAGGGAACTCATCCTCACACGCTTGAACCTAAATGGTCACGTACGGTACGATTTTAAAGAAATTTTCTCCCACGAACGTTCAGGCTGTGGAATGAGCTCCCTACCAAGGTTTTCCTTAGAGACTACAGTATGGGGTCCTTCAAAAAGGGTATATTAAGGTATCTTCAGTGTTAGCAACGCGTTCGTGACACGCCTAGTGTTGTAGGCGTTCATAGGCTACAGTGACCGTTTATCATCAGACGGGCTGTATGCTTCTTTGTGTATGTATGTACCTTTGTGGTATAAAAAAAATATTTTCTCACCACAAACAAAGAATTTACTATAACCTGCAAAACATTTTAACATAAATGATAAAGGAATAAACCACGTTCACCTTAACGCAGGTAATTGCAGTGACTTGATTCTTTAGTTCACACTGAACTACAGAGCAGCTAACAAACCAGAGGAAATATGTGTACCTCGCATAATCAACGCTCATGAAGTCGGTGAAGAGAAGCCATCCACTCAAAGAAGAAACAAAACCACCTATACATCGACGGCTCTAAGTGAGGTGAACGTAGCACTCAATTCGCAGAATAAATTTGAATCCAACATGGCGGTTTTTTTTAATGGGTGATAATGGAATGGTAGCCCCGCTTGCGCTATCGGTATACGCTGGCGGGGCACCAGTGAGGGATGACAGGCGACGATGAAAACAGGTCAGTTAGCCCATCGTGACGAATTTCACTAGAATTAACTACAATGGTTTCCAGGGGGAACCGCGTGGAGGTCGACCTGATAAGGTGTATTACTAATATAATTTCTAATATTACTAAATGTATTACAATCCCTTTCTCCCCACATGGCGGAGGTTGAACTACCCGTCTCGAATTATTTTAATTTGTTAACGATGCTTAACATCACCGATAAATTAGACTCGATCAAATAGGAGTAGTGATAACTTTTTTAATTGTATGAATAAATAAAAAATATATAACAAAATAACTTTATTATTATTCACATTATTGTACAGAATAACAATAAAACTGGTACAAATCTCACTGGATACAAAGGTATCAATGGTAACTTAAATCCACAGTAGAATTAGGGTCGCGGGGCCGCCATCCTGCAATTCAATAAGAATATTTTTAATACAGCCGGATATTTTTTTTTATTATTATTATTTGACAAAAAACACAAAGTTACAAACACAAGATACAACGGGCTCCACACTAGGCGAGACTGTATCGTAGGCACCCCACAAAGATTAACAAATCACAATGTGTTACAATAAAAAGTAATATATATATATTGGTTTTGATTTGGAAGGACTCCGTGGGCATGATTTTTATATATCTATTTTAAAAGGAACAATAAAGAATTAAAGTAGAATGTTTAGCATAAACAAAAATTAGAAACAGAATTAAACAAGAAAAATAGTACGTGACCTTATCGCTAAAGGAAGACATCTTACTTTCTGTACTCCCTTTAAAAAGAACTTAATGAAAATTTAAACAAATAATGCCTCCGACTATAAGAACGAAAGTAAAAAGTCAAAAATCGAATAATTAATTGCATTTTCTGATTGATTACTAATTTCATTTGAAGAGTTATTTCAACAGTTAACTGTCCACTGCTGGACATAATCCTTCCCCATAAAAAGAGTTTTGCCAGTAGTTGCCACGCTTGGCAGGCGGGTTGGCAACCGCAGTTAGGGTTTTAGAGATGTTTTAAGAGGGACGCTGCTGCCCATCCCTCATTTGAAGAGTGATACTATGATAATTTCAACAAAACTTGTACTACATCTGTCTATATATCCGGAAGATTTCATCAGGGGAAGTATGGCACTCTACGGCACAGCATCTCGTTTCGCCATACCTGCCCCTTTTGAATGATGTCGAAACAATTGTCAAAAACGACCAACAATCATTCATTCATTTAATATGGTCATAAAAATCCTGTTATACATTTACATTTAAAAAAAAATGAACTTTACCTTTAAAAATAATATCAGTTTTTTTTTTATGAATGATAATGGAATGGTAATCCTGCCAGAGCTAACGGTATACACTGGCGAGATACCAATGAAAGATGACAGGTGAGAATGGAAAAGCAGGTCAGTTAGCCCATCATGATGAATAGATCTGAAATTCAGCACGATGGTTTCCAGGGGGAATCGCGTGGAGGTCGACCGGACAGGGTATATTGCTAGCAATGGGACTGGTAGCCAGCATTTTCATTAAGTTGTGTTGAATCAGGTCACATCTGTGGATTTTGTGGCACTTACATGTGTATACTAATGTGCGGCCCGGCGACGACGGAGGACGCGTCCTGCGGCGTCAGGAACACAAACTGGCGGCTCTTGTTCTTGAGCGCGTGGTCGACCAACAGCTCCATCACTATCTTACGGTTCACGTTGTCCTGAACAAAAGGATTTTTTGTTTTAGAATACGAAATTTAGAATGGAATATAATGGAATAAGTACCTTAAATACATTGTCCGTTTAATATAGATCAATATGGCCCTTCACAGCATGTAATTTAAATGAATATTTCCTAAGATATTACAGATTTAAAATGTAAGGACATAGCGGTGCGGCGGTACTGGCCCGGCCGGCGGCGCGTGCCAATATAATAGCGCGTCGAAGGCCGCGCTTCGCCCTATAGTATTTTATCATGTTTATTATATCTAATGACAAAAGCTGTAAACGTTGTTTATACGGACATTCTGTAGTAGGTAGGTATATTTAGTATCAGCATTGCACCCGTGCGGAACCGGGGCGGATCGCTATTAAGGAATATTTTATAAATTATAAATCCGTAATTGGCTGCGAGTACTAAAGTCAACACTAAAATATTATTGATTGTAATAGCTGTGGATTTTATAATAATAAACAAATAAACAACACAACACTACTCACCATAAAGACATCGAACTCGTCCATGAAGTAGAACGGCAGCTCGACGCACTCCCACAGCGCCATGATGAAGGCGACGGTGGAGTAGGAGCGCTCGCCGCCCGACAGCGAGCGCAGCGACGACGCGGCGCGCCGCCCGCCCGCCTCCCGCCCCGAGCACCACACCTGCAGCACGCCGCGCCCGTGCTCCACCTCCATGCGGCCCTGCAACACGCGCCGCTCTACCGTCTCTACCCTGGGGACCACGCTCCCCGCCCGCCTCCCGCCCCGAGCACCACACCTGCAGCACGCCGCGCCCGTGCTCCACCTCCATGCGGCCCTGCAACACGCGCCGCTCTACCGTCTCTACCCTGGGGACCACGCTCCCCGCCCGCCTCCCGCCCCGAGCACCACACCTGCAGCACGCCGCGCCCGTGCTCCACCTCCATGCGGCCCTGCAACACGCGCCGCTCTACCGTCTCTACCCTGGGGACCACGCTCCCCGCCCGCCTCCCGCCCCGAGCACCACACCTGCAGCACGCCGCGCCCGTGCTCCACCTCCATGCGGCCCTGCAACACGCGCCGCTCTACCGTCTCTACCCTGGGGACCACGCTCCCCGCCCGCCTCCCGCCCCGAGCACCACACCTGCAGCACGCCGCGCCCGTGCTCCACCTCCATGCGGCCCTGCAACACGCGCCGCTCTACCGTCTCTACCCTGGGGACCACGCTCCCCGCCCGCCTCCCGCCCCGAGCACCACACCTGCAGCACGCCGCGCCCGTGCTCCACCTCCATGCGGCCCTGCAACACGCGCCGCTCTACCGTCTCTACCCTGGGGACCACGCTCCCCGCCCGCCTCCCGCCCCGAGCACCACACCTGCAGCACGCCGCGCCCGTGCTCCACCTCCATGCGGCCCTGCAACACGCGCCGCTCTACCGTCTCTACCCTGGGGACCACGCTCCCCGCCCGCCTCCCGCCCCGAGCACCACACCTGCAGCACGCCGCGCCCGTGCTCCACCTCCATGCGGCCCTGCAACACGCGCCGCTCTACCGTCTCTACCCTGGGGACCACGCTCCCCGCCCGCCTCCCGCCCCGAGCACCACACCTGCAGCACGCCGCGCCCGTGCTCCACCTCCATGCGGCCCTGCAACACGCGCCGCTCTACCGTCTCTACCCTGGGGACCACGCTCCCCGCCCGCCTCCCGCCCCGAGCACCACACCTGCAGCACGCCGCGCCCGTGCTCCACCTCCATGCGGCCCTGCAACACGCGCCGCTCTACCGTCTCTACCCTGGGGACCACGCTCCCCGCCCGCCTCCCGCCCCGAGCACCACACCTGCAGCACGCCGCGCCCGTGCTCCACCTCCATGCGGCCCTGCAACACGCGCCGCTCTACCGTCTCTACCCTGGGGACCACGCTCCCCGCCCGCCTCCCGCCCCGAGCACCACACCTGCAGCACGCCGCGCCCGTGCTCCACCTCCATGCGGCCCTGCAACACGCGCCGCTCTACCGTCTCTACCCTGGGGACCACGCTCCCCGCCCGCCTCCCGCCCCGAGCACCACACCTGCAGCGGGCTAATCGTACCACTGAACGAACACGGTGGGGCCACACAAAATCCGCATACTCGGTAAAGATCAACGGCGCAAAATGCTAAAGACTCCCGCCGGTGTTTACCACCGGATGAATGAATCAATGAAAACTTTGTTCCCTCAAAGAATTATACAGATTATAAGGATTATACTCAAAAAATTTAAAAACTTGATTACAAAAGCAAGATAAAGAGGCAACAATGGGCGTTCTTGTCGCTAAATAGCGATTTCTTCTAGACAACCTTAAAATGGAAAGGAATAATTCAAGGCGTAATAGTAGAAAATAATAAAAGACAAAGAACAAAGGGGCAAAAAGAGGCTAAAAGTAAGGTAAGCAAATAAAATTGAAATTGCACTTTGTACCTAATATTTTATTATATTTTGAGCGAGTATAACTCAAATATCATATGAAGCTAGTTTTCATTAAAACCACCTCTTTTATTATGCAACTATATGAGTATTTCAAATGATTTTAAAATTATACAAGGACATTTGTTTGTGTGTGAATTTTATATTAAAATATATCGTTTATGAATGATCAAAATGAAATCAGGCATTTGTCTAACTATTACGTTAGGTTTGATGGAAAACAATTCTTACAGAGTTAAGCTCGCCTGTTGTACATCTTTATTTTATATAAATAATAACAATGTAAATTTTATGTACAATAAATTAAATTAAAATAAATAAATTGAATACCTGCATTTATCAGACGAATATAAAATATTTAAAAAACTGACGGCAACACAATATGCAAAAAAATACAGTATAATTGAGCCTCAGAACTTTAAAATCAGTTGAAAATCAAAATACTTAAACAATATGAATAATTAATTTAATGTTATAAATTAAATTACTCACAGAATAACCACGCAAAGTCAATATAGACTGGAAACAGTACTGGACTCTTCTCGCGATGTACGTTTGCATTTTGTGACAGAAATTCAAATGCTTATCTGTTGTGGCTTTAATCTGTGAACAATCATAGATAAAATTAATTTAGTGTCTCAGAAAGTAAATAGAAAACGAAACACTCCAAGTAGTTACAGAGAATAAATATAAAATAAGGCAATATACGATTTATAGGAATAGCATCACATGAACAGCACCATGGGCATCATAGCCCATTTTGTGATTCTGTTCACATTTACGGTTGCCACTTTTCATCAGGTAGATCGTCAATTCGCCATTACATAAAAACTCACGCGTCCATTTCAAGCCCTAAATTAGACTCACGTCAGAAACGCTTTTTTTTTATTTATACAACTTAGAATGGCAAACAAGCTGACGGCCCGCCTGATGGAAAGTGGTAACCGTCGCCTATAGACATGAGCAGTACCATGGACATAACAGAGTATACTGTTTCGCCCATGATACCCCCCCATGCGTTGCCATTTCTAAGGACTCCAGTGTTATTCCTCTGTACCCAGTAAATACACGCCATATCCCACCCTTTAAACCTAAACACAGCCATGCAAACACAACTGCTTTACGATTGAAACACGAATGGAACAGAGGTGCCCAAGCAAACGACTTTTGTACAAAGTCTCCTTCTGGTACATATGACTATACAATTCCTCTGATGTTGCGGGTACTCATGGGCGGTGGCAATAGTACTCTAGTGGCGGTAGTCACATACCATCAGGTGAGCCACATGCTCGTTTGCCCCTGGTTTTAAAAAAACCGCTTGATGCCCATTCCAAGATACGAGCAGAGCTGTCAACTGTACCCAAAGACAGTCTGAAAATACATATGCGTCGTTTTTAAGGGGCTAAACCCCTCTTGAAAAATAACCTAAATTAATACTATAAAGGGAAAGTATTTAATTTTTGGTTTATAATGGATAACTCCAAAAATATTTAAGACTAAAAATTGTTTCACCTATAGAAAGCTGCCATATTACCAAGCAAACTTGAGCTGTATTTTATATTTAAAGAAACCATGCGAAGCCGGGGCTGGTGGCTAGTCTTAAAACGCCAGCAGTTGATACTAACATCATCGATAAGGTACTTGAGCTTGTCCAGCGTGTTCTTGGTGCGTTTGTACTTGCGGCCAACCTCCAACAACTTCTCGGCGACCTGCGCCTTCGTCAGACCGTCGCTACGTAACGAGTTCAGTTTCAACTGAGTCTTCTTTAGCTCGCTGGTCACGATACTTCGCTCCCTGTTCATGAAAAATGAAAAAAAAAATATATGATACGCCTCTAATTTCAGAGATAGATATTGTAATGAATCATCATCATGGGGGGGATTGCCAGTAGTCGCTACGTTTGGCAGGCGTTTTGGCAACCGTATTTAGCCGTTGGTGATGTTTTAAGAGGGACTCTGCTGTCCATTCTGCAGCTCACCGTGTCGGTCCCGGTATAGAATGGCCATCCCTCGACAATTAAGTTCCCTTAGTCACCTGTTACTACACAAAGGGAAAGCAAGAGGTGGCCACACTGCAAGTTGTAATGAATGTAACACTTGAATTGTCCGCATTTTTCAGCATAGTCAAGGAAAAAATTATTTCCTTAATTCAAAATACTACAAAAACTATTTTATTTTTTCTCAAAATACAAGTCCATGACCATGATCTCTACCGGGTACACGGCGGCGAAGTGTATGACCACTCCATCACACTAGACAGAGCAATGACCTGATATATGTTTTTTTTTATGGGTGAAAATGGTATGGTAACCCCGCCTGCGCTAATGGGATACGCTGGCGGAGCACCAGTGAAGGGTGATAGGTGAGAATGAAAACAGGCCAGTTAGCCCATCATGATGAATTCATCAAAAATTAACCATGATAGTTTTGACGTCGACCAGATTGGGTTATATTGCTAGCAATGGGATTCTCAGTCTCCATTACTAACAATCCCTTCCCCCCCCCCTGAAATGTGTTGCAGGGAGTAAGTGAATATAGGTGACTTAGGACATTTCCTTGAAACCGTCTATAGGATAGACATGTATACAGAAAACAACGGCTGAAACAATAATGATGTAAAATATACACAAGTAACAAGCATACTTGAGAAAAAAAGATATTTGCCACCACTTCCCAACTGGTAGGATATCAGCTTCTTTGCCTGTCCCAAATATAATTACTTTGAAAACAAACATTACCTCGGATTCTCGACTCTGGGACAGAGCTTGACAGCCTCGCTTATCAGTTTGTCTATGTGGGCTCTCTTCTCCTCCAATATGGCCGCCACTTGTGCCAGTTTTGACCTGTCCTGGCTCAGTTTCTGATTGTATGTCTCACGCTCAGTCAATGCCCGATCCATTTTCAATTGCTCTTGCTCTATTTCTTCCTAATCAACACCAAAAAGTACTTCATTGTAATAAAGTAATTACGGATATAAGATTGACTAGACTAATTTTTTTTTTATTTTATATTCTTTATATTTACATACATACATATGTATGTATGTAAATATGTCTCCCATTAGGGTAGGCAGAGACAATGGAACGCCAAATGCTTCGATTCAAACAATATATTAAATATTTATATATATAATAAAATAAAATTTTATATATATATATAATTTATATTTCAATTTATTGTGTGTAGTTTCTTTATTATAATTCTTAGTCATTTGTTGACCCCTGTTTGGGTGTAGTCATATATTTCTGTAAAATAAAGTTACTTTCTTTCAAATTCCAGGAAAGGTTCATGACCATTTGACTTTGTAGCAGTTGCTGTACATTCTAACCTCAACATTGTATAGGTATGTTCCTGATCAGTACTTAGTTTCTTCAACATTTCTAAATATAACATAATTTTAATATATTGTAAACTTATTTCTTGTTAATATATTAAACACATAATTACGCAAAAAAAAAAATTTTTTTTGAGGAATAAATCTGACAAGGGCTCTACAGTCATAAAAATATTTGTCGAATAAATATAACCCAGGTGGTTAAAAGATTAAGACTATTTCATTCTAGAAAACACTTCCCCAGACTATCTCATAGGTAAAAAGTGTGGGGGATACTTACATTAAGCGTCCTACAGAGAGTGGTGGCTGCTGTCAATTTGTTCTTCACCGATCGTATTTGGACATCTGACTGATCAATCTTGGCCTTGTACTGCGACTCATTTGCCGACAGTGTTTCCAGCTTCTCGGTCAGCGTGCGCAGTTTCTCTTTGGACACATTCAACTCCTCTGTCTGTTATATTGAAATATATATATATTTTTTTTCAACTGATTTAATAAGACATGCTTTATTTGACCGTATTTTTTGTATGTGTGTATGTGGTTTAATATTTATAAATCTAATAAATTAATCAGTAAATCACATGACTGGGACAAGGAGCAGTAAGCTTTTGTCTTTTTTAATCTCAAATAGTGTGTGTATACTGAATTATTAATAATTGTTTGTTAATAAACAGCCCGTATCACTGAAGATGATGTTAGGATTACAATGATACCTCATACATCGAAATCTATTCAGGTATAAAATGCTCGTAGTAGTTTTATTATTAAAAGTTTCGTAAGCACACATTGTTAAGCACGCAAGCAGGCCTCGCGCCACAACCGCGCGTGATTAAGGATCTCGAATTGATCTCGAAACTAGTCGAGCTTTCTCGATCTTATTTTACGAAGTTAAACTAGTAGTTACAAAATTAAAATATAAGTTTATAATAGATTGATGAAAGTCTGATAATGAACTATGAAAACATTAACACTCATTCATTTCACCTTTGTAAACACTTACTGCTTAATATGGAATACTTTATAAATTGTAAATACGCAACTGGCTATAAGAACTAAAAATAATACTAGAATTGTAGATTTAAGAGCTGTGGATTTCGTAATAAATAAACTCCTTAGTTTAGTAGTGGTGTAATAAGGCTGTATGCGAGCACGCACGAGCATGGTGAGGTGCGGCGCGCCGCGTAGCTCGCGTGCAGCGGCAACGGCGGCGGCGGCGGCGCGAGCTTGTTCGTCGGCGCGGTGCTTGTCCCCGAGCAGCGCTTGCAGCGCTCGCCGAGCGCTTTCCTCTCCGTCGCGCGCCTCCTTCGCCTCCTCGCTCAGCTGCCGCTCGGTGCTCTCGAGCGACCGCAGTATCGTCTCTGCTTCCTGTATTTCTGCTTGTACCTGTCTGCAATTTAACCCTTTCACAATTCATCGTAGCATTAACGCGAATACTTAAAACTTTACAGTCACGATATAAAACAGCGAAACTGTATGAAATTGTACAGAGATACTTTTAGGTTTCTATACACGTCCATGATATTATCATTATAGTGTACGGTAGCGATTAAAATCGTCAACATAATATTATATGACTATGGTGACTTGTAACACAGGTTCTTCTAAACCTACCGCAAGCACCAGTCCCTCACAAAATTGGTCTTCATATCAAATTGTACCTCATGTTGTTACTTTATTCTACCTTTTGTGAAGAGAAAATAAACCATTCATTCATTCATATATATTTTAATCTCTTAATATAGTGTGACAGCAAAATCATACGATATTCTACCATTTTAAAATTTTTTATAATTAAATCATATTTTTTTTTAAATTAGCATTCTATTATAACAACACAAGGCTGTAACCGTTACGTTTTTTGGCCCTTCGAGCCGGATAAATTTAATTTTATAATTTTAAGAAACCACCCGTTCTGTATACTGCTGACAAAACAAGTAATATGGCAATATTATCTGCAATATATTGCAGCGGCGAGATAAGACGTGTGACAGATGCACCATACCTCTTCCTCTCGGCGGTGCTGAGGTGTAGGTAGCGCACGGCGCGGGCGACGCCGCCGTAACTGCGGTAGTTGGGCGCCGGGTAGTACTCCGTCGAGTCCAGCGTCACGATCTTCGCGCAATTCTCTGGCACGTTCTCCTCCGTGTCCGATAGGCGGATCGCGTCCTCTGTCGACATGGTATACATACATTACAAATAATGTACACAGCAAATTTTTTTACATATGCAAATCAAATGCAAATTGATTTTCATTTTTTTATTTGTATATGTGTTTAAATTGTTGTGAAATAAAAATAAATAAATATAAATCTCAACATGTACTTAAACAAACATTCCAATGTGACAAATAAAGCAATATTCGCAACAACAGACTTTTACAGGTATTAATTATATAACCGACGTAAAAAGACTTATTCATGACTTTTTAGAAAACCTTATATCCCTTGGCAAGACTTCAACGGGGCAACTCTTTTCAACATTAGAATTGTATGGTTGTTAGTTGGCCCAAGCCCAGAACTAGACAGAGGCGCGAGTACCGTGTTCGGGCACGAGCAGCACGGTCTCGAGCGCGAGGTTGTCGATGAGGAAGTTGGCGACGACGTGGTCGCGCACGTCGAGCGCGTCCAGCGCCGACGAGAAGCCGCGCGCGCGCACGCAGCGGCCGCGCACGTCGTGTTGCGCCGCCAGGAACTTGCTGCACGTCACGCCCGGTTTCGCCGCGCTGCCGTACACCTGCGCACGACAATATAACTATACTATATTTTTTAAAAACTTCCATTATAGGTTAGAAGCCTCCCATTTCGTTTATTTTTAACTGATTTCGAAGGAGAATGTTCTAAATTCGTTTGTATTTTATGTTTATTACCTCGGAATTGCGTCATATATATAAACCGATTTGGAAAATTACTTTTCCCACAGAAATTTAATAAAAATTGGTTCCGTAGTTTGATTTTTAAATCAAAGTAATCCATTTTGTCACAATTAAAGTCAGATTTTTTTTTTTTGTGAAACCAATCTACTTGTTTTACGCAATTACATTACCAATCGTAAACTGATTTTAACTGTTTTTATTGTAACAGAGGTATAAGTTCTTTTTTTGTATACTTTCTGTAATAATATTAATCAGAGCCGCAATTCTTTTTTTTTTTTCGTGAAGCAAAAACCTGTCTATTACAACGCAAAATTTACTTGTAAGTACGCAATTCCGCGTTCTAAATTTAAACATATTTAAATATTAAATAGTAACAATAGTTACTATAATATGTATGAAATATCTCGGTGTTCATCAATATATGTTCACAATTAAAGCAGTTCTTTCTTGGCGGGTTTTATGAGCTGCGGCCCGCAGTGAGGGGCGAGATATTGCGACAAAAACACAGATTCTCAGTTTGAAGAAGACTTCCAGATGAAGTAGAAACAATCATTCGTAACGACATAGTAAATTCATTAAATTCCTATTGGCCATTTATATACATATATACTAATATTATTGACTTACTTGTCCCATAATCTCAAATAGTTTTCGGGAGTCTTCTGGTGAATTGACACAAAACGTCCGAATGGAGTTGCCGAGGATGTTCTCTAGAACGCCGCCCCATTCCTTCTGCTTCACTTTCAGGTAAGCACCTAAACAACAAAATACATAATATACAAATTTTAAGCCACATTCACAAGACCGAATTGATCACCGTTCATGGGTTGTTCGTTCACATTCATCAACAATGTTCGTTCATATTAATCCATAATCACTTAACCAATTTTGATGAAATTGCGTATTTCTTGTCTTTGGTCTAACTTGAGAAATAAGATTTTACATCGATATGAAAAACTGAATGTTTGCCTTCATTCATAAAACTGAGCAATTTACTAGGTGTATATACATGTACATATATACAACATATTTATATATACTTGATATATGTATGCTTAAGACAATTATGATATTGTGACATATTTAAAGTTACACAAATAATGATATAAAATGAGCATCCTTTCAATTTTGATTGAGCTGTAATGAAACGCTGTAGTGATAAGTGTGCGTACAGACCGACGGGCCCGCGCGGCGGCGCGGAGAAGTGTCCGCGCGCGGCGGCGGCGTGCACGCGCTCGCACAGCTCGGCCATGGCGGCGCCGTACACGGCCAGCGAGTCGCCGCCGCGCGACTCCAGCTCGCGCAGCTGCTGCCGCAGCTTCTCTGCGCGCAGTCAACAACAATAATAAATTAACACATGACAATATATATATATATATATATATATATATATATATATATTATTATTTTATATATTTTATTTTGTATAATTTTGGTAACATTAACATCTACCTACACTATGAAAAGATTAAATTTGTCGATTGGCACTTTTGAAAAAAACACCAAAAAAATATTTGATATCAATCTGTGAGTAAATAAGTGAATAAATTTATGATTTGTATGTGGTAAATTGGATAAAAATAATTTGATTGTAACAATTTAAATATAATACAAAAGTAATATTGATTATTGTTTATTCATGAATTGTATTGAATTTTAAATTGTATAGTAGGAATTAAATAAATGTTGTTTTAGTAGTGTTCTGAGGTAAAATATCGGCCCACAAGACCTACATCACAAAACGGAAATTAACTAAGAAACTAAAACAAAACAGACTTATAATTCTATACAAAGCCAAGAGGGGTCACTGGAGGAGGACAACGGTCAAGTTTTGAGCGACGAGTTCTGTAATTCATAATATCAGAAAAAAAAAATTGTGTTTTTCATAAATAGTACAAAATATACAAATTAATATAAACAAGTTTATCTGGTGGAGCAGTCAAAGTCGTAGCTAGCGAGTGATGATGTTTAAATCATTGTCAAATACGAATTAAAAATAAATTGAAAGTGAATACTAACTGAGCTCGGCCCGGTGGCGCTGCGCGTCGGCGGCGGCGGCGTCGGCGCGTGTTCGCGCATGCGCGTGGTGCGCTCGCGCTTGGTCGGCGGCGTGCTGCGCCGTGTGCAGGCGCGCGCGCGCCGCCGCCGCCTCCTGCGCACGGGACAAGCGCGCCTCCAGCGACGCGCGCGCCGCCGCCGCCTCGCCCGCGCTGCATTCACATTACCGAACAAAATCACAAAACATTACTAGTCGCACCACCCATCCTTTAACACACGAACAAGAACTGTAATACAATTAAACAAAAATATTTTTTTCTCAAACATGCTTGGAAATTTGAGCATTATTTTGACAATCTTCTTCGAGATAAATCAAAATTGCTGTACTGGCCAGATACATGCGGGCAGCGGCCGGCAAAAGTTGTATGATAATACATATCTGTCATGTTTTGCGGCCAGATAAATTACTATGTAAACTCATACCTATCCTGTAATTTAAAAATGGAACGACCTTTTACTTTGAAACATGACTACCAAGGAGGTATCTAGTAAAAGGTTTTATTTAATTTTCGAACTGACTTGCAAATAGAAAACTGTTTATTAAAAAAACAAAGGAACATTATGGCGCGTGAAAAATTATTATTGTTCGTTATTCGTCATTGAACCTAAAACGAAATTTTGCCTTTTTGATTTCTGCGCATTGTTTGAGAAAAGTACTATACAAACCTCGGCCACAACTAGGCATGGATGGACTCACGTATGTGTGCCTCGGCTATGCCTCGGCCCACATTTGCACGTTCGTCCATCAATGCCTCAATTGCTGGCCGCTGCAGTAAATGTAGTATATTCCAAACTACTGGGTCCAGATCCTGGCCAGAAATCTTAGTATACTATTTTGAATATTTCATTTTCTGCACTACGGTATTATATGTGGTCAGAAGAAAACTAGCTTCTTCAGAAATTCCTAAGATGAAAAGGAGGTGTACCTCTATGTATTCTTATAATATCAGCACACAATAATATACATTATAATCACTTGAGATTTTGTTCCACAAAAAGTAACTAACTTCTAAACATAACAAAATTATTATGTAACCGACACTGCAGTATCATTATCAAATGCAAAACGAATTATCAAAATTGGTTCAAACTTTACAAAGATATCATAAAAAAAAAAACAATCAAAATGAGAATTTCCTTCTTTTGAAGTCACAAATATATTTTTAATCATAGTTGGATCTATCTCACTCAATATAGGGGGAAGGGATTGTTAGTAATGCAGACTTCTATTCCCATTGCTATCAATATATCTTATCAAATCGACTTCCACGCGGTTCCCCCTGGAAACCATCGTGACTAATCCATTGTGGAATTCGTCACGGTGGACTAATTGACCTGCCTTTTCATCCTCACCAATCATCCCTCACTGGTGCCCCACCAGTGTATACCGATAGCACAGGCGGGGTTGCCATTCCATTATCATCCATCAAAAAAAACTTACTCGATATTACTGATCTCCTGCTCGATGTCGGCGATTTTCCGTTTCTCCCTGTTCAGCAACTCGGTGTGATTGGTGACAGCATGCTGTGCTGTCCTCCACGTAACCTGTGTTTCACGGACCTCGCTTTCCAAATTGCGAAGCTCTTGTTCTAGTGCTGTCTTTTCTAACTTCTTTTCATCCAGTTGAGATTTCAATGTACTGATAAAAAATAAAAATAAAAAATAACTACTTTATATTCTCCCATCCTTATACTATTAATAATCCACAGGGTAGAGGGAAGGGGATTGTTAGTAATGAAGTCTAACAGCCCCATTGTTAGCAATATAGCCTCTCAAGTCCACCTCCACACGGTTCCCCCTGGAAACCATTATAGTTAATTTTTGCCAAATTCATCATGGTGGGCCAACTGATCTGCATTCATTCTCACCTATCATCTTCCACTAGTGCCCCGCCAGTGTATAACGATAGCCCGGGCGGGTTACCATTCCATTACCACCCGTTTAAAAAAAATCCACAAGATGTTAACTCTATATGGTAGGTAACTCCAATATACGATTAACTGATGGATCAACTGACCTGACCTCATCATCCTCTATTATCTATTAATCACCAGCGTACTGGTAGCACAGGCTGGGATTCCTCTTCATTTTCATCTTATTAAAAAATGTAATTAATTCTATTAGATACTTACTCGATTACATTTGTTTCACTGCCAAAATTTTCATTCATCTTGTTCAGTTTTTCGGCCAGCTTATTAATTTTCTCCTGTTGCTTGTCGTACTGCGTCTGTACCAATGTCGCCTCACGCTCGAAGTCGGCAATCTCACTCCAGTAATATTCATTCTGAAGAGCTAGTTTCTTGGCTTCAATCTCATCTTTAGACTGCAGCTGTTCATGACTTTGTTTCCATTTCTTATATTCTTTTTCTAACTCGATACAGGCCTAAAAAATATTATTAGAGTTATGTTCTCCTTACCAAAGTTTACTGGTTATATAATCTAAATATAGTGGGACTTGGATAGAATTGTTAATTCCAATTTTAATTCAAAACTAAAATGGCAACAAACAATTATAGAATTACAAAAGACCAAAAAAAAAAATATAATATTACATACAAACAACTCTTGGTTGATTACTCTTCAACCCTTATCCTGTCAATAGCACAAGATAACTTATACCACATGTTACTTATAATATATGTTTCTATAGGTAAAAGAATTATTAAAATCAGTTAAGTAGTTTTTGAGTTTATCTATTGAATATCTTTCCTCTTTATAATATTCTTCATCATTTCAGCCATTATCTGTCCATTGGTGAACATAAGCCTCCCCCATAGACTGCCATAAAGAACAGTCCTGAGCCACCTGCATTCACTGACTCCCTGCAACACATTTCAGGTCGTCACTCCATCTAATGGAGGGTCATCCTTCACTGCGTTTACTGTACATGGTTGCCTTTATTAGTACAGATAAATTATTATTTAGGTTACAGTAACTGTTTACCATCAGACAGGCTGTATGCTTGTTTGCTACTTTCATAGTATACAAAAAAGCTATAATAAAAGTGATTTTTTATTAGTGGGTTAATATTCACCTCATTCTTCCTATTCCATATGTTAACAGCCTTATTGCAATTCTCCAGAGCTCTAATGTAGTTGGTTTCAGTCTGGTCCAAGTTTGTAGCCTTCCTGAATAATGAGTACTTCTTTTTCGCATCTGACTCATGGAAGCTTCTGGCATCGTCCTGATTAAGTACTGATATGGGATTGTCCACTTGTATGTCATGTGCTAGTATTATAGCATTCACTTCCTCAAATTTTGATGATATTACTTCACCTATAAAAATATCAAGCATGTAAAATATTATATTAATTTTGTATTTTATAAAAAGTGCTACACAATTACAACAATGACCTGGTCCTCAAGCTAGGATACCCTGTGGTATGTGGAACCAAATAACGAACATCTGCAAGCAAAACTGAATACATCTAGACCCAAAACAATTTAGAAAAGATTGTTTCTCAGTTATTAAACCTGGTACCTTTATTAAGCAATGCTATTCTATAACACAATTATCCATTATGCAATATTTATTCTAAAAAATAAATATACAGGAAAGATAGAACCTCCTCCTTTTTTTAAGTTAACAATTATTAAGTACAGAAAATATTACTAAAATGTGAAGTGTCCATAGGTATATAAAACGCTTGTTCAATACTCTTGATATATTGACACACAGCTTAAACTATACAAACATTAATTTTTTTATTATTATGTGGATAAATTGAAAAAAAAAAATGTTGAGCTGAACCTATGAAAACAGAAGATAACAGATTTATGAAAATAAAACTGTAGCAAAAACAGCCATTTTATTACAAAAGTGATGGATAAGTTAGGTAGAATAGAAGCTTTGCAAATAAAGTTTTTATTTATTTAAAAAATATGTCACTTAGGCCATAAATATATATTTGTTACCTGTTGCAGATTTGACTTTGTAACTGGAGCCACCAGAAGCATTGATATGCCTTACAATAGTAATATAATCTCCATACAGATTGTGTTTATATGCCTTTTCACTGCTATTCTTTATTTTTATTTCTATTGTAGCTGAATTAGCACCTTTTTTAATAAAAGCTGAAATAATAAAGATTCTTTTTTAATGATGGTAATGGAATGGTAATCCCGCCCACACCATCAGTATACACTGGAGAGGCACCAGTGAGGGATGAGAAGTGAATATGAAGCAGATCAGTTAGTCCATCGTCAAATTCACCAATGGATCAATCGTGATGGTTTCCAGAGGGAACCATGTGAAGGTTAACCTGATAGGGTATATTATTAAGATAAGGGTTACTAATCCCCATTACTAACAATCACTTTACCCCTTAATAATAAAGATTATACCTATGAAGTTTATATTTCTTTTTAATGAATAAAAATAAAATAGTAACATATCATACTAAGTAATACCTCAACAGCTTACAGCAATAGCACAAGAGAAGTTACCATTTCATTTAAAATAATTGTACCAGAGGGAGACTTTGTACAAAAATCAATTGCTTGGGTACTCTGTCCCATTCGTGTTTCAACCATGAAGCAGTTGTGTTTGCATGGCTGTGTTTCGGTTTGAAGGGTGGGATATGGCGTGAATTTACTGGGTACAGAGGAATAACACCTGAGTCCTCAGGAATGGCAACGCATGGGGGGTATCATGGGCGAAACAGTATACTCTGTTATGTGCATGGTACTGCTCATGTCTATAGGTGACGGTTACCACTATCAGGTGGACCATCAGCTTGTTTACCATTCTAAGTTGTATAAATAAATAAAAATTAAAATAATACTCATCTAACCATACACAATAAAACCAGATGTTATATTACAAAATTTTTTCAGTCTATAAAATTGAATAAATATTAAGATACATATAAAAACCATATTTTTTATTTAATTTTCCACAATGGTTTTAATGATCTTTTTTATTACTTAATTTTAAACTTTTGCATTGTTCACACATATTTTAAATACACAATCGGGACTCAACACAATGAAAAAACCTGGGCAGGTAAATAGTACCTATATACCTGTTCCATTCTGGTCGATGTTTTGATGTGGATTGTACCATGTAGCGGTCATGACAGGAATGTCATACTATATATTTTTTTATTTTTATCATTAATTTACCACACAAGATAAAAAATTATAATTTTAGTTACATTATACCCTTAAGGGCGCTATGGACCAAGAACTTGTAAAATTTTGATGAATTTTTAAGTCACAATAACCCCACTTTTATAAGTCTATTATAGAATAGGGCTCCTTCAGTGTAGTTTTAGGCTTAATAGAGCCCCTATCCATACACCTTAGTTTTAACAACCGCCCCTAAGAGAATTCACTGGGCACAATCTTGCTAAAATTGATAACTTACAGTGTAAATTGCTGCCTCTGTTAGTAACAGAAGCTCTGCCTCCTAAACCGACGACGAGGGCGGTCAGGATAGCACTTTTTCCGCTTCCATTGCGCCCAACAATAAAGTTCACATTTTTATTCATAGTAATCTCCAAATTATCATGGCAAAAGAAATTGCGCACATGAATACTATGAATTGAACCGTCCACGTCCTCTTCAATTATATCCTCTTCCATTTTAAAAAAATATTTATATAAAACTTTATTGACAAAATTTGTTTATCACCGCGCGTCACAAAATCATTTTAAGTTTCAAGAAAACAAAGTAAAATAACAAAAAAAAATATTTAACTTTGTTTACAGGCGCGCCAAACGCCGTACTTAACACAGAGCAAGTAACATAGATTAGAAAGACTGTAGCCAATGAGGATGACAGATACAGTGGGAATGACGTTTATCTGTAAAACTATGTTACTACAGATTAAAAAAAGTCCATCATGACGGTTCATGGCCTATGCATTCATCACTTGCAATGTCGCTTTGACTATTTCTCTAATGAGTTGAGTACGATGATTAGATAGAGCACCATAAAGGAAATAATTACAATCCTTATTCTATGTTTTCTGAGATTTATACTATATGCCTTCATCTGTCTCAACCAATACTAATTTTATTTATTCTCTGTGCTTTGTTTAATATACTATAGCAACATTTCCCTCCCATATTACTTTCTTTGGCAACATTAACATTTTGAAAAACGCCATTTTTTGCTTGTTTGAGAACGTGATAACTGAACAATTTGCACACGATTTCAAAAATAGTACTATTTATTGAATTCTTAATAGTGAAATTATTTTTCCACTTTTATTTTATAATCATTTATTGTATCCAATATCATTGATTTAAAACAATTGTAAATTAGGCGATAATTTTCAAGGTAAACAACTTTCATACATGTCTGATTGAATTACCCACCTGCAGCATAATAATGTATTTATAAAATCAATCAAATTATTTTACGTCATTTGTCGGTGTATTTATAGTTTTCTATCTTGAAATAATTTTTAATTGCTATTTTTTTTAATCAAACCGTCCAAAATAATGGTAGTAATGTCAAGTTCAAGCGATCACATGTGATTGCTTTCGGAGTAAACAAACATTTGAAACACTATCGATAAACCTATTAGTCAATTTTTAATTTGGGTAGTTTCACATTACATACACATTTGTAAGTTCAAGAGTTAGTAAAATATAATTACTTAATTCTTAAATCTTCTTGTATAATTATTAGCTAGCTTTTTCTTCCTTGGTCTTAATCATCTTTTAAAAATATTCTTCCTAGGCTGTGTCTACTTCAATAAATAGATCAGAGAGATGGTAGTAGAATTTTTTTTATCTGAAAAGGTATACTTAAAATCAGTTCAGTAGTTCAGATTTTAAATTACAGTAATTGATTTTGGTCTTTTTTATTAACACATTATATATTCTACAGTCATAAAGAACTTGGTAAAAGTATAAACACATAAATTTAACTGTGGATACTATTAGGGGCTTTTTATAATTAACATTTTAGTTTACCATCAGAACATTTTTTTAGATAATCTGTTAAAAATATTAAAAACTATTAGATAATCCTGAAATTGTTACACTTCAGTAATTTTAAACTTAGTAAAATCCCATCTCTAATAACAATTTAAATTCCAGATGAGAATTATTAGTTTTTAAAATGCTTTTATTTTGTATATATTAACATCTTTGTATTTTATAAGTTTTATTGTTTCAGTAATCACAATGAGTGACTCACCAGATCAAAATGACCCACCAAAAGATGTAAGTTGATATTCATTTAACATTTCATTGTTCCATTATAATTTTATTATTTTAAAATTTGTTTTTGCTCCTTAGAAAATATCCACAATTTTTTTATGATCTTATGCAATGTATAGCTATATACAAAATTGTTTGTGATAGATATGGACTTTATTATTCTTTATGCAACAGCTTTACTTGTCTATATAATCTATATTTTTTTTTTTTTTTTGCAAAACAAAATGGTAAAACTTATTATAATTTATTTATTTATAGGATCATCAACATAAGATATAGTGAAAATTTCAATACAATACACTAGTAGATTAGATCTAACTGTTCTTATATTTATAGACAAGCGCAGCATACTTTGTGCTTGATAAACATTAAAATGGAATTAAATCATTGAATGTCATTTAATGAAAAAGATATTAATGATATGAATAATAATATAATCTAATTATTTTATTACAGCCCAAAGAGTTGGAGAAACTAGAGGAGGCTAAACTAAAGGCCAAATTTCCAAATGCTATGAGAGGCCCCGGGGGACACTCTGCCTTTCTACAGAAAAGACTAGCTAAAGGGGTAATCATTTTATATATTTACTAATTGGGAGCACACCTGATGAAAAGTATTGGTAATACCTGTAAACATAAAATAATAAATAATAATATTGCAAATGTATAGTACATTTACATATATATCTGAACATATGCCTGTTCCTATATTAACCCATATACTTTCATAGCTATCAATAATTAATGCTTTGGCCTCTATGTAGTATGATAGTCAATCTATTGCCACTTCCTTTTTTTTAAATAATATATTAATAATAGAATAGTAACCCCACTTCTCTATTGGTATATACTGGTAGAGCATCAGTGAAAGATTTTAGGCGAGGATGAAGTAAGTCAATTCTTAGCAGTGGAGTTGCTGAGTCTACACCAGGTTGTAAACTAGGCTTTCAGCTGTGCACAAAGACATCTCTGAAAATATGTACCTTTTTAAAAGGCCAAACCAACTCTAGAAAATAATCTCAAATATGCCAATGTAAATAATGTTATAATTATGTTTTTCAGCAAAAGTTCTTTGATTCCGGTGATTATCAAATGGCGAAACAGAGGCCGAGCAACCTGGCGGCGCCGTTCAAAACGCCAGCCGTTCCCGCGAAGCTGCCCACCGGAGATGCCATACCTACACCTGAGACTGTCCCCGTACGCAAAACCTCCATCATCCAGCCCAAGTTCCAGCCGCCCAGCCACAACTCCTAGCCCTGCCCGTCGTACATGGGCATCAAGCCGTGTCATTAACCTATTTAATAATGCAATACACAAAGCATTGCTTTCGATTCTGTCAATGTCTGCACCTTTTTAAACCTTTGTGTTAGTTTAGGTTCTTCTATCATCACATTATCTTTACTTGATAGCACCAAACATGTTGTTTTATATCAAATATGTGATCGTTTTGTTCTCAATTAGCATTCTATGTTGAAATTTTAACAAAACTTTTATAAGAACAACTGTTATATTAATGTATAAAAATTAGGTATAGTTGAATGTGTCAGGGATGTGTGTGTATCGTGTTGTTCTCATAATGTTGCATTTGATTCATGTCAAACCTTAGTGGTGTTGTTGATTTGCATCAATGTTAAATTCTAATTAAAATTGTAACATTACTGGAGATTATATCCTATCTTCAAATAGATGGCCAAATTCTTTACTACACAAAAATAATGAATTCTGTAACTGAGATTTATTGATTAATTGGTATTAATTATAAGTACAAAAGTTAAATTTAGTGTATGGAAAATGTCTTAATCAAATTGTCTACTTACTGACACAATTTCTTTTTAAAAATAACGAGAGCTCACTTTTTACTTTACATAAATTACACTTATAATAACTACCTAAATTATTATATATATAATATCCATTATTCATATATTTACTTTTCTATATTTACTCATATCTGTTACTCTTTATATTCAGTCAAGAGCTAGTGATCAGTATAACTATGCTATTACATTTTAGTATTTATGTTTGATCATGGGCTGTCAAAAGTTAAAACTTGCATTCTTTATTGATCTCTTTGAAATGACAAGATTGTGTATACATTGGATACGACAAATATATGATTGAAAGGCAATTGAAAATTGATCCCTGTATATAAAGGCCATAATTAGTATTGATAGTGATATCTCGTCTACAGATCTGCGCTGTGGACTTTAGCATACATATAATGATTTAGTTTTAGCTATGCGACGATTATTATATAGAACGAATTTATTTTTATAAAAGTGTAATGTGCTGTAAAAGAAATAGTAATAGCATATGTTCGTTTTGTCAGCTTAGCCCAATTCGTATCAGTTCTGTAAATTGTTTTCGCATCATATCCGCGAGTACTTTCGCATACCAGTTGCACTTGTTTGCTGGAGATATTCCGAGAAGCGCAATGACGCTTTAAAACCATGTTGCGTGTGATGTTCGCACAGGTGTGATATGTGTGGTACATATGGAAGATTAAAGGGATGTTGAAGTTAGCTATTAAAAAATAAAATAAATTCTTGGTAAAAAAAGCATAGTTTTTTATTTATTTGTCTTTATTTAGACGAAAAGTTAGGTACTGACTCTTGCCGTTGTTAGAGATATTACAAAATGAGATTATTATTTTTTTGCATTGATCGACTATAAATGGCACTCGGTTTAATATAAAATAATTAACAACTCGTAAGTATACATTATCCAACAACTTCTTCCGTCTACTTGGAATCCTTTAGTATCTTCTGAGATTCTGGCAATATCAACAAATTTCCATACTCCAATTACTGTGTTTGTTATATTTGACTGCTTTCTGAAACAATACCAAATAAGCAAATTGAGGATTTTTATGGTGATACTAACTTCATCATACATTTCTTCGTCTAATTTTTAGACGTCTAAAATTAGGCTATAATTAAATTTCTTTATTTGGATGAAGAATTAATAATTATATAATTAAAAAAAGATTGCGTTCCAATGTTTCTGCCTACCCTAATGGGAGACAGGCGTGACAGATATGTATGTACGTATGTAATTTTATAATTAGTCATGCATGCACTGCTTTGGCGTTTTAGAGATATAATTCAAGTATGAATATCATATAGTGCTGAGTAAGAATACAATCTGTCGACATTTATTTTCATAAAGATTTGGAGGGTAAAGAACAATATACCCGGGACAAAAACTCAATACCAGTTTATTAATTTTAGGCTAATATAGAATGTAACCAGTACCCAGCAATGAAACATCAACAAAAGTAAGAACTGCTTCTTTTTTTTTTTAGAATACCCTGCATTATGAGAAACTAGATAAATAAGGGAAAACCAAAGTATGTAAGTGCTAACGAATTTAGAAAAGTTTTTTTTAAGTAATCCCAACTGGGAATCAAATCTGGAACCTACGACAGTCAAGTCGTGAATGGGTCTTTATGATTTGATTATCCAAAACAACAAATTGTATATCACTGTACCTGGATTCCAATGCACATAATCGGGGGTCGCGGCCGCCTGGTACTCCTGTACTAAATCGTCAACAACGCTCCGCGACTCGTCGAATTCCTCAAGAGAGTCTTTGAACATGGGCTCTTTGCGGAACACCTCTAAGAACGCCTCACGTTTACGTAGCTTATCGAACTGTTGCAGACACCTGTCGAACAACTGCAAATACCAAAATCTTTATTTTTTATTCAATAAAGACTACATTCAAGGAAAAATTAAAAATAATTCATGCAGGACATTTTTAACCACTATGCACATGTAAATTATAAAAAACCATGAAAACGCATCACTCTAGATGGCGTATTAAGATAAAACATATATCAAATTTTCCTTAGACCTTCAGGACCAAAAGTGGAAAAACCCTATCTGAATTGGCCAGATCAAGCATGCAGACTGACAGAATTTAATGCCTTCCATCCAATTAAATGTTTTAGGCAAAGAATTGTCATGAATTCGAAATTGCTTTTTTTAAATGAATTAATAAGCTAAACAAAATATAGTTATGTAAACTGCGTAATATACTACTATCTAACAAATATATGTTTGATGTGGTGATGTTAGGAACATTTGTCTTCTAAAAACATATGGTTGGCCTGATGGTAAGAAGCTACCGTAGTCTAACACAAACACCAGAAGTGTCAGGTATACGTTGCTAAAGCGATTTAATGCAGTAACATCGTCTTATTTCCCGAGTCAGTACAGTCCCATAATTTATTAATGAATTCAAAACTGATTCTATATATAATATTTACGTCACTCAACAAGAAACTATAAAATATTGATTACCGAGTGCTGTCCTTGTACAAAAAGTAAACATAAAAATAACAAACACTTAACGGAAAATATCATAACATGCCGGCATGCTTGCTTCATTTAAATATACTGGTTGATTAACAGTTAGAAAAAAATTATTTCAACAAATAAATTGTTCACCAGTAATGTCACTTTTTTTTATACAACTTAGAATGGCAAACAAGCTGACGGCCCACCTGATGGAAAGTGGTAACCGTCGCCTATAGACATGAGCAGTACCATGGACATAACAGAGTATACTGTTACGCCCATGATACCCCCCATGCGTTGCCATTCCCGAGGACTCAGGTGTTATTCCTCTGTACCCAGTAAATTCATACCATATCCCACCCTTCAAACCGAAACACAGCCATGCAAACACAACTACTTCACGGTAGAAACACGAATGGGACAGAGGTACCCAAGTAATCGACTTTTGTACATACTCTCCCTCTAGTAAAATTGTTTACAGTTATAATTTATAATTACAAGTTATAATTAATAAAAATTAATATAGCTAAAATATTTATAAACATCGCTAACTACTGTTATTTTATATATTTATTATTATCAATATATTAATTGAAATACAAATAAATCTGTTACGAATTTATATGTCGTATGTCCAATCAAAAGCATATTTTTAATGTTTTAAAACAAATATAATAATAATAATGTTTCTGAAATAACATCAGAAGGGCATAGGCTGTGTTTTATTCCGTCCAATAAATATACAAAAGGATTTAGGACAAAACCGCGGGTAATAATCAGTATACAAAATAAAATAGGTTTTTTTTTTATCTCACCGAAGATATGTTGGTATGGTTGGCGAGGAGAAGGCCGGATACTTTGTGTGAGGCGTGCACGTAAGGCGAGCGGCGAGACAGCGCCACCTGTATGGAGGCGGGCCCCCACGGGATGAACGACGCCAGCTTGCGTTCGCGGATACGCTGCAGCGATTTGTGCACTTGTGACGGATCCACCTCGCCCTGCGAACAAGTAGTAAGTAAGGTAATTATAGGGAATTTTACTAATAAAATTGTAACTGAACGACATCTGTACATAGGAGTCGAGAAAAATGTAAATGACCCCTTATGTAAATTGAATTAAGAGTTCTTTAATAAGAGCAACAGACACCAAAACAATATTTTTTGGATGTTTTGTCTCTCTGTATGTTTACTTTGGCATTACGTAAAAACTACTGCATCAAACTGGACACAGTTTTTATAGTTGTATACCTGTAAGGTCTATGTTTTATACTGATACGCCATCTAGAAGTAGTCTATTTCTTTTTTTTTGCTTTTAAAATACACACATGAAGTAGCAGGTAATAAGCTAGTATAATATATAACAACATAGGACACCAAAAAGAAAATTACACGAGGGCTTATTCCCTTGTTATTTGTTTGTTATCTTTGTCACACTCATGTTTCTGTCACTAATCAGCTTTTTTTTTTTTACAACACAGGGGGCAAACGAGCATGCGGCTCACCTGATGGTAAGTGACTACCGCCGCCCATGGTCACCCACAACACCTACGGCATTGCAGGTGTGCTGCCGGCCTTTTAAAAAGGAATATGCTCTTTTCTTGAAGGTTATGTTGTCGTATCGGTTCGGAAATACTGCTGCTGGAAGTTGATTCCAAAGAGTGGTTGTGCATAGGAGAAAGTGCCTTGAAAAACGCACGGTGGAGGACCGCCACTCGTCCAGATGGTTGGGATGAAATTTTAGTTTATGGCGGGTTGTACGATGGTGAAAATCTGCAGCAGGTATCAATCCGAACAATTCTTCAGAGCACTCCCCATGATAAATTCGGTAGAAGATGCACAGAGATGCAACATTTCTACGCAGTTTCAGTGGGTCGAGCCGGACAGTAAGACGCCGATCGTCAGCAATTCGAGCTGCCCGACTTTGAAAGTTGTTACGCTTTGAAAGGTGGGATGTGGCAGTGAAAATGTATTACCATTATTCCTTATACTGTGGTATCTAACGAATATCTTCGTAATATTAACAATTTTTTGTCAAACTGTACTCATTATTATAAAAAAATATTAATAGAGAAAATTAGCATATTTATTCCATTTATCCCTACTGGACACACAATGGTAGCGACAGGTGGAAAAAAAACCACTTTTACTCCCCAAGGGGGAAAGTTGGTAGGGACAAGTAGAACTGGCTGGGGGGAAAGGGATTGTAAGTAATGGAATCTAATGAACCCATTGCTAGCAATACACCTTATCGGGACAACCACCACGTGGTTCCCCCTGGAAACCATCGTGAACAATTCTTGTTGAATTCGTCACGATGGGCTAACTGACCTGCTTCGTCCTCATCTCTCACTGGTGCCCCGCCAGTGTACACCAATAGCGCGGGCGGGGTTCACATTCCATTATCACCCATTAAAAAATAAGTGGAACTAGCTGAAATTATACAACTAGTAATACAGATTTCAGTATTTTTTATTTACCTGTATGATGTTCAGTATTGAAATATAGCAGTGCTGGTTAGTTCTGTCTGGGCTGAGGGACACCATCATATTCTTTGGTTGAAGCAGTCTCTGCATCACATCTAAAACTGTTGTCTTTCGTATCTTTGGTGCCTATAACAAAATTTTTACTTATATAAGTATAAATAATCAGGGACAGAAACAAGCTACCAGAGGGAGACTTTGTACAAGAGTCGATTGCTTGGGTACCTCTGTCCCATTCGTGTTTCTACCGTGAAGTAGTTGTGTTTGCATGGCTGTTTCGGTTTGAAGGGTGGGATATGGCGTGAATTTACAGGGTACAGAGGTATAACACTTGAGTCCTCAGAAATGGCAACGCATGGGGGGTATCATGGGCGAAACAGTATACTCTGTTATGTCCATGGTACTGCTTATGTCTATAGGTGACTGCTACCACTTTCCATCAGGTGGACCGTCAGCTTGTTTGCTATTCTAAGTTGTATAAAAAAAGAAGCTAAATTACAAATTGTTTTAGAAAGTCTTAATTATAATAGTTTTTACTACACACAGAGCAACATAATATGAAAGTTCGGTTACACATGCCTTGTCATATTCTGTCAGAATAAAACATTTTACATATTCATATTATAATAACCCTCTATCCTACAATAACATGACAAATTTTATATGTGATGATGATATCAGAGGTTAATGTCTATTGCTAAAGACGGGCCTTCTCCTCAGGGGGTATTGCCAATGGTTGCCACGCTTGGTAGGCGGGTTATCAAGCAGTTAGGCTTTCGTGGCGCTTTGAAAGGGACGCTGCTGTCCATTCCTCTACCATTAAGTTCCCTTACTTCTTATGACACCCACGAGAAAGAAAGGGATGGTGTATTCTATGCGGAAACCACACGGCAAATTTTATATATAACATTAATAGTACATTACTGCAGCGGCCAGCAACTCAGTGAATTGAATAGTTTGAAATTGAATTGAGTACTTTTCCCAAACAATGCGCGGAAATCAAAAACACAATTTTACTTTTTAAGTTCAATGTCGAATAACGAACAATAATAATTTTTCATGCGCCATAATGTTCCTGTTTTTTTTTTTCAATAAACAGCTTTCTATTTGCAAGCCAGTTCGAAATTTAAATAAAACCTTTTATTAGTTACCTCCTTGGTAGCCATGTTTCGAAGTAAAAAGTCATTCCATTTTTAAATTACAGGACAGATATGAGTTTACATAGTAATTTATCTGGCCGCAAAACACGACAGATATGGATTTTCATACAACTTTAGCCGGCCGCTGCCCGCATGTATCTAGCCAGTACGGCAATTTTGATTTATCTCGAAGAAGATTGTCTAAATAATGCTCATATTTCCAAGCATGTTTGAAAAAAATATATTTAGAGATAAACTTTTTTTATTCCACTACAAACTATTAGGTACTACCGACTGGTAGGGTACCTGTTAAGGAAATAATGTCAATTATTGTCATAATGATGAATGCACTAACTTCTTTTGAAAGTTGCTTAATAAAAATAAAATTATATAAATATGTCAACATACAGTATTGAGTTCGTGGTCGGCCGTGAGCGGTGTGTAGCCAGTCATGAGGAAATGCAGGCGCGGCGTCGGTATCAGCGGCGCCACCAAACTGATCAAGTCATTATTCATGTACGATGGATACCTGTTCATAAACGCCATATTATTAATATTCTAAACGACTTTAAAAATATATATAATTTTAGTTTGTTATAAGTAAAAAAATTAAATTACGTAGTTTATCCTAGACCCCAGGTTACATATTTTATTTATTTTTTAAGCAACAGGCTTGTTTTTTTTAATGGATGATAATGGAATGGTAGCCCCCCCCCCCCCCTGTGTTATCGGTATATACTGGTTAGGTACCAGTGAGGGATGACAGGTGAGAATGAAAAGGCAGGCCAGCCCACCATGATGAATTCAGCAGGAATTCTGATGATTTCCAGGAGGGTTCAGATGGAAGTCCACCTGACTGGTAGTCTGCATTACTAACCCCTCCCCTCCGTGCTGTGTTAGTAATGCAGATATTGCCGAGTAAGCTAGTTGTTTATATACCTGAGTGTGGCAGTGCTCGCGCTCATGATGGTGGAGACAAGAGTGTTTATCTGTGCAAATGAGGGATTCTGTATGTGCAACCGGTCGCTGGCGATGCGATTCAGCGCCGTATTATCGAGGACCATGACGCAATCCGCACTCTCTGTCAGTCGCTTGAGGGTCAACAGGGAGTTGTACGGCTGGACTACCACATCACTGTAAAATATTTATGTATGTTAATAATGAAATCTTTAATTATTAATTAATTTGTAATTAGGGTTGCCATCTGTGGTATTTGTAGAGGCACATATAAATAAATATACACTATCTTTGCACCAGAACAGTAAGCAGGTGCAGAAATGTATCGTTATAGTATAGAGGAATTTCAGCGAAAAAATAAATTGGTTAGAAATTACACTTATATTTTTCAAATTATTATTATTAAATTCATAGAAGTGTGAATTCCATCTGGATATTTATTCTTATACTTTTAGAGTTAACATGAATAATTTTAAATTAATTTAGATTGTAATCCACATAAAGGGAGTGCTTGATGTGAGACTTGTTCTTAATTCAGAAAAGTTGGAATTTTTTAAATGTCTTGCTTTATGCTCTGCACCAGAGGGAGACTTTGTACAAAAGTTTATAGCTTGGGTACCTCTGTCCCATTCATGTTACAACCGTGAAGCAGTTGTGTTTGCATGGCTGTGTTTCAGTTTGAAGTGTGGGATATGGCGTGAATTTACTGGGTACAGAGGAATAACACCTGAGTCCTCAAGAATGACAACACATGGGGGGTATCATGGACGAAACAGTATACTCTGTTATGTCCATGGTACTGCTCATGTCTATAGGCGACGGTTACCACTTTACATTAGGTGGGCCGTCAGCTTGTTTGCCATTCTAAGTCGTATAAAAAAAAAATAGGATTGAACAAATATGTCAATTTTAAAATACTACAAATTCTCCAAAAGTATATGCAAATAAGTATAATAAGTTTGAATATTATAAAAATCATCACATTTGTCATTTTTATCTCCACATTATTTATTTTATAAAAAGCTCTATAAACTTCCAACTTTTCTGAGAATCAAGACCCTTATTATAAGCTACATATATAGTGGAATATAAATAAAATAATATGCACCTGATTTCATCCAAATTAGGAAATACACTGTAGGTTTGTACAAGCTTCTTTGGAAATCTGTCTGAGAGATGTTCTAGTATATATGAGCCCATGCCCGAACCAGTTCCACCAGCAATTGAATGGCACAGCACGAAACCCTGGCAAATAAGAAATTATGTTTATATTTAAAGCCAACAGATACAGAGAACAGTTCTTTGGGTACTTCAGCTAGTTTAAGTTTCTGTTCGGAAGACTTTTAAGGATGAAGATGGAATGGTGCATCCATCAATGTTTACAGTATACAATGGTGTAGTGACAGTGGAGAGTAAAGACAAAGTAGTTGAGCCAGAAATGAGAAGATTTTTGTCCATTTTAACTTTGACCAAGGATGTTTTTATTTGATATACACAACAGGTACTATGATATGACCTAGTAAAAATGATATAAACTGGATCGTAACAGAAACAGGTGTACATAAAGCACTGTTAAAACTGAAATTAAAGTTTTAGATTTCTAGTAAATAATAGTGCAGTATAAGTTAAACAAATAGTACCTCTAAATTGTCACTGCCATCTGCTTCTCGGTTAATGATATCAAACACTTCTTCATTCAGCTTCTCCCCCTGAGCATACCCAGATGCCCAATTATTACCAGCACCACCACCATGTTTTGATAAATATACATTTTCTGGATTATACAGCTGAAAGGTAAAAAATTGTATTGCTAAATAAGGTGAAGGTAATTATACAATATTATTCTGAAGAATGTAATTATATTGTTTTCTAGGGTAAAAACCCTACATTATACGTATACATACATGTACACGATATTTAGTGAAAATGCCGTGATAATTTGTTTACATTCGTAAACAAATTATCACGGCATTTTCACAATAGTCAGTGAGTTTATTTGTATTTATTTTTATACCCAGAAAACATTGTTTCGCCTCTTATCGCCACCTACTGGGTACATTTTTTGTATTTAGATAAAATCTATACTATCTGTCAAGCTGGAACCAACAATATATCTTTACAAAATTTCATATCAATCAGTTAAGTGGTTTCAGAGATTTGTATAAACAAACATCGTAATACAAACATAATTTATAAACAATTTCCCTAAAGGTATCCACTAACCTATTCACTTGTATATTTCACATTATATTCCAGTAGGGGACTCTGCCCCATACATATTAAATGAAGTGCATACACTCAGACATATCTTAGCACTTAGCTAAAAGCTCTCATATGCTGGGGTGGGCAGCAAACAGTTCTAAGGTGAGCATACTATATAAATAAATAAAAACAAAATATATCATGCTGTTCCTCTAGATATAGTAACTAAGTTAATAACTAATGAAATAATATCTAAATTAAATTTTAACATACTTTGGCATAGGGTGAGTTCATTATAGTATGAATTACACGGGGTTCCAAATCCAGCAAGACAGCGCGAGGTATGTAATGATCGTCGTCCGCCTGATAGAAAAACACATCCTTTCGATCAGATCCTGCCGAAGCGAACTCCTCGAGTATGCCTTCCGGAGATATCCCATGCTCTATACACAGTTGTTTCCAGAATTCAAAGCCAACTGCAATTAATAAATAATAAATAAATCATCATCTTCCTACCCTTATCCTAATCATTTGGAGTCGGCGTAATATGATTTTATCCATATTAAAAAAAGATTTGGTTATATATAAATAAATAATAAATAAATAACAAACACAAATTAGTAAATATCAAGTATTTCTGTAATTATCTTACTTTGATTGCCGCATTGGCCCAGCTGAAGAGTTATCATTTCACTAGGCATTTTATATGTTTTTTAATATACAGTTACAAACAATTTATTGTGTCCTTAACAATTATTTCTTATTAAATGTTTGTTAACAAAATAATAAACCGCCATTCGTTTCATTCATTAATTCCTGAACGTCAAAGTACGAATACACAGAAGCGATGAGCGATTCGAATAAAAAACTCGAGTTACTCGAGCTGCATTGCCGCCGGCTCAATCGAACTGGCTTTTCTATCAATTCGAATCAACTCGTATAAAGCCGATACGGCCCTCTTTTCGTCACAAGTCACAACCTCTTTTTTTTTAGAAATGTTACTGTTCCGTTTTTTAATATTTAGTTAATTAATTAATGTTAAAATAAATAGCAAAAATATAAGTATTAAATTTTTATGTATTTTTATAGGATTACATAACTATTTAAAAGTTTTATAAAATGAAATTAAAATTTATTTGAATAAGATTAAATTTGTATTTTGTTATTTTTTACTTTTTGTATTTTTTACGTTTTGTGGTTTTTGCAGTCGGTTAATTTTATTTAAAGTTTATTTATTTTTCCATTTTTAGTATATTTTTATATTTACACTAAAAATTTTTATGATTTCCCTCGATTTTCATGGGATCCAAATTCTGAATTGGTGACAAAAAAAGAATTTTCATAATCGGTCCACAATTGACGGAGTATACATATGGTCAACATACAAAAAAAAATATACATTCAAACATAGAAACTCCTCATTTTTTAAAGTCGATTATGAAATGAAGACGATTGTCTTACACGTCCACATCTATCCAAGAAGTGATAAGTAGTTTCTGTCGACATATTTTTTTTTTTTTTTTTACAACACAGGGGGCAAACGAGCATGCGGCTCACCTGATGGTAAGTGACTACCGCCGCCCATGGTCACCCACAACACCTACGGCATTACAGGTGTGCTGCCGGCCTTTTAAAAAGGAATATGCTCTTTTCTTGAAGGTTATGTTGTCGTATCGGTTCGGAAATACTGCTGCTGGAAGTTGATTCCAAAGAGTGGTTGTGCGTGGGAGAAAGTGCCTTGAAAAACGCACGGTGGAGGACCGCCACTCGTCCAGATGGTTGGGATGAAATTTTAGTTTATGGCGGGTTGTACGATGGTGAAAATCTGCAGCAGGTATCAATCCGAACAATTCTTCAGAGCACTCCCCATGATAAATTCGGTACAAGATGCACAGAGATGCAACATCTCTACGCAGCCTCAGTGGGTCGAGCCGGACAGTAAGACGCCGATCGTCAACAATTCGAGCTGCCCGACTTTGAATGCGGTCTAACGGAAGGAGTTGGTACTGTGGCGCTCCTGCCCACAGGTGAGAACAGTATTCCATGTGTGGCCTCACTTGAGCTTTATACAGTTTTAGGCGGTTTTCTGGCGTGAAATACCGTCTCACCCTATTGAGCACCCCCAACTTTTTGGAAGCTATCTTAGCTTTTTCCTCCAGATGACCGCAAAACTGGACGTCGCTAGATATATCGACGCCAAGAATCCCCAGACTCGACTTATTATCAAGGGAAGTGCCCCGAAAGTGAGGAGATACGACAAACTGTGTCTTTTTTGCGGTGAACGCGCAGACTTGTGTCTTCTTAGGGTTAAAGTGAACAAGATTGCGTTCACCCCAGATCGAAACTTTATCGAGTGAAGTTTCGATTTCAGACACAAGTCTGTTCCGGAGCTCATCGGTATGTGCCCGCGAGATCTTTGCATGACCGGTGTATAATGCATCTCCTGTACTGTCGTCTGCATAACAATGAATATCACTGATCTGTAACATATCATTGATATGCAGAAGAAACAGTGTCGGAGATAGTACACAGCCTTGCGGGACACCAGCATTCACAGGTTTTAAGTCAGAGCATGCACCGTCGACTACGACCTTAATGCTACGTTCCTTAAGAAAGCTGGCGACCCAACTGCACAATCTCGCAGGCAACCCAAACGAAGGTAGTTTCGAGATTAGTGCCTTATGCCACACCCGATCAAAGGCTTTCGCAATATCCAGACTAACAGCTAAGGCCTCTCCCTTATTCTCGATATTGCAGTATTATGTGTGCTGTTAAGTATGTGTATGTTATGTATATATTTAATTGTGTATATATTATATATGTATGTGTATGTATGTGTGTATATATGTTTGTATATGATAATATTTATATAATAGTGCGCCACCTACTCCTTGTCTTTTTCTCAATGTCCTCTACCCAAAGGTTGTCTGGAAGAGATTGCTTAGCGATAATGCCGCCTTTTGTATCACTTCTCATTAATATTTACTGTATTTGTTATTTCTCTTTTTACTTGGTGCAATAAAGTGTAAATAAATAAATATTATTCCGTAACTCCTGAGAGTTAAGGAATGCTATTTTATCGTCAGCTCATGTCACTTGAAAGAATACAACTAACGGTATAAACGTGCCTATGATATTTAAAGAATTATCCCTTAACTCCTAACCGTTAAGGAGTTGTACTTCATCATCAGCTCATCTGAATATTACTTGAAAAACTACTACTAACGGTCTAAACGTGCCTAATATTTCAGGAATTATCTCTTAACTCCTAACCGTTAAGGAGTTGTACCTCCCATCATAAGTTAAGCAACATGAGATGATGACTACCAGACGCAAATATCTGAATAGCTTTAGAAATTACATGAAAAATATTTTGGTGCCTATAAAATAAAGAGAGTTGCCCTCGATTTCCCTGGGATCCCATCATCAAATCCTGACATGGTGACAATGGGACCATCTCAAGGTAATATTCCTTCCGACTGCCTGAGTGTCTAGTGTCTAGTGTCTAGTGTCTGTGTGTCTGAGTGTCTGAGAGTCTAGTGTCTAGTGTCTGAGTGTCTAGTGTCTAGTGACCGAGTGTTTAGTGTCTGTGGGTCTGAATGTCTAGTGTCTGAGTGCCTAATGTCTGAGTGTCTAGTGTCTGAGTGTCTAGTGTCTGAGTGTCTAGTGTCTGAGTGTCTAGTGTCTGAGTGTATTGGAAACTATTTTTTGTATCAAATAAAATATATCAATTTTTTATATTGATATTTTGTTATTTGATAATATCAAACCAATTTGATATATCGAATGCTAATATCGATATATTTTGATAACGATATATAACGAACACCCCTATTTGAAAGAGCTGTATCCACTACAAAAATAGGTTGCTTGACTTGACTGTTTGATTGACTGTCAGTAGATGGTCTGACAGTGACACAAAGTTTCATATCATAACTTTTTAGAAGTTTTAGTAAACATTATTCATATTTATTTTATTCTATTAAAAAAGTCCCCTGTAAATATTAACAAAAAATAAAAGGACTAGGCTGCTTATAAGTTCTAAATATCTGGTTGGTTTTATTTATGAAATATTTTCTATACTAGTGTAAGCTAACGGCCTTCGAGACTTCGATTAACATATTTCTCAACTTTGTTGTCCACAACCTACGGACACCCATTCGTGATTTAAGAAGTTTACTATAAAATAAATAGTGGGCGTAACTTTCGTAACTGCAAGGTTCCTTCATCTAGCCCTAGTCCTTTAATTTTTGTATTAAATTTTATAGTTTATGTTCAAAAGTTTAGTTATAAAAGTGCTAATAAATTGCATAATTCAACATTACCATATATAAAACATTACTACATACTGTGTCGTCTATCGTGATTTATAATTTACTTTTGTATTAGCAGGAATAGTGAACATCATATACTATTAATAAAACTAAGTGAAAATGCCTAGAAAATTGCTCAAGTTCCTCATTGTGTTTGACAACACATCATTATTATATTTTCCTGGTCAATTTCTATCAGGAAAAGTGTTGATGGAACTGCAAGATGATACACCTGTATTAGGTAAAACTTTATTTTATATTCATATGAACTGAGTTAAAGAGTTTTTGAAACTATAGCTAAAGAAAATACTTTATTTGGTTTATAGGTCTACATTTTCATGTAGTTGGTGAAGGTGTGGTGAGAGTTGGCAACGGTCGTCATGAAAGGCTGTTTGACAAAGAGAATTACATTGATTTTAGAATGAGACTGCTTGGAGAACCAGGTATATACAACTGATATTATAAATCACACACACTTTATGATTAAGTAAATATAAATTATATTTGACACAGTATAGAAACATATTCTAACAACATTTAGGTAAAATATTTTTTATGACAATTCTTATTGGAAATCTGCTATAAAGCTAGTCTTAAACAACAATATTGTAAGCTACTTAATAACCAGTGTTTGTTCTATAACTTTGTCTACCTGTACACTTCAGAATTAAAGTCTGAATAAAACCCAAGATAATTCTGCATTTAGTATGTAGTTTTAGGAATCTATATGAGAGATTAATTTCTCATAAAATCCATAAGAAACTGCAATTTTATTATTCATTATCTTATAATCACATACACACAAAATTAATACAGAGCAACACACAAAAATTCTGAAAAATAAAACTAATATTACAGATATGTAGTTCATAAACTGTAATAAGAATCACAAATAATATATTTTCTAATTGGCCTTTGTATAGTCATTTTTTTCTTTCAGGTCATGGCACATCAGTGCTTTCACCAGGCATTCATAGCTTCCCATTCAAGTTGGGCCTACCAATGGGGCTGCCGTCCACATTCCTCGGCACTCATGGTTGGGTTCAGTATTATTGTAAAGCAGCTTTAAGAGAACCCAATGGTTTAACACACAAAAATCAGCAAGTCTTCATTGTAATGAACCCTATTGACTTGAATTTGGAGCCACCAGTCTTAGCTGTGAGTATTATCAATATTTTAGTAAGCTAAAGGTATAAGTAGGAAAATAATTGTTCTTGAACAAAACATGTCTGAGTATATATAGACTTTCATGTGCATACTACCCCTGTTTTTTGTACCCGACAGTGTCTATTTTTATGTACTTTTTTATTTATTCTCTATGTTAATAGAGATTAAATATAGAATTAAAATTTATAATATTTTTAAATTACTGCTCATAGAAATACTAACTAACAATATATTGATGTTGATTTGAGTCAACTTGCTGGAGGTATAGCAAATTGTGATAAAGTCGAGAGGTTAAAACTACAAATATAGCCCAGCTGTATCATGCAGCTTCTAATCTGAGTTGGATTACTTTATTACGTATGTATTTTTTTTTTGATGGGTGAAAATGGTATGGTAACCCTGCCTGCGCTAACGGGATATGCTGGCGGAGCACCAGTGAAGAGTGATAGATGAGAATGAAAACAGGCCAGTTAGCCCATCATGATGAATTCTCCAGGAATTAACCACGATAGTTTCCAGGGGGAACCGCGAGGAGATCGACCTGGTTGGGTATATTGCTAGCAATGGGATTCTCAGTCTCCATTACTAACAATCCCTTTCCCCCTATTACGTATGTATTATGTACACATTAAATGAGGTGTTGCAATATACTGTACTGCAGCAACAGTTCGAGTGCAGCGTGGAGCACCGGCTGGGCGTGGGCTGCGTGGGCGGCGGCGCGGTGGTGTGCCGCGTGGCGCTGCAACGCGGTGCGTACGTGCCCGGCGAGAGCATCGCGCTCGACGCGCTGCTAGTCAACAACTCGCGCACCACCATCCGCTGCACGCGCGCCGCGCTCACTGAGGTACCCACCGCACGCTGCCACACATCATGCACGCAGTCAGCACCCTCCTGGGCCTAAGCTAATTAAAAAAAAACACTATTTAGTCAGAAGTATCAATCTCCAATTTGATGTGACCCTTTAGTAATATATGGTGCCCCATCTGTATCATAGTGCCTCTCGACTACCAAACTTCACCCCTAAGATTGGTACTGTTTGTTTTTTAAACATTTAATATACACCAGTGTGTCAGTTCGTGTTGTTTGTAAAATAACAAGGTAGTTTTTTACGTTGTGCCTTATTTGTATTACTGTAACTCGTAAATTCAACTTTCCATGCACTCCCGGTAGACGATCCAGTATTCAGCGCACGGCAAGGTGGCGGCGAAGGAGGTGCGCGAGCTAGCGTCGCTGCGGCACGGCAAGCTGCGCGCCGGCCACAGCGACGAGTGGCGGCGCGAGCTGCTGTACGTGCCGCCGCTGCCGCCCACCAACCTGCGCGGCTGCCACCTCATCGCCGTGCAGTACGACGTCTTCGTGAGTTTCTTTTTTCACTTACAAAGACAAAAAAGCCAATAGCTCTACTAACAGAAAGTGGTAACCATCACCTATAGATATAAACAGCACCATGCACATACAGCACTATAGATGTAAACAGTACTATGATAAACACTACTCATTTCTCATGTTTTGCCTCCATACCTCATAATTTTTGTCCTACTACATATGCTCCCTTGTATACTTTTTATATGCCTAATTTCAATAGGTACCATTATTTTTTCTCTCACTGCTATGTAATATTATAAAACATGTTTTTTTTCAATCTGCAACTGTCTTGAATTATAGCAGTAAACCAATGTATAAGTAAAATGCTTTAAATTGTTATTTCAGTTTATCATCGAGCCCAAGAGTTTGGAGAAGGAGGTGAAGCTTCAGTTGCCGATCCTGCTGGGCACGTACCCGTTCCGCGACGAGAACGATGAGCCGCCGCACCCTCCCACCCACTACCCTAGCACGCTGCCCATCTTCCGGCCCTGGCTACACGAGAAACCGGCGCATTGACCACCTGACAACACAACACTTAGACAGCAATGACAGGGTAGTCAGGTAGACCTCTATGTGGTCCTCGCCTTCGCCACCATAAACCAACTTACCAGACTACATCCTCATTGTGTCATCCTTAACTGATAGTCCGCCACTATATACTAATAGCAGAGGCGTATGGACTATTCAATCTTCGTTCATTAAAAATACTCTAAGGCCTAATTAACGGAGAGGCATATATTAGTTCTCTTCAATCCCTCAATGCGTTTACGGAGACGCGGATCTTTAGAGTTTAAGCGCCTGCGTGAAACATACTATATCATGAGTAAGGGAGATAACTGCCATCGTGACGTCATGGTATTTGGAATGCGCATGATATTATGTCTAGGGCACAGTATAAACATTACATGTCGACTTTGCATTGACAGGCATGACAAGGATCCGCACTACGCCCATTCGAAACTGTGCCTCTCCGTAAACATCATATGTAGCATCCGGGTGCAGACATTACTCTAGCGCCCCTCATTATTTGAAATTTGAGTAGATGTGTGAACATTCTATACATAACTGTTTAAGCCGGATCCACACCATGCCGGTCTCGGTTCGTCTTGGTCCGATTTTGGTCTGATAAAATATTACATAAAAAACAATGTGCGTATTCAAACCACTGTCTAGTCCCGATCATTCTCGAAGTGTGTTGCCAGACCGAGATCACACCGAGAATGAACTGATCCGTATTATAGTGTGGATCCGACCATAATCTTTTAGCAACATTATGTTGCCAATAGCCGAGCTGTTAATCATACGACGGCTTGTTTTGCTTTTTAGTTTTATTCCTTTCAAATTATAGAATACAGATCAATATAACTTTGTATGTGATTAGAAAATATTGAATAGCGAATAACGACTACGAAGGGATATTTTTGATGGAAGAGTAGATTCAACATGAATTTATTACATTATATGCATAGATTGAAAGGAAAATGAATTTATGAATTTTATTATATTTTTTCACTGCCAATACCTTAATTATAATCTCTTTTAGTATGATCAGTGGGTAATAATATTTTACAAGTAGAGGATTTAATCTAAATATCCTATGTTTACTAACAGACAGTATTTTATTATGATTGATAGCAGTGAGGCTATACATACAGGTATTGTGTTCATTGATATCATAATACATATCAAGTGTTTGTAATCCTTGTATTTTACTAAATTAATAATCATAATTTACTAAATATTGTAACTGAAAATGTAAAATATTTAAATATTTGTCACACTTAAATGACTCAGTGGATTTGAATGAAATTTGTTACACATATCCCTAGCCTTTATTATCACATAGGATATTTTTTTATTCTAAACGAGGGGCACAACGCTGCGTTACAGCTAGTATTTATATAAATACTGCCTCGAATTTCGTTAATCCAGTGGTTTCGTATCGTATTTTACAATAACTATAAATACTATAGTGCCATTTAATAATTTTACTTAAAATTTTAATTTATAATCTAACATCAAATGAACTTTTTAATAAGAATGTTTGGACATTGTGTTTCTAATGTGGTGGTATTTGCAATATGTTGATGCTATGTAATAGCAATGTACGACCGACCATTTGTATAGATACTATCGATCTGAATATAACTAACCTGTGATATAAAATACGAATCCGTCCATTTTATACTGTGTATTTTTATAACAATACATGTATGACTTTTATATAATAAAAAGTTGTATACCTAATAATTCGTTTCAATAAAAAAACCGAAATAAATATCATAATTTTATATTTGAATATTACAAATCTGTTATTTATTAATTTCAGAATTTTCAGACTGTCCATATAAAGTACAAAGATTTATTAATGTCCGACCGAAATGTACGTATTTTTAATATATGTATCGTACAATCACAGGTGTAACCAAATATCGCTTTTATTTCCCTATAGTACCGATGCCTTTGAGCTTGTAAATTGCTTTTTGGTAATCTCATTCAAAAACGGCTTGACCAATTTAATTTTTTGTTTTATTCGCATTAATACAGGGGTGGGTCAAAAGAAAATAAATTGGTATACACCTAAAGCTCAACTGAAATCGAAAAATTAAAAATAGAAAATTGCGTTATAGGTAATACAAAAATCATTGAGTCATCTAGTAATATATATATTTTTCTTTACATTATATGTTATTTAAAAATGTTAGATTAAATATTTTTAACAGAAAAAAAAAAAATACCAATCAACAGCACCAATAGTAACAAAATAACTCCCAAACGCAATTTCGATTTCAGTTGAAATTCTAAGATTGGCGGAGTCGAAACCAGAAGTTCGGTCGGACACTAGAATTTCTTTTTATCATTGCAACAAACCTACATAGTTTTACCATGGTCACCCACTGTAATGTTACATAAACTTATAAACAAACCGGTGTAACAGGGCCCTTATTTTACTAATTTAAAAATGCCTAAAAACAATATAAATAAAGGAAAAATTTACAATTCATTTGGTATATTATAAATAGTATATATTCAAACAATTTTGACCAATAGATGTCCCTTGCACTGTTTTTACTATGAGATTTCATATAACTTTATGGTTGCTTTACGCTGGCCATCTAATTAAAGACAGCGCATTATTCATGTTCTAAATTTAAAATAAAAAGAGCACTCTTGATTTTTTTTTTATTATGCCGCCAATTTTCGTGACACGCTAGTTTAGACCAAAAAACTGAATAAGTATTTGGTATTGTGAAAACTAGTTACCGTATTGTGAAAAAATTAATTAGTATGGGAAAAAGCAAAAGCTGCGATCCTTCTACAAGGAAGATAATTCTTAATTTTATGACAAAGGTTGGTCATACAGGAAAATTGCAAATCACTTGCGATGCTCTAAAGATATGGTGATGAACGCTATTAGGCATTTTAAGAAGTATAATACTACGGAAAACGTGCCTATGAAACCTAGACCGAGAAAAACAACCCTGCGAGAAGACTCAAGAATAGCATTGTTGGTTAAAAAAGATCCTTTCAAACGATCAGAAACTATTCGCTGTGAAGTATTTGGTGTAGAGGGGACTAATAGAGTGTCCGCAAGAACGGTTCGAAGGCGATTATGCGAGGCAGGTTTGTTTGGAAGAATTTCTCGTAAGGTCCCACTTCTGAGGAAGGAAAGTATTAGAGAAAGATTAGAATTTGCTTAAAAATATTCACACAGAAACGTACAAGTAATGTGCATCAACTTTACACGGCATTTAAACAGGCATGGGAGCAGATATCGATCGAAACCTGCAATAATTTGATTGCTTCAATGCCTAGGCGGTGTCAGGGTGTCATTGCTGCTAAAGGACATGCTACAAAATATTAATAACAAACTTTTATGATTTTATTATACATCTAAAACTAATTATAGTTAAGTCCGTTTCAATATTTACAATAAAAAAAATATATATAGTTACTTAATTTATGTGTCTTTAATTAATTGGCCAAGACTTTACATCAGTTCGTACTGCCTACAATGAAGTAAAAATTAATAAATATTTAAAATACAATATTTTGTTATCTTTATTACCTTTCATATATTCTCGATAATCGTTAGAATAAAATAATTTACATTGCAATCTCCTACTACATTGTAGAAAAAAATACAGGGTAAGTAAACTTTGAAAATACTAATTTCCTCTAAGTGTCTTTAATTATGTGACCACCACTGTATATATATCTTAGGGTTAACATATAATATTTTTAGCGAAATGTGGCATATACTACATGTGGTGAATGTTACATTCACCAGTTGACTATTGCCTCTTACTACCCCATTAGGGATTATAGTCGTGTGCATATTTATTTTAAACTTAGTATAATATTGTGACCCTGTTACAATAAATGAAATTTGAATATAATAAAAAAAAAGTGTTCATTGTTTTAATACATATAAGAAGCGTGTAAAACTAATTTGTGTAACTGTCTGTAATAACGTTTATATAAACACCAACTGTGGAATTTTTTACGAAATAAATATTAAAAATATAAACATACAATGGGACCGATACGCAGGTACTATTTCTCTAAACCTAACATTATAATTCGATATTTTCGCAACATTACTGTTTAGTGAAACATTATAAACCGAAACTATAATAAATGTGACTTATATCTATTAAAAAAATAGTTCATATTGTTTTTTACAATAAATATTTAGCTGTGACATCGAATTGACATTTTAAAGATAGGTTTAGAGAAATGACATAAATGACTAATAAATATTTAATGGACAAAAAAGTCTGAAATAAAAATTATTATTATTATTATTATTTCAGAATCAAATCCAGTCCAATTAAAATAAATACATAACTTGGAACAATGAAGTTTGTGGACAATAATGCTTTCACTTAAAAGATGTAATACAATACGATTATTCCGTCCACTCGACAATCACCACTGCCAAAACATATTCCTTTTAAGATGAAAAACTCTTCAATTCACTATTAAAGGTGGAACAATGTAACATTTGGAGCCATAGACAGTAGAAGGGAGATGAAGCCTATAATCAGATTTTTTATAATTGGCACATTTTAGAAAATATTACTACAAAAAACAATCAAATAACTATGATTTTTTTTTGTGTATTAATTTATTAGTCTATTTTCTTATTATTATTTTTTATACTACTATATGGCAAACAAGCACACAGCCCGTTTGATAGTAAACGGAGTTTACCGCGCGCGTTGTCTTTCCTAAATTAAGTAATTAAGAAATTCGAAAAAAAAAACAGATGCATGTGTCAATTATAGAAAACAGATTATGAATATGACTAATTTGGACTTTAATAATAGGTTCATAAAATAATTCATATTTAAAGGATTATTAAGGGCATCACGAATATTAACACACAGTATGCTATGACGCCCATAGTAACCCTCAATAATTTCTATTTTTAAGAAATTCGATGTTATTCCTCCATAGCCAGTAGTTCCACTTCTATATTCCACCCTTCCAACTGTCCAACCGTAACATAACATGCAGTTATGAAGTGTATTATAGAGGCAGGTTATGATTAAATGGTGAACTGGTGAGTCTCGGGTACAGCTAAGCCATCTTGTTGGCGAGCGCGAGATGCAGACAGGCGAGCTGAGCGGTCCATTTGTCGAGTGCGGAGTACCGGGCTGCACCGCGGGCGCTGCTCGCGAGCTCCAGCACGGAGTTCACCTGGTCGATGCGGCCGCTTATTGTGCTGTGTCGCGAGTAAATTAAAAAATATATTTATATATACTTTATTATACATACTAATATTACATAAAAATGTGACAGAGGTAAGCAAATCTACAAAGGCGAGCTTAACTCTAAATGAACTCTCTTCCAGCAAACCCAAAGTGGAAAAGAATATCAATGTCAATGGGTAGAGCAGTGCGCAATATTGTGACAACTTCCAAACAAGAACTAGATAAATTGAAGTTTATACATAATTAATTATATAGTAATTAATGAATGAGTTCAAAACATGAAGTAAACATTACTCGGAAAATGTTCCCAAACTGACAACCCACCAGATAGAAAATGGTAACTGTCGCATATAGACATGAGTAATACCATAGACATATTAGAGTATACTATTTCGCCCATGATAGCCTCCATGTGTTAACATTCCTGAGGACTTAGGTGTTATGCCTCTGTACCCTGTAAATTCACTGCCATATTCCACCCTTCAAACCGAAACACAGTCATTTAAACACAACTGCTTCACGGTAGATATACGAATTGAACAGAGGTACCCAAGCAAACAACTTTTGTACAAACTCTCCCTCTAGTAAACAGATAAATAATAAAAATAAAATATATTCTGCTGGTTACAGCTGCCATATTGATTTCATAATGTCAACATATAATATGTAGTGGGTGAATTTGAAGTAATTTTTTAACATTTTTATAGCATGGAAAATAATAAGTGGAGTGTAAAACAATAATTAGTCAAAAATGTTTACAATTAAATTTACTTGAATGAAAATTGTTTTTGTTTTAATAACAAATAATGTCAATGAACATATTTTCACTAATTCAAATAATACAAGATTGAAATATATACTCACTTGTCTAAAATACATGTCACAAGTAAATTTTCCACTTCCTTTTCATCAATATTCAACTCTTTTGATATAAAAGGTATATGTATTCTAGTGTATGGACCAATTAGTTTTATCAGCACTTGAGTCCTAATGTTCCTCAGTAAGTCTTCAATATGTTCCCTAATGAATGGATCATCCATTATATTATTTCTATTGTGTTTTAATATAGATTCGAAATCATTGATGTCATTATTTTGATAAGCCATTACTAGATTAGTCATTGCGAGTATTTCAGGATCATTCTTGTAGGGCTTAGCTTCTTGGGAGTCAAATGGATTTATGCCAGATTTCATAAGCCTGCAAGCAAAATTTGGATTAATATTAAAATTTTATTTCACAGCAACTTATGAGAATTTTATATATATATATATGAAACATTGAAAATATATATTACATGTTTTCCCGCCAAATATAAATCGATTTTCATATTTCATTTTACAATCAATATACTTCAATATTACATTATTATAAAGTCACATAAAAACTTTTTACATAAAAAGTTGGTGTTTCTTCTTTGCAGAACAAAATTTTGAAACATAGGAAATATTTGTCAAAATTCAAATCTTAAAATTGCATAACAAAACTATGATTCAATAAGCATGTAACAATGAAAGTATTTTAAACTGAATAAAAATCAAAGTATGTACTTACATATTAGCTAGCACAAGATATTTCAAACAAGTAGTTCTTCTAGGACTCCCAGACTCGTCGTAATTTTTGAATGCTTCGAAAAAATCAGTGTGCGCCTTTTCGAACTCGCCCTCCCTCAAATGCATCTTTCCCCCACATTCTGTAATTTTCAAATACTAATATATATGACAGGATCCACCACAGAGCCAAATGTTACCAATCTACAGCACTTTAAACACAAATAAACAAACACAGAATAGAATGGAAAGCACTGGAAACTTTTGGCTTTAGACAATAAAGAAATGACATAACTTATAAATACTATACATATAAATATATATACTTACAAATTTTTTTTAATACAACTTAAAATGGTGAAGAAGTTTATGGCTCACCCAATGTAAAGTGGGAAGCATCGCCTACAGACACGAACATTACCATGGACATAACCGAGTATAATGTTTCAATCTTCAAATCAAAATACAGCCATGCAAACGTAACAGCTTCATGGTACCCATGTAAATAACTTTTGTACAAAGTGTTCCTCTAGTAAATACATTTAATGAAAGTCTAAATTATAATAATGATAAACAATAGATAGCAACCTCGAATAACTCCCATGATTAAAGGATGTGGTATGGCCGATTTAATGTGCAGAGATTGTTCATACAGTGCTTTCAACTTCTTGTTGTTCTTTTGGGCTGTGTACATTTGGATTTCAAGTGCATAGATCTCTAGCAACTGTGTGCCTTTCTTCAGGTCATCTTCTCCATCGTCAGTCTGAAATATCAAGTTTTTATATTATAGAATACAGTGCACATCATAATAAAACAACCATGTCAAAGCATGTCTTTTTATGGAATTAAGTCAAAAATAAAACTGACAAAAAGTAACAGTATATGTTACAATAAAATAATAATCAGTTAATATTATTCACACATACGATACTCCTTCCATGTGGTCCCGGCATAGAATAGGTCACCCCTTGCTTTCCTGTGGGTGTTGTAAGAGGCAACTAAGGGAGGGCAGGGATGAGCAGTGCCCCTTTTAAAACATACCCAAAGCCCAACTGTGGTTGCCAATCCACCTGCCATGTGTGGCATCTAATGGCAAAACCACCCTGGGAGAAGGCTTATGTTCAGTAGAGGACAGTTAAAAGCTGATATAAGAATGGATGACGAGAATGTGATACCCATGGTATTACAAGCATCCATAGACTACAGACTGTTTACAATATGCTTGTTTGCCACCACCATGGTATAATTTGTTTTTTTACTTTTTTCTTGTTTTTTTTCATACACTGTTATTTCAAGACAAAGACAGTGATTTTGACATACACCAAAATTGTTTACCAATTGTGCCAAGTACACATAAATAGCCTGTATTTATTGCAACATATACATATATTAAACTTTACCTGACAGCTTTGATGTAGTTGTTTTAAAATTTTTGCCAGTTTGTTGAAATCACCCCTGTCATAATATAGTTTTCCTAATTTTGTGTTAGTCTTAAACCAGAGTCTGTCATTCTTTGCATCTTTTAATGCTTCTAATGTTGTTTCATAGAAATCTTGGAGCAGTTCCATCTGTTAAATAAAATATTAAGTATGTATATAATACACATGGAAATAAAAATGTTTATAAAAATACTAATTTATTCTGAACATATTTATTATGAATTAAAAAGTGTTTTTCTATCCCTAAATATTAGATGGATACTTAACTTTTTGATGATTGGTAGAGTTCTCAAGATGTAATAAAATAACAAACTTGCTTTTACATTTATAATTTTAATAGGGACTAGCTAAACCTAAGATATATTATGTATGCATATGCACACTATACATAAATATAAGACATGATCTATATACATTTCTGATACTTGAAGTATCATTGTGTATTTACCAATACAAAAGTTCTTTAAACATCCAAGTATCTAAACATAATTATGTATACACATTTTAATTCCATTAATATTATAAATATGAGTTTGTAAAGATATTTGCATATGTAAATTATTGTTACTCAATTATGTTTAAACACCTAAACAGATTTGAATAAAATTTTGTATACAAGTAGGTTATATAGTAACTAAATATATAACACTTTATATACTGATACGATACATATCATCCCTTAGCTTACAACACCGCTTAAGTCGAAAATTGGTGGTTTTCACTTTTGAATGCCTTTAGATAGAGCTGCTCATTGCGCGTCTAACCATTGTTCACATGATATAGATTTCAGCCAAACAGAAGTTGTAATTCGAATAGTAGTAATAGCGCGCAAGTTGGTTGGCCTTTCAACACCGCACAAGTCGTAAGTCTGTCATACTTTTCTTGAAAAGTACTCCGCGCTTCGTAATTATTGTATTTTTTGTGAGTACTATTGCTGAAAGGTCAGAAGTTTTAATAGAAGATAAAAAGGTATGCTATATAATAAATTAATTTCAAAGATAAAAAAGAATTAAACTAGGTTAGTAGCATAGGTTTATTTTTTTTATACCACTGAGGTGGCAAACAAACATTCTTCAAAAGGGGGGTAAAGAGGTTTCTTTAGGGTCGGCAACGCGCGCGTAATACCTCTGGTATTGCTGAAGAAACCTTTTTACCCCCTTTTGAAGTACCCCATGCTATAGGCTCTTGGGAAAACCTCTTAAGTTATGAAATGAGCTCCCTCATTCCATAACTTGAGTGTTCGTGGGAGGAAACATCTCTGAAACCGCGCTTTACGCGACCATTGAGGCTGTAGGATATGAGAAGGAACTTCCTGTCGATGGTAAGCCGTATGATGGCGGAAAGTAGCCGCGGGCATCATATTGAACAATTCCTCTGAGCACAATCCATTGTACAAGCAGTAGAACACGCAGAGTAAGGCAAAATCTCTCCTAAAACTTAAGGATTCGATACCGTTTGTAAGCCTGGGATCACCGACAATTCTCATAGCTTGTCGTTGCAATGAGTCGAAGGGTTCAAGCGGGTATTTAGGTACTCCCGCTCATAAGTGACAGCAATACTCCATGTGGGCCGAATTTGCGATTTGTAGAGCTATTTTGAGAGATGTTTTTGTTTTTTATATTTTTAATGCAATTATTAATCCAAATTCATCCAAAAGAACTGAGTCGAACTTACATTTTGATGATTGATAATGTACGGTATCACCAAGTCTGTAAAAAAATTTTTTGCCCATTCTTGGCATTAAAGATTGGTTTGTCAGATATTGCCTCCCGATTAGTGTAATTCAACAAGTAATCGCAGAAATCCAGAGAAAATTGAAGACTACAAATACGTTAAAGAGTTTTTAGCAGATCTTCCAAAGATGACGTCGCATTACTGTCGTGCTACATGTTACATCAAGAGAATATATAGAACCAATTTTCTCGAACATGACACAGCTCTATCACACATATAAAGAGAATTGTGATTAAAAGGTAGAGAATGCCGTGGTCGTAAATTATTTGACAAATTATTTTTGAAACTCAATCTGAGCTTATTGCACCCGAAGAAAGACCAGTGTGATGTTTGTTATAGTCATAAAACTGGAAATATTATGGATGAAGATTACATTCAACATGTTTTGAAGAAAGATCAAGCTAGGAAAGAGAAGGATATTGACAAAACTATTGCACAGTTCGGAGCTTGCCTGTATTCACACAGGATGTTGAATCGGCAAAATTGACCCTGTATCTTCAAACTAGTGTTATTTATTTATTATGCGTTGTTTCGTTGAAGTTTATTAAAGACTATGTTTTAAATATTCACTTATTAAAATCAAAAAATAATAATTGCACTTACGCTGTAAAGGTTCATGTGCCACCACTTTAAGCAATTAAGATTAGATTATAGATACCTATGTTATAATGATTGTTAATCATTCTTGAAATATTTCATAATAAAAACTTTCCTTTGTAAATTTTTTCAAACCAACTTTTAGTACATATTCCTTTACATTCCGCAATCAACACCGCCTTATGCTCATAAAATATCAGTCAAACACAGCTCAAGTCATAAAACAAAACTTAAAGTTAATCCTCAAAATAAGTATAAATAATTATTTCTTAACCATTAACTAGGGTATTTATTAAGTAATAACAGAAAAGTTCTACCGATTTTTTTAAATAGACAGTTTTTTTCGTCTCCTGTAAAGTTGATAAAAATGTCTTACGTGGTGTTGTTAGCTAAGGGACAATATGAGCAATGACACAAAGAATAGCTAGCATGATATGATACTTACATTTCTAGAAGTTGATATATAATCTAAAATAGAATTAATAGATTTTTCAGAATGATTCCTTGTGACAGCACTCTTTATATAAGTCAGCAACTGTTTGTATCTTGTCATCATCTCTGTAAAATTCCCCTAAAAATATAAAAAAATTATTTATATAGTATATATAGGAACAGCATTAGTAAAATTAATTACTTTCTTTGTGTTAGTAGGCAACAGTTACCACTATCCATAAGGGGGGTCATCGATAACACTTACTTTTCTATTATGAATTTTCTTATAGAAGTTTATAGAACATTTATATAGTAATTAACTATAGAAGGAAAACAATACAGCAAATTAGTATAGTAATAGTGTCCTAGAAATCTAGGGCTCCCCTACAAAATAAATATAATTTAATAATTATATATCCAATAAAGCTTTCCACTTGAGTATGATATGTAATAATGGATTCAAATAATAGAAAAGGTATGCTATATATGTACTATAATATCAACTGACCAATTTAAAATTAATCTTTATCATCTGTTTAAGAGCTTTGAAACCCCATTCGCCTTTGTCTCCTCCCTCCAACTCCAACACCTTCTGGAAACTGAGCAGTGCTGCTTGAGGCTCATCTTCCTTCAATGCTTTACTGTTGTAATACTGGTTCTCTAAGTCCACATCAGGTTCTGAATTACTATCTTCAGAGTATTCCTGCAATTTATTAATGATTTTATTAGATATATAGATGTTATCTATGTATCCATCATAAAAAACACAAAAATTACTAAAAAACCTATTTAAAGATTTTGCCTCCTTTGCTACAAAGAATTGTATAACATATATTGTAAATTTAATGTACTGTAGATAGATCTAGTGATAATCCTCATATTACTCTAAGCTACAACAGCTTTATATTTTGAGTGAGAAAGGTGTAAGATTTATGATGAAAGTCTTTGAACGATTAGTGAGTGAAAAGATAATAGGAAGGCTATTCAATCATTGTTTAAATGGGTTGAACTCTTTAAACGATGATTGGGCAGTTTTTTCTAAGTAAAAATATGGACAAACAACAAATTTTTCACTTTTAAGGTTACCCATTTTTATATTTATTAAAAGCTAAAATTGATGGATAACACTATAGAATATAAAATACAGCTTGATATATATGAAAAATTACTAAATCTGTTAGTTTCATTAGTTTTTTCACCAGACTTAGAAACAGGTTTCTTTATCATCACAAGTAACATTTACTATCTAGCGTATAAATTTGTATGTACTTATATAAATACAAACCAAGCCATAGTCCTCTTCTTCCTCACACATATAATCATCGTCGTTATCAGACATGTTAGATGATTATTACAATATTATCGTTTTATTAAAAGACTATTTTTATGTCGCTAAAACAATAAAATGAAAGAACACATAAATACGCATTTAGTCTACCAACTTACTCTATGTAGAATTGATTTGACATTTTTGACAGTTGTTGACAAGTTGACACCATAATGTTTTTTTTGAGAATACTCTTGATTGGATATCTTATTCTTCATACACAATGATTGGACGATATATTCAACCAATCACAATAGGACAATTTTTGAGGGAATTTTTTTTAAAAGTTCCTTCATATATTAATTTCTGACAATATAATTAGGAATAATTAAGTTTAATAAACTATATACTTACCAAGTTGAATTACTATTATCTTATATAAAATAAATATTATATAACACGATGTTTTTAATATTTTCGATGATGAGGTGGGGATAAGTGTCTGTTTGCCGCCTTTTCATTAAAACGCTTTTGAATGGCTGTTGAATTCGATTGTTAGATCAAGAATAAAAATTATATGTGTTCCGATTCATATTTTAGGTTTATATAAATATATTTTGAAAATAAAAAAAAAGTATTAAATATAACAAAAAAAAATATGATCTTTACAAATTTTTGTATTATATAAAATACAATAAATAAGTCATTATCTTTAAATAAATTATAAAATTTAATTATAACTCTTTAGAATCCTAACATTTAGAGTGTAGTTTGGACCAACATTTTTACTAGAGATTTCCCGCGTTTTCATCACGAAATTTGATTGGATCGACCTCAAAAAGGCGCAAATTTCTCCACCTTCATATACAGAAAAATAGTTTCATTGCTAATTTATTAGTCTGTCGTTGGCAAACTTAAAGCTACTTATTTTTCTAGTCCTAACTTAAATTGTTCAATAGTTTGAATTATTCAGTTATATTACAATGTCTCTAAAAGACAAAGAAAATATTAGCAATGGAATTAACAACGTTCACATTAAGGTGCGTACATAGATATATCTATTATATATTCAATTTGTTTATATTTTATAGTTCAGTGTCTATAACCTCATTGATCATTTTGTTGTCTTGAGCAGTCTATTTACATACCGATTAACTATTTATTTTGGTATTATATACAAGAGTCATTCACTTTTTATTATACGTGGATACAGTGTTGTTTACTATATTTAAATATTAATATAATTTACATTATAGTCTCCCGCGAAAAATAACGTTCTATCTGTGAGAAACGCTAACGTCTCTGAAGAAAATATGGAAATAGAGAAAGAGAATAAAGAATTCGATCCTCAATTAGAGCCCTTGCTCCGTGAGAACCCTAGACGATTTGTCATATTTCCTATACAGTATCCTGATATTTGGAATATGTACAAGAAGGCTGAAGCATCATTCTGGACAGTGGAGGAAGTTGATTTATCAAAGGTATGATCAGTTCTTTATTAATATTTATAACATGGGGTTAGGGTAGTCTCAGCCTGCATTCTTCAATTCAACAATCAGTCACATGTACAATTTAATTATAAACTCAAGAATAGTTTACATATATTTCCTGTTTTGACTTGTTTTTATATGAAATATAATGGTAATAAATAATGAAATATAATACATAACCTCAAGTGATTACCAGATAACCTACTTATCAAATTTTATTACACTATAACAGTTATAGGGATAAACAAAAATTTTAAGAATTAATATAGTTATTTATTAAAAGTAATATAATTTAAGGAAACAACACTGGAAATTCATTATTGCCTTAAGTAGGTACTTTATTTTGGTAAGGTCATTAACCTATAATGTTTGTAATAGGACTTATCTGACTGGGAGAGCTTAAAGGACTGTGAGCGACACTTTATCAAGCATGTGTTGGCATTTTTTGCTGCCTCTGATGGTATTGTTAATGAAAATCTAGTAGAACGGTTCTCACAAGAAGTTCAAGTGACAGAGGCAAGATGCTTCTATGGATTCCAGATAGCTATGGAAAATGTACATTCGGAGATGTACTCATTACTTATTGACACATATATCAGAGATCCTAAGGAGAGGTTAGTATAATTCATAGTTAAGTCTCTTATAAAATATTGTAAATAATTATTTGCTTTTGGTTTACTCAGGGACTTGTTATCAACATCATGATAGATAACAAATTATAAAGATTCTAAAACCTTATTTCTTTACATATTTTACTAATATTAAATTTTATAAACTGAAATAAGAAGCACTCTTGGAATTGAAAACATAATTTAATAATTTTACATATTATCTTAACATATTAGTTTTATATATTTAGGGTGCAGTTTTTAGAATTTAAGAATGTTTATATAATTTATACAAAAACAAAAAAGATAGCTAATCTATTTCCATATTTAGTTATGTTCTTACAATAATGATTACCAAGGTAGATATGATATCTTTAAATGATGGAATCGTTGAACAATGTTTTATTTCATTGGAAATCAACAATGTTTGAATACAATAGTTTTAACTCGAGCTTGATTCATGGAATTGCTAGCAAATCATAATGGACTATTGATTAAAATACCTAAATGACTATTGCATTGTTTCTAATTGGAGGCACAAATACCACCCACAATGCCTATTTGATATGCAAAACAATGAGCAGACTATAGAAATATTTATAACTACCCATTGCCTTCTATATTTAGTGTTCATATCTTGTACTAACAGGAACCAATGAATATGACGATATTACCAACCACATTCAATGACTCAACCTACATAACATGTTGTGCAATAATTTTTGTATGTTATGTATGGTTTACCCTCAGAATTTTATTCACATTCTTAGGTACTTCATACTTTTTATATAGGGATTATATAGATGTTGGTGTTTCTATAATTATTTACCAGGGGAGCTGGTCCTGTAAGACAATTATGTATTCTCAGACATGTCTTTGCATATAGCTAGGAGCTCTGTTTGCATCTTGAGTTGGACAAGACACCCTCCCCCCTCTCTCTCTCCTCTCTTTGAATGCCTTAGATGATAGTTGAAGATTGTGTTCTACTAAAAAAAACTGACTTTAATTATGGTGAAACCAGTTATTTTGATTTAAAAACTAAAATACTGAACTGATTTTGATAAAATTTCTATGGGTTCAATTTGTAAGTAAATCATTTCAGATAAAAAACAACTTCCAAATCATTTTACTACTAAGTAATGAAATAACAGCACACAAAAAAAATACAACTGAATTTAGAGCCTCTTTTTTAAAGTTGGTTGAAATTAGAACATTAATACTTAACAATAAATAAATCATAGCTGTATTTATTTATTAATAGGATTACCAATATAAGATACAGCTAAAAATTTCAATACAATACACTGGTAGATTAGATCTAACTGTTCTTACATTTATAGCCAACCACAGCATGCCTTGTTTTTGATAAATATTAAATATTATTTGATTATTACTATGTATACTAGAATCTTTAAAGGCAAAAAATGTATGACCAATTTAAATTTAGGGATTTCCTGTTCAACGCTATTGAGACTCTGCCATGCGTGAAGAAGAAGGCTGACTGGGCACTGCAGTGGATCGCAAGCAAATCCGCTACGTTTGGCGAGCGTATTGTTGCCTTTGCTGCAGTTGAAGGCATTTTCTTCTCTGGTAGTTTTGCATCCATCTTCTGGCTGAAGAAAAGAGGTCTCATGCCAGGCTTGACCTTCAGCAACGAGCTTATATCTAGGGACGAGGTAAGATTAATACTCAAGATATTTTAATTCATAAAATTTCTATAGTACAATCTACGCACGATGGCCCAAATGAGAGGCTAAGTGCGGAAAATGGAGTCCCTTTCACATATAGTACAATCTGGATTATCAAGACTTATTCTTCACGGTTCTAATAGCCGATTTAGAAATAGTATAATGTATTAATTGGGTAAATAGGTATTATGTAATCCATTATCTTTATACCTCGTATTTTTTTTATCGTATTGTTTAAATGACGTACGTATCCTTTACATTATAAAAAATATATATTTAATTTTGAAATAGATTATCCAGATTTTCCATTATACGGAATACATATATATAGGTTTTATATGATTCGGATAATCGAGATGCTACTGTAGTTGCCATATTTTTAATTTTATTCCTTCTCATTTTTATCTACCATTTAATCAGAGTAATTTTGGAACAACACTATAAGTTCTTTCTAAATTTATTGAAAGAACTTATTGCTCTTCCGTTCGTATTCATGAAATTAATAATAGATAAGAAAGGCTAAAGGGTCGCCTTACACTTTGTTATGCCCCACATTGATAATAATGATAATTATTAATATTGATTTTTTTTATTATTATTTGACAAAAAACAAAGTTACAAACTCAAAAAGGACTTTATATATAAAATATAAAATAATAACCTTAGGATATAATGTTTACTTATCAGGGTCTCCACACAGACTTCGCGTGTCTAATGTTCAAGCACCTAGTTCAGAAGCCCAGCAAGGAGAAGGTGCTGCACATAATTAAAGATGCGGTCGTTATCGAGCAGGAGTTCCTCACAGACGCATTGCCGGTCAGGCTCCTCGGCATGAACTGCGACCTTATGTCAGAGTACATAGAGTTCGTTGCTGATAGACTGCTTGTCGATTTAATCGGCGAAAAGGTAAGACCTTTTTTTTTCTTATTTATAAGTAACAATGATCTAAATGGTTATTGTAATTAATTATATTTGCTTTACTCACGTTTTAAATATGGGGATGCTGATAGTTTCGAACTCGAGAAATGTCCTTACTCATGAGCACGGTTAATGGTTACGTTTGAAACACGATAATTACCAACTAGTAGGGAATCCCCAAAAACGTAAGTAAAGTCGATATAAGTAATCATTTACAGCATATTGTACGGTTATTATTTATATTCACGATAGTTGTTATTCAACAATCTGATTACTAACTTGGCACATGTTTTTTTTTTTAACAATTGACAATAAAATGGTAACCCCGCCAGCATTTACGGTATATGCTTGCGGGCTACTAGTGAGGAATGATAGGTAAGAATGAAAAGACAGGTCGGTTAGCTCATCATGATGAAGACACCTGAAATTCAGCAGGATGGTTTCCAGAGGAGACCACGTGGAGGTCAACCTGACCGAGTATATTGCTAGTAATGGGACTGATAGTCTACATTACTAACAATCCCTTTCCCCACTTCGCACATGTTTTAAATCTGTACTAGTTAACAGACTAGATAATATATTAATATAGCCTCATAAAACATATCTACATTGATCTTAAAAGTAAATTAATACATTTTAAGATTGATTTTTTTATTTGATCGATAGGGATTATGATAATATCATCCCTTTTTTTTTAATAATTGTTACTACATGAATTGAACGCTTTTTATTCACAGCATTACAATACAAAGAACCCATTCGACTTCATGAACCTTATTTCACTAGAAGGCAAGACAAATTTCTTCGAGAAGAAAGTGGGAGAATACCAAAAATGGGGTGTCATGGCCAACCGTATGGACAATGTATTCACTTTGGATGCTGAATTTTAAACTAAACATTAGAACCAGTGACACTATGGATAGCATAGTTACAGTATTAAAGATTCCAATGTATTAGATGTAAGTATATTGGATTAGTATCGGTTGAACCGCTGACTTTTCTATTAACATTTTTCTATAAAATCAAATACTTAATATGTACCTGTACATGACTGTGAGAATATGTGGCCTATTCACACGTGGAAAATAACAAATGTATGTGTAAATAATGACTAGATAAATAAGATAAAATTTATTACATTGTAGCAAAATGGTGCTGTATGGAATATATAACATTCAAACATAAGTTATTAAATAATTATACATTTTGATCATAACAATTCAATTCTTTGTAATTTAGAATTTACATTAATTGAATGAACCAAAATTATTAAATTTTTAAATGCACCTATGTTTATCTAACAATTACGGTAGATTAATGAACACTTGAGTTAATTGACGATGCAATTCATTTTAGTGATACTAAATTTTATACTATTACAATGATTTCTATCATTGCACTATTAATGACTGAGCTAGTATGTCAGTGCTGTGATCATGCTACTTCAAAATTTGAAATTTGAATGACTGGAGTTCTTCTCACAATCGTCTTACATTATGTACGAATTATTTATAAGTGAAATTGAGTTTATATTTAGTTTCTGTCTAGTGTAGAAAATAGTTCGTCATTACCTATGTATGTATGTAATAGAAATAGAATCGACAATAACCTTTGCGGTTGCCGGTATATATTACATTCAGGTGGGATCTCGTGTTTAAACAGTCTTATTATGAATAACGGCTTGTATCCTATAAGACAAGAAATTTTAATTTGTAGCGCGGTACAAGAACTCTTAGAGTTTTCATATTGAGTCCTTATGATCTTTTTGGCTATTGCGAGGCTGAGACAAAATAAAAGTAGGTATTTTATTATTGCCACTAAGTCTCTAGGGTGCCTGAGACAGACTTCTGACTTACTATTCTACATTGTGATTACTAATGCATCCCTATCATTTCTCGCCGACTTCCTGGAGAAGAGCTTATCGTCTGTGACAACTTATGTCCCAGAAGAATGGAAATACTTTGAATGTTCCGAAGATACGTGTATTAATTACTACAATGTTTCATCAAAATTTGCTAACGGTTTTTTAAACAAGTAGACGCATATTGTCTTTCAATGCACCATCCTTTGGGTAGAATCATCCCAAGGCACTTGAGGCACTGGAACAACAACGGGGTTATTATCAACCTCTATGTTGTTTACTATATTGTGTTGATCCCTCTGTTGATTATTAAGAAGTGTCAACGGGATATATTTTCGAATTTTCTACCAAATCTTAGGTAAAAATTTTAAAAATGTATATTTATTTAGAGTTTTACATGCTTGTTTAGATTACATGCAATTAGGTAAGTTTTAAGTGATTTATTCGCTAAGCTCAAAGCTTGTATCGCAGGAACTTTAATATCTATGTTTTATAGAAATTATGATAAAAAAAATAAGTATAACCCGAGTCTTATAACGTCTTAAATTGTTTTTAGAATTAAGGTATTGCTTTAAACTACAATATCTTATTTTTATTATTATATAAAAATCTCTTAATATAAGGAATATTGTTATAGATAATATTAACTCGATTAAGCAGTCTGCATTTTAATTGTTTTAGTACCTTTGTCTTTTTATATCTTCACAATTAAGTACTCGGATAATGAAAATGGTTTCGTGTGATACTAATTATAATGTATGGGAATTTATTAAAAGTGACTGCCCACTTTTTGTTTTATTTTTTACAAATCTACCACAATTTTTCGGAGTCCTTCGGAGACTGCTATAAAATGGAAGGCAATTTATTTGTTAAAAGTATTTTATAATGTAATTTAGAGAGCATATGCAACAAGTATTGATTACAACTTGCGCACACAGACACTAGCTCTAGAAACGTTCTTTCTGCAATGAGATTGATAAAATTAAAAGGCATTTATAACAAATCACATTATTTATTAAGAAAATTACATTTAATGAATATAGAAACGGATTTTCATGTCTATCGTTACTAACAAACCCGTGCAGAGCTAATGCGTTTACAAAAACATCACTTCGGCAAAAGCCCTTAATCTTTACAGCTCATTCATGGAACATATTTTGCACATCATTAAAAAATACTATTTATAATACTCGTGTACTATAAATATTTGAATGCACAAGAATGATTACTCAAGGTCTTGTTTATGAAGAGGCAGAGCTTAGTGCTTGGAGTAGGTTTTCACATTACGAGAAGCGTACAATGTATTTACGAGACTAAAACATTTAGCATTGCATGTCCTGTCCGTATATTGTAGGAGTGCGCATGAAATTAAGTTTCATACTCGGTTTCGAGTGAATAGGTATGACTAAGGAATTTTGCTAGCGTAAAGCTCCATCTATCCGTAAACAAGGCCCAAATTTTAATTGCTTTATCCCTAATAGTACAAAACTAGTGCAATGGTCGAGGGTTTCCAGTCAGTCTTTGAGATTGAATATAGAAATTGTGACCAAAAAATTACGTTTTACGCTTAAATTAATAAAAAAGACAAATAGGTGGAATAATAATGTACTATGAACGATAAATTTCATCTTATCTATGTAATCAAATACAATCACTGTTCACTATAATATAAGATCAAATACGCGCGTAGCATCGCGATGCACTCACAGGCGTCAACTGTCATCAGCTGACGCAGCGTACACGAAGTAGAGGGGTGATAACGTATTATTTGCACCCAAACACACTGGAACATGTATCCTAACTATTATAAGGAACCCTCGGCCGATCTAATTCAAGAGCCTAACGAGAGTGACTCTTGTCTTGTACGAGCCGGCGCAGCAGACGGTGCCCGGAGAGGAAGGTGAGAGCTCCGAGCGGCAGAAGGTAGCGCATTGTCTCAAACATGGTTAGCTTTAGCCACAGTACGCCGTACAGGGACAGCGAAGCTGGAAATTATAAAAATTTTGTTTGTATACATTACGTATATGGATAGTTTTCAATAATATAGTCATATTTTATTTTAGAATCAAAATCAAGATTACAAATTTAATGTATAATATGACCTTATTACATGCATTATAGAATTGAGATGAATACCTAAGAATCACAGTCGCGTTTGTTAAATTTTGTAGTGATTACTTTACAAAATATATATCTCTTAAAATCTCGAATCAAGGCATCTACACACGCAAAACATTTTTTGACACACGCGCCGTGGTTTGTGTATATGCATAAAAATTTGCCAGCCGCGAGAATAGTCCAGAGCCTCTACCATCTTTCATAATTATACAACTACCGACTCGACCCGAGACCGCGTTAGTAGATTTCTATTTGTTTTTTATAACAAAGTACAATCCACGTTACTATATATTGTAGTAGATATTGTAGTCTATGGTTTTTTTATACAACTTAGAATGGCAAACAAGCTGACGGCCCACCTGATGGAAAGTGGTAACAGTCACCTATTAACATGAACAGTACCATAGACATAACGACAGTATACTGTGAAAGAATTTTTAAAATCAACTGAGTATTTTCGAAGTTTATCAATTATAAACAAAACATCATATATTTTTTATTTACAATATAAAGTTTAAACTAGGTGTGTGTAGTAGGAACGCATAGTTATAGTTACCTCCCAGTGCGAGGTGGAACACGAGCGCGCTGGGCGTGAAAGGGAAGTATCCGAGGTTGACCCGCAGACGCGCCCACAGCAACAGCAGCAGCAGCAGCGGCGCGGCGCACGCGGCCGCGAACACGTCCGACAGCGCGCGCGCTGGCCGCGCCTCCGCCGACCGGAACTCGTGCGCGATCTCCGGCAGAGGGCCTGCGCGGCCACCCGCTTTTGTGTCGCCTGCCGCGTGTACAGATTAAAAATATACTTATACAATCATAGACAAGAGCTATCACAGATAGAGATTTTAAATCCATTTTGATTAATAATATTTATTGTAAGTTTAATATATTTAAATGTAAATTATTGAAAAAATGTTAAATAGATATTACAACTTATGTGAAGCAATCATCTATTGAATCTAAAAAACTATACCAATGTCAAATACCTCAAAATATTGTTATACCATATTATTGTTTATTTGTTAATTAGCATGCTGTGTTTCCTTTAAAATGATTGTACACTAAGTATAAATAGACAGTAATTTTAATATTAAATCTTATCAGTGTAACAATTGCTAGGAGACCAAATAAAGATAAAAAAAAAAAAATCTTAGCTAGAATCAAAATCTATTCTGATCTATTCTGTATACCACTACAACTTACCGACGGCAACTGCGTCCTTTCCAAAATTGAAGGCCACCTCCCCGACGAGCCACGAGATGGGATTGGAGACAGCGCTGTCCCCGAGGTACACGGTCAGCGTGTACGTGCCCGATGCTTGGTTCAAGTGCTTACCAATGGCCCCGACATTCTGCAATTAATATTGATTATAGCTATTTACCTATAAACAAGAATGAAATAAAATGGCAGAGGTCTTTTCCCATCAATGGGAATCTATATGATACGTACCTACATAAAGAAAATATATATACCTATACATAATTACTATTTTATTAAGTTACAAAAATATACAAATAATTAATGTAAATAAATATATATTTAATTAGTTATTATTTTGTGGAAGACCATTTTACTAGCCTGATTTCCATTTGATGTATAGCGGTTCAAATACACTGCCTCATCATAAGGCAGTTGCGAGTTTAACTGTTTGTATTAGTCTGACCATTTGTTATATATTTTTAGGCGACGTGAAAAAGGAATTAAATCTTATATTGGAGACACAACACCTTCTAAAATTATACATTTTTTTTTTTAATGACAACATTACTTATATTAATTTTGGCACAGTTGAAGTAATACTGTGTATATCAAATTGCAAAAAAAAAATCCTTTATGTAGCAGATTAAAAATAACTAGTTGCCCCACTGACCAGTTCAACTTTGTATGCCTTGGTATTGTCCGGTTCTGCGACGAAGATGGCCTCGTCGTCGCTGGCGAGGCTGCCGACGCGGACGAACGCTTGTTGCACCAGCACCGGCTTGTTCCACTTGTCGCGGACGGTGAACTTCAACGACACCCTGCATAATAATTAGTCATATCATATGATAAAATATATATATAGATTAAAAAGTTATACAGTTCCCGTATAGAATAGGCCACTCCTTAGTATCTTGTTGGTGTCATAAGGGGTGACTAAGGGAACTTAGTGGTCAATCAAAAAAAGAGTTGGCATTACAGTTAGGCTTTGGTAAATCATTACCAAAGCCTAACTGTAATGCCAACTCGTCTGCCAAGAGTGGCAATTACTGGCAAAACCTCTCAATAACTTCATTCTTCATTCCAAAAGTGAACAGATAATGGCTGATATAAACTATTATATTAATAATAATACATATTAAAGAAAAGAAACAATTACTAATAATTTTTTTATTCATATAAAAAAAATATTAGTAATTAGTAGTCTATTCGTTATACTTGGCAAGTGTGGGACTGGCCTTATATAGCAGAGATGCGAATTGTATGCTTAATTTATAGTGGAAACTATCTACTATAAATTCTGTAAACATTCCCTATATAGAGCAGAGTCATGTCACGATCAGAACACCCAAAATCATATTTTTTTAATGTACTTTAATATGTTTACTTACTTTTGCAAATGATCAGCTTGTAGTCTCTCACCCAGTTTATTAGGATATGCAACAGTCGTGACTTTAGGGCTGGTCGTACCATCCACATCACCAACGCCAACTTCTATATTAGTCACTTGGATTTCACCCAACACAGCAATATTTACATTTGCTGTCTTGCCACCAGCACTGAGAGCGATCTTGTACAAACCATATTGAGCCTTAATTTTGGATAAGTTAAGGACGAATGTTGTTTGCTCTTTCGGTTTCTGAGTCAAAGGTTGCTTGGAGAGGACTACCACATCATCAGCAAGTCTGGTTCCTGATTGAGCAATCACTTCTTCTGGTTTCAAACTTCGTAAGGGGCGGCCAATCAAGTCTGTGACAGACACTTCGACATTATCAGAGTCAGCTGTGACATACTTCTTGCCCTTGACCGAGATGCTGATTGGAGTAGGCTGTAAAAAATATTTTCCATCAGCTCCACTGAATGGGGGCTTGATAAAGTCACCAGCATGGCTACTCTTGTCTCACTTATTGCTTAGCAGCTTCCTTTAAAAGAGTTTAATGGTTGGAAGAGTCTAAACTCTTGTTTTCTAAATAACAAATTTGACTGCCAATCTATTGCAGTTTCTATGAGCAAATAAAGTGATTATTTTCACTTCTAGTCATATATAGGAATGTGGACTTTCTATATATGTATATATATTCTGTATATATTGAGACAGTTGCACTTTTAATGCATTGCAATTTCTGAGTACTACGGTATTATGTCAATTTCACTCACTTACCTTTCAAACAGAAACATAACCATGTGAACATAGCTACTTGGCAGACAGACACACAGGTGAGACAGAGATATCCCTATAGATGTTTTTGTTGTTTCTGAATTGATATTCTTAAAGAACAATATACTTACGTCGGTATCAGCGATCGCCAGAGCCGCGTCGAGCAGCAACCAAGCTCCCCGCGGGGTGTTGACCGAGCGCCGGGAGAGTAAGTACTCCGCGAACTTGTAGCGTTGATCCTCAGTCAGAGGCAAAGGTTTCTTCAGCTCTTTGTATGCCCTGCAAAGATACATTACGTTCAATACATGAGGTGAGTCAAGCACCTATTAATTCTATGATTAAAGCAATAAATTCTATGTAAATAACTATGTTGAATCTACAAAATTAGAGAGGAAATTGGGCCCAAATAATAATTGCATAACTAGTGTCTATAGACGCAGTGTTATAACAAAAGCCTCATTTCATGCATAAGAGCTGAAATAAGGCTTATTTTGCTATAACACCGCTGTAATGTGGATAACAGAAAAATAAAAAAAAAATGCCCCAGGTCTGTCCTTACATGATTCATTCATATTTAAATTTGAAAGCCTTAATTAACCTCATATAATGGAATGCTATTAATTGTTATGCTGCACAATGACTGCATTGTATCAATATGTCTTTTCGACACAAAAGCCTTCTTCAATGTCTTCCAAATAGAACATAATCTATATACAAATATATTAACCCACAAAACAGCCAGAGAGTGCAGCGACGTGGCATATACCTGATGATGGTGGTGAGTAGCAGCGAGGTGACGGGCAGGCCGCCGTCGAAGTGCAGCGCGGAAGAATCGCTCTCGTCGGCCGCCAGCAGCACGCCCTCAGCGTGCGATGTTGTCCACGCGCCGCAACCCATGTGCTCGCACAGTGCAAACACGTATCCATAGCTATTGACAAGTATCACTTTATTACCACAGTGACAAAAAATGTTTTTTGGATATATATTCATCTGCATCATTAACACAACTTGTAGGCTTTCTTTCTTCTCGTTATTTATTCTTAATATTTTATATTGTCTAGCGATTTTACTGTGTGTAGACTACATAACAATAGTATATAAAATACTAACTCAAATTTCTGTGATTTGATCACATTTTTTTTTTAATTATAAATAATAAATTCATAGATTATTGAATTAAAATATCTTTATTTTTTTTTTATACCACTGAGGTGGCAAACAAGCATACGGCCCACCGGATGGTAAGTGGTTACCGTAGCCTATGAACACCTGCAATACCAGAGGTATTACGCGTGCGTTGCCGACCCTGAAGTATCTAAAATTAACTATTGGAGATGATGACAAATTATTGTAGATATAATACTTTAATAATAACTTAATAACTATTAATTATATATACATACATTTTAATTATGAAATAACACATTTAAAAAAAATATAAAAATAGAAATAAAGTTTAATAATGTTTTCTTCATGACATATGGTATTCTATATACCATACAATGATAAAGTAATGATTTCATTTAAGGTATGCATGCAATGATAAAAGAATAAATATTTACTCATTACAACTCTTTTATTCCATTTGGATAAACTACTTCTTAATGAAGACATTGTATTAATTTTTAAAATATATTTATTACATATAAAACTCATTCGTGTTTCATCTGTGAAACAGTTGTGTTTGCATGACTGTGTTTTGGTTTGAAGGTTGGGATATGGCAGTGAATTTACAGGGTACAGAGGAATAACACCTTAGTCCTCAGGAATGACAATGTATAGAGGGTATCATGGGTGTTCAAACATAAACTTAGGAATTGGCTGTTATGTAATAATTTTTATACCATCAATGAATATTTAAGTAAAAAAACAAATGTACTTGACAGTCTACACTGGAGATGTGATTGACACTTTGGTTCTTGTTTTCTTTTCTATTTACTGTAATAAATTATGTGTGTGTGTGTGTTATATAGTATGACTAATGAGGGGAAATATAATGTAGAATTATGTAAATTTTTCATATTGTTAATAATTTGCGCGCCGACATAGAGGCAGAATGTATATGGGAAATGTAAACTACTTTCATCGAAAACTACCTACATTCTAGCAAAATAAATTCATTTCATTTCAGAAACAGTAATTTCTGTTTTATCCATGGTACTGCTCATGTCTATAGATGACAGTTACCATTAGGTGGGCCGTAAGCTTATTTGCTATTCTAAGTTACATAAAAAAAAAAAACAGAATATAATAATGGTAGACAAAGGAGATTAGAGTATACATAAGTGGCAATAAAACTAATAGTAATAGACCTATGGAAACAGTTAATATAAGGTATCGCTGAAAAGGAAACAGGCTTAAGGTCGAATGTATTGCCAGGTCTTCCCAACAGATAATAACATTCCCAATTCAGCTGTAGAACAGTTCTGGTCATATCACACAGCATCATTTTGTTCAAAACTAAGCAGAACTAGTACTTAGTTACTAGGCCGTTGATAAAAATAATTAAATATTTTTTTTTATATACACAAAAAATGAGATGTTAAAAATAACTGTGATCTAATTTCTATATACATTATTTGATTCTAATTCATTGAATATGTTTGATCACAAAAAAATATATAAATAAACAAAGTTATATAAATAGCATATATGATTATAAACTTGTTTTTTTGTTTATGTATGTACTTACTTCACTGGAGTATCATCTTTCTTCAACAACTGAATAAGGTTCTTTAAAGCATCCTCCTTATCATAAACAGATCCTTTGCCCATAGCCTTCAATGAGTACACAGCATAATAGAGTTCCCGAATGGTTGCATCCTTTTTATCCAGGACTTGCGTTGGAGTCCTCAGGGTGTCTGGTGTCAGTATGTTCTGACAATTTGTAAGGGCAGCCGCATTTGTGAGGTAGAACACATGTTCCACATTATTGATATCATATTTTGAGTTCTTAAGGTCCTGCAATTAAGTAAATAAAGACTGAAGCTGCTAATATTAAAAATTGCCAGTGATAAATGAATTACACTCTATCTCTTTGTAAATATTTAAAATTAATTTCTTATTATAACAACTTTGAATTTTATATATGAATATTGTAATTGGTTTCAATATTTATGTATAGAAATATTCCATCACACTAATAATAAGTGTGTGTTTGTAAAGATATCTAGATGTTTGTTATTTAATCACATTTTAATTGTTGAATGAATATCAATGAAATTTGGTAGAAAGATGGATCAGATATTGGATTAAAATACAGAGTACTAATCTAATTCATACAAGTAAAGCTTGTGGCAAGCAATCAGTGAAGAATATAGGGTAGTGTTAGCATATGAAACTTACCTGACAGACATCAGGTACAGTTGCTTTCAACTGCTTTAATCCTTTTACAGCAAAATAGATTGAACCTACATCCTTACTTTTAATACCATTCTGCAGTATCGTTTGTAGGCGCGACAAATCTATAGTGCTTTGAAGAGTTGCATTACTTAATGCTAATACGCTTAGAATTAATAAAAATGATAAACCTGTAAAAAATTTGGAATAATAATTAGTTATAAAACTAAAAAAAATTGTCTTTTTTATTAAATTTAAGAAATAATATTCATGGGGTTAAGTGTACTTTGTTAACCTAAAGACAGTAGGTATCGCAGCCGGCACTCAATGGTTTTGCATGACGTGTCCCAAACTAACAATTAAAAACTACATAAATTAGATATCAAAAATGCTACTACGTATACACTGAGTTGTGTTAAATGAAAAATAAAATAATAATATCTTAAAACGATAGTTTTATATTATGTGCAAGTAAATCAATGTTGTGATAGTCACGCCAGTAGACTTCAGAGAAGGATATTCAAAACACTCACCTAATGACTGCATAATTTTATAAATTACTCAGAGCGAACTCTGATAATAACGTAATCCAATATCTTTCAATGAAATTTAGTAAAATATTTGTTAAAAGTCTTCATAAAATAAGACTCTTCATAGCCGGTCAAAAGAACTTTGACAGAAAGGATCGACGTCGACGTAGAACTGACGTCGACATAGCTTCTGAATGTTGCAAGTTTACAAAAGTTACAAAACGCACTTCAAAATAATCTTAGTGACAAGTGCCAAAAATGAAAATTCAACATTATAATATACGTCTGTTCTTTGCTCCATGCATAATTTATTTAAAAAAAATATATTTGACACTAATTTTGACATTAGCTCACTTGACAGTTTACCGTATTCATAGATTAGAGAGATTACACCATATTCCTACAACGTATTAATTGCTCTGTGGTATTCCTCACTTTTTTCTCTTACTATCATTCCAAAATTAAAATTTGGAATTTACTCGATATTATAGCAAGTGTCTTCGAATAATTTTACGAAATGGCTAGTGCCGCTGGCAAGATACCCTCATTGATTAACTGTAAGTAGATAATGTATTACTTTATTTATCGTGATTACTTCGTTATGTAATTCTGAAATATTAATTTTTGTTCATAATAGGTATTTATTATATTCATTTACAACCTACTTAATATCTATTAATATTACGAAACAACCGATGCTTATAGTTTTTAACTGTTTTTTTTCCCTCAGCATTTCTTTTTCTAATACTTGTTCATTTTTTGCATTTGCAGCGGCTATTGCCCAAGCGCGGCCACAATTCAACATATTTTTGAAATATGCACGAGTTGAACTGGCCCCACCTAAAGTGAGTGAAATTCCACAAATTAAGGCTGGCATTGGTAGACTGCTGTCAAGTGCCAAAACTGGTGCATGGAAACAACTAACAGTCAAGCAGGCGACCTTGAATACCTTAGTTGGTGCTGAAGTCCTGTTCTGGTTCTATGTTGGTGAATGCATTGGCAAACGTCACATTGTTGGTTATGATGTCTAAGTTTCGTTATAAGTTCAACTCTGTAGATATTATTTTCAGTGAAATAAATTATTAAATTACCCATCAGATTCTTTTTTTATTTACTAAAACTTATATTTTTGGGATTCTATTAGAATCATAAAATTATTATTACTTCAGCTGTTAACTGCCCACTGCTGAACATAATCCTTCCCCATAAGGGGAATTTTGCAATAGTTGTCACACTTGGCAGGTGGGTTGGTAACCGCAGTTAGGTTTTTAGAGATATTTTAAGAGGAACTTTGCTGCCCATTCCCTGCTCTTTCTTAGTCAATTCTTATGACACCCATGGGAAAGGAATGTGGTCCATTCTATGCTGGTTCACACAAAATTATAATTAATAAAATATATGTAAGTTTATTACTAGTTCCAATAATATTATTAAATAAATAATAGATATAAAAACATTAACTAATATTTTTATTTAAAGCACATTTCACAAAACTAAATACAAAATTATTTACAATGGAGCACACTGTTCCATAAACTTATAAGGATTGCAAGCACTTGTGAACTTCAGTTCTGTTTCAATTTCTGGAGGTCCCCGGAGCCATAACCTGTCTCTGTAGTAACTGGCGCAGGATAAGAATTCTTTATCAGTATATCGTCCAACCTCAATAGGGACAAAGGGATCCAATAACTCAAATCCCTGCAATAAATAACAATATATAGAAAAATAAATTACAAAAGTAGTAATGTAATAATACCTAGCTACTTTTTATTAAATATTCGTTAACTTGAAAAGTTCCAGTGAAATGATCGAATGGCACTTAAAATAATAAGGCATTTTATTTCATTTTATACATTTACCTTTTTATATAATAAGTATCTTGGAAGATAACTATCTTGATGATCATCAGGTAGCGCCAGTTGATCTGCTGTCACGACGACAACTCCATTAGACTGAAAATAATTCAAATAGAGTTGAATATTAATATTTATTCAAATACTATAGCATGACAAAGTTATACACACACACATACACATATCCCTTCATTTATGGTACATGTCTATGGTACTGCTCATGTCTATAGGCGACAGTTACCACTTTCCATCAGGTGGGCCATCAGCTTGTTTGCCATTCTAAGTTGTATAAAAAAAAATTGTTATTATTTATTACAAATTTATATATAGGAACTAGGAGCATCCATAAAATTATATTTTTCTATTCTGGGCAAAAAATATTTGCTGCTATTTATAATTAATGCTACAATAACAGATAGTGAACTAATTTGGTAATCCAATACGCGCCATTGAGTCTGGGAAATCTTACTACATGTTATTTATAGGAAGGTACTTGACTACTTAAGAACAGTTGTGTAATTCATTTTATCAAATATGTTGTAGTGTTATATTGTCTTTAAGATATTCAATACATAATACATTACAAACCCAATCATTTTTTGCTAGTTCTAAAAATGATCCAGTAAGTGTTACTTCTTCTGGCTTCACTTTCTTTTTAGTTGGAGTGTGAAGTCGCGTTAGAGGGCAGAAGAAGCCATTGAAACCATCTATTGCAACAAATGTCTTGCATCTAAAAACAAAATAAAAACACACATGAAACAAATATAACAATGTCTATAGGCGATGGTTACCACTTTCCATCAGGTGGGCCGACAACTTGTTTGGCATTCTAAGTTGCATAAAAATAAAAAATAAAATCAGCATTTGCTTTTAATTTTTTTTTCTCTTGAAAAAAAAAATAATATACATGAATGACAGGTAAAATAAGGACTCCTTTGTAATAATATTAATAATTTCAATTTCATCCTATACTCATTATTAAAGGATTTAATTTACTAACTGTTTGCTATTGGAGAGTTGTTTAATTTCGTATACTAGTGCATCAAGCACATCACAGGCATATTTCACGCGGTTGATGCCATGTTCCACAAGTTGCGACAGTGGAGAACCTGCCACTGTGCTTTCACGTTTACTCCATACATAATCCCTAGATATTTTCAACTGCAACATAGAAAAAAATAAAATTAAGCATATAAGCATTTTTGAATCATCATTTGTTTATGAATATACCACCCAGATCGGAATGCAATTTCAGCTGAGAAGAACAAGCAAGAAACACAGCTATTGCTCTTTTCAAATAAAGTTCACAACAAAAATAAATAATGGATAAAATGACTCACAAATATTAAAATATAATTCAAGCTAAACATTTTGACTGGGTTGCACTAGCTATAGTTACAAGCAGATCATACCATGTTAAAACCTGTCAAATTATGTTAATATTACAGTTAGACTCATATTTTTTACATACCTCTGTATTTTTAAGTAAAACTTGATTCTGAGTCTTAAAGTGCAAGAGCCAAGCGGCAACATCCAGAGGCAGGTCTACAAAACCTTCACGAGTTTGTGAGTTGGACATCTCCTTATGTCGAGGCACACGTCGCAGGAATTCTGACACTATGAAATAAATAATCAATAATATATTATCTGTACTTTACAATGGTATTAACATTTTTCATTTATATTTTAATATGCAAGGACAATTTTGCATATTAGAATGTGCAGGTTAATAATGATTAGAAAAGATTGTTCATTTACATATTTACTGCATTTTATAATATGGGATGACAGTATGACATACATTCAAAATATATTGTATATTTTATTAAGATAGGTATTAACTAATTTTAGTATATAAAAGTAAAAATCTATCAACTCAATGAAAGAGGAGCAAGAGATGTGATCCCATTGCATCATGTCAAATACTTCAAATTTGCCTTTCCTGAATAGAAGGACAAAATTGAAACATTGACTTAGGAGGGAATTTTAACTTTAAAATCATATCCCTATATTTTTATTTACATTGTGATGACTGAGTATATACTACTATTTATTTTCAAATGTATATTAATATACACCTGCATATTGTAAAATATACTTAGAAATATTCTATATTTATATTATATTACATTATTTTAGAAAATGATTAAATGGTCTTACCCCATGGCACATGCACAATCAGATAGCCCTCTTCATAAGCATAATGTAGTAGGTGTGCCAAAGTCAATGATTTACCTGAACCTTTTTCACCATCTGTTTTATGTTAAGAAAATTACAGTGTTTTAAAATTTACATATACATATAAAATTATAAACTGTTGCCAACTCCTTTCAATATTAAGTACATAAGTATATACTGTCTTATTTTTATTTTATATTAATTATATTAACAACACAAAATTTCAACGCATGGTTGGTATGTGATCAGCACTTACTGTGTTCCAGTGTTATAAACAGTAAAAGAAATGGTTAATTTAACATTATTATCTATATCTAAAAGAAAAAAAATTAAAAAGGATACACATTACATATCTGATTACTGGCTTGTTGAAATCTGAAGCTTTAATACAATCAATTAAATCAAGTGCAGGCTGACGCACCATTATAGCTGTTTCTGTGAATGTCTTAGTTTGTTTTGCAAAACTTTTGGGCAAACCACCATATGCAAATAATTGTTTGCATAGATCATGATTGACAGAGTAGAATAAACCAATCTGTTTCTCATTGTGTTGTGACTGTAGAACAAAAATCATGCAAGGTTAAAGGTTATTGCATTCTGTTTTCTGTTTAAACAAAACAATTTACATGAAAAAATGTATACTTATGTAAATTTGCATTATAGATTTTATTATTAGGTACATCTTGATTTACACGTGATTCAAATGCATGTTAATAATGTTCTGTATTATTTTAATTAACAAAAAAATAATATATTAAATTATTTATAATTGTAATTGTCGGCACTTGGCGTAATTTCAAAAATATATTACTACAAAAACACTGAACTCTTAGACCTTTGTAAATGCATTGAATGGCAAAATGAGACAAATATTTATTGTAACTATTTGCAGAGGAATACAAGTGCTATTATAGTAATATCAAGAAATTTATAAGCAAATATTACAGGTGAAGATTCTGTAGTTCTGAATGTAACTGTCTGTGAATATCGTCGACATAGGTTTCTCCAGCTGCGTGATATCATATTGCTTAAAAATACTTATTTAAATACTGTTACCACTATATATCACTGTTATTTAAATATAAATAATAAACTCAATTTTTTATTATACAAAATCAAATAAATATCTAAGTATTCGAACCGAACATAACCTAAAAAGTCTAACTTCAAAAATGTTACGTTCAGAAACATACGTTTCATGATTTTCATTAGAGTATTTAGAGTACATTGCACAAAGTGAGTAAAATCGCTAAATTTTACTATATTATAGTAATTTCTTATTTATTACATCAGAATGAATATACCAAATTTTTTATAATATACTATTTTTACCTGTGACTTCGTCCGCGTGACTGGGATATGTTTATTAATAGATATAAAAAGTAGCTTTTTCAGTCCATATTGTAAATATATATCAAATTTCATAGCGATTACTTCTTTCTTCTTTTTATTTAAGTGTTTCCTCTTGTCGGTGCAACTAATTCATGCATCCAGCTAGTTCTATCCCAGGCCGTACCATTGACCTCCCTATACGTATGACACCAAGTGTTTTTTTTTATCAGTCCCATGTAGTTATTCCTCGGTCTTCCCCTTCCTCTTTTTTGGGGGAAAGGGATTGTTAGTAATGGAAACCGAGAATCCCATTGTTAGCAATATACCCAACCAGGTCGACCTCCTCATGGTTAATTCCTGATGAATTCATCATGATGGACTAACTGGTCTATTTTTATTCTCATCTATCACCCTTCACTGGTGCTCCGCCAGCGTATCCCGTTAGCGCAGACGGGGTTACCATACCATTATGACCCATCAAAAAAAATACCCTCTATTTTTCCCTCTACTGTACTCTTTAAAAAATCGTCATGTCGTATAAGATGGCCCAGCATTTTACCTTTTCTATTCTCTATTATTGATTACTTAAAATGCTATAAACATGTATAAGGATAAGGATATCTTTTATCCCTCTTAAACTTAGTTAATAGGTTTATGATGGTGATGTGGTCAGATTGAACAGACTATACCAAAGCAATAAAAAAATTTAAGTGAAATGCAGTAGCATAAAGCAAAGATCAAAATATTAACAAAAGTATAAAAGACGGTCTTGTCGCTAGGGCAATCTCTTACAGAAAACCTTTGCTTAATGGAGATTTGAGTAGCAGGTAGGTGGCATAAGAGTCAAATAAATATGAAAGTTCCATTTCAATAATTAGATTATAACCATAAACTAACGTTTATATACATAGTTTCTAGAGAGCAAATTTATGATTTAGGTAAAATAATATTTTTATTTGTTCATAATATTTATTTATAGAATTAGCGGTACATGTAATTTTATATACATTAAAATTACTTTTCTGGTGATTTGGATTTGCATTTAATCTTATCACATAGTACATGTTTGAATTAGGCTTGCGAAGATTTATTTTGTAGTCTTTTTTTCCTAAAAAGACTTGTAGGCCGACTCTCATTTTGTAATTTATTATCATGCTGGTCTGTTCTTTCTATAATATCACTGACAACTATAGTTTTATTTATAGGTATCTGATTAGATTCAGCTACTGATACATTATTAATATTTCTTGTTTCACCTTCATAATCCATATTAGAGTCATATTTTGTTTTTTTGAGAATAGATGTAGTTTCATTAAAAAGGTTTGGATAAGCATAGTAGATGTCACTAGGTTTCTTCATACCATTGTCAGGATTGTAGGGTTCTTTAGATGGTTCAACTGTACTATGTTTGAAAACAATGTCTATTGTTTCACTATCATCTTCATCAGCAAATGAAACACCCCTTTTAACTGTAGCAGATTTTGTAGTAGCAACATCCTTTCCATCACTTTCAAAACCATTTGCTTCCAAAATATTATTTTCCAATCTGAAAACACAATTTAATTAACAACTATAGTCATAATTTTTTTTAAGTATAATAATGAAATGGTAACACCACACCACTATTGGTATATACTGGTGGGGCACCAGTGACATGATAGGTGAGGATGAAAGCAGGTCAGTAGGCCCATCATGATGAATATAAAAGAATTAACCATGTTAGTTGACAGGGCATATTGCTAGCAATGGGGTCATAGTCTCCATTATTAATGACTTTTTCCCTTTCCATTTAACAACTATTAAAATAAATGAATCATTAGAAATATTACCGGTCTATTTCATCTTCGAGTTCCTCGAGGGCGTCCATTTCATCTAACCTTGCAATTAAATCTTGCTCCGTCTTTGTTTCAGTCCTTTCCTTGCACTTCAATTCTGTGAGCTTCTGTTCCAATTCTGTTTGTTTATCTAATACTTGTTGCAATAAATCCAATTTTGATGTTTGTTGTGGAGTTGTTTTTGGATCGACTGATATTTTATAATTGTGTTTTGCAGTTTGTTCTGTATTATCTTTCTGTTCTGTATACTCTGATAACACATCTGATGATACATCTGATTCCTTTGTTATTAATGACTTTTGTGAATTATTAAAATTTTCACTATTTTTTGTATCATCCACAAGTAGCATTTGATTTTCTAATTCCTCTTGTAATTCTAATTCTTCTAATCTGTACCATAGTTCTTCATCAGTTACATCACCAGTCATTTGTTCATTATGAGCTTTTTGTTGTTTTTTGTAGTTTCTTACATTTTGGCTATGTTTCTCCCTCCAGGCTTTGTCCTCTTCATCTGTATGTACTTCTATAATTTCTTGACCAACATTTTCTTTAACATTATTTTTGAATAGTAATTGATTTTCAAGATATTCTTTTTCCTTTGTATATATGTCAACTTTAGACTGTGCATCTGTAAAAGCAATATTCAATTATTTTTAAGCCAATATAAATAATTTTGAATAGGAATAAAAATTATACTATCTACCTTTAATCCTATGTTGACGTAGGATTTCTGCTTGCTTCAAGGAACATTTAGCAAAGTAATCAGCACCCAAGGACACTGTGACTTCATTCGTATGTTTTAAATATCCTCTAAAAAGTATTTTATTCCCAATGGGAACAAGAGTTGGTACGGTCAACTTATCGCTGTACACGCTAAAGTCTAAGGACTTTAGGTTATTCAGATAGTCCTCCCAAAACTGCAAGTTACTTGCATTTTCGTATATACTCTGGAAATAAGAATAACCATTCAGTTTAGAATATATTATGACAATACATACCATTAGATATATAAGTTAACACACTTTTATATTAGCGTTTCTGATTATATTCATTGTTTATGTTCTGACTACAATTCTATTGTTTTTTGAATATCAAGTAAATCAGTCCGATATGTAAATATAAATAAAAACAATCTAACTTAACCTCTAGGTAGGTAATTTAAAACAATGTAAAATTTGATAGAACTTTGTTTGTTAGACATTTCTAATATGTGACAAATGCCCATTGACTGTGAACACAGACTATAGAGACTAAAACGTGGAGCAATGTTGGCAAGATGAAACGTCAAATTTGATACAAAAACATTTATCTGTCATCAATGGATCGATTATTGATAAAGAGACCAAAACAGAAAAATAATAGGAATTCAAGGCTCAAAGAAAAAAAAAAAAATACAATTCTCTTCGGAGAATTCAGACTGAACCATTGCGAAAACATTAAATAAAAATTATTATTATATAAAATCAAATTATGGAGGAGAATAAATCAATATTACACGAGTTATATGTGTTTTCAGAGTGGAAACCTGAGCCTGAATATATTGTAAGTACATTTTTTTGTTAAAGTCTCCTTATTGACGTAAAACAATTGCATATGATTCTTTTTCATTTTATTTAATTTTTCATTACCGACTAGAGCAAAATTTCCCAACCAGGAGGGAGGGTGTACCCACCAAGGGTGGGGCGTAATTCTTTTGCAGTTTCGGAAGAAAAATTAACGCATATATCAAACTTAATTTAGAATCAAGGAACTAGTGCAGGGCATGCAGTCTCAAGTTTTTTATTACTTCTTTACATGTTTTTTTCTTTGAAGTTTATTTTTTATAAATTGGAATTAGTTAACATAAAGTTGTTAAAATAATGTGTTTTTTTAATAATAAACTTTGATTAGTGGACAAGGAGGGTCGGTTAATTCGAGGGGAGCATGCAAATATTATGTATAATTCACTTCTATCATTTACTTCTGATAGGGAGGCTTCACAGAAGCAACCTCTTCTGAATTCCTGGATTACAGTAACACCATTCAATTTCCTGCAATTATTATGTGACAGTTTCATTGATTAAATTATTGCTTTTGGTGGCTCTATTATTTATGCTTAATCTCCTTATGATTGTATTTGATAAAAGATCTCTTTTGGATATTGGATTTGTTTATGATAAATAATTAAATTTATTCCAGCAAAAACCTGACAGTATCTTGCCAGAAAATATATCAGCATTATGGCGTTGGTTAAAATTTTTTGGACCCAAGAAGAGCTTGATTGATAGCATAACAGTGTTAGTAACCTATATATTATGTTGGTATTTATAATTGTAAATATAATTTCTGATAAATATTATTAAAAGTAATAATTTAAAACATTTTCAGTCACAAGGAAAAGCAGCAGAAGTGGCACATAGCCCTTGGGGATGAGGGCAAAGTCATAGCTGTCCTTACAGATAACATACTAGAGATCAGAACAAAGAGATCAGACTATGCTACAATAGCAGCTAGAACAACAGGTAAATATTGTGTTCTAAATACTAGCAAATTGTATAATCGCAATTTTAATATTACATTTTATTTTATTTTAATTACATTATATTTTAATAATAATAATATACAAATGGTGATAATTGTTGTTAAAAAAAAATTAAATTATTATATGTATAACTAATATATATAAAAAAAAACAAAAAAGTGTGAATTAATTTATTTACATAACTGTATTGATTGTATAAAATATGAAATAGACTGACTATAATTAAAAAAAAAAAAAAACTTTAATTATATTTAACTCTAAATAAACTGTAATTTTAATTTATAATTTTTATAATTTTGATTATTTATATATTAATTTTAATTTTTACATGTAGTATCCATCCTATACAATGTATTTTGTTCTTAGGATAAATAAATAAATTAATGGTTATATCTGTACAGATTTCTATAGAATGTCTTATTTTTTTAACAGCTTGAACAAAATTATAAACATGTCTCATATTTATGATTTATTTGAAGATGAACTATGAAATATGAAGTTAATACTATAAATGAGCAATAATGATATGGTAAATAAATAATGCACTATCATTATAATATTGATTATGACATAATATTATATAGTATCAGCCTTAGTGAAGCATATAAGCTATCTGAAATATCATAGATGTCTGCTTTTTATTAAGTCCTGTCCTTAATGAACAACTTAATAAAAATGATTTAATTATTTAACTGCAATCATTATACACATTTCTTAAATAAATTATATTTAAGAAATATGTATCTGGAAATTGTCTGTTAACTCTTATGTTATATTTCTTATTATTAAGTATATTTAAACCAGTATAATAAAGAGTTCTTATTATTTTTGTTTTTTTTTTTTTCTTGTAGTGAGTCGTGATGCATATCCACAGTGGCGTAAATTGGTATGGAGTCCTGACTGCTCATTCCTGGTTCTCGCCTATGGCAATGGGGTTGTGAGCTTCTTTGACCTTACAGCCTCCAATCTCTTTAACATACCAATTGTAAGTTTTTTTTTTTTTTAATTATTTATTTAAAGAGATGTTCATAATTATAAATATTTCTTCTATATTTTTTTTTTTGTTATGTTGTCTCATATGTAATGTAAATGAATACTTTATTAATTTATTTTATCTGTTATATTTTGATATAAATTCTTTTGCTTCTCTTAGATGCTCTAAAATATTTACATTTGTTACTAGGGTATTAGTTTGTTGATGAATTTTTATTTTAATGTTATGAAGTTTTATTTTTATTAAACCATATTTGTTTTAATCCTGTTTAGGATTGTTCAAGACCTGGTGGATTAGAGTGCACCGACAATACACATGCTGTTGCTGACATAATATTTATGCCACTTCGAGTCAAAGATAATAAATGGTCAGTATAATATATTTAAGATCAGTAATGTGGTGTGTGCCACCATAATAGATATTTAATATTTAAATGTACAAAGTGTAAATTTTAGAAATAGTAAAAATATTTCTGATGCCTTTTTTATATTAAAATGAAAATAAATATACGATCAAATTGTGATGGTTCGAATTGTGAAAGTATTGCCATATGGTGTTGTGATGGGTGCAGGAACTGGGAGGTGGCGGTGGTGACGCACGACGGCAAGCTGCGCGGGTACGTGGTGTCGCAGACGGAGGGCTGCAAGCTGCACCACACGTTCCGGTTCGCGGCCGGGCTGGGCGCGCTGTTGTACGCGGCGCCGCACCACACGCTCTACGTCGCCGGCCTGCCGCGCGCCGGCAACAAGGTCGCGCTTCTAATACGCAAACAGTTAGCCCAGTAGGCAATCTTTTCTATATACCATAGATAAGATTGACTGTTCCCTGCCGAGGTTTTCCCAAGAGACTACAGCATGGGGTTCTTCAAAAGGGGGGTAAAGAGGTTTCTTCAGGGTCGGCAACGCACGCGTAATATGTCTGATATTGCAGGTGTTCATAGGCTACGGTAACCACTTACCATCAGGTGGGCCGTATGCTTGTTGCCACTTCAGTGGTATAAAAAAAAGACTATATAGGTAGTCTGCATACAAATGCTTCGAAATTAATGGGTCAACTTTTTCATACAATTTTACATGATAAATAGTTGTGATTCCTTTATAACTTCTATATTTATTTCGACTTATAGATTCTGCACCTTTTTAATGCACAGAAACTCATTTTATTTATTAAATAATTAAATATAGATACGTCAAGTTATAATGTCTGCGTAAATATATAGAGCATTAATAAAAAAAAATGAGTCAGCTAATTTGACAATTACCTGACTAAAAGTTGACCCGTTTTTGAGGCTCGATGCTCCATCTATATAATCTAAGGACCTATTTATTATTATTATTAAATTTACAGAGCACATATTCATAACACCTGAGTCCTCAGGAATGGCGATGCATAGGGGATATCATAGGTGAAACAGTATACTCAGTTATGTCCATGGTACTGCTCATGTATATAGGCGACAGTTACCACTTTCCATCAGGTGGTGCCGTATGCTTGTTTGCCACCTCAGTGGTATAAAAAAAAACGTAGCTGTAAAAACCGCGTCCAATTTGGCGCAGTATTTTTTGTATGATGGCGGAATCAACAAAGACAGAGACAAATTTTAAAAAATTACTTTTTTCACATTTATTACTTTTAGATCTCTCATATCTATTTTTCTAAAATACGACCCATATATAGATATCTTCTCGTTACAATTTTATTACTAGCAAGATTAATTTTTAATGGTTGCAGGATCCAGCATCGCCGCTAACCGCTGGCATAACGGCGTGGCGCATATTAAATGATGATCCATTCTACAAATTGTCTGTAGTGTCTGACCAACTCGAGGCTCAACTGGCTAATGAAAGATTCCAATTTTACATTCCATTTGTATCTTCTAAAAATATGGTGAGTACCAATAAATATTGCTCTTTTTTATTTAAAGTATAATCAATGGTTATGTTATAAAAGGGATGTAGACATTTGGAATCATACTGATAAAATTTTAATTGAAGATATTTGCAATTAAAAAACAATCTGAGTATTTTTTTTGATGGGTGAAAATGGTATTGTAACCCCACCCTGCCTCCCCTAACGGGATACGCTGGCGGAGCACCAGTGAAGGGTGATAGATGAGAATGAAAACAGGCCAGTTAGCCCATCATGATGAATTCATCAGGAATTAACCATGATAGTTTCCAGGGAGAACCACGAGGAGGTCGACTTGGTTGGGTATATTGCTAGCAATGGGATTCTCAGTGTCCATTACTAACAATCCCTTTCCCCCCACAATCTGAATATTGGTGGCATTATAAAGGACGATAGTCCTGATGATTTCAAATTTGAATGTAATAACTACCAGTTTTACTTAGGTAGAATTAGATTGAGAAATCTCAACTAGTTGCAGGATCAATTTGAAACCCTTAATAATGAGCGGCTATTTAACTATTTAAAAACATGCACGCAATAATAATAGTTAATAGGTTATCATTACAAATAGATAACTACAAATGACTAGGGGGAAAGGGATTGTTAGCAATGGAGTTTGACAGTCCCATTGCTAGCAATATGCCACATGGTTTCCCCTGGAAACCATCGTGAACAATTCTTATTGAATTTATCACTATGGGCTAACTAACCTGCTTTTTCCTCATCTATCATTCTTCACTGGTGCCCGACTGGTGTATACCAATAGCGCTGGTGGGGTTACCATTCCATTATCACCCATTAAAAAAAACTATAAATGACTATATCTGTGTTGTACTCGTATGTACCAGGAGTTCATAGTGCAAATGGTGATGTCTCCGGACGGGTCGAAGCTGGTGTGCCTGCACTGGTCGGGCGCGGTGTCGGTGTGGCGGCTGCCGTTGCTGGTGCGCCTGCATTACCACCCGCTGTCCTCGCAGCCGCAACACGATTTGCTCAGTCCGTTGCCCACTTCCGCTTCCGCGTTCACGCCCGCGCCTGCGCCCGCTGATATAAGCTGGTGGTCCGATAAGGTATATATGACTATATTATTATTTTTCAATTGTAATTTTTGTTGACTTATGCTAAAGTAATGCCAAATAATCCTGAGTACAGTTGCAGATTACAAAGAGGGAATTTTTTAATCATATTCTAGTCTTTACAGTTTATAACAATTGGTTATCTCCTATGATCTTCTTGGATGATTTTTGTACGAATTAAAATATCGGTCCAAGTTTTAAAATATTATTTTTCCTCTTTTAAGATATTTTTTTATTGACTTATTATATTTTTATTTATTTATTTATAAAATATGTCTACAGGGCGGATTTAATGCCTGATGGCATTCTCTATCGTTCACCGTTGCGCTAAACAATGCTTTTTTGTTTCCTAGGAGATAATAGTGTCCCGATTTAGCGGCGCCGTGACAGTCTGTAACATTGAGGATATGATGAATATATTGGGAAAGAAGCCAGAGTTCTTCCAGGGATCGCCACGGGTATGTCGCATCAAATACTGGAATTAGGACTTATCTATCTATTTTATAAGATAAATTTATTTATTTATGATGAATATTATTATAATATACTAGCGACCCGCCCCGGCTTCGCACGGGTGCAACATTACATCACATCACATTAGAAACCTCTAAAATTATCAGTGTTTCTCTACAATATTATGCATGTATTATACATATAAACCTTCCTCTTGAATCACTCTATCTATTAAAAAAACCGCTTCAAAATCCGTTGCGTAGTTTTAAAGATTTAAGCATACATAGGGAGAGACAGACAGCGACAGCGACTTTGTTTTATACTATGTAGTGATTTAGATGAATATTATTTATAAGCAATATTTGAATGTAAAATGTGTGACACATTACTATTTATGAATTTATAACCTCAATTTCGTATATTTCACTATAGTATCGATAATAGTAAACAAAACTGTGAAAAAAAATAAACACGTTCATTATGTTACCAGGTAACGTGCGCATACGACGGTACGTTTATGGTACTCGAGTGCGAGTCCAACGTGTTGCCCGCTAAAAAATCGCGCAGTGATGAAAGTGTAAGTATATAGAGGTTAAACATCATCATCATCATCATCACAGCTGTTCAATGTACACCGCTAATATATTGAGTCCCCTCCCCCTCCCATAGACCGTTCTTAAATCAAATTTCAATGCCTTGTTTACTTATACACGCGACATTATATATGTTTTTTCAAACATGCTTGGAAATGTGAGCATTATTTTGACAATCTTCTTCGAGATAAATCAAAATTGCCGTACTGGCCAGATACATGCGGGCAGCGGCCGGCAAAAGTTGTATGAAAATCCATATCTGTCGTGTTTTACGCCCAGATAAATTACTATGTAAACTCATATCTGTCCTGTAATTTAAAAATGGAATGACCTTTTACTTCGAAATATGGCCACCAAGGAGGTAACTAATAAAAGGTTTTATTTAAATTTCGAACTGGCTTGCAAATAGAAAGCTGTTTATTGAAAAAAAAACAAAGGAACATTATGGCGCGTGAAAAATTATTATTGTTCGTTATTCGTCATTTAACTTAAAAAGTAAAATTGTGTTTTTGATTTCCGCGCATTGTTTGAGAAAAGTACTATACAAGCCTTGGCCACAACTAGGCATTGATGGACTCACATATGTGTGCCTCGGCTACGCCTCGGCCCACATTTGCACGTTCGTCCATCAATGCCTCAGTTGCTAGCCGCTGCAGTAATGTACTATTGTTTTAAAGTAGTGTAGCATTGTATTACTTGTAAATGATAAACTCATGCATAACTGATGTCTAACCCAATGTATGACGTCAGATGGAGGTGGTGAAAGCTGAAGCAAACACCGAGGACTCGTTGGTGGACACGGTCCGCGAGCTGATCAAGTCGGTGCTGTTCGCGATCACGGACATTGAGACGTTCCAGCCGCGGCCGCGCCGCATCACCGTCGTCTCTAGGGTCTACAGGCTGCTGGGCGTCAAGAGTACCACGCCTAACGAACTGTTCTCCAGAAAGGTAACTTGTATTTTTGCAAAAATGGTTTTACAATAGATCACTTTTAACATCAGTATAGTTCTTGAACTGTATTTGCTAGCAATTTTGTAATAATCTTGTGTGATTATTAGAGTAACAGTAGGTTTAGACAAATGGGAAATAAGACAAGAATTTTTGCTCTCTGTTCTTTGTTATTTTAAACTAAATCTAACTTAAAACTAAGATATTAGTACTTATATGTAAACTAAAATATTCGAGAGCATTCTGCATTCACTACAACACAACTTATTAAGTCTAACTTATCATTGTTATGCATGCATCGAAACGATGTATCTTCTTTTCCAATTATTCTATTTTAATATTGAAATATCTGAAAGTCACTACGTCGATTCCGGCATAGAATAAGCCACCCCTTCCTATCCCGTGAGTGCCGGAGGGAAAGGGATTCTTAGTAATGGAGACTGAGAATCCCATTGCTAGTAATATACCCAACCAGATCGACCTCGCGGTTCCCCCTGGAAACTATCATGGTTAATTCCTGATGAATTCATCATGATGGGCTAACTGGCCTGTTTTTATTCTCATCTATCACCCTTCGCTGGTGCTCCGCCAACATATCCCGTTAGCGCAGGCATTACCATACAATTTTCACCCATCAAAAAAAAAAAACCCGTGAGTGTCGTAAGAGTCGATTAAGGGAGGGCAAAGGATGGACAGCAGCATCTCTTTTAAAACATCTGTAAAAGCCTAACTGCGGTTGCTAACCCGCCTACCAAGCATGGCAACTACTGGCAGTACTCCCCTTATGGGCAAGGCTTATGTTCAGCGGTGGACAGTTAACGGCTGAAATAATAAAAAATCTGAAATTAAGAATTTAATTCAAAAGAAATTGATAAAACATAGTTTTTATTTATTTTACTATTTTATTCATTATACCAGTACTGTTAAACCGAAATGCTGTTCAGTGTTTGTGTAATACTAAATCAATTATAACTTACTGTCAGATCGAAAGTGGCAACTACAACGAGGCGTTGGCATTAGCGGACACATTCAACTTGGATAGCGACCTCGTGTACCAGCAACAGTGGCGAAAGAACCCCGTCTCCACCGATGCTATTCAGAAGTATTTGGTAAGTTGGGGCAGAAAAATACTTTTTTTTATACAATTTAGAATGGCAAACAAGCTGACGGCCCACCTGATGGAAAGTGGTAACCGTCGCCTATAGACAAGCCTACAGACAAAAAATACATAATTCTTTGCTGTAAGTGCTGATTATGTATTTTTTATTAATGGTTAGGTACATTTTAGATAAAAAGTACTTACTGGTTGAAAATGGAATGGTAAGTCAAGTCAATAAGCTCTCATAAATTTGCTAGGAAGTAACTCTGATGGCTTAAGTGAGGAGTTCGACTATGACTTGACGGGATATAGTATTAGCAATGGGGTTGCTAATTTTTTTATTACGCTCATTTTCACTTAGTATTGACTTATTTAATGAAAAAAGCCCTTAATGAGACACAATATATTATTCCAGAGAATTTTTATCAAAAATCAACACTACCAATGAATCATAGAACCCATAAAGGATAGGTAAACTTTATGTATTGTGAATATAGTTGTTTCTGAAAAGAAACTACTATCTTTTCGCTGTTTGATTCGACAGTATTCGAAATGTTGAAGTTAAAAATTATACGAAGTCTCAATTCTTTTAAGATTAAATTACGATCCCTTTTATTGGAGAAATGTTACTACTCCGTACATGACTTCTGTACTGTTGATTAATGTAAATAATTAAAAATTAATTTGACATATATATAATATTACGATAAAGTTGACACTGTTTATTGCAAAATTTATTTATTATAATGTTCTTATTACACCTATCCCCCGATTTACACGGTACTTGTTTTACACGTTTTCGCTTTTACACGGTTTTCCAAATAAGTTTTTTTTTTTGTTTTTATCGCACTCTACTAAATGCTAAAATCGAAATTTTGGATCGCTTTGGATCGTTTAATGTATTGTAATTAAATAAAAAAATAGTGTTTCCGTAATATATTACATATTTTAACCTGTCAATGCATTTATTTTTATTTCTGTGTACACCTAAAAATATTGGAAAAAATCACAACTGTTAAATAGCAAAATTATGCATTTTCTGCAAGCTTTTCGATTTACACAGTTTTGACTTGAAAATTTTTAATTTTCGATTTACACGTTTTTCTCAGGAACGTATCTACCGTGTAAATCGGGGGATAGGTGTATAGTTATTGGTTGGTTGTAATATTCAGGTTGATGTAATGATTTTTGTATGTTTATCCCTTATTTCAGACAAAATGTACATTGTTTTTTGAATAAATGACTAATGACTAATGCTAAGAAATGTTACGAATCCTGTTGGATAAAATTATCATAGTAATTAAGATAATATTGTTTCAGAGTAAAGTGTCAAAGAAGATATGGGCTGTACACCAGTGCGTAGACAGGCTGCCGGAGACTCTGCCCGCCGCTAAAGAACTGCTGCAGTTCGGCCTCGAGCTCACTAACGAGAAGATCCTCGATGGTATGTTATTTTGTTGTACAATCACTTATATTATTTCATCATCATCATCATCATTTCAGCCATTATCTGTCCATTGCTGGACATAGGCCTCCCCCATAGACTGCCGTAGGGAATAGTCCGGAGCCACCTGCATCAACTGACTCCCTGCAATGCATTTGAGGTCATCACAGCATCTTGTGAAGGGTCGTCCTACACTACGTTTGCCCGTACAGGGTCGCCACTCTAGAGCCTTTCATCCCCATTGTGTGTAGGTTTTTCGAATTACATTATTTAGTTTTTAATATAATAACTCTTTTGTAGCTTTCTTTTTAGTGTGGTATCCAAACCAAGCAGCTGTGCTAGTATTCCTGTGTTTCGGTTAAAAGGGTGGGATATGGCAACAAAATTATGGGGTGTGTAGTCATATTGTACGATGGTGTGTTTGCATACCAGATGCAAGAATCTTTGTTAAAAAGATTGCTATATAAGCTACATCCGAGCATATCAACACCAACAATAGCAGATAATTAATTACTAATAGCGGAGATAAAGCGGTCGCCGTGTCTGAAAACGGTCAGAACTCATCATCATCATCTTAGACCTTAGGAGTTGTGACGTATGGGGGGTATCATGGACATTATAGTGTATTCTGTAATGTCTATGGTACTGTTCGTGTCTATCGACTGGTACCAATTTCCATCAGGTGGGCCGTCAGCTTGTTTGCTATTCTAAGTATCATAAAAAGAATTTGCAGACTGATCTTACGTTTGCGTCAAGGGGCGAAAGTGATTTTTCAACATTTCCAAATTAATAACTTTGGTAAATTATTTTTGTTAAATTTATAAAATGTTGCCATTAAACAGAAATAAATAAGGAACGCAGCGAAGACGAAATGAAGGATCTGGACGACATAACTCTCGAGGATCTGAACGCGTATACGAGCGAACTGCTGCGGTGCCGCCACGTTATGCTGTTCTACAAGGAAAGACTGTATCTCTATGAGGTATGGACTTGAAAATCATATCACGATCAACTTGACATCTTCTCAGCCTTTATATTTTAAAATAAAAATATTCGGATTGACTTACGTGCCAATCTGAATATTCTAAGTGGTCGACCACTCATGACTAAAGGTCCCAGAGGGCCCCGAAACTAGTCAAGCATACTCGATTAAAATACATGTAAATCGATCTGGTTATTCATATATCAAAATATAATGTGTACTTACAAAACTGTTAGCTATTGTTCACTGTTGGACGCAGGCCTTCCCTTGTCACCGTGATAATATAGATGTATAATTGATCATCGTGCACTATCTGAGAGAGAGACAGGTCAAGTGTTTAAGGAATGTACATATGTGTGTGACGACTGTATAAGTATAGTATAAGTGCATAAAGTTATAATGTCATATTTTTTCACCACCTCTGCCCTTCATACGCTTTCTGTTTTTACCCAATGGTTAGCTGGTAGAGAATGCCATATGGCATTAAGCTCGCCATTTGTACAAAGTTTTATTGTGCAATAAAGAATAAATAAATAATGTGTGTAAGAATAAAAGTTGTTAGCATTTTTAAGCAAGTTCAAATAGGAACAAGTTCTCCTTTTTACAATCAATAGTGTTGCCTTTATTTTAAAGTTATTACTAAAATAGTATGTTGTAATTTATGGAACAAAATCGTAAATCTTTGTAGGCAATTCTGAAATGTGAGAAGTCTGCGTATGTGAAAGACGAATACGACCGCCTTCGCAGCAACAGCATCGTCCACAGTTCTATGGAGATCGCCAAAGAAGGTCGCATAGAAGCACTCACTTGTCTATGGCCAAATATCAAGACCACTGCAATGCAGATGGCAGTATTAGAAAAGTTGCCCGAAACGATCAATCCATTAGAGTATCAACAACTCTTGCCGACCAAACAGCCACTGCAGTGGTTCGACAAAAAATCGCCTATAAAAATAAAGCCCTTTGAACATGAGCATGATTGGTGCAGGAAAGAAGTCTTCAGGTAAGAAAAGTACAAGCAAAATGGACATTTTTAGTATTCCTAAGCAGTTTGTTATTTCTAGGTGCATAAAAAAGTTTTTTTTTTAGTGGATAATGGAATGGTAACCCTGCTCACGCTAATGGTGTACGCTGGCGGGGCACCAGTGAGAGAATGTAAGTAAGAATGAAAATGCAGGTCACTTAGCCCATCGTGACACCTGGAATATGGATACAATATGGAGCTCAGCCTGACAGAGTATATTACTAGCAATGGGAGTCCGTGTTACTTATAATTCCTTTCTCCCTGTATATGGGCGAAAAACTAAAAGTCCAGGGATCGGCAGAGAAGTCGGTTAATTGTCGTTATTCCTAGACCGGTATGCCATTCGCAACAACTTGAATTAGTCGTATCTTTTTGATGAACTGGTTTCCTTGGACTGCTGTCTTCCTCCACGGCGTAGCTATGGATCTTTATCGGCTCCGGTGCACGCACAAAAACTTGTATTGAAATAGAGCAGCGTGATGTAGGGTACTTTACATGTCCATGACACAACAGTTTTTCCATTAATAGAAAATTATTATAACAGTTAGCAAGTTACACACAAAACCACGTCGTAGCAAACTATGAATTTAACTTAGATATTGTTTATTATAACATAAATAAATAAAACAGAGTGTATGCTACTAACATCCTATGATCACTTTTTGCGCCAACGCCATATTGCTTTTTTTTTTAATCTATCCGAACATAGTCGCGCTCAGGTGCGACGCGATAGCGCTCTCTCGTGTGGTAAAACGACTTTCCATCCGTGCGATGCAACCGGTGTCGAATTATCAAAATTAAACCTAAAGTTGCTTTTTATTGTATAATTTCAATAATATATTCTTTTGAACAGGTCAATATGGAGTTCCAATTGGTCGGAAGACTCGACCCCGGAAACGGAAACGGTGGAAACGGCGAGCGAGGACATCGCGCAGTGGTACGACAAGCGGGCGCGCGAGATCGAGGAGCGCAGCGGGCTGGTGTCGCACGCGCTCAACCTGGCCACGCTGGCCACCGTGGGCGGCGCCGTGCCCGGCCTCGACCACCTCATGTTCCACCTGCTCACGCTCGACACGCTGCTCTACGACATCAACGTCGACCACGTCACGCTGCGCCAGCTAGAGAACATGTCCACCCTGGACACCTGCTGTCTGCTTATGGAAATGGTCAGCTGTCACTCTAGTTTTTTTTTATGCAACTTAGAATGGCAAACATGCTGACGGCCCACCTGCGGTGACAGTCGCCTACAGACATGAGCAATACTTTGAACATAACAGAGTATGAAACCGTGATTGGGTTTCATGGTACACACTCATAGTTTCATAATCTTAATAATATAATAAAATTTTAACTAGAAGATATCTGTACATGGGAGATATTTAAGGAAAATTGATATTTGAGGTGGGGGGGGGGGAGGGGTTAATAAGAGCAACAGGTGCTAAAACAAAAATTTTTTGAATGTTTTTTCTGTTTGTCTGTGTGTTTGTTACAGCATCACGCAAAAACTACTACACCAAATTGATGCGGTTTTCACAGCTGTATTCCTGAAGGTCTGACTTAAAATCTAATTTAGCACCATCATTATATCAGCCTTTAACTGTCCACTACTGAACATAAGCCTCCCTCTTCGGGGGTTTTGCCAGTAGTTGCCATAGTTCGCAGGCGGATTAGCAACCGCAATTAGGCTTTAAGATGTTTTAATAAGAACGCTGCTGCCCATCTCTCGCCTGTCTGATGTATATTTTACCTTAATACGTTGTTTATATGTGGTTTATTTTATTAGTTTCCTACTTATGGAATTCACGCATGCGAAGTAGCGGGCAAAAAGCTAGTAAATAATAATACAAGGTGTAGCCAACAAACTTTCAAGTTGTCGATGTATAAATCAAATATGAATTTTATTTTATACTAAAAACAATATAATTTACTTTGCCGTATCTTAACACTTTGCTGACCAAAAATTCCGTCAAGGTTGAAATCTTTGGATTAAACTATAATTGTGATAAAAACCGAAATACAAACAATAGTGCATTACTGCAGCGGCCAGCAACTGAGGCATTGATGGACGAACGTGCAAACGTGGGCCGATGCGTAGCCGAGGCACATATACGTGAGTCCATTAATGCCTAGTTGTGGCCAAGGTTTGTATAGTACTTTTCTCAAACAATGCGCGGAAATCAAAAACATAATTTTACTTTTTATATTCATTGACGAATAACGAATAATAATAATTTATCACGCGCCATAATGTTTCTTTGTTTATTTTTTAATAAACAGCTTTCTATTTGCAAGCCACTTCAAAATTTAAATAAAACCTTTTATTAGTCACCTCCTTGGTAGCAATGTTTCGAAGTAAAGGGTCATTCCATTTCCATTTTTGATTTTCATACAACTTTTGCCGGCCGCTGCCTGCATGTATCTGGCCAGTACGGCAATTTTGATTTATCTCTAAGAAGATTGTCAAAATAATGCTCACATTTCAAAGCATGTTTGAGAAAAAGTAATTTTTTGATCATGACTGCTTTGTAATCCAAACGGTGTTGCCCGTCGTGGTAAGAGGTCATACATACACGCTAGTGCAATGACGAGTTTGTTCGTCATCGGACAGCAACGTTTGGATATGAAAAGACGAGTTAATCGTCACTGTTCAGCAAAGTGTTAAAATTTATTCCGTCGCACACCAACTCAAAGTATCAAATACATTACTTGTATGTTGTATTGTGCAGTCAACGCCGTTAACATTCGTGTCGGACCTGAAGAATTTTGTGATCCCGTTCCTGAAGCGATACGAGAACCTGTCGAAGCGGATCGACGCGTGCATCAACGGTCTCACCGAGTACCTCGAGAAAAGCAGTATCGATGATCTCTCCTCTATACTGCTGGTGAGTCGCACTGACTTTTAGGGGTCAACAACTCATCGACTATTCTGTTCAGATATTTCGCTCGTACGAAGCATATCGTGAGCGTGTGAACATAGCTTAACTGCCGTGGGATGGTGGTAGGTGCTGCAGTCACCGAGCGAGTTCGAGCTGGACGTGCGCACGCACCTGGAGCTGGCGGAGCGCTGCCTGCTGGCGCACAACGGCACCGAGCAGCTCGACAAGGCGTGCGACCTGCTCGACACTATACTCAAGGAGAGGTACGGCAATGTGTTTTCACGTTAGATTAGACGTCATTATTCTACTGTCATGATTTTAGGGAAACAGTAACGATTAGAGTAGTGTTATCTCGTGTGTACATTATAGGTATTGATTATTCCACACTCATTTTCTACGGTGACGAAATGAATGTAAATAAAGTGTACGTATGTCCCGTAGCGACGGCAGCATCTCGAGCAGCGAGCTGGTGCGCCGGGTGCGCGAGCTAGAGCGGCTGGTGGCAGGCAGCGAGCGGCTGGCGGCGCGCGGCGTGGCGCTGCCGCTGCGCGAGCTGCGCGACCACGCGCGGGAGCACGCGCGCGCCCGCCACCTGCTCACCAGGCTGGCGCGCGCGCTCGCCCTCAGGTACAGTAGGCTGCAGGCTGCAGGCTCTTTTTCTTAGTATACATATTTATTATTATATCTCACCAGAGGGAGACTTTGTACGTAAGTCGATTGCTTGCGAAACAATACACTCTGTTATGTCCATGCTACTGCTCATGTCTATAGGCGACGGCCGACTTTTCATCAGGTGGGCCGTCAGCTTGTTTGCCATACTAAGTTATATAAAAAAATCTTGAAACTAAAATAGGTGAAATATAACTTTTATATTTATAGAGATGAAAAACCTACACAACAAGATTGGGCTGAACTGCTGAAAGACATCCTTGAGTTACAATCATCGCTGTTCACTTGCGTCTCCAAAGAAGAGTGTTACGAGGTATGACTACATTAACCTTGAACATTGACATTATTTATGAATAATTTGTAACGAAATTATCGCGTACAAACACCTATAAATTAGCATCACATCCGGTTCGAAGGATCAATTCATGTATAGAGTTGATATAAGAAAAGTATTTACTATATGGGCAGATCTACGCGTCGTCACTGTTAACGTCGGGCGATGCGGCGAGCATCAAGCTGGCGGTGGAGGTGGTGTCAAACGGCAGCGGCGCGGGCGGCCGCGTACAGCTGGTGTCAGCCGCCGCCCGCGAGTACTTCAACTCCGCGTCCTCGCTGGCCGACCCCGCGCTCGACCTCGCTAGGTCAGTACTGCACTGCACTTTCTCAATTGATACAATCATCGGAACGTATAAAAGCTAGCAACAGTAGAGGCTTTACTGATGTACTATCAATCCTTGTGATATAACACTGACCGTGGTAAGATTATTTTGTACATGATTCATGCCTGAATGTATCTGAAGGCGTTATGGGACCGTTGGAAATATTTATATATTTTTTTGTTCACTAAATTTTTATTATAGTATCTGTGGGGCTGTTGGTTTACGTCCTTCCATCTGAATAGACATGTCTGTCGATGGCCAATGACTCATATTTATACTCTAAATTATTTTTTAAATAATAATGATATTTCTCCATAGATGCTGTTTAACATTGATAAAGGATGACAACGAGGAAATAAAAGAGGAGCTGGATCTCATTGCAGCTTTACAGATATTGAACGCGTTTGGCTTGACTATTCTTCCCATACAAGGTACGCATCTGTGTTAAAATATTTGCTTCTAAGTATAAATTGTGTACGACAAAAAGTTTGATTTTCATTACAATTTTGTTCCTAAGTTCGTCTCTGCGAGGACCGATTGACCTTGATCGAAGATTGTTTAAAACTGGACCCTAATGCATTCCTGGCGAGTCATAAACTGCTCAAACTAGCCAAGCTGTTAAGAATCGCTGGCGATGATGAACAGACGAGGTTTGTTTACGTTTTTGATTTTGTTAGATATTTCCATATATAATTCCATTTTGACGTGTGTGTCCCGGCATAGAATAAACCACTGCTTCCTTTCCTGTGGGTGTCGTAAAAGGCGACTAAGGGGACTTATAGTCGAGGGATGTGCAGCAACGTCCCTCTTAAAACATCACTAAAAGCCTAACTGCGATCGCCGACCTGCCTGTCAAACGTGGCGACTACTTGTAAAACTCCTCTTATGGGGAAGGCGTGTTCAGCAGTGGACAGTTAATGGCTGAAATAATAATAATATATGCTATATAGTAACTGTATTAAATATATAATATCGTATAGTAATTATAATGTGAAAGCTGTCCTCCTAGTTACATATTTTAGAGAGGGAAAGAGATAGAGGTAGTTAAAGGAAGTAATAATTTTATGGTGTATTTTGGATGTTTGGTGCAATTTTTGTTGCTTGATAGATTTTAATAAATGATACACTTACAATTCACAACATAATATATGTTTTGAATTCGTTTTCAAATTCAAAACATATATTATGTTGTGTTATATATTATACATAAATTAAATTGATTACTATTGTAATAAAGTGTAAGAAATATCAGTTAGTGAGTATGTGGTGTGTCGCGCAGGGAGGCGGCGGTGCTGCAGCTGGTGGGCGAGTACGCGATGCGCGCGGGCAGCGGCGGGCTGGGCGCGGCCGCGGACGCGGCGCGGCGGCTGGCGGCGCTGCGAGCGGGCGGCGGCGCGCGCGCGGCCGCGCTGCTCGCGCACGCGGCGGGCGCCGCGCGCGCGCACGCAGACCGCGCGCAGCGCCGCCGCCTGCTCGCCGCCGCCGCCGCCTGCGCGCCGCCGCACACCCTGCACGACGTGCTGCGCGCCAGGTACGCACACGCACACGCACACGCACACGCACACGCAGGCACACACACGCATACGCACACGTACACACACACATACACACACACGCACACTCACACATGCACGTACACACGTACATGCACGCACACGGGCACACTCACACATGCACGTACACATGTACATGCACGCACTCACACAAAGCGCAAGGATGTGTTCCTAGCAATACAACGTCCTATATCAAATGCATCCTTTTTTGTCAAAAGAAGCTAACTTCACCTTCATTCATCATCCTTTACTAGTACCCCGCCAGCACACTTATACCGATAGCGCGGGCGGAGTTAGTGTTCCATTTTTATTCTATTGGAGTGACACCTCTACAATGATCATATATATATTTATATGAAAGCTAGGTGGCTCACGTTGATATTAAAGAAAGAAATTTTATTTTACAAAAATGTACGACTACATCCACACAGGGGTCAAATGTTTTTTATTATTACTAGATTCATAGTTATTCTTTATTGTACACAAAAGGTTATTGAAATGGAAAAACAAACATAATAATGCACAAAAGGTAAGCTTATCTCCAAAAGAGATTTCTCCCAGCAAACCCAATATGAGAAAACTGACAGTTTATTAGTAGTTACAGTCATACATGTGTACCAATCGACTTCAATGTTATAGTTAAAAATAAATAAATAAAATGTTAAAGACATTTTATTTATTTATTTTTAACTGAAAAGACCGATAGGTATAAATAAATAAATAAAAATGTATATAAGTAAATACATATAAATAGATAGATATTATATATAATACATAAATATAATAAGTACGCACTTCAGCATTGTGAGAGGTATTACCTCTCACAATACTGATGTGATTCTTCAGACGCGATTTGAAAATCCCAATGCTTGGGCTATTTCTAATTTCATGAGGAAGTGTGTTCCATAACACAGGTTCCGTTATTACTAGTATTTATAAACTATAGCACTAACTTACTACCAGGTGAGACCCGTGCTTGTTATTGTCCATTAAAAATCATTTCTTGATATTACAACATATTATCACAACAAAACAAACACTCAAAGACTGATAGTCCACCTATTTTGTATAATAAAACACAGCAAACCATCCACACTTGAGTCCTCAGGAATGGCAACGCATGGGGGCTATCATGGGCAAAACGGTATACTCTGTTATGTCCATGGTACTGCTCATGTCTATAGGCGACGGTTACCAATTTTCATCAGGTGGACCGTCAGCTTATTCGACATTCTAAGTTGTATAAAAAAAGACTACTTAATTTAAAATACTTATAAACGTTAAACACTTTCTAGGTTAGAATTGGAACTTGAAGGCCTCCAGCAAATGGGCGCGTCTCTGAAAGAACACAACCACCTGACCAACCGCTGGCCCTCTACCGACGACGAGTTCTCCGACGCAATAACTACTGTGAGTGATAGCTTTTGTATGCTAACTGAAAACACACCTGTACATATCTGTATCATACAGATCATTATCATATTAACATACATTATTAACTATTATTTTTCATCGTGCCTCCCACCAAATTGTTTATAATTACTCCTCTCCATCCAAAGGTTGCCTGGAAGAGATCGCTCTTAGCGATAAGGTCGCCCATTGTTTTCTCATTGTGATTATTTCTTGTAATTATTTATATTTATAATAAGTTTACTATTGTAATCTTTTATAGGAAACAATAAAGAGTATCTATCTATCTATTATTAGAATGCATGAAGAAAAAGAATCATCTCTCATTTTACTTCTCTAACATATATACATTTATCGGGTAATTGACTTAATCTATACTTATAATAAATCTGTAGAGAGGTCAATTCTGTACATGAAATATATTTCCAAAATAACTATCAGGGGGTGATTAGTGATCGATACTGATGCCAAAAATGCAATCAGTAAAATTTTTGTTTGCCTGTTTGTATGTTCATTATAGAAACAAAAACTACTCGACGGATTTTAACGAAACTTGCTACAATTATTCTTCATACTCCTGGGCAGGTTATTTTTCATCACGCTACGATCAATAGGAGCAGAGCAGTGAAGGGAAATGTTGGGAAAACGGGAGAAGTTACTCTATTTTTAAGCTTCCGTCGCGTGTGCAGCATGTGGCGTGAATTTACTGGGTACAGAGGAATAACACCTGAGTCCTCAGGAATGGCAACGCATGGGGGTATCATGGGCGAAACAGTATACTCTGTTATGTCCATGGTACTGCTCATGTCTATAGGCGACGGTTACCACTTTCCATCAGGTGGGCCGTCAGCTTGTTTGCCATTCTAAGTTGTATAAAAAAAAAAAAAAAGCCTTAATGGCCACTTTTTTAAATGTTAAAATTCCACCCGTGCGAAGCCGGGATGGGCCGCTAGTTAAATAATAGTAAATTTTGCTTAATATAATTTAAGAATCAGTTATTTATAATTAACTAATTCTTATTAATTTAAAAAATGAGAAAGTCTGTCTGGTGCATCTTGGCGCGTTAATGTCTTAACCAATTGATATGAAATTACATATATAGATATTTTTATGATTTTTAGGTAACGTTACGTAAAAGCTCATATTTTAAGCGTAATGTTGTATGCCTTGAGGATTTTTAAGGACTATTTTGCTAATGGTATAAAAAAAATTGACTACTTCCATTTTATTAATTTTAATGCAGCAGTACTTTTCTCTATATTTTTGGTAGCAAAGCGTAGTTTTGATCCACAGATCTCTTAGTTATGGGCCCAGTATGGTTCACTTATTTTCACGTACATGTATGATGAATACAAACAGATCATGCTTTACAACAAGCAAACAAATATTTTCTTGAATATTTCTATTTCAGCCGGTTATAGAGAATAAGGATTTAATAGCACCGCCGCAAACAGAGAAGAAACCACTCCTCAACTATCTGCTTGATACGTTCCAGAATAAATTTCCTTTTGGGTAAGAATGTTTAATTATAACACTGCAAATACTTATATATTTATAATAATTTTACCATTTGTACAAAGTTGTGTGTAACATTGTTCCATTCGCCTATCTACCGTGAAGCATTTGTGTTTGCGTGGCGATGTTTCGGTTTGGAGGGTGGAATATGGCAGTGAATTTACAGGCTTCAAAGGAATCACACCTTAGTCCTCAGGAATGGCAACGCATGGGGGGTATTATGGGTGAATCAGTATACTCTGTTATGTCCAAGGTACTGCTCATGTCTATAGGCGACGGTTACCACTTTCCATCAGGTGGGCCGTCAGCTTGTTTGCCATTCTAAGTCGCATTAAAAAAAATATATTTTAAGTTTATTAAAAATTATCGTATTTAGCGTTTTTTATATGAACTAATTATATATATATATATATATATATATATATATATATATATAGTGTGTAATGAATGAATGGTTTATTTTTTTTTCACAAACAGTATAAAGTAACAACTTGAGGTACAGTTCGATATGTAAGACCAATTTTGTGAGATACTGGTGCTTGCGGTAGGTTTTTTTTAATGGGTGATAATGATATGGTAACCCCGTCTGCGCTATCGGTATACAATGGCGGGGCACCAGTGATAGATGACAGATGAGGATGAAAGCAGGTCAGTTAGCCCATCCTGACGAATTTAACAAGAATTTGCCACGATAGTTTCCAGGGGGAACCACGTGGAGGTCGACATGACAGGGTTTATTGCTAGTAATGGGGCTATTTGACCTCATTACCAATAATCCCTTTCCCCCCGCTTGCGGTAGGTTTTGAAGAACCTGTGTTACAAGTCACCAGTAATGAAACCAATTTGTATTGAAAGCGACAAGTCCGAGGGCGTGGACGAGGCGGAGGGCGGCGTGGGGGGTGAAGGTGGCGAGGGTGGCGAGGGTGGCGAGGGCGGCGTGGTGGTGGCGGAGTGGTACGCGGCGCTGCAGGCGCGGCGCGCGGCGGGCGGCGCCCCCTACCGGTACGACCGCTTCGCGGCGCCCGACGGCGACCGCCGCGCGCCCGCGCCCTCCGCGCTGCACTGGTACTACGTGCAGAACTGCCTCGACGGCGGCGCCACCGCCCACCACGAGACTGAAGGTTAACCACCTCTCATTATTATGTTTTGCTTATTTAACATTGTGTTTTAAACAAATCAATTTCAATTTGGCCTATGATGGTTATATTGTTATTTCTAAACTACTACTCCTACTGCTAAACCGATTGTAATAACATTTCTATGGGACCAGTCTCTAAGTATATTCAACTAAATAAAAAAAGCATTTTCCAAATCGGTTTAGAACTAACAGAGTTAAAAGGTTTAAAGTCCCATCTAAACCATCGTTAGAGGATTAAGAAAACCCATACAAGTATGTTTTGAAACCGATGTGCTAAAAATTTTCATTCCTGTGCAGGTTTCTAGGCAGTAGTAGTTTATATTGTATGTGTCATAAATAAAAAATTGATAATTAAAGTAAAAAAGAAATAACCTTTCTATATTCATCTTTTTTTCTTTTGACTCAGGCTTTTTGAACTGCCATTAGTAATTTGTTAATATTAATAAAAATATGGGCCACGGTAATACGTAATTAGGCATTCCTAACACATTTGTTCTATAGGCTAACTGACCTGCCTTTTCATCCTCACCGGGTTGATCCCTCAGTGGTTCCCCGCCAGCATATACCGATAGCGCAGGCATTACCATTCCATCATCACCCATTAAGAAAAAAAACAGACACACATTTGTTCTAAATTAAAAATGTACTTTTTCTCAAACATGCTTGGAAATGTGAGCATTATTTTGATAATCTTCTTCGAAATAAATCAAAATTGCCGTACTGGACAGATACATGCGGGCAGCGGCCGGCAAAAGTTATATGAAAATCCATATCTGTCGTGTTTTGCGGCCAGATAAATTACTATGTAAACTCATATCTATCCTGTAATTTAAAAATGGAATAACCTTTTACTTCGAAATATGGCTACCAAGGAGGTAACTAATAAAATGATTTATTTAAATTTGAACTGGCTTGCAAATAGAAAGCTGTTTATTGAAAAAAAAAGCAAAGGAACATTATGGCGCGTGAAAAATTATTATTGTTCGTTATTCGTCATTGAACTTAAAAAGTAAAATTATACTTTTTGATTTCCGCGCATTGTTTGAGAAAAGTACTATACAAGCCTTGGCCACAACTAGGCATTGATGGACTCACGTGTGTGTGCCTCGGCTACTCCTCGGCCCACATTTGCACGTTCGTCCATCAATGCCTCTGTTGCTGGCCGCTGCAGTAATGTACTATTATTACACAGTGGTCCAGAAATGTGCGGAGGAGCTGGTGTACAAGGACACGCCGCTGAGCGTGGCGTGCCTGCTGCGGCCGGCCGGCGAGTGGGCGGCGTGCGCCGAGCGGGCCGGCCGCGAGGGCGCGGGCCCCGCGCAGCTGATCAGCCGCAGCGCCACCGCCGCCTCCGCCGTGCTGTACGCCACGCTGCTCAAATGCAACGCGCCCGACTTACGCGATAACGTCTATCTCGCAAAACCCTCCACGGTAACTTTTGTTTCTTTATTTTTCACATAACGTTTTGGATACGGAATATTTGTTTATTTATTTACAGAAAAACCAGGGCTACACTAGAATTACGTGGGTCGTAGCCGTAGAATTAAAAAAAAAATTAAACAAATTTAATTAATAAAATAAAAAAAATTCAATTAAAGTTATTATAGACTGAGTTCAAAGAAAAAGAAAAGAAAGACCAAGACAAAGCTGGTACCAAACTGAATAATTTTTCATTCGGATCGCAGTCCCACGGATAAGCACGAGGCGCCGAATCAGTAGTCACATGTCGGGCCAGACCGCGGGGGCAATATACAATACTGATGCAACGATTTTTGCATGGGAACAAAGTACGAGGCTTATGTACCATATATCGTCAGCGTTGTCCTTATTAGCTATTGCTATAACACTATAGTGTAAATAGATATAGTCTTGGATTACAAACTAAGCCACTTATTGGTTTTTACAAATAGTATTAAGAAAGATTAGAGGCACTGCACATGAAGCGGCAAAACGGGAATGAACAAAAAAAAGGAATGGAAAAATGTATGAATTTTTACTTCTTAAAAATTAAATGTAAATCCTTGACTAAAATGTAGCCTAGTTCTCATCAATACAATACATATTCAAATATTCTATGAATCAAAAAATTGTTTGCTCATTTATGAGGTCTCTCGATTGCTTGGGTACCTCTGTCTCATTCGTGTTTCAATCGTGAAGCAGTTGTGTTTGCATGACTGTGTTTCGGTTTGAAGGGTGGGATATGGCGTGAATTTACTGGGTACAGAGGAATAACACCCGAGTCCTGAGGAATGGCAACGCATGGGGGGTATTATGGGCGAAACAGTATACTCTGTTATGTCCATGGCACTACTCATGTCTATAGGCGACCGTTACCACTCTCCATCAGGTGGGCCGTCAGCTTGTTTGCCATTCAAAGTTGTATAAAAAAAAAAAAAAATTAGTCGATAGTAAAGATTGTGGAGAGAGTATTAAATAATACATTAAATATACAGTAACACATCACATAAAATGTTTTTGTTCCATACTAACTGAAAAACAAACGTCTGGAGAGGTTCAAACTGTATATTGTATAATTTATTAAACATGTCTCACCAGATGGCGCGCACGACGTTGAAACAAAAGAACGCGTCCGAGGACCAGCTGGAGGTGATCCGCCAGTGTATAGAGAAGCTGAGCGGCGCCGGGGACGTGGAGCAGGTGCGGCGGCTCGGGTACAGCGTCAACGGGCTGCTGTTCAACGCGGACGAGGACTACCGCACCGAGGTCATATACCGCATCGCCAGGTATTATTATGACTTACTACATACGCACCACATTTATATCAACAAAACAGTTTGACAATTTCCTATTAAGTAATAGGTGAAAATAGGAAAGAGGGAAGAAGAGATCCACCCAAAATTCTATGCACATACATTAGTATATATATTTATTTATTTGCTTATTTACGTCTTTATTTATTTATTTATATATTTATTCACAATTTGTATTTGTGGTATTTACATTATTTTCACCGGTACCTTTCTTGCACTGGATTACCCAAATTAAATTATTTTCTCTCTAACTACACTGGGTTGGCTGGAAGAGATCTCTTTCAGAGATGAGTCCTCCCTTACTAACAAGTTGTTAAGCTAATCGTCGTCGTATATATTTATTTATGGCAACAAACAGTCATTTATAAAATGTTAATACAATATACAATACAGTTATACAACAATAGATCTTACAGTGCCAATAATGGTATTTTAAATATAGAGTCATAAATACGAGTATATATTCATGATATCCCATAGAAACGTGCACGAACCTTAATAACAAATCCAAAGCACCAATATATATAAGTACTAAAGATGAAAAAAAAAGAAATGCCGATTTAATTTAAACATACAAGTTTTTGTGTTAATTTACATTTCAGAATATAAAATATTCCCTCTATTTTGTACAGACTTGGCTATTTTTCCTTTCTTTGATATGCTATTTACTCCTCCATACACGTAGTTCGTACTATGACAACCCTAGCATATAGACATATTATTGCTGACTTATTAATATCATTTATTTCTATTTAAATCAGCAGTATTATGCCTATATAAACTCATACAAACTCTAAATCAGTAATTTGGCTACTGGTTTCTGTCCGCCAGTCTGGCCAGTAAAACTAACTAGCTAGATTCATCCAGGCTCAATAAAACTTCAGGTTTTTATTGCGCCAGGGATCCTTGATTCAGAGCAAGGGGTTCGCGCGTCGCCAGTTAAAGCGAACCCTTTAAATTTGTGAAAGTGTACACAGCTAATAGCTGTGTATAAAAGAAAATATTAAATAAATAATTTCGGTGTGTGGGAAAAAGTTTTTTTTTTTTCATATTAGACAAATGTCCCACACTAACATTTAGTGTCAGAAGTTGTAACAGTACGATCTGCGCGGACTCACGCGGAGTGACGCGCTCAAAATGGATGGTCAGTGATGTGTTACATGTTTGGTTGCGAGGCAGGTGCGGCGACAAGGAGCACCTGTCGGCGGCGCTGTCGCTGGCGGCGCGGCACGGCGCGGACACGCTGCTCGTGTGGCTGCAGCACGCGGCCGCCGCGCCCGGCCTGCGCCTGCACGCCGCCGCGCTCGCCGCGCTGCCGCGCCACCTGCCGGACGCGCACCGCAGGTAACTAGACCGTGCCGCCGCGCCACCTGGTGGAAATGGAATGGAAATCCCGCCTGCGCTATCGGTGTACACAGGAGCGGAGCGCCAGTGACGGATAATAGGTTAGGATAAAGCAAATCAGTTAGCCCACCGTGACAAATCTAACAATAAATCAATCACGATGGTTTCCAGGGGGAACCACGAGGAGGTCGACCTGACAGGGTATATTGCTAGCAATGGGGTTACTAATCGTCATTACTAACAATCTTCCCCCCGGCACCACGTGCTGAACGTACACCACAGGTAACTGCTTTCCACACCATGCGTGTACTGTAACGTCTGGTTCACTGGTTGAATAAATCATCTTTATGGTCACTATACTCTCTGTTTCGACTTTTTATTTGTTCAATTTACTAAACCAAAGATAAGATTTCTTCACGTAGTTAGCTACTTAGTCCACTTCTAGAAAGTGTATGCGTGGGTATGTATAGGTACGAGGTGTGATTCGCACGTGCGAACCGCGACTAATCCGCATGCATCCTAAATAAACAATATACTCATTATTGCAACAACGCAATAATTTTGTTTTTCCTCACTGTTCTATTGAAGTTTAACACAACTGTCTGTACGCAGAATAAAGGAGACGTTGTGGCCACTGATAGAGGGCCACGATCACAGCGCGCTGCTGAACCTGCTGTCTATACTTCGCGGAGTGGACGAGCGGCCACTCATCGCCGGCCTCACCGCCGCCGAACACATCAAGCTACTCAAGAAGGCTAAGGCCGCCTCTACAGGTACTTGACGCGCATCTACTTACAATGTCATTGTTATTACAATTCAATTATCCCTACTACTGTTTTTCTTTCTCTATCTGTCTATCTCCTTCTACTACTCTCTCTTCTCGTTCTCCTCTCTCTCGCTCCTCCCTCTCTCTCCATATACACCTATCATCTTTTTCCCCTTCTCTCTTCACCCCTTCTCCCTTCTCCCTATTTCTCATATAAAAGGTTTTAATTCTACTAATACCATGCTAGCCAGACAAATTGAATTTACCAGAGGGAGACTTTGTACAAAAGTCGATTGCTTGGGTACCTCTGTCCTATTCGTGTTTCAACCGTGAAGCAGTTGTGTTTGCATGGCTGTGTTTCGGTTTGAAGGGTGGGATATGGCGTGAATTTACTGGGTACAGAGGAATAACACCTGAGTCCTCAGGAATGGCAACGCATGGGGGGTATCATGGACGAAACAGTATACTCTGTTATGTCCATGGTACTGCTCATGGCTATAGGCGACGGTTACCACTTTCAATCAGGTGGGCCGTCAGCTTGTTTGCCATTCTAAGTTGTATAAAAAAAAAAAAAAAAAAAAAAAAAAAAAAAAAAAAAAAAAAAATTGAAATAACATTTTATTTAGAATTTCCTTTTGCACTAGTATTTTATGCTGTTCCCTTAGTTATATATAATGTTCTCAGAATGACGATGGAAATGATGATGTTAGGATTTGATTTTAAAATCAAACAAAATATTGAAAAATAGAAACGTGAATACGTGAAAAATTATTTCAATTTCAACAGCCTAATCCTTATTTATACTTTGACAATTGTTCAATTGTTTTATTTTTGCGTACTACAGAGCTGGACTATAAGCTGCTACTAGATCAGCCGTCGGCAGAACAGTTCTCTGCGCACATGCTCGCGATACTGAAGCCGGAGACCATTGGAATGGTTTGCAAGTTCCTGCGCTCGCTGCCGCCCACGTTCAAGCTACCCATCACCGTCAACGCGATATATACCATGTGGCTGACCAAACATTTCTTCAATGTTAGTTCATTATAATTATTTATATTTTATTTGCTTACTCAGTGATTGTATCTAATGTACCAGAGGGAGACTTTGTACAAAAGTCGTTTGCTTGGGTACCTCTGTCCCATTCGTGTTTCAACCGTAAAGCAATTGTGTTTGCATGGCTGTGTTTTGGTTTGAAAGGTGGGATAGGGAGTGAATTTACAGGGTACAGAGGAATAATACCTAAGTCCTCAGCAATGGCAACGCACGGGGGGTATCACGGGCGAAACAGTATACTCTGTTATGTCCATGGTACTGCTCATGTCTATAGGCGACGGTTACCACTTTCCATCAGGTGGGCCGTCAGCTTGTTTGCCATTCTAAGTTGTATAAAAAAAATTATAGCAATACAGCAGTTCCTCCCATGAGCCACCAAAAATTATTGAGAACTATAATTTAAGGATTTGTTCCATAAGATGTGCCAATTTTAATCGTGGCTTACCCGTTATTTTGATTTAAAAATTACTGAAACAATTTTCATAAAATTTCTATAGGACCAATCTGGAAGCATAATCTTTCAAATAAAAAAATAATTTTCCAAATCTATTCATAAAGAATGGATATAATAAATGTACCGTCGGATGGAAATCGATTGTTTTATCCATTCCATTTCAATTTCCAACGATCATTTAATTGAATACACGGAATAAAACTAGTGTAAAATTATCCTTTGTAAAAAATGTCATCAACATTTCGATATCATCCATACCAGTTAGAAATCTATATCCATTTCGTTTCAGTTTTTTATTTGAATATCTTTATATCTTAGATAACTAATATTTCTATTCATTATTATACCAATATATTGTAACTACGATATATAGATTTCTATATATTACCCAACTCTACTAAACGGTGAAACCTGTCATATAGTTACACCTATTTTTGTTGAAGATTACAAGTGTTTTTCTAATAATATCAACAATTTTGTCAGTTATATTATATATATATATATATATATATATATATATATATATATATATATATATATATATATATATATATATTCTAAATACCTCTGACTACAGCCTTTTAGGGATAAAGTTATAAGCATATATAATTATTATTGTTAACAAATATTAGGTGCCGCCCGCTAGCGCCACTAACAAGAAATGGATGCAGCAGTACCGACAGTGCGCCAGCTATTTCAACAAACTGTCCAAGGAGGACCTTCTGCAGTTTGTTGCTAATACGTGCTTCACGCGCGACGCAGTGGAACGGTAAACATTTATTTCTCGATATTGACCACAATTCTGCACAACTGATAAGCTGGTGGGCTGTGTGGTCCCGGCATAGAATAGGCCACCGCGTTTTCCGTGATGTCGTAGAAGGCGACTAAGGGACGGCGGGGGATGGGCAGCAGCGTCCCTCTTAAAACATCTTTAAAGTCTAACTGCGGTTGCCAATCCGCCTGCCAAGCGTGGCAACTACTGGCAAAACTCCCCAAGTCCCTCTGGCTTATGATCTGTAGTGGATGGTTAGAGGCTGATATGATGATGCAAATGTAAGCATATTCACGATAGTAAGGAGGCAACCAGTGCGAGAGGAATGGTAATATATTAATCCGAGGGAAAAAGATTTTAGTAATGGGGTCTTATTGCCCTCGATCTCCACGCTGTGCCATCTAGAAATAATCATTAATTCCTACGAAATTCGTCACAATGGGTTAACTGATCTGCTTTCATCCTCACCTGTCATCCCTCACTGATGTCCCGCCAGCGTATATTGTTAGCATAGGCGGAGTTACCATTCCATTATCACCCATTAAAAAAAAAAACATGTATTTTTATACTTTTATAATAATTTTACCAGAGGGAGACTTTGTACAAAAGTCGATTGCTTGAGTACCTCTGTCCCATTCGTATTTCAACCGTGAAGCAGTCGTGTTTGCATGGCTGTGTTTCGGGTTGAAGAGTGGGATATGACGTGAATTTACTGGGTACGGAGGAATAACACCTGAGTCCTCAGGAATGGCAACGCATGGGGGGTATCATGGGCGAAACAGTATACTCTGTTATGTCCATGGTACTGCTCATGTCTATAGGCGACGGTTACCACTTTCCATCAGGGGGGTCGTCAGCTTGTTTGTCATTCTAAGTTGTATAAAAAAAATACTTTTATAAGTGTTTATATAAGTTTTATTTTATATAAGTTTTGATTTATTTTAAAGAGTTTTGAGTTATTTTGCTTGTACATCTATGACAGAGTTCCGCCTGGTACCCGAAACCTGATGATAATGCAAGCGGTGGACTATTGTCAGCAGGAACAGGAGAACGACTTAAAGTTTAATAAAAAGTAAGTGTACTATAAATGAATATATTAGACATGTATAATTAATATATTAGAAATGTATAATTAGACTGTGGGCATATAAATTTGCATGAATAGTAAAAAAAAAGTAGCCAATATTTTTTTTACTAATTTTCCGGTATGCTTTTTAATATTTTAAATACACAATCGGGACTTAACTCGATCGAATCGGGTGCTGTCGTGACTACGACGTGGTGCCAATCCACGTCGAAACGTCTGCAATAAAGAAGCAGGTGTGTAGGTACTATTTACCTGTAAAAGATTTTTCATCGCTTTAAGTTCCGATTGTGTATTTAAAATATGTGTTAGAAGTTTAAATTAACTTTTTTTTTTTGTAATATTCTCGCTTTTTTAAGATACTGCTTGATGACTGGGCCCAAAATTAAATATATTTTTTTATTTTTATAAGTGATCAGACGTGGTCGCAGACGGGGCAAGAGCTGACCCGGTGGGCGCGGTTCTTGGACAACTTCCACTCCAGCACGGTGCAGGCCATCATCGAGGCCGCTCGAGCCGCCGCCGACACGCCCGACATTGCGCAGATGTGGATGTTAGTAGACTCATTGGATATAAAGTACATTACGAAATTATTACGACGAAGCTTGAACAGGTCGAAGAACCGACAATCGATGGGAAAGAAAGGTTCTTGAGTGGCGATCACGTACGGGTAAACGCAGTGTAGGACCACCTCCACCATATGGAGTGACAACCTGAAATGTATTGCAAGGAGTTAGTGGATGCAGGTGGCTCAGGACCATTCTTTATGGCAGTCTATGGCGTGAATTTACAGGGTATAGAGGAAGATGGCTAAATAGAATATGCTACTCTCAGATATGGAAGATTTATAATTCTTCACATCGACGTAACGCCGCGAAATGCTCGCGTCCGATGTCTATTTGGTTGTACGCGTACCATTCCTCCGTCGACACAATGCATTTTGTCTCCGCAATTTGATGTATTGAAGGTCTGTCACAGAAGATATGTAGGCTAATGTGACACTAGCCTCGGTACTGGGGCACCTTTAACACGTTAACGCCGGGGCCGACTTTAATGTTTTTTGCTGCGAGGCAGCGCTCTAATTAATGCTATGCTTCATCATCGAATACGTACCACCGGTGGTACGCGCCACCAGAAAAGACAGTCTAGTGCGTACCGCCGGTGGTACGCGCCATCCAATAAGACAGTCTAGGCGTGAACGTGTTAAGGTAAAGTGAAGGGTTGTCGACAGCGAGGTGGAGACGAGCCACGGGGCTGAGGAGGCGGCGGTGGAGGCGCTGGCGCGGCTGGTGGCGGCGGGCGCGCTGCGCGGCGCCGCGCTGGGCTCGCTGCTGCAGTGCCTGCGCGTGCCCGCCGCGCCCGCGCTGCCGCTGCTGCGCGCGCTGCGACACGTGCACACGGCCCCGTCAGTACACTGCGCACGCGCTGCTGCTGTGCCTCTATATTATAACGTTCAACACTAATTACCACTTCATCCGTGGAGCGAGCGGCTCTAGGCTAGCTCGCTACACCCACTGCGGCGGGGGGGAGAGGGATTGTTAGTAATGCGGACTATCATTGCTAATCCCATTGCTAACAATATACCCTATCACATCGATCTCCACGTGGTGTTCCTTGGAAACCATCGTGCTGAATTCCAGGTATACATCTGGAATCACGATGGGCCAACGGACATGTTTTTTCGTCCTCACCTATCATCTCTTACTGGTTCCATTCTATTGTCAGCTATTGAAAAAGAACTCACTGCGTCACCGATTTTTGAAATTACCAAATTTCCATTAGAGGTTATGGATAAATGGGTTTATTACCTATATAAATTAATTATCTATATAATTTTAGTTAAAACTACGCTGCAAATTCGAGTTATGCAAAAGAAGCTGTTGCATTATCGCGCGATACCACATTTTTGTCCGGTACAGCGTACGACGCATAAACGGTCGAGGGGTTAATCGTGTTTCGTCGTCTGTTTCCAGAGAAATGGAGAGTCTAATAAGTGGAATGTGCCAGTACGACAAGGAGGGCGTGCGGCTGCCGGAGGAGGTGCGCAGTGCGGCGGAAGGTCGCGCGCGCGAGCTGGGCGTGGCGCCGGCCCGCCAGGTGGCGCTGCTGGCGCTGCGCACGCGCCGCGCCGCGCCGCCCGCGCGCGCCGCGCTCTACACCGCCGACCTGCTGCGCGCGCACTGCCCCGACCCGAGCCTGGCCGCCGCGCTCACCGGTACCTAATAACAATATAATATTAAAACATAGAATACATGTAAATCATTTAATGTTAATGTAATCGTGACATAAGTTATTAATGACAGATCGCTTACATGATAAAAAGCCTATGATAGTAGGAGGTGTTATACCACACGTGCCTACCGTGCCCGCCAGGCGACAGCAGTGTCGCCTGCCGGTGCGCACACGCATACGGTTGCAGGCTCTGTTACTACGCTTCTAACATATATTTATTTATTCATAGGAAAACCAGGGCTACACTACAGCATATAGATACAGTTTTAGGATAACAAAATAAGCCACCAATAAGTTTTCACATGTAGCAACAATATAGATAAAAGGCGCTGTACACAAAGAAACAAAAATACGAGTTAACAAAAAAAAGTGAACAAACAAGTATATATATAACATATACATATCGTAAATTGTTTACATTACATGTCTATAAAAATAACACTTCTTATTACAATCCTGTGGTAAGGATGTGTCGTCATTATAACGACTTACTGCTTGACCACAAATCCATCGACATATTCGGTACAAAATATTTGATTTTTTAGGAAGAACTTGTTTTCTATTTTGTATAATACGATTGAAAATATGTCTTTTTTTATATAGTTTTATCTTTTATATATTTATATAACATTTTAAGTATTTCTTTTTATATTATGTGTTTTCTTTTAATGAATTACTCAAGCTGTGCACATAATGTAATTGGATTATAACCTAGCCAAATCACAAATTTAAGTTTTTTATGGTTGTGATCTGTTTTATGTGCCAATAAAATAAAAAAAATAATAACAACTATCAAGTGAACACATCCACAGAATGACTAGAGACCAGAGAGTCAATGCTCAAGCCCATGCTACCGTTCCACTCACACCATTCAAAGTCTCCTCTTGAAATGTTCTTCCTCCAGCATAGTATTTTTATATTTTTACTAAAGTCAACATTGTGTCTATTTTAAAATGTATTTTATATAATAGACTTGAAAAGATTTTCTTCAAAGTAAGAGAGGCTGAATAGCTTTTGATATTGCATCATAGTACAGACTACGACCGCAACAAATTTAGAATTCAGTCTAAAGACACGGAAGGGGCTATAATTAATTAGATGCCATACATAATACACAATTTGTATCTAGATGTTTATGTTAACATTTTTATTTTATTTTAGAGGAAAAATTAATGAGTGAAGAGGGGCGACGCGACGCGTTCGAAATGTTTTTAGAAATTTCCGACACGTGGCAGCGAAAGAAGGCCCTCGTGGACGTTCTAAATTGCTGGCCCCCGACAACGAACAGGTACTTTCTATTGATATTTAGGTCTCAGTTGGCTACCTTTATATATATATTTTAATCTGTACTTTACGCTACTTTATTTCACGTGAATTTTCTAATTGTTTTTGTATATTTTTATGTTTTTGAAGCGAGATAAAGAGTTAAATTTTTTTTTTCAAACTAGGAATGTTTTTTTATTTGTTTTTTTTTTGTTTTAGCGATTCAAGGAGCTTGCACAGCGTGTACCTGCGGTTTCTATTAACAGAAACAAGTGATCATAAGGAGAGTTTGGTACTCATCAAACTATTGCTCCAACATCCTGTGCTCACTGAAGAGGTAACTATAATTAGATACATTGAGTGAACACTTCACACAAATATACTTTCATTATTTAAACTACTAGCTTTTTTAAATACACAATCGGGACTTAACGCGGTGAAGAAACTGTCGTGTCCTACCGCGACCACGACGTGGTGCAATCTACGTCGAAATATGAGCAATAAAAAAGCAGGTATGTAGATACTGTTTACCTGCAAAGGTTTTTTCCATCGCGTTAGGATCCGATAGTGTATTTAAAATATGTGTAGGCAACGCGAAAGTTTAAAATTAACTACTAGCTTTTGACCCGCTACTTAGATAGATAGATAATTTATTTACATTCCATTCGTGTTTCAACCGTGAAGCAGTTGTGTTTGCATGGCTGTGTTTCGGTTTGAAAGGTGGGATATGGCGTGAATTTACTGGGTACAGAGGACTAACACCTATGTCTTCAGGAATGGCAATGCATGGGAGGTATCATGGGCAAAACAGTATACTTTGTTATGTCCATGGTACTGTTCATGTCTATAGGTGACGGTTACCACTTTCTATCAGGTGGGCCTCAAACTAATTTTATATTGAATAAAACAGGAGGTGAAATGGCTTGCTGACTGTGCACCAGCCGACGCAGTAATTAACACAATTTGGATTATTTTGCTTAGCAAATGTGAACAATCACAGAACATGGCTCTGAATTTGATATTACAGCACAAGGTAATTTTATTTAATTATTATATTTGAACATTTATCATGTTCGAGAGAGGAAATCAAGAGTAATTATAACTAATTTGAACTTTGGTCTCCTTAGCCTACCCTATAAGTGAATTTATACAGGGTGTAAGGGACAGGTTGGCAAAAATTGAAACAGTGAATTGAGACCGTTATTCTGAACTGAAAACCAGTGGAAATTCTTTCCGGAAAATTTCAATTTTCCTCCGTTTTTTTTTTCATAAAAAAATCATGTAATTTATGATATTAAGTCATAATATAAAGTAACAATAATATTTTATAGTGAAATACTATAAAATAATACTGCAACGCGCGGAATCAACTGTGTAGTCAGCGCCACAAGCGTACGAAAATTACCTACGAAGAAGCGCCAATGACCTGTAGCATTGTACACTCTGTAAGTATCTCGCGTCGTGTAGATCGTAAAATTTCAAATACAGTGTGCTACGTCAAAATTAAGAATCGTTAATTATATGACTGCGGTGCATTTCGGTGGGAAAATAATCTGCCATCTGATTCAGACCCTTCCTCTGAATCAGCTGTTTTCGTTTTGGCCAACCTGTCCCTTCCATCCTGTATAGATTTGCAAGTTAACTTGCGCTGTTTATTATATTAATTCATATTAGAGATGAACATTCAATTGTCTTGAGATTTATACTAGAGGTCGCTATACTCGCACGAGTTGTATTGGCGGTTTACATTTGAAATGAGTGTCTTGGTAATATGAGATGCGTGACAAAACGACACTGAAAAATCAGAATTTATAATGTTCAGTTTCATTACGTTTAGATAATATTTTTTTCTCAAACATGCTTGGAAATGTGAGCATTATTTTGACAATCTTCTTCGAGATAAATCAAAATTGCCGTACTGGACAGATACACGCGGGCGGCGGCCAGCAAAATTGTATGAAAATCCATATCTGTCGTGTTTTGCGGCCAGATAAATTACTATGTAAACTCATATTTGTCCTGTAATTTAAAAATGGAATGACCTTTTACTTCTAAACATGGCTACCAAGGAGGTAACTAATAAAAGGTTTTATTTAAATTTCGAACTGGCTTGTAAATAGAACGCTGTTTATTGAAAAAAAAAACAAAGGAATATTATGGCGCGTGAAAAATTATTATTGTTCGTTATTCGTCATTGAACTTAAAAAGTAAAGTTGTGTTTTTGATTTCCGCGCATTGTTTGAGAAAAGTACTATACAAACCTTGGCCACAACTAGGCATTGATGGACTTACGTATGTGTGCCTCGGCTACTCCTCGGCCCACATTTGCACGTTCGTCCATCAATGCCTCAGTTGCCGTCCGCTGCAGTGTATGTACTATAATTTTCAGCAATCAATTAAACAACCAGATGTTGAAGAGGACCTAATAAAGGAACTTTTAGATAATGGAATGTTTTTGAAATTAATATCTACTCCATTGTACTCATCAATAATCAGTTATATTATAACTCGGGAGGCTACCCCCGGAGAGTCTCCTTCGAGCACGTACACGGTTGAGTGGGCAACCAACGAACTTCTGAAAGCCAATCATTTGGCGGAAGCAGGACATTTGCGTTTAATGTCCATCGGCGTGCCGTCGCCGCTTCGTGGTTTTTCTCAAACTGTACAATATTGCAAGAAGATGTTTAGCAAAAATTAAAATGTCTTGTATATTTATGTCATATATGCAAAGAATAATATATTGAAATATATGTTTAATGTCATATCGTTTTTTTATTCTTGTACCTACATTGTCTACATATACGGATCACGGAAGTGCTTCGTGGCCCGATAATTTTAAATTTCGTCTACAATATACAATAAATAGGACTCAGGACTCAGGTGTTATTCCTCTGTACCCTATAAATTCATTGCCATATCCCACCCTTCAATTCGAAACACAGCCATGCAAACACAACTGCTTCACGGCAGAAACATAAATGGGACAAAGATGCCCAAGCAAACGACCTTTGTACAGTCTTCCTTTGGTAAACTACATTTACTTTCGTAGCTAGTAGCTCCATCTCTTCCTTGCAAATGACAACAGATGCATTGGATGACTAGAATGTAGGCATGGAGAAGAGTTGTTAGTTTTTTTTGATGGGTGAAAATGGAATGGTAATGGTGTAAATGGAATGCCTGCGTTAACGGGATACGCTGGCGGAGCACCAGTGAAGGATGATAGATGAGAATGAAAACAGGTCAATTAGCCCATCATGATGAATTCATCAGGAATTAACCATGATAGTTTCCAGAGGAAACCGCGAGAAGGTCGACCTAGTTGGGTATATTGCTAGCATTGGTTTTCTCAGTATCCATCGCTAACAATCCCTTTCCCCCCAGGAGTTGTTAGTAATAGGGTCTAACTGCTACTTTTTTAGCAATACTCCATTAGGTTGACCTTCGCGCTGTATCCCCTGGAATTCATCATGGTGAATTAATTATTATTGAATTTGTCACAGTCGACTAACTGATCTGTTTCATCCTCAAGTATCCTGCCAATGTATACCTATAGCGCGGGTAGGGCTACTATCTCCTTTTTACACATTAAAAAAAAAGACTAGAATGTAGGCATAGAAATGATTGCTATCAGTAAAATTATTATTTTTTGTTCATGGTGGTATTACCTATGACATCACATGTAATTTTCGCTTGCAATTAGTTAATGTCACACTCGCTACTATTGGCTATTGAAAAGTAAAATATAAATTATGAGTAGAAAAGAATAGGAAAAATCTGTATTCAAATAGACTTGTATACAAGTTCTTTTAGATTTTTTATGATTCTAAATATTAATTTTGTTTAGATTTAGAATAAATATGAAGTTTTTTATGATTCTACTACTGGGTTCGGAATATTTTATTTTAAGAACACGCAAGAAATTTAACAATTTCAAATTATCACGTACAAGAGAATTTTGGAAATTTCAACTTTTATAGATATTATTAATCGCTAAAAAATCATAATATAATATCCGTTTAATGTATAATTTGGTTAATCTTCAATTGATAATTTGGATTTTTATTAGAAGCATAATATAAAAACGAATAATGATGCAATTAACAAAAAAGAGACGTAGTGCTACTCTGTACCACGTTTTTATCACGCTGCAAACCTAAAGTGAAAACATTTCTCCAAACTTTTGCTCCAAACAAAGATTTCTACTTGTTCTTAGATTTCTACCAGATACTGACTGTTGAGGTTTTATTTGATACATTTAAAAATAGAACTTATTTATTTTTCTTGTTATATCAATGTGTATTTTGTTTGATTAGAGAAACGTCATTACCTTTTAAAACATCTATTTTTGTACTAGGGAACAATATTATATATCTTTATTCAGTCTCTTATATTTTTATTGTTTTATCCAACGAACCCTACACATACTGGCGACCGTGCAGATAAATATGGATAGAGCAAAGGCGGAGAGGATATTAGCTCGTCGCAAATTTACATTATGTGCTCAAAAACTGGAAAAGCTTTTGGATAGTTGCGACGAATTTATTCCAGCCGAGTTTGAAAAACTGAATAAGTTGTTTGAAGACCTCACTCTAGTACAAAATAAAGTTGTAAGTGTTTGGCTCGACGATGACAGTCGTGATGAAGAGACATTCGACAAAGATATTGTAGAAGCGGATGTCTACGAATCACGTTATTATATGTTGAAACAAAAGGCAAGTAAAACTTTTATTTCTTCTGCAAAATCTACTGTTAAAGAAATGGAGGCAGAGCAGTTGTCGTTGAGAACCAATGGTAACCGACACTTTAAACTACCCAGGTTGGAGTTACCCAGATATAATGGTGAGATAAAAACGTGGTTAAAATTCTGGTCTCAGTTCAAAAAGATACATATGGATGACCAGATTGATGATGATGACAAATTTCACTATCTGCTCCAATGCATGGAAGTAGGGTCGGTAGCTAGAGAATTTTTAGAAAGTTTCCCACCATCAGGTGAGAATTATAGTATTGCTATAGAGCAACTTAAATATCGATTTGCGAAAGACGAAATGATAATAGAATACTATGTGAGGGAATTACTCAATCTTGTTCTGGCGCAAGCTAAAGGTGTACAGAAGGGATCAATTCGTAGATTATATGATTCTCTGACGACACAAATATTAGCACTAGAATCTATGGGAGTAACCCAAGAAAAATATTCCGCATTTTTATTGCCATTAGTAGAATCTGCTTTACCAGAAGAGACGTTGAAGGCGTGGAACAGATCTCAGGCAAATGATAGAGGTAATGAAAAATTTAGTCCATTATCTAGACTATTGAATTTTGTCAAGTCGGAAGTCGAGTCAGAAGAAAGAATACGTTTATCTCGCTTCAAAGGTTTAGATAACTATTGTAGACAAGATTTTAATATATCTTCTGCTGCATGTTTAAACACGACGTATAAAGATACTAAGAAAAGATTAGGTGAAGGTAGCCAATACGATCGTAAGGAAAAAACTTGTATTTGGTGCGATAGACTGTCACATACTAGCTCAGAATGTGCTAGTGCAATTGGTAAAAATTTAGAAGAGCGAAAAGAATTTTTAAAATCGAAGAATGCTTGTTATATATGTCTTAACATTGGACATTCTGCCAAGCGATGTAGGAAGTATCCTAAATGCGTCATCTGCACCAAAAGACATTTTCCATTAATGTGCAGTGATATAAAAAAGTCGATTGCAGGCACTACCATTGCTAGTACGTCACAAGAATCTCAGTCGGTACTAAATCAGAGTGATATTTCAAATAATAAAACAGTTTTATTACAAACTCTGAGAGTAAAAATCTGCAATGGAGATGAGAATATCACAGTAAGAGTTCTTCTGGATAGTGGTGCCCAACAGACATTTGTTACTAAAGATGTTGCTTCTAGACTAAAATTAAAAGCATGTGGTATGAAAGAAATGAGTCAAAATTTGTTTGGTGGAGCTACGACACAGAAAAAAATGTACAGAATTTATAATTTAAATGTCAGAAGTTTAGATGACACATATGAATGTTATGTTAGAGCATACGAACAAAATATAATATGTGGTGATATACCCCATATTAAAAAGGGCAGTAATATTTTGTCTATATTAAATGATAAAGGTGTTGTTGTTACAGATTCTATAGATGATGTTTCTAAAATAGATTTACTAATTGGTTCTGATTTTCTAGGTACCCTGTTAACTGGACGATCAGTACGTGTAGATGACTATCTTTTTGCAACAGAAACTAAACTTGGTTGGACTGTACAAGGGCCCGCGGTTGGTGTGTATTGCTCTTCAGAATCTGTAAGTGTTCTGACTTGTTCATATACTGTAGAGGACTTTTGGATTTTAGAAACGTTAGACATAAAAGATAATGCACAAGAGAAAAGTCTCATCAAACGCGAAGAAGAGATAGATAATTTTTTCAAGGATACTATACAAATTAATGAGGATTTTCTTCTAGCTTTAAGAAGGTTTTTAGCTAGAAGAGGTGTAGTTAAGTTAATTTATAGTGATAATGGGACAAACTTTAGAGGTGCTACCCATATTATAAATGAGATTAATTGGCAAGAGATTTCTTCTCAGACCCTCACTCAGAAAATCGAATGGCGTTTCATGCCACCTTCTGCGCCGTGGTGGGGAGGGTTTTGGGAGAGAATGGTGAGGACTGTCAAAGACATTTTATGCAGAATACTTGGGAAAGCATCACAAAGTTATTGTGATCTCAATACAATCTTATGTGGGATAGAAAATATGATCAATTCGAGGACATTGACATATATAGCGGAAAGTCCAGGAAGTTTAGTAACCTTGACACCCGCAATGTTCCTAAAAGTCGATATGGAGGAAAATGAAAATAACCTAAGTCAGTTGAATGGCAATATCTTAGCATCTCGGTGGCGATATATAAAAAAAATTAAGTGGCGATTTAAAACAGTATTTTCGAATGAATATTTATCACTCTGATTCAAAGGGGATGTAAAGATAAGAATCACACATATAAAATTGGAGATGTTATTTTGGTCGGATGTGATAATATTAAATGTTTGTATTAGTCATTAGGAGTAATTTTAGAGATATATCCAGGTATTGATGGATGTCTTCAAGTTGCTAAAGTAAAAACTGCTAAAGGTGAGTGTATAAGGCCTATGCAGTGGTTGTATGCGTTAAAGGTTGAATCAGGCGAATTTGCAGAAATTAAGAGCAATACACACAGTGTCGATCCTATAAGTAAAATTTTTGAGCCATTGCCTCGTGTCATACGCACTGGTCGTTTGGTCAAAATACCTAACCGTCTAGATTTGTATTGTTGTAAGAATTGTAATTTTATATGATATGTAGTTTTTTGTCTGTCTGTCTGTTTTGCGATATTATCGCAAGGGGGGGAGTATGTTGAGGTTTTATTTGATACATTTAAAAATAGAACTTATTTATTTTTCTTGTTATATCAATGTGTATTTTGTTTGATTAGAGAAACGTCATTACCTTTTAAAACATCTATTTTTGTACTAGGGAACAATATTATATATCTTTATTCAGTCTCTTATATTTTTATTGTTTTATCCAACGAACCCTTCACACTGACAAACCGATATGACATTAATAAATGTCAATGTCATTCTAATTTAAAAAATTACAAAAAAAATTCTAGGTTATGTTTTATTTTTGGTGTGTGGAAGAAATAAAACAAATTTATTATAAATTATAATATTTTTAAATATTATCTGTATTTAATATGCTTACGGCAATTAAGAATACTTTGCGTATTCCAGTTATAAATTTAGGTCGATTATTTCAAACCTCTGCTCCAATAGCAACAGAAAAATTCGTTCACAAACGAATCCCTCAAGATGATGAAGGTGTCCAAGGAGAAAAGATAATTGATTTAGATTCTGTTCTTAAATCGTATGTTATACATTTTTTTTTATATACATATATACAACTTTTTATTTCATAAAATAAACATTAAAATATGTTCTTCATTACCATTCGTTCATTGCTTGTACCGAGTTCCATGATGTTTTGATGATTGTATATTTTAATAATATGTATATATTAATATTGTAGAAAACAATCTCTGTTCCCGACTCTTGAATCAGATAACTTATTATTTGATGGGATGCCTTACAATCAACTACCAATTTGCAATATACGGGTGACACATAACAATACAATATTTACAATGACTGATGCAGCAGGTATTGTAAAACTGATTAGATCATGTGGTATGGAAGGGTTCAAAAACACGAAAAAAGGTACCAATATAGCAGCCCAGACAACTGCTATAAGTATAGCAACGGTAAGGTTTACAACACTTAGGTTTAAAAATCCTCTTTACACTCATTATAATAATGTTTGTATAACCATCTAAGCTTATAAATGTCTTGCACTGAGGCTGAAATGTTAACGGATTAGTAAATTTTTTTTATTAAGTTATGTAATATATGAATAATTATCATAGTGAGTAAAGTAGGTTTTGAAAGCATGTATATTTGGGAATTTAATAGTAAATTTTACATTGTATACATCTAATACATAGCAGAATATAATTTAATAGGCAAATCATTTATGGGAGATCTCTTTCAAGTTCCCAGTAAATTGGTAGAAAACAAGACATAGTTACAAGTGGGAGATGTGGAATCGTAATTGACTTTAGACTATATATGAGAAAGACTTGCAGTGGATGATAAATAGTCATCTTCGTCTAAAACTATATATTGACTATATAAGTAGCACAGATATTTAAACAAGTTTCTGCACTGTATTTTAATTTAATAACTACTGATTTAACTTACATGTATTTTAGTCGAAAAAGCTTGACTGGTTTCAGGATTATCTTGAACCATTTTAAGGGTCCCTCATTCATTAAAATATAATGTATACTGATTGTTTAACAATAAGTTACTTACCATTTAAATATTATACCAGCTGTTAACTGTCCATTGCTGAATATGGGTTTTTCTAATAAGGGAAGATTTGCCAGTAATCATGTTTGGCAGGCATGTTAGCTACCACAGTTAAGCTTTGTGAATTATTTAAGAAGGACACATTAATATCATAATATAAATATATTAAGACTAATTTTTTTATTACTTACAGAAAGCTATTGATAGAGGTGTAAAGACCATTAGAGTCCGAGTGAGAGGATTGGGTCCTGGCAGATTGGTATGTAAATGTACCACAACATAAATAATTAAGAAATGAATAGCATTTTATTTTAATAGTTTGTTGTATTAAATGGTTATTTTATTTCAGGCAGCAGTAAAGGGGTTGCAGATGGGTGGCTTACAAATAGTATCAGTAACAGATAACACTCATGTATCATGGAATCCTCCAAGGCCAAGGAAAGCCAGAAGGCTTTAGTTTGTATCATGGTTATTAAGATGGATCCTTAGCGCTTTTATTATATAGATTAAAATAAACTATTGTAAAAAATATTGATTTATTATTAAATATTTACAGTAATTATATCTATTATTCTTACAATATAATTAAAACCCATATTTAGACTGGGTCTGTCTTTTTGACATCCTGTTGTTTGCCCATTGATTTTGTAATTCAATTTCATTTGCTTTTGCCTGAAAAAGATAAAATATTAAACAAACAATGTGGACAACCAAAACAATCTTTCTGGCATATCCACATGTGAACATTCCCAAAGGCATTTAAGGAAATGGACAATTTAAATGTATCTAAGAAAAAGGCAAAAGAATATTTGACAGTCAAATGTTACATTAAATAACTATTATAATGACAAATATTAGACATTCAATATCATTTATTACTTGACTTATTATTACTGACATTTCAAATTATTATGAAATAACAAATTGAGATTAACTTTATATTGTACATTTTATGTATTGTAGAATGTGAAATAATGGAATTATAAAAAATATTTTTATCTAATGTATATACCCATAGTCATGCAATCAATTATTTGAACTTGAACATGCTTGATACATTACCTGGTGTGCCAAATATGTAATCTGGTGTTTTCTCTTTTGCTGTGTTGTGGGTTCATTCCCTTTCTTCTTGCTAGCCGACATTCGTTTGCTTGTGTCATCCACAAGACCCTTAAGGAGCCATTCATGTGCATCTGCCAGTACATCTTGTTGATTTACATCCACTATTTGGATGTCTTCTCGCTTTCGTTTGCCACGTGCACCACATAATTTTAATATCTACAACAGAATCACACAAAATAAAAATGAAATCATTATGAATTTCTTAATTTTTTACTTACATATACACAAGTAAAAAATATTTATACATTATGAAGAAAAAACCTTTTTGCAACACAGAAATTAAATTTTAAGACAACTAATTATTTAATCCAAACCAATGTTGTTAGTTGTACCATGTCAAGTTGGAATATATCCTGTAAGGACATGGCAACATAGAACAAAATTTTTAAATTACTTTTAATTTGTTAAAACTCTATATTCCAGAATTTAAAAAAGTAATGGAAGAGACTAACATGATTTAACCAACGGCTTGTTCATTAAGGGGGCAAGAAGACTAGTATGTAACAGTCTTACAGTTGAGCCCTCTGCTAACTAATATAACAATGTTAAAATTTGCACTTTCAATTGGCTTTATTTTTTGCCCATGGACTTTTTCATAAACATTTTTATGCATCATATGTGTTTGACACTAACAATAATTCTAAACTGATATGAACAACCATCTCATACTTACAGCTTCATCATCAAGTACTACTTCTCCATTTGCATTCTCTGTGGCTCCACTACTTGTACTTGATGTTTCATTACTTGTATACTGTTCAGTGCTGGTATTACCTTCTGAATAATCTGTCTCTAACTCTACATGATTGTCTGTTACATTCTGTTTGAAATATGATTGATTGTTGGCCATTGGTCTTTGTGAACTAGGGGCACTGATGTTTGTGACATTATTTCTAATAGTATCTATATCAAGAGGAATATCTTCCACAGTAGGCAGTTCAACTGGTTTGTTGATTGAGAAGAAATCATTTTGCACTTCTCCATCACTGTCACTGTTGTCAGAGTAGTCTGCAACAGGTTTCGTTTCTGTCTTAACCTTTTTTATTGGTGTAGATAATGCATCTTTTTTCTTTGCATTTGAAGTTTTATTTTGTGTAAGCACATGTGGTATTAATGTTTTTGTAGTTGATTTAACAGATAAACTTGCATTCTTTGGCTGTGGTAGTATGCTTAACAACCCTGATTTTTTCTGAAATATATTAAAATTTCATAAATGCACTAAACATAAGATAAATTATTTTTAATAAACAATATTAACCAACTTACTTCATTCATTATCTTAGGTTTAGCAGTTTGCGGGCTGCCATCTACATCTTTGAACTGAAATAAAACATGTTGCATATTTTATTCATTGTAACTACTAACTACTAATTTTTCAAAGTAAATTATTAAGTTTACTGATAATTAAAGATTGTGTCATGCAAAGAAAAACGAAACTTCAATTGTGGCAGAACAATTTGTTTTGATTTTTTAACTACTGAACCAATTTTGATAAAACTTCTATGGGACCAATCTGTAATTCTTTTAGATAAAAAAATAATTTTCCAAATTAGTTCAAGCATTAAAAAAAATATAACTGAATTGACAACCTCTTTTTTGAAGTCATTTGAAAACTTGTAGATATGTAGTATTTAAAAAGAAAAATATCAACAGTAATGTACCAGTTATTCTTCAATATGCTATACTCACATCACTTAATGAAGGCACTGTGATCTTAGCTTTTGGCTTTACAACATTAGTTAAACTCTCTTTTTTATGCAAGAATTCATCATCTTCTTCAATAATAGCCATTTTCTTCACCGATGGCTGTGGCAGAAAATTAAATAATCCTATATTCTGACTAGCCTCTGGAGGTTCATCTGGTTCTTTTGACTTTGAGTCTTCAAATGGCTCTACAGTCTCTGAAATTAAATAATTCAAGTTTTAATATAAATTTTGGCTCTTATGATGAAGCTTTGTCAATATGTCAAGATTTACATAGGATTTAACGAATTGTGAAATATTTGTATAATTTTATTAACCTTACCTTCCACTTTCTTGGTCGTTAATACAACAGGTGTTTGATTATCATCTTCTTCGTAGTCACTAGAATCACTGTTGTCGTATGCTACTAGTGCCATTGTGATCAACTCGTTCTTGTGCTCGAATGTAAGAATCCGTATTTAAATAGAATATAACATGAAAACAATGTTTTCACGGACAATGATTAATGTATAAAAGTATATTTATTTAATAATATCGCTTAATTAATCAAGTTTTATAATTAGGTAACTACTCTTTAAAATATTAAATTTATGTAAATATGATTGTTCCGTAAATTTTTCAGTTTTAATTTTTACCAAAAACAATGTTACATTTTGACATTGATAATTTTTTTGTCAATCAGTAGAACTGCGTATTATCATAGATAGACATATTTGATAACTAAAGTATCTGTGCCTAAAGATTGGAGTCGATTCTTAAGTCAATTTTTAATTTAATATAATAGATACACGAAATTATTATTTTATAGATTATAATGGCATAAATTTATAATAATTTAATAAATAGGTTTTGAATAATAGCGCTTCAGAATCGACCGAACTATAATATTCTGAGTCAATGTCAATTCCAGACAAATTATCTTTTTGAAGACTAGGCAGCATGGTCTCCGACCTTAGCCTGTTCCAAACGGAACAAACGTACTAAAAAAAAAAAAAAAAATGAATTTTTGTTTTTAGGTTATACTTTTTTATTATTATAATTATTTCTACCTTGTACTGTTACCAAAACTTAACTATCGGTACGTACTGATGTTTTGTTACAGTCTAAATTATATATATCAATACATATAATAAAATGGTAAGAAATTAATATAAGAAAAACTATTATAGGGTGCTTTATGAATGCAATAGAACCCAAAATAATGTTTTTTAGAATTTCTGTCTGTACGTTTGTGCATCCTAATGTCAAAAACGGTTTAACCGATTTGAATGCGGTTTTTACTAATGTATTGCGGTTTGTTCCATATGTAAACATAGTGTTTATTTCAATCGGTTCATAAATAAAAAAGTTATATCAATCTAAAGAATCCCTACCCGTGCGAAGTCGGGGCGGGTTGCTAGTAATAAATTTGTGTAATATTATTACTGTACATTGCAGCCAAGATGCCGAAAAAATTCGCGGGTGAAAATAGCAAAGCTGTTGCTGCAAGGCAGCGTAAAGAAAATGCAAAACAGGAGAAAGATCAGAAAGTGAAGAAAATGTTAGAAGATGCTGAATGGGAGGATAACGACGAGAAATTAAAGAAAAAACAGCAAAAGAAGGTAAGCTCATTCTCATTCTTTAATAATTAACTCTCCAGAATTTTTGTCATTATACCCACTCATTATTTGTGATTTTCTGTTTTTAATCTGTGTATATTCATAGCAGTAAATTATTATAAGCAAACCTATAATTTTCCAGGAAGAACAAGAAAAGAAACGCCAAGAGCAGCTACAAAAGAAAGCAGAAGCAAAAGCCCTGTTAGAAAAGGAAATGGAATCATTGAAGGGCACAACAAAGAATGCTCCACCACCACCAAAAATCACTCGTGCACAGATATCATTGTTAAAGGAGAAGACTGTAAAAGCTGAACCTCCTAAACCTGTGGTAATATCTTTATATCTCATTTCTTGATTTAAATTTTTACACTAGAAAGAAAGTGGATAAAACTGTCCTCTATAAAGCATGTATACTTACAGCTGAGACAGCTAACACACTGCCAACTTCTAATAGTTATTGCAATGTATTTTTAACAATATAGCAATATCTTTCTCTTCAAAACAGGTTTAGACCCTTGTTTAGTTTTAATTTGAAGGATGAGATAAAATAAAATTACTGCACAATAAACCACATTAGTTCCCAAGAATATAATATCTAAGCACTGTTTATATCTATAGGCAATGATTATTACTTTTTCTTAATTTTTTTGGTACTTCGAAGTTGTATAAAAAAATATGTCTGTGAGCAGTACAATTTATCAGTATTGCTTTTCTACAAAATTTTCAGAGATTTCTGTATTATAACTATTGATTACAGCCATCACGGGTTGTCATTGATGAAACTCCATTGGAAGAAAATCTGAACAGGATACAGCTTGATGGAGAATTGGCACAGACTGTAGATGAGGCTATATCTATACTCAGGTAAGAGATACGAGACAGCATGTACCAGTATTAGTAAAGATATTAGAGTACACATCTAATCTTAAAAAAACAGGTGGTCGCTTTTTAATAATGGAGTTAAGATACTAAAAAGTATGCAAAATGATTTTTATAAAGGAAATAACCAATTTTCCTTTTTAAGGTTCCATATTTATAATATATTATCATGTGGTCTGTGGGAATTTAATGATTGAGGCATGGATAGCTGTGTTCCTCTTAAAATATGATCATACTGTGGTTGCCAACCCGCCTGCCAAGTGTGGCAATTGGTGGCAAACCCCAATATGGTAAGCCTATGTTCAGACAAGACAATTTGGAATATCTAATGGAGGCCATACTAAATAAAAATTTGAAATTTTTATTTTAAAAAAAATTGAGTATAATTAAAAAATGAATATAAAATAATGTAATCTCAAAAGAAAAAGTATAAACAAAAGCTATACATTATTTCCTGGTTTTTTTTTTCAGTGATAAGTCAGAAGTGGATCGACATCCCGAAAAACGATTGAAGGCTGCATATACAGCTTTTGAAGAATCAAACCTACCAAGACTTAAAGCTGAAAACCCTAATCTTAGGTTATCACAGCTGAAACAAATGCTTAAAAAAGAATGGCTAAAGTCACCACAGAATCCTATCAACCAAAAGATTTAAAAATGTTAGTTATAAAATTCTTAACTTATTTGTTAGTTGATAAATTATATATTATATATATTTTATTGGAAGTCATTATAAGCTGCATGTACAATTTTTATTTATTGAATTGGCAAAAAATAATCAAATTATATTTTACAATATTTATTGCTGTACAATTCAAAGTCTTTAAAGCTGGACAAGATTTTGTACTAGCAAATAATAAAAAAGTAAATGAATTACATTTTCACATTTTGTTTCACTGGTTCATTGCTGTATTGTAATGGTATTCCTTCCCGTCCCTCTTCAGCCTTTTTCACTTCGGTTTCACCCAATTTCTGTTCTAGACCTCTCCATGTTCTTTCTTGTAAATTTTGTCCTATGTTTTCTAATGCCCAGTTTTGTTTTTCAGATAATTCTGTACTTGTATCATTGTGAACACCTACTTTTGTCTCTCTTATTTTTCCTGTGATTAGACTAACATCAGTTCCCTCTTCAACCTTGTTGATTTCACAATAATGTCTGTTACCTGGCAATAGTTCATCATAGTCTGTGACATGATTAGCGAAATAAGGCTCTCTGTTTGAGTTTAGAGCAACTTCCAACTCAAATGGGTACACAATTGGTTTGTAAAAATCTCTACTACTGTACAGGTCATTTTCTGGACATGCAATCATCACGTAAATATCAATCTGGAATAAAGAATTAGTGATTAGCTTCTGAAGAAAATTAGTGTAATTTCAAGTAAATACATAAGTACAATTTATCCAATTTTACCTCTGGAAAATTTGCCAGTTTGGCAACATTGGGTTTGCCTACTGACACAATGTAACTTTTCTTGCCATTCACACGGCAGAGCTGTTTCATCCTACTGATTATGTCCTTAGTTTGATTTCCAGCCAATTTGCACACCAGGATACCAATTACATTGGCATCTTTACATTTCTCCACAAGAAAACGTCTTCGCTTAAACCAGGATGTTTCATCCTTGTGCTCAACTTTACCTGAATCTGGATCCAATGAATACCATTCTTTAGCTGTAGAAACATAACACAAAGTTTAATTGTAAGATTAAGTTTTGAAAACTATATAACAAAATTGTTAGAAATAAAAGCTATTAATAAAAGATAAGTTCTATATGATATACATTTACTATAAACAAATATGACTCATTTGCTGTATCTCGCTAACTTTTCCATGGAATTTTTAACACATGACCTACATTACAAATTAAAAATCATTATTGTGATAACTTTGAATCCTGTATAATATTAAATTGTATTGTGAAAAGATAGAAAAAGCCTTGCTTTACAAGCAGATTACAGGTAAGACCTATAAGACATAGTCTTATAATGTAATTCTAATAATTTGAATAAAGGTTAATAGTAATGAAAAGACAGAAAAAGATGTAATTTGTAATCATGCATAAGCACCTGCAACAGAAATCGTGTAATTAAAGAGAGTTTGTCCCCTAGATCCAATGTGGATGCATATACAATTTTTTAATGTTTCAATAGGGTAAATTTCCCCCTCTACATCTTTAACTACTCTTCCTAGAAATCTTCGTGGTGCCTCATTTTGTTCCACATAAGCAATATAACTTTTAGGATACTTTTGGTACCAGTATTTTGATAATTCATCTGCAAAAAAAGTTGTATGCTTTAATACATTTACCAGAAATAATGTTAAAGTATTATATTCTAATATGTAGATCAATAACAGATATATATGAAGCATTCACAATGAGGTTCAGGAGTAGTTAATACTGGAATTATATGGAAAATATATGGTATTAAAATTGTTAAAGAAAATCACATCACATGTATAAGTGATATATGTATGATGTATAGTGTATAAGAGGGAGACTTTGTACAAAAGTCGATTGCTTGGATACGTCTGTTCCATTTGTGTTTCTACCGTGAAGCAGTTGTGTTTGCATGGCTGTGTTTCAGTTTGAAGGGTGGGATATGGCATGAATTTACTGGGTACAGAGGAATAACACCTGAGTCCTCAGGAATGGCAACGCACGGGGGGTATCATGGGCGAAACAGTATTCTGTCCATGGTACTGCTCATGTCTATAGGCGACAGTTACCGCTTTCCATCAGGTGGGCCGTCAGCTTGTTTGCCAGTCTAAGTTGTATAAAAAAAAAGTGACATTAGAAAATATCACTTTTTCAAAATGGATATTATAAGATTAATGAACTATAAAACCTATTAAAGAATGAAAGATTACCTTTACAATGTTCAAACTCTGTATCATAAAAAAGGCATAAACTAATGTTCTCATCAGAATTGAAGTTATTGTGTAAATTGTTTATAGTCGCCTCAACATTAAGGTCTCGTTGTGGAAGAACAATAAAGACAGGAAGATTGCTTTTTGAGAAGCAAGTGTGGCCATAATGTACCACCGCATCGCCCTGAACATGTGATGCTGCTACTGTGTCCACACAACAGCTGAAAGTAATTGTAACTTTATACATTATGATTTAGGAATATGTGTATAGTAATAAATGTTACTATTTATACTATAGTAATTCTATTGTATTTATACATTGTATATCTATACTTATAATAAATCTGTAGAGAGGTCAATTCTGTACATGAAATATATTTCTAAAATAACTATCAGGGGGTGATAAGTGATCAATACTGATGCCAAAAATGCAATCAGTAAAATCTTTGTCTGTCTGTTCATTATAGAAACAAAAACCACTCGATGGATTTTAACGAAACTTGGTACAATCATTCTTCATCTTCCTGGGCAGGTTATAGTATACTTTTCATCAAGCTACGATCAATACGAGCAGAGCAGTGAAGGGAAATGTTGGAAAAACGGGAGAAGTTACTCCATTTTTAAGCTTCCGTTGCATGTGCAGCCTTAATAGCCACTTTTTAAAATATAAAAATGTCCACCCATGTGACGCCGGGACGGGTGGCTAGTTTATGAATAAATTTGTAAATAATATTAATATGATACAAATCCAGTTTTAAATAAAGTAACTAAGAGTATGAATAATAAGAATACTTTTATTTATTGCCTTACCTTGCATATGAAGTGTCCCCTAAAATATATATATCAGCATCTACTCTTTTTTTTATCTCCTCATAAATGACTACGCTCACACCCAATAAATCATCTGGGAACTGAAGGCAGACCTGTTTAAATAAAGGTATAATATTATTATTTTATACATCAGAAAATTTAAAAATTTATTAACCACCTAGCTAGATTTTGCCTGCTACTTTGTATACATTGATATTTGAAGTCCGAAAATCAATTCAATTGATCACTTCTAGCATTAGATTATTCTTCATACTAGTAAATGAGCGCTGCTTATGGGAACTAGTCTCTCAAGTTTGCTTATTTTCTTTAAATAAAATTCAATACTAATTATAGTCACAGTACACCCATACAAATTAAAATTATCTTGTACATAATAATTTGAAAAGAGTAACTGTTGAGTTTCTTGTGAATTCTTCAGAGCAGATTACAACATTCCGATCCTAATAATAGAGTAATAAAAAATTTATTATTTAAAAGATCTTGTAAACCAGACTATTTGACTTTGTCCAAAAGTCGTTTGCTTGAGTACCTCTGTCCCATTCGTGTTTAAACCGTTAGGCAGTTGTTTCCATGGCTGTGTTTCGGTTTGAAGGATGGGATATGACGTGAATTTACAGGGTATAGAGGAATAATATCTGAGTCCTCAGGAATGGCAACGCATAAGGGGTATCATGGGCGAAACAGTATACTCTGTTATGTCCATGGTATTGCTTATGTCTATAGGCGACGGTTACTTTCCATTAGGTGGGCCGTCAGCTTGTTTACCATTCTAAGTTGTATAAAAAAAACGTATGAATAATGTACCTTCGTATAATGATTATCTATGATCCATTTGCATGTTTCTTCAATGTAAAAACGTGTCACGATATTTTCAAAATCATTGTTCGCTTCTATAATTGATAATTCACGTTCTATACATATTTTACCGTCTATAGTTAAATTAGACATAATAAAATTTTATAACTACCTATTATAATTAATTAATTACAATACAAGTACTGTAAAACAGAGAAGTTAATCACTAATTTAGATTAGAAAACAATATTATTATGACAAATAAACAAGACAAATATGGATATAAGTTTTTTTTTTTTTAGTCCGTTTGTTCCGTTTGGAACAGGCTAAGGTCGGAGACCATGCTGCCTAGTCTTCAAAAAGATAATTTGTCTGGAATTATGGATATAAAGTCACAAATTGCAATACAGATAAATGTAATCTATTTACTCTTTGATCTTGAGGCAGAGGCACAGATTAGATAGCGTAGGTGATACATACTATAAATTGTTTTAATATCTAGATTTTGGTCTAGTACGGATAAAAAAATAACTGAATATTTACTAACATTATATATGTTTAATTCAAAGATTTAATATATATTTAACATATTTGGACCGAGAATGACATGTAAATAGGTTATAATGTTTCGCCTTCAAAGTCCCAACAAACTATTTATCAAGCATAATATTTGCAGTCTTAAACTTTTTACGCAATATCCAAACTTTTGTCGTTCAAAACTTCCTTTATAAAAATCCACCTTCCCAAATTGTTTTCAGTGGATACACACTGTCATTTACTGGCACTTATCAAATAAACAAAAACCCTAAAATTAGATTTTAGAATATATACTAACGATATTTATATGTTGAGTCCGATAAATAGATACGATTCGAATCGTCTTTTAAGCAATTATTCCGGAAAGGTCATAGATGAATGATCGGTGAGCAAAGTTCTTAATCTTATTACACCTACATGTTACTATTTTTAAAGATAGTCAATCTTTGAAGTTTTTATTAATAATTTTATCAATAGTATAGTTTTTTCATTCTCTTTAAGATTAAGAAACTTAAATAATTCTTTGGCTTTTAAAATAACCCTACAGGTGGGTAAACCCATTAATTCGATTGGGTACTTTCTCAGATAAATTATCACTTAAATCAGTGGAAAGTGGAAAAGGACGTTGGAAATTAAGTTTCTTTAATGAGGCATTAAAGGGTAAAAACAAATTGGTTGCAACATACTGTGCAAACCAAGCAGGTTTTTGCTTGGTTTACAAATATTAAAAATCAGAGGTTACACAATATTTAAAAGGGTAAAGTATACTTAGTTGATGGATTAAAATCCTTTACAAGCTTCAGTGCAATAATGTTAAGTTTATTTTTTAAAGTTATTCCAAATACAGAATTTTCTATTTTAACATATTTATTGCCTGTAATAGTTTAATCATATAAGAATATAAAAGTAGTATATTACAGCAAATTGCACACATCTCTTTTTGTATATATAGTAGGTATAACATGTAAAAAAGCTAGAAAACAACATTACATTAAATAATACTTAAATAATTGTATTTCATTCACATAGCACTGCATTTAATATCCCTCATCACTAACAGTGATTGTATAGCTGGGGTATGCATCTTTGACAATTTTGGCGGTTACTTCATGGTCTGCTTTGCCATAACCTTGTGAATATCCATAGATGTGAATTTTCTTATTATCTGGCTCATGTGATATTCTTCCCCCACCTAATGGTTCACAGTCTAACGGCTGTAGTTTCTCTTGAACCTGGTGAAGAAATATGAGAAATGTATGAATAAAATACATAATAGATGAACCTATTGAACTGAATTGATCAGACAATAATTGAGTATATAGGAAAAAAAGCTAATTATAGTACAGACATGGTAAAATAAATGAATTAGTTATGAAAGCTTCTCTTTTGTTAACTTTAATTTTAATCCAACCATCGAGTCTGTTGAAGCAAGAGAGTGTAAGTCAGGGGTTTCCAAACTTATTTTGTCTACTGCCCACTTTGAGAATAAATTATTTTTTAGTGACGCCATTTTTTAACCTACTTAAAAACCACTATTACTTCAAATTACAAATCACCCCCCAAGTCTCTACACAATGCCTCCATTTATATAGTATACCTTCGAAATAATATGTTAATTATTAAAGTAAATTGTGGATAAAATCTGTGATTCATAAAATTCAGGATTTTAAAGTTTAGGCGGCATGTTTGATGGAAGCCTTTTTCTTGTATAATTGTTAATAAATAGGTCAGATGTCTGTACGAAAAATGTTAACTTATTACCTCATCGTATATATCTGAATGGTAATTGCATCTCTTGTAACCCCGAACAATGACAGTAGAAGTTTCTTCATTGTTTTTTTCTTCGTCATGTACTTTGATTAGAATATATTTAAATACGCCAGAAGGATCTATATCTACTTTAGGTACAGCATCTAACGCTTTTGAGGACATCTTCTTGATGCTTTGATGTGAATTTAAACCTATAAAATAATATCTTTGAAGTTATTTTATTGAGGTTATGCTACCAAAAAGAAAGAGTAATTTATGTCAGGATAACTTACTTGCATGTATTAATTTTATCCGATTAGTAAAAACTACACAATTATTATTAGTTAATTTGAGTATTGTTTTCAACATTAATTGTAGTTATTTATTTACTATATAATAAAAAAAAATTGCGTCTAAAGAAACAATGTATATTGTACATTAGACTACATATGTGTAGTTAAGCTGACAGTTGATGGAACAGATTAGAGAGACATCTGACACTTTGGTAAATGATGTATGGAGTCTGAAATATTATTGTATTACATATGATTATTAATTTAAATATTTTATTACGTAAGATATTACAGAGAATATGGTGTGTGAAAAGTTACTTGTATCTTTATTTTCAAATTAATTGAGCAGTAGGTCTATAGCCGCGTGAGACTTTTTTCCTAAACACACGGCATAATATACTTTCATATTCACCATTTGTAGCAGTCCCAGGTCTTGGTGACGATAATAATATTTAGGACGAGGCAAAGTTTTTGCAAAGGTGTTCGCTATCATAAAAATCGTGTAGTGATTAAAAAATAATTAAAAATTGTTACTGAACAGATAGAATAATATGAAAATAATTATAAAAAATTTAGATATTGTTTTCATTAACCGTTTCCTAAAACTCGGTCTTTAACCTACATAATCGTTACAATCTTAATGATTATTTAGAACAAAATTGATCGTCTACGTTATCGTTTTTGTGTCAAACATTTAAACTGTCAAATAGTCAAATCAATGCCAGTCAAGTGCCAGTCAATGCATTAATTGCCATGTTTATTTTTGCATCAGAACTGAAAATCTGAAATTTGATATTTTATTTCTAAATAACAAATAATGAGTTCTGCAATAAATAAAATGGATTCCAATTTTACTGGTAAATATTTATTTCTATTATGTTGTGAAACTATCTGTAGAAATTTACTTAAAACAATCAAGGTTGAATTCATATTGCCTTTCTTGTAAATGCCACAGATTTTAAATATGCAGTCCTAAATGTTTTGTAACATAGAATTAATAAATTTTAAGAAAAAAGTATCTTATGATTACAGAATAAGGAACATGCCATTGTTACAGGTATGTGGTTGAGCTTTTTCACCGCTGCCGGAATCCCTTCGGATGTGGCTGCTACATATGCTCTTACCTTCACAGAGAATAGAATCCAAAATGATATGCTGATGTATTTGAACAAGGAGTATCTCAAAGATATGGGCATAACAAGGATGGGAGATGTTATTGCTATACTCCGGTAAAGTTATCACAACTATTTAAACTTTTAAAAGGTGAACATTTACCAATGAACCATACGGTTAGGGGATAACGAAATGTGTAACTTTTTAGCAATTCTTCCATTCATAAGAAATGTATTCAATGTTTATGTAATATCTAAAAGCATTTATTTATTTATCTTTTTTAATTAAATGTGTGATTGGTATAGTTAGATTTTTTTTACTTAATTATGTTTACTGACTTACTGAAGTCTTAATACAGATACTTACTTGAAAAATACAATACTACTTTAATATTAGGGTAAATTATAGATAGGGTAAATACATTTATCATTATTTTATATTTTTTGGTGTTCAAAAATAGATAAACAAATGTAGTTACTACAAAAAAAAATAACAGATTTACAACAGAATAAGAATATCACTTATATCAGAACTTAAATTAAGTTACATAATAAAAAGTCTGCATTACCGTCAGTACTCACAGTAAGTCAGACCTGTAGCTCAGAGACTAAATACATATATAAATAGATTTAGGATTAACATTGTCTTCAATAATGTCTTAGGAATATAATATAATATGTGAAAATTATGTTCTTATTTTCTTATTATTCTTATTTTTATATTATTCTTATTTTTTAAAGACTAATATTGTAAATTATTATTAAGAATTTATAACTACCTATTTTTTAATTGTTTTTTAAAATGTCTGATTAACAGTCATATTATTTTTAAATAAAAAAGAACTGCTTAATATGTAATTTTGAAAATTTTAACAATAAAATTCTAAATAATTTTATAATAAATTTTGTGTTACGCAGTCATGCTTTACGAGTCCATGAGAGCACAGCACGAGACAAGGTATTGAGCTCAACGGTCACAAATAAAGTACCAGTTGCAGCAGTCACTGGCCGCTCCACAGTATCTCAGTCTTCTTCTCGTAAGTATTAGAGTGAATGATGTTATGTCTAAATAACAAATGTATATAAATTTGTATGTCTAGTACCCACAGCTATATGTTACTGCATAAAAGTTGTGTACAATTTTGGACAAGATCGGCATCTGTGTAAATATATTTAAGTCCATTTGTTTACTTACATAAAAATTATAATTGTTTTCTAATAGATTGTAATACTAAGCTTTAATATTTTCTTTAAAATTTATATATTAACTAGCTGACTTGGTAAACGTTGTTTTGCCATATACATTATTTCTAGAACTATATATGAAAATACATCATACTACAATTATTATATTCGATTGTCATCTTGCAACCCTATTGCGGCATATAAAAATTGAGATTAACAACAGGGGTTGATCGGAAAAGCATGAAAATTTGAATTTGTATGTATCTTTCAATGCTAAATCATAATAAAATAAAAATAAAAAATATTGTCAGTAAAATAAAAAAAAAATTTATGGGTGGGTCAATGAGGTATCATTGAGTATCATTGAGGAGTATGAAAAATAGATGTTGGCCGATTCTCAGACCTACCAATTTGCACACAAAATTTCATAAAAATCGGTAAAGCTGTTTTGGAGGAGTTTAGTAACAAACACCGCGACACAAGGATTTTATATATTAGATTGTATTATTATTTCTAAACTAAATATGAAATCTTTTATTTATTTATTTATTCATTAGTACAAATATGTGTACATGGTGGACTTAATGCTAAAAGCATTCTCTCCCAGTCAACCATAGGGAAGTGTCAGAATACTCGAATGCGGTACTAATAATTATTGATATACATACATACTAAAATTACATATATAAACGAATAAATATATATGAATAACAAATATACTTACACATATATGATCTTTTCTTTTTCTTTTATAGCGGCTAGCCGTATATTAGAGCATTACACTCGCAATCCGCATGTACAAGAATCGTCGCCACCGAAGTCATTGCAACAAAAGAGAAAACTCACAGATGTTGGGTTAGTAACTTTTTATCAATAAGAATCAAATACATGTAAGTTAATCCAGGTGTCCAATTTGCTCAATACATATTTGTTCTTTTGCGTTTCTTTAGATGTGCACCTCCATAAGGAGGAAAATCTGTTCACCTCTATATATTCTGTATTTCAGAATTGTTATAATTATTTACAGCGTACTGTACATTTTTTATACAACTTAGAATGGCAAACAAGCACACGGCACACCTGATGGAAAGTGGTAACCGTCGCCTATAGACATGAGCAGTGGACATAACAGAGCATACTGTTTCGCCCATGATATCCCCCATGCGTTGCCATTCCTGAGGACTCAGGTGTTATTCCTCTATACCCAGTAAATTCACGCCGTATCCCACCCTTCAAACTGAAACACAGCCATGCAAACGCCAACTGCTTCACGGTTGAAACACGAATGGAACAGAGGTACCCAAGTAGTCCACTTTTGTACAAAGTCTCCCTCTGGTACATGGTATGTATACAAGTAAGTGACAAATAAATTAATCTTTTATGCAGGCTTGAGACTGACAGCAACAATATAAAGAAGGCCCGGCTCATTCGTTTTTCATCGCCACCACAGTCCTCTGTGAAAGAAGGTAACAATTACATATATATTCAATAAGGATTATTCTGTAACAAAGCATAAAGTACATACAAATACACATACATAAATACATACACATATAAAAGATTTAAAAAAATAAAATTAATCATCATTTTTCTGTCTTCACATAACGAGTGTGGCCCTTAAATTCTTGACAACAGATGTCGTCACTCTCGCCTTAGCAGTAGTCGTATCTTAAATATTGTTGTTAACTTTATTTAATTCACCTACTTCGGCTTAAATTTTGTGTTTCTGAATATGTTTATGGATTTTTTTATTTATTACTATATTTGGATTGTAAAGTCTAGTATAATAATTACATATTTTTACGGCGCGAATAAATTATTCACAGATAGTAATTCTAGCAGTAAAAAATTATTCAGTTTACCACTACGAAGAATTCAGATGTTTGGCATTACAATAATGTATAGTATTTATATACCTTACTATGGTATGCAGGTTGTAGTGGATGTAAAGTCTAAAGGCACTTAGTAATATTGAATATTTATTATTTTAAACTATATACAAAGTGATGACGTGTTATACGTGCTGAGTGGCGGGAGCGAGAGAGCTCGAACGAACGAGTCAGAATGAATGATTACTAAACAAATAATAAAGCTTACAATCCTATTTATATATATATTATTTAAACTTCAATGCACAATTATATAAGTGTATATGTGGCGGACTTAACATCTAATGGCGTTCTCTATCAGTCAACCATGAGGTAATATATATATATATATATATATATATATATATATATATATATATATATATATATATATATATATATATAAATCTTTTGTTACAGTTCCACAGACTGTTTTCAACAAGCAGACAGTTTTTTCGCGACTCGGAAACTCGGAGCCGACCAAAGTTGCGTCCACAAAGGCTGCTGTGAAGCCAATATACTCGAGACTAGGCTTAAAGTCTGATAGTGAAGAGGAGCCCATAATACCGATACAGAAGGACGCCCTGAAATACAAAGGCATACTGAAAGCACCGATCGTACCAAAAAAAGTGGTTACTGTCACCACGTCAAAGAACAATGTGAGGAAGATAGCCATAGGGTGCACCATGAGGGCGGACGAGGCTCCGGTCAGCGTAAAAGATAAGTTAGCATTACCTAAGTCTAAGTCTGTAAAGTTTTCCAGTCACATTGAGTATAAAGAAATTGAGATGAACAAGAAATGTCTAGTCAACCCGAAGGTCACGTCACAGAGGTTCACACCAGTGTTTAACAAGCCAGAGAGGAGGCTGTCTATGCCGGAAGGGAGTAATGGAGTTAAAGCCAGATTAGGTAATAAGAGTGCTAACAATTTTACGATAACAAAAAATGTATTTAATAGGCTCGGTGTCTGATTACTTTAGGCACTGCTGTTCTTTTTTTATATTTAAATATTGTTCTACGATGGAGTAAGTATTCTCAAGAAGAGGTAGTTGTATATATATAAAGACATCCTCCTTGCTAAGAATTGTATTGACACCAATTTTTTTAATTTACACGGTACAGAGGAATAACACTGAGTATACTGTTTCGTTATGATACCCCCCATGCGTTGCCATTCCTGAGGACTCAGGTGTTATTCCTCTGTACCCAGTAAATTCACGCCATATCCCACCCTTCAAACCGAAACACAGCTATGCAAACACAACTGCTTCACGGTTGAAACACGAATGGGACAGAGGTACCCAAGCAATGGACTTTTGTACAAAGTCTCCCTCTGGTAAATGAGGTGACGTTAATAGTGTATATAACATATATTCATTGGCTGCAAGCTTCATCATCCCTCTAAATTGTTGATATTTAAAATAATATGAATGATTAAAACCTTTTATTGTTTACTTTAAAGAATAATATAGATTATGAAGATTAATAATATGTATACAAAAGATAAATTAATTAAATATATTTAATTAACACAATTAATTAATTATAGTCTTTTTACTTAATTAAAGCGAGATAAATAGGTAACAGTGGACGGTCTTATCGCTAAGTAGTGATATGATAATGTATATATTTTAACTATACATACGAAAAAATCTGAATTAACTTTGATTAGCTTTCTCTATCTATGACACCATAGCCATACTCCGTTATGGCGAATGCAAACAATGGCGATTTTAAGTAGTACATTCTGTATACAGTTTTTTTTAAACTATAGTTTTAGCATAGCTTATTTTTCAATAGACTATCAAATTATGTTTTATTTAAAGTGTGTATGATGAAAAATTACAAAAAAAAAAAACAGAAAATTGCGAAGTTGTGATTCTTAGCATGGATGGTGTCATTCAACAAGAAATTTATCAATATCATGGACTTTATTAACACCATACTTTATTAGTTTTAATAAGTATTTTTTTATAAGATTACAATGGAATGGTAGCCCTTACTATCCTATTGGTACACGCTGCCTGGGCACCAGTCAAATGATGCGAGAGAGAATGAATTTAAGTCAGATGGTTCATTGTGATGAATTTATCAAAGGTTTCCAGGGGGGGCACGTGGAGGACGACCTGATGGGGTGAATTGTTATTAACGGGCTCGCTAGTCCCCATTACTAACAATCCTTTCCACCTGGTAATAAGTATCAATACCTAGAGGTCCTGGATTCAGCTCCTGGTACAAACAGTGATTACTACGACTTTTCGTTATGCACCCATGAGATAGAATGACGGCACGTCTTGCGTCTCTTTTTCTCATCGCTTAGATACTGTAGGGTAAACGTATTAACACTTGCCAAAAGACCCATTTCATGCCACAAACGGCGACTAACCATGCGCATTTGTTTTTGTTTGTAAATTTTCTGTTAAGTTGTATTAATTTTATTAACAGTCGTAGTTGTTGGCATTTAGTGGAACTTTGTACACGTATTCATATTGTTAGAAAAGACACTCGTACATATGTTTGTCTCCAAACATATTGTGCAAGATTACATGTATTTTTCTAATAATATCAATAATTAGAAAATAATATTAATTTTTAATAAACAACTCATTTAAATATAATATTGTTAATGTATTATGTAGTTAAGAGATCATGGCAAAATAGAAATAAATGGACACATTATTATACAACAGCCATATTAGTTTATTTAAATTATTCTACAAGTCTATTTGGTGCAGTCAGGACAATATTATTAGATATTTTGGATTACCAAATTAATTTTACAACTGAAGTATTTTATTATATTTCTCATTTTATGTTTATTGCATGTACGACTCTTGTAAGGAACACGCGACTTTGATAAAATATAGTGACATCTTACTTTATATTTCCGTATTTTAGAAATATACTATTGAGAAACTACAACACTTGTTTTCTTTATATATATTTTTTCATTCGAATTTTAAAGTTATTCCCGCCTTTAAGAGCGTTTATAACTCTAGGTTATTGAAGTGTGGCAACGTCTTAATTATGTATTATTTAAAAAAAAAACAATGTTTATGGTTTATGACTATTATTTTTAAAACGTACGTTTATTTTTTATTCGATGTCTAATATAATGTTTATGACTGTTTAAAAAGTTCTTTGTTAGGACACTAAAACGTTGGTCATGCAATAATAGTCTTAAACTGTCATTGCAAATTTAAATTTTAATAGTAATAATTTATTTTAAAAATTCCTAAACAAAATATAAAGTAAGTGCAAAGTTTTTACTGGTAGATTTATATGCAACGTATTCTAGGATTCACGTTTTAGTTCGTATGCAGATAACTTTAAATAAGTCAGTCGGAAACATTGAAATCAGTCAAATTGTTTTTGAAAATCGACAGATAATTGCGAAGTTTTTAATGTTATAAACGTTCTAAAGTTATAAACGTTCTTAATTGATTTATTATAGGTCGAAATTTTCAAATAATAATTTAAATAACTTAGTATAACGTACATACGTACAAAGTTTGAATTCCGAAACAAAAAATTGTTTATTACCAATGATAAATTTACTATTCGCCCGGTCATGGCCCCGAAACTACCTCAGCATTTGATCTTTTTTTATGTACATATAAAATATAATGAAGAGACAAAATAACCCATGGACAAAATCAGTCATAGATTGGTATCCAAGATGTGAAACACGAAAGCAAGGACCCCAGAAGAATAGACGGCAGGTGACATTAAAAGAACAGTAGAAAAGTGTAATGTATGAATGTACCATCAATATTGATATAAATTATATATTTCTGGTGTGAATAAATATCTTTTTGTCGTGGATTATATTGAGTAGCAGCAAGACGTGTTTTATTTCTGTAATAGTTATAAATACTACGATAAGGCGAGTACATACTTTTTAAAAAGTTATGGAGAGAGAGTAATGTGAAATGATATTGAGTAGACAAAGGCAAAGATACAAAGACATAGTTGTATCTTTGCCTTTGTCTAAGGGCAAGCTGGAAATGTATGTATTAGTTGTGTTATGAAGAAAAAAAAGAATGTAATACTTTAAGCAGTAAAGGCTTTATTATTATTATGTATTAAATCATATTTTTAATTATAATTAATTTTAGTATAATAATAATAATACGGTAGAAAAAAATTATTAGTATTGTATTATAGACAGGATAATTTATTATAAACAATTATATTTATTTAATTTAACTATGAAAATAGCTTTTATATTTAGCAAAAATTTTTAGCTCATTTTTACACGATTTCAAAAAGAGGAGGTTCTCAATTTGGTTTTTTCTTTGTTGAAAATTTTATCAAAATCGGTTCAGTAGTTTAGTTTAATCAAAATAATTGGTTTTATTACGGTAGATGCCGGCTTTTTTTGTGGTATTTAGAAGAATGCATTTATAGGTTTTGTTTTAAATCATACAGATGGATGGACAAACTCTCACTTCTAGTCCAGTATTGTTTATATCGTAGTTATGAGAGTTTTGAAAGTCTTATTTCTAAATAGTGTTGTCCGTAAAGTCGTGAACGTGAAAATAAGTCATTGCTAGCTTGCATTGCATATACATTTTAAGATTTTTCTATTTCTAGTAATTACATAAATAGGAGGTGCTGCTGTGCGCTTGAGCATGAATATCTTTATTAAAACACTTAATTGATTTCTATTTTGTAACTTACTGTAAATATGTTTTTAAGGAAATAAAACATTAATTAAAGTTATGGCATTTTTTTTTTCATTTTATTTATTTTTTATTATACAACAGTTAGCAAGGAAACTGGTAGTTTTGTAACAATCAGGCGGAACCTTACTAAATAAACTTTCGAAAATAATTCTATAACATTTATATTTTGCGTTGCTGATTTTTAAATTTTGCAATAAAATTTTTACTGAGTATATATATATATATATATATATATATATATATATATATATATATATATATATCAGTCAGTCTCCATTTTTAACAATACCTTTCCCCTCGTCAATCAATATTTCAATTGCCTTATTATTGTTCTGTATACGGCTGAGTGTTAAATGATGCATGCTCAATGTTAATTCTGTTGCACAAGTAATGGCTAGGGCCAAGATCATGTGAGTACATATAGTTAGTATGCAATAGGAAGTGCAGCCATTATGTTAATCGTCGAGTTATTGCTAGAAAGCGTTTCACATGCAATTGTATAAAAAAATATTTTCACTAACAGTTCAGCCAAGGGTTTGTCTTAAATGTGAATTGATAGATGGATAGAAGACCTGTATTTTTTTTTAATAGATTATAATGGAATGGTAATCCCGCCTGCGCTATCGGTATACACTGGCGGAGCACCAGTGGGAGATGATAGGTGAGGATGAAGTAGGTCAGTTAGCCCACCGTGATGAATACCTCTGGATTTCGGCACGATGGTTTTCAGGAGGAACCACGAGGAGTTCAACTTGACACGGTATATTTCCTAGCGATGGGGCTACTAATCCCCATTACTAATAATCCCTTCTCCCCCCAGAACACCTGTATTTGACACTGGTTAATTTGTGCTCTGCCCGCAGTTGGCAGTGTTTATCGTACCTCGCCCGCGTATATCGATAGCATAGGCGGGGTTACTATTACATTTTAACCTATGAAAATATACTATACGAATATATCCACTAGAAACCATTGTGGTTAATTCAGTCATCAAGAATTACGCATCATATAATTAATTAATTAATCTGGTATTGCCTTTACTTTAAAATATATTAAATAATACATAATAATAGCATTCTATGCCGTGTGTTCCCGGCATTAAATAGCCTACCCCTTCCTTTCCCGTAGGTGTCGTAAGAATCAACTAAAGGAGGACGAGGGATGGGCAGCAGCGTCTTTCTTAAAACATTTCTAAAGGCTGTCTGTGGTTACCAATCTGTCTGGCAAACGTGGTAACTACTGGCAAAACCCGTCAAGGTCAAGTGGACAGTTAAAAGCTGACAAGATGATGATGATGATGATCACTAAATTAATAAGTGCTGGCGGGATCAACATATCCATACACTTTATCACCCATAAAAAAAAAAAAAACAATGTTTACAGAATAGATAGGTACAATCTTTGAACAAAAAGACAGATCTATAGTTCAAGGGTAGTTCATGTAGCCTACAATTTTATGGTAGGTACCTACTAGAAATTTTATTTAATACATTTTATATTCCAATTACTGTAGACGCAGTAGAGTATCAGTACATCACTTTCACTGGGTTTCCAGTACATAGATTCCTAGGGCTACGACCGTGACCACGGCTCGAAGAAAGCTGGCGGGTTGGGAAAGTGCACATATCAAATATCCTTAACAAATATGAACGTAAATAGATAATGAATTAGTGACCTTCTTTAGGCAGTTTTTTATTTATTAATAAACATGTAGCAGAATTACTTAATTTTGCATTTAACAACATGTTAACACAGTTTTATACGCATACAACAATTAATAATTGGGGGGAAAGGGATTGTTAGTAATGGAGTTTGACAGCCCCATTGCTAGCAATATGCCTTATTAGGTCGACCTCCACGTGGTTCCCCCTGGAAATCATCGTGAACAATTCTTGTTGAATTCGTCACAATGGGCTGACTGACCTACTTCATCTCCTCACCTATCATCCTTCACTGGTGCCCCGCCGGTGTATACCGATAGCGCGGGTGGGGTCACCATTCCATTATCATCCATTAAAAAAAAAATAACAATTAACAATTTGGTATGGCTGCCTGTTTCAAATTGGTAACGACATGAACTGTGACGGTCATGCTTGCAGTTTTGAGGACTTGAGGATTGAGAATTTCGGAGATATGTCATGCCTCCGGAGTCAGTACTAATAACTTCACTGCCATACCCTTCCAATCGAATAAAAAAAAAGAGGATGCGATGACCTCGTCACTACTATTTCTAGACTATTTTTTGGACTAGTTTATGAGGGGTGGAAAATGTTCCTTTAGTAGTATTATTCATTATCTAGATGAAATATTGATAATGATGTTAATAGTAAAAGCCTAATAACTGATTCAATACCTAACTGTCAGTCAATGATGACCTAATTCTATTTTTTTACAACACGGGGGGCAGAAAAGGAAGACTTTGTACAAGAGTCGATTGCTTAGGTACCGCTGTCCCATTCGTGTTTCAGCCTTGAAGCAGTTGTGTTTGCATGGCTGTGTTTCGGTTTGAAGGGTGGGATATGGCGTACTGGGTACAGAGGAATAACACCTGAGTCCTCAGGAATGGCAACGCACAGGAGGTATCATGGGCGAAACAGTATACTCTGTTATGTCCATAGTACTGCTCATGTCTATAGGCGACGGTTACCACTTTCCATCAGGTGGGCCGTCAGCTTGTTTGCCATTCTAAGTTGTATAAAAAAAACGAGCATGCGGCTCACCTGATGGTAAGTGACTACCGCCGTCCATGATCACCTACAACACCAACGGCATTGCAGGTGTGCTGCCGGCCTTTTAAAAAGGAATATGCTTTTTTCTTGAAGGTTATGATGTCGTATCGGTTCGGAAATACTGTATGTACTCTATGTATAAGCCATATAGTTTTATAAGAAATAAATTTACTTATTAACTTTATTTTAAAAATCCTAATCAATCAATCTGTTTTGGTTAAAAATCCGAGTATTGGGTAGGTATTTGTACTTGTAAAAGAATCTTTGGGTTTGCTGTTCGCCGAGCACATTAAGTTACATCGGTAGGTAAGTAGGTACACCGAATCATTTGCTGCAACAGATTTTCCCTTATTGAAATCATTACCGGCTGTCGCCATAGAACGGTGTTGCGCTATCTTTAATCCTATTTCTACCGTAGCAATTTAATTTTAGCTGTAATTGTAATGGGCACAATCCTTGTAGATACTTTTGTTCCTATACCGTGAAGTTGCAGAAATGTTGTTTCGCGGTTGTTTGAGACCAAGATATTGTATACGAGCGCCCAAGCAATACTTGATTTGTCGTCCATTCCCTCGATGACATAATGGCCGAGCGCGCGCTCCTATTCCTATTGTTGTCAATGTTACCGAATCACTTTTCAAATTGAACGTAGGAAGTAATTATACATGATTTAATTTTGCTATAATGTACCGTATCATAACAAATCATTTCTTTATTTGTATTGGTGTATAGTGATGATTCGCCTTAGTCGGTTGGTCACCAAGAAACGATGTCCTGGAGATGAATACGTCTCATAATCATAAATTATTGAATGACCGGCATCAACATATTAGCCGCTAACTGTCCACTGCTGAACACAGGCTTCTTACATAAAGGGGGGTTTTGCTAGTAGTTCCCGTGCTTGGTAGGCGGGTTGGCAACCGTAGTTAGCCTTTGGTGATGTTTTAAGAGGGATGTTGTTCCTATCCCACTGCGGGGAGAGCGCAAATTAACCAGTGTGAAATACAGGTGTTCTGGGGGGAGAAGGGATTATTAGTAATGGGGATTAGTAACCCCATCGCTAGCAAATATACCCTGTCAGGTTGACCTCCTCGTGGTTCTTCCTGGAAACTCCTTAACCGTCGCCTATAGACATGAGCAGTACCATGGACATAAAAGAGTATACTGTTACGCCCATGATACTCCCCATGCGTTGCCATTTCTGAGGACTCATATGTTATTCCTCTGTACCCTAGAAATTCACGCCATATCCCACCCTTCAAACCGAAACACAGCCATGCAAACACAACTGTTTTACGGTTCAAACACGAATGGGACAGAGGTACCCAAGCAAACGACTTTTGTACAAAGACTATTACCATACTGGCCAAGCGTATAATAGCTGTTGCAATATTTTATTACAAAATAATAATTAACAAATACTAAGTTATGGCAGTGGGATGTTAAAGGTTTGTGATGATGAAGAACAGACAGATACGGAATGAAAGATAAGTGTCAGAGTAATTTGTGTACAATTTGAGATGATATAATGAAGAAAAAAGGTGTTGGCGGCGATCGGCGGCCGCATTTCGATATAAGCGCGGGGTGGCAGCGCCGCCGCGCAGTGCGCTCCCACTGTCTCGTCAAGACGTAACGTCCACTGCTATGGAGAGAAAGGTAATTTTTTTATATTAAACTGATTTTTTTTATACAACTTAGAATGACAAACAAGCTGACGGCCCACCTGATGGAGAGTGGTTACCGTCGCCTATAGACATGAGCAGTACCATGGACATACAGAGTATACTGTTTCGCCCATGATACCCCTCATGCGTTGCCATTCCTGAGGACTCAGGTGTTATTCCTCTGTACCCTGTAAATTCACGCCCTATCCCACTTTTCAAACCGAAATACAGCCATCTGTTGTTGTTTAACACATCACCCCACAATTTAGGATTCGATCCCCGTACAATATCACAATATAAATCTTTGTATTCATAAGTATGTCTCTATAATACGATCTAGGAGTTTTTTTTTATGTATAATATTTATCTATATACTTATTTATAAAAAGTATTCAAGTAGGAATGTGTTTCAGTTGTCAAATAAAACAAGCTTTGCTTATTTTAGAATTTAATGGTTCCGTATAATATGTTCAATAGTATTTATTATTATTATTATATTTTAATAGTGAAAAGAAATTGTTATTAAATTTATATATTTTAATGTAATAACTACCGGTTTAACTTAGGTGTAATTAGATCGAGAAAACTCAACTAGTTTCGGAATCAATTCGGAATCAATTCGGAATCCTTAGTCAATTAATTTAATAATAATTGTCAAGTACTTAATAACTAATTTATTATTTTCTTTTGTTCACAGGCGTTACTAGCTGTAGTGTGTTGGTTGACGTTTAGTGGGACGTTTGGAAAAGATGAGAACGTAGTTAATACTTTAGTTATTAGAGACAATATCAGTGAAGGTAGTGCTCCCAGACTGTACCGCAATGTTCCTATTGGAGTATACGCAAGTGCAGCGCCGCATATGGACCACTCGTTTCACATTCCTAGATTTGTCGCGGCTCCAAAAGCCGCAGCAAGCCGGATTATACCCGTGAAAGAAGAATATGTTGTACATAATCCAAATACGTATTTAAAGGATTCGTATGGTAACAGATTTGTGGGAACACCTCAGTCTGCATATAAGGCGTCTTACCCACAGCAATTCGTTCAGCTCCAAGCGTTGCCGGTTCATCTTGTAAATCCGTTACCTGCAGCAGCGTCCAGTTATCAAATCAATCAAGCAACCCCACAGATTATTTATGGATCGCAGTATAGATTACCAGCTTTACAAACAGCAGCGCCTACTCCTATAAATAGATTCACAGGGTTTAACCAACCATTAGTGTATGCTCAAAATGTTCAACACGTGGCGCCCTCGCATAGTCAAGTTCAGAGATTATCCACACCTAAGCAGACATCTAACAATGCGGTTTTTCAAAATTCTCAAGCAATAATTAAGTATCACGAATTAAAGAACGAACCTAAGTTTCAACGACTTGAAGAAAGACCTAAAGCTAATGTGGAAAGACAAGAAAATGTAGATAATGTAAAACAGGTAGACAAAGAACAATTACAAGAAAGTCCAGGTACACAAACTTATACGACGATAGTTAATGGCCAAAAAACCGTGATAAATGTGGAGACTAAACCACCAGTACCGTTACTAGACTTGACACTTTTGGAACCGCTGCATTTTGAGAATCCTGTTGTTCCTCAAGTGCAGCACTTTTTGCCGAGGATTAATCAGGCTACGTACCAACAACTTCCAGAATTCAACTTGGAAGGAAAAAAACAACAAAAGAAAATTGATGGTGATGGTTTACAAAAAAAGTCTCCGAAAAAGAAACAAAAGAAACCAATACAAAACGAAAATACATATCATAAACGAGTGCCTGTTAAGCCAACTATAACAATTAAAAACACTCCTAACGAAGCTCCAGAGATTACATATGAAATAAATTCGCCTAATTATAAAGAAATCTACAAAGAAAAAGTAGTAAGTTACAATAAAGAGACAAAACCAGAGCCTGTAAATTTTAACTATGCTCGCAAGACAACAAAAGAACCTGTTACTTATAGTTATGAAAATATTGTAGAGAAAAAACCAATTTCATACACTTATGTTCACAGTTCTAAGGGACCAATGCAAGTTAAAGAAGTACAGTATCAAACCAATGGTCAGCCAAAACATCTTATATATAAATTCAAGCCTGAAGAAAATAATGAAGAACAGAAGGATACTTCACCTCATCATCCGCCTCCTCGGTCGGAGTCTGGTGAGTCAAGCTCTTCCGAAGAAACTGATGAAGAGGAACACAATTATCAACCACAACATGACGAGTACGAAGAAACACCGAGACATGAGGAACAATCTAGACCCGAACACAGAGAGGAGCAGTATCAATATGAATTGAAACAAGAACTTCGTAATGATGTTCCATATCAAGCACCACCTTCATCAAATCAACAATTACAGCAACATCATATTCCTATACAGCACGAAATTCAAATTCAGCCTATAACAAAAGAGTATGAAGAAAACATACGACTGATACCAGTGAGTCCAACACAGGGCCCTAGTGCTGCAGTAAAAGTTAACCCTAATCAACACATACAAAGGCCAGCGCTACCGGTAGTGAATCAAAATATCCACCCATCTCCCGTTCCACAGTTACATCAAGAACATCCGCCTTCTTTACACGTTGTACATCAGCATCATCAAAACCAACATCCAACGCCAGTTCCACAAAGACACCAGAATAATCACAATTATAACCGTGCACCTCATCAGACTCATAAGAATGAGCCTGTACCTCACATCCTTGAGAAATCCAAACATATAATTATCCAAGAGGAAACACCTGACGAAATACATTCTCATCAAGAGAAATTTATGGCGAAAATGAGGGACGAGGAAGAAAATAACGAAGAGGACTTTGAGAAAGCTTACAAGGATGCTGCTTACGGTTTTCCCGCTTATGAAAAATCTACTGAGGATATTGAAAGAGACATTTATAATCCAGAAAGTTATGGAATACCTCCAGATGATGCCGAATATGATATTGAACATACACCTTTCCAAGCCTATCAGGCAGAAGGCGACAAGTTTCCAAAGTCAGCACGTCTAATGTATAAAGATGCAAGGGATAATATGAAGAAAGATTATTATTTAGATTACGCTATCAGTAAACCCGAAAGTTTAGTTGATTACCACAAAAAGAAAAAGGAATATTATAAGACTTATAATAAGTATAAGCCCGAGAAATATTTTTCTAACGATGACAGTAATAATAAAATACAGAAAGAGAAATATACCGCAGCGCCCACTTTTAATTTCGGTTCTGAGCCTAAACAAAATAAAAATTATTTTGCACAATATAAAGCCTCTCCGCAAAAACACGTTTACGAGTATGATTATTCTAAAGAAGCACCTAAAAATAGGGACAATACGGCGCATGCTTCAAAATCTTACCAAAGATATAAGGGCAAGACACACTTTGTTGAGCCTCAATTTCAATATGGATTCGAACCTATTTCTTTACCGCGGTTACTGGATAGTGAGTTGGCCGCAATGGCGACCAACAATAGTCCCGAGAGTGAAAAGCCAGGTATGAGAAAAAAGGTTTACCAAGAGAACTGGTATATTAAGAAAACTAGCACGGCAGGAGGTGAGCCGGCGAGTTGATGACGGTTAGATAATTATTTATTACAAAAATCTGTATCGATATTTTTAAAGTTAGTTCCTAAGCAACGTGTTAATGTGATAAGATAATAAAAAATATTTTTTTAAGAAATTAAGGCTTTTATTGTGTAGTAAACAAAAAAAAAAGAATTTATGAAATCACCAGTACAACTCATGTTGCATAATGTAACTTTCGTTGTCTATCAATACATTACGTGACGACGCCTATTTTTTCCGCCCATTCACATTATCCACTGGTAAAGAAAAAAAAAACTTACACTGACCTGGTTATCAAGAAAATCAGTCACCGTAGAGTAACAAAAAAGTCGTTGATTTTGCATGCCCATTGCAAGCGGATACACCTGCAGCGAATTGACACTGCGCTGCAATGCTGAGGAAATAAATAGTTTTGAAAACTCGGGACAAAAACTTGAATATTTATTTAAGAATATTTCTTATTTTAACCTACGTTAACGTAATCAATAATACTTAAAAACTATTAACTTCCGATGACGATAAAAAATCGTTTTCATAGATAAAACTTTTTCATAGATAAAGGTTTTTCAGAGATAAAACTTCTTGGCAATATTTATTATTCTTGTGCCTCATTTTTGGAATTATTTAAAGACAATACTATAAACAAAATAATGTTAACAGATTTTTTATTATATCACAAAAAATAGGAGTATAAAACTGCATCTATTAAATGAATATTGTAAATTGCCGAGGCGCGTAATAAAATTACCTAGATATTTTTCCTTTTTTTGATGTTAGAGAGCTACAGTTGCAGTTTAAACTGTGGTTTTAGGTTCTGATAGAAATTCAATTTATGATGAAGCAATATTTAGTTTATTTAGACGCAATAGTAGGCGACAGATTGTGAAGTATCTAACAATATCTACTCGGGGAGAAGGAATTGTTAGTAATGAGGAGGTTAGTCCCTATTGTTATCAATACACCTTATCAGGTCGACCTCCACACGGGTCCCCCTGGAAAGTATCGTGACTAATTTGTCGTTGAATTCCTCACGATGGGCTAACAGACCTGCCTTCTCATCATCACCTATCACCTTTCACTTGTACTCCGCTAGTGTATACCGATAGCGCAGGTGGGGTTATCAAAAAAAATTACAGTATCTACTCATAAAGGACAAATCAGTCTCGGCCAATACATGTATCTGGGGGAAAGGGATTGTTAGTAATGGAGACTGAGAATCCCATTGCTAGCAATATACCCAACCAGGTCGACCTCCTCGCGGTTCTCCCTGGAAACTATCATGATTAATTCCTGATGAATTCATCATGATGTGCTAACTGGCCTGTTTTCATTCTCATCTATCACCCTTCACTGGTGCTCCGCCAGCGTATCCCGTTAGCGCAGGCGGGGTTCCCATACCATTTTTACCCATAAAAAAATACATATATCTGTTACATAGTACAGACTCCTTATCATCCTATCAGTCACTATCTGTCCACTATTGAACATACGCATACTCGTATGGGGGAGCCATAAATTGAGGGGGTCTCCCCAATGGTAACCACGCGTGGCAGGCGGGTTGGCAACTGCTGTAAGCTTTGATGAGCTTTTGAAAGGGACACTACTGTTCATCTTTTAACCCTTAAGTTTTCTTAGTCGCTTCTTACGACACCCACGGGAAAGGAGAGGACATTTCTTATAGGCATATGTTCCTTATAGCACATCTATTATTTTTATTTAAATTCAATTTTAATTTGAATATATGTATAAATTTTTGTATAAAATACGCTTGGGTACCTCTGCAACACTTATTTTTTTACCGGCTAATGCTTCGGAAACTTCGGAAATAAAGAAGTAGGCATATAGGTACTATTTACCTGCAAAATTTTTCACCGCGCAAAATTTTCACTTGATAGTGTATTTAAATAAGTAAAAGTGCCGCATACATGATTATGTTTTAGTTTGAAGATTGATTGAACATAGATGTGAAATTACAGGTAAAATATTGTAGTCCTGAGAAATGGTAATGCGTGATTTATGTTTATGTTTACAAACGACGATTACCGCTTTGTATCAGGTCGAGCTGCTTGATTGCATGTTTTTTTTCTTTTTATAAAAATATTATAATTATTATGAGCGTCACTTCTTTATACTTTATTTATTGTGCCACTTAGCTGCTATATTTTATCGTTTTTCCGCTGCATTTGTACTGTTGCAGTAAAAAGTAAATAAATAAAACTAATAATACAAAATAAATTAATTCTACTTATTGATTCGGTTCAATGAACTCGATTATTATTAAATCCAGTGTCAAAGTAAGTAAGTGCAGATATTTATAATTTCAGAAGAATTTCAGCAACAAAATTTAAAAAAAGTTTTGTACAAATTGCTTTCATAACTGAGAATTAAATTTAATTTAAAATAACTTTATTGACCAAAATAAAATAAGGTACAAAAGACATAATGTTAGTAGCATTCTTTACTAGTCAACCTTTGGGATGAACAGAATATCACGAACGTGGTACTTCATTATTGGAAAGAAAATAACAACTAATAATGTATATCTATACAAAATAAATAATACATATATAATAAACAATATAATGCAATGACACTTCCATACTACACATTATTAGCGTAGATCAAAATTACATATCGATAATTGTAAGAAATAAGGGGGAAGGGATTGTTAGTAATGCGGACTACCTAAATATACCCTTTCAGGTCGACCTTTACATGGTCTCTCTGGAAAACACCGCGTTGAATTCCAAGTGTATTCATTCATGATGCGCTAACTGACTTAATTGACTACCTTTTCATCCTCACCTGTCATCCCTCACTGGTGTTCTGCCAGTGCCCAGCCCGTTAGCGCAGGCGGGATTACCATTCCATTATCATCCATTAAAATAAAAAAAATTAAAACTAAGAAATAGTGACAATTTGGTTTAATGTAAGGGACAAACTGTTAATTTTAAACCGTTTAATAGTGACGCCTTGGATTGCTAGGTTTTCTCGATCGTCTATCATTGACAATGTGTTTAGACTTCTATGCATGAAATTCTTAGTAGCTATTTAATGAAAGGTATATTGTTGTTTGTCTGTTTTTTTTTATACAACTTAGAATGGCAAACAAGCTGACGGTCCACCTAATGGAAAGTGGTAACCGTCGCCTATAGACATGAGCTGTACCATGGACTTAACAGAGTATACTGTTTCGCCCATGATACCGCCCCATGCGTTGCCATTTCTGAGGACTCAGGTGTTATTCGTCTGTACCCAGTAAAGTCACGCCAAATCCCACCCTTCAAACCGAAACATAGCCATGCAAATACAACTGCATCACGGTTTTATTGACAGATAATGTATGGTTAAATAATTTACTCTTAAACTGATTGAGAATGTAAAATTTTTTTAGACCATGTGTCGACCTCGATCGTGTGACTAGTTAAACAATATTTAAACAAGTAATTTGAAATGCTTATATTTGTATATTGTTTCAGGCCCTACTGTTCTCTAAAACTATGCAATAGTATAAAAATAACGATCTACTCTATTGTAAACAAATAATGTTAACACACATCGACAATCTTATATCATTTTCATTTGTATGATATAAGATAGTCAATTTTAATTGTAAATGTACATTTAATGTTTTTTTAGTTTCTGCTATCTTAGTTTCCTATTATTTTCTGTGTCCTCAGCCGGAGCGTCTCTTCTTCTGAATAGCCTCAAAGTCATCACAATGGTAGTTGTTGCTAAAGTTATTGCTAACACAATAGTACCTGACGAAATATGACCATCATTGAAGTCGAAAAGTTCGGCTACTAAAGCCACCGGTCTCAGTATCTTTACTACCGGTTCACATCCAGATTCCCTGACATACTTCGCCCATGTTCTGTTTGCAAAACTTAATTCTCTAGGTTTCATGAATGGTCTTCTACCCGGAACTGTTTTGTTGATAGGTAAAGACATGTTACGTAGCTGTGTCTCATTGTAATGACAATATAAATGCTTCTTCTTCTTGTTTCCTTTTACCACTATATCCCTCTCTGCACTTTTAGCTCCAATAAGAACGTCTAAATTACCTTTAATCATGTTCGCCCAATCCCACATTTCAGCGATTTTACAATCGCAAACGAATGGATTGCCAATTAAATTTAAAGAGTGTAGTTTTGGATTGTTAACAAACACTTGAGGGTCGATAGTTGTTAAATTATTATTACTCAAGTTTATCTTTTCTAGCTGATGTAATCTTTCTAAAAATGAGAGACTATCATATTCAGATTTTATTCTGTTACCAGCCAAATTTAATTCTGTCAGATTTTCTGTATTTTTAAATGCATCGGCGTTAAGAGAAGTGATATTGCAGTTGCTTAAATCAAGTATCGTGACTTGGGATAGCTGTTTCGGAAACACGGGACCTGAGTCAGGAATAACTAATGGATTGCCACCTAGACGTATCTCTCTTAAGTCCATATAAGTTAAATTTTTAAAGAAAACGTTAGCATTTAGTGGCCTTTTTAATCCACAGAGTTCCAGTTCTAAAGTAGTCAGTTGCGTTAAGTTACCGAAAAGTCCCGCTTCAAGCGACAACAGATCATTACCTGATAACACAAGCCGTTTCATTGATGTCATTTTGGAAAAACTGTCTGGTCCTATATAAGATAGATTACTATAACCCATATTTAAATATTCCAATTTTTCCAATGGAGCAAGGAGTTTAGTGAACACATTCACTAGTGGATTATGAGATATATCTAGTTCTTGCAAATTATCAAAAACATTAAAATTGTCAGGAAGGTTACGTAGGCCACAGTTGCTCAAAAACAATCTTTCTAATTTCGGCAGTGGCTCTAACGCTTCCTGTAAGTCAGGTGCAAATAGTGGATTACCAGAAAGATATAGGCTTTTCAATCTACTCGCGTTAGCAAATGCTTCACCTGAAATCGGTCCCTGTATTTTACAATTTGATAAATCCAATAATTCTAAATGATCAACACTGCTGCCTAATATGGCAGCAACATCTAAATCACGTAATTCGTTATCCGCCAAAATTAATGTGACTAAATTTGTGCAGTTGGAGAATGTGTCTTCAGACAACGATGTTATTCCAGATTTTCTTAAATTCAAATATTCAAGTCGTATCATCTTCCCTAACAATTCTGGCCAGTTTGTGTTACTGAGTTGATTTCCCGCTAATTCTAAATTCTTCAAGTTGATGGATGTGGAGAACACGCTTTCAGAAATAGTGGTTAGTTTACAATCATTAAGTTTTAAAGTTTCCAGACTGGTGAGAACATCAAATACACTACCATCTAGTGTTTTCAATGGATTGTTAGATAGATCAACTGTCGTTAAAGAAGTTAAATTGTCGAAAAACTGTGGGTTTATTTCCGATAAATTGCATGAGCTGATATCAAGATATTGCAAAGTAGTGGAGATTAGGAATGGTCCGTCCACTACACTTATGGGATTGTCTTGTAGTTCCACATTTAGAAGACCACGGGAATCCCTGTAATGAAATAAAAAGGAATCATTATAAAAGCGTGCATAGGTACATGACAAAAATGATGGAAATAAGGTATACAATTTAAGACAAGTTACTTCTTCTAGTTCATGATTATTTGTCAGTAATGATAACTCTACGTAACTAGTCTTTGCACAGAACAATATAAAATAATGAAGTTATTAGATTTCTATTGTCCTTTCTGTCGAATATCATTGTATGTACTTCATTTCTGCATAAAAGAACCAAGAAAACAGTATTCTAGGCGGTAAATTCAATTTGCATTCGTTGTAAGACCATTATCTAATATCGGCATCGCGAGTTAACGTCAATTTGTCGCGTTCTGCCGTACTAGCGAGCATAACAAGTTCAAAAGTAATTGGAACAATTTTGTCATCAGAGGCATTGTGCGTAAAGGAACGAATGTCAGAATCATCATATAAACATTGAACGCTCGTGGGAAAAAATATTTATAGTGTGAGGTAAATAGTGAGTCATGCACAGTTTTGTCATTGATGTTTGGGTTTCCTATTTATTTATATTATATATTGAGATGTCATATCACATTCGCTGTTTTCCCTAGAAATATTGTGGTCAATTCGTCACAATGAGATAACTGACAGGACCTATCATCTCTCACTGGTACTCTACTAGCGTAAACCAGCACAGGCGCGGTATTTCATTACCATCCTAATAATATTATTAACGCGAAAGTTTGTAATCTTTGTTATTCTTTCATGCAATAACCACTGAACGGATTTTAATGAAATTTGTTACACAGATAAGTTATATATTATTATTACACTTTGGACAAGGATAGCCAAAAACAGAATAGAATGGAGGACTCTGGAGGAGGCCTTTGTCTTTGGACAAGAGAGGGGTGACAGAACAGTTACTGATTGAATATTAATTACATTGAATTGTTTATTATGTTACTTTTTTAATAAAGCATTATATATATATATATATATATATATATAAGGTCGCCCATTGTTTTCTCATTGTGATTATATCTTGTAATTATTTATATTTATAATAAGTTTACTATTGTAATCTTTTGGAGGAAACAATAAAGAGTATCTATATATATATATATATATATATATATATATATATATATATATATATATATATATATATGTATATATATGTATATGTATATAGTTATTATAGTTAGCTGAATGGAGACCATTTTGGTCGCGTAATTCCTAATTACGTAAAAGTTTATTTTTGTATTTCCTTTTTCTTTAATTTAATAATAGTTTATGTTTTAACTATTATTGATATGATCATCATCATCATCATATCATTCTGACTGTCCACAGCTGAACATAAGTCTCCCCCTAGGGGGGGTTTTGCCAGTAGTTTCCACGCTTGGCAGGTGGATTGGCAACCGTAGTTAGACTTTGGAGATGTTTTAAGAGGGACGCTGTTGCCCATCCCTCAAAGGAAAGGAAGGGGTGGCCTATTCTACACCGGGACTACACGGGATGTTATTAATATGCGTTAAATAAATATTTTTCTTTTTTTTTTCATTTCTAATTTAGCACATATCGTCATAGCCGTAGAATATTGACGGATCTATATATGTAATCTTTGTCAGATCCGTCAGTATTCTACGACTATGACGATATGATATTTTTAGTACTTATTCAAGCGAGCAAAGCCTCAGGTTATAGCTAGTCCATTAATAAAAACATCACGGTTCATGCGTGCGGTTCATGGTTTCTATTTTGATTACAAAAAGATTGTAAACATGGATCGCTAATTTTACGGTAATAATGGTCTGTTTGTTCATCACGACTTCGGTGATTACAAACAAAAGGTACGAGCTATTCGATTTGTAGCGGCATTACTAAACGCAAATTAGATCGTAACTTAATTAATGATTTCGTTGGGGGCATTAACCTATTTTGACGTTTGACCTTGACCTTGATTATATAAATATAGGTACAGTTTCAAATTAAAATCATCAGTATCCTTTTATGAGAAGATTTTTTTTATGCAACTTAGAATAGCAAACAAGCTGATGGTCCACTTGATGGAAAGTGGTTATCGTCGCCTATAGACATAATGAACAGAACCATAGACAATACAGAATACAATGTGATGATAGATATGAGCAGTTCTATGGACACAACAGAAACATACTGTTTCGCCCATATAACCCCTTATACGTTACCATTCCTGAGGACTAAGGTGTTATTTCTCTGTACCTTGTAAATTCACTTAAATTTCAAAATCAGATTTTACGAATACAAGTTAACTTTTTTCTCAAAAAAAAAAAGGTTGTTTCGACCAAAGTTTTTTTTAGAAAAATGTTCAGTTTCACTTCCTGGATGTTAATTATTTAGATTTCATGTTACATGTACAATAATTGCCACATAATTATGGTAATTAATTTGTCGAGTCCTAATGCTATCCTGCGTCATGGGAAACCAAACAATTAATATTCGGGAGCACAATCCATAAAACTCAGAATCAGAACTATTTTAGTTAGATAGTTCTTTATTTTAACCGACTTCAAAAAGAAGGTACTAATTCTTTCAGTTCTAAACCGATTTGAAAAATTCTCTTTTTATCTGAAAGTATAGTACTTTATTATATTTATAAATTTTATCAAAATCGGTTCAATAGTTTAGTTTTTGATTCGAAATCTGTCATATTTATGTTCGGGTTCTTTTTTGTCGGACACAATCTTTAATTATTGAATCTTTAATAATTACATCATCATCTTCTTGTAATCTCAAATGAAACAACACCAGAGGGAGACTTTGTACAAAATCGTTTGCTTGGGCACCTCTGCCCCATTCGTGTTTCTACCGTGAAGCAGTTGTGTTTGCATGGCTGTGTTTCGGTTTGAAGGGTGGGATATGGCATGAATTTACTGGGTACAGAGGAATAACACTTGAATCTTCAGGAATGGCAACGCATGGGCACGCACACAACGGATCATGTGCGAAACAGTATACTCTGTTGTGTCCATGGTACTGCCCATGTCTATAGGCGACGGTTACCACTTTCCATCAGGTGGGCCGTCAGCTTGTTTGCCATTCTAAGTTGAATAAAAAAAAACATTATTCAGTATTTATAGTATAGTATTTTTTATTTCATTAAGAGGTAAATTAGAAAACTGCAAAATTATTCATAGTAACTGTTTATTTATATTAGTGCGAGCATTGCGTCTGAGCATCTTCCGCTAGATTAGCAAAATATATTTTTTGCCTTACCACGATTTACTGGACTAACTGGCCACCCCTGATATAGAGTGTCTTATGTGCTAAGCTAGGATATAATCTATTTGTATACTAAATTTCATTAAACAAAGTATATTCATACATCCATCGTTACAAATTATTAATACTGTCCTGAGCGAACACAGAGACAAAATGGTTTATAAATACGATAATAATGTAATATATATATATATATATCGTTTAGGTAATTAATGCTCCTTTCCACCCAAGGTTAAATGAAAGAGAACTCCTACAGAGTCATGCTTGCCTGTTGTACGAGTACATCTTTATATAAATCAATCAATACATACTATATAATAAAATCGTAACTGGTCTCTGTCTGTACATGGAAGATATATACGAAAAACTACCCCCTACAGTAGTTTTTCGTAGCTTTATGAATACAATAGAACCCAAAACAATAATTTTTAGAATTTTTGTCTGTTTGTCATTCTGTTTGTACATTTGTGCAGGCTAATCTCAGAAACAGCTTAACCGATTTGAATGCGGTTTTCAATAACGCAACGCGTTTTGCTCCACTTAATATTGAGTGTTTGTTTTATTTCAATCGGTTCATAAATAAAAAAACTTATATCAATCTAAAGAATCACGTATAAAATGCTATAAAATCAGATTAATTGGCTGAAACTTTTTTTTACTATACGAGTATGTATTGATTTTCGTAAATTCTGTCTACTCGTGCGAAGCTGGGTCGGATCGCTAGTATAGACTATAACTATGTAATTTTTGTGTACAACAAAGTATAAATAAATAAATAAACAATCTGTATGTAAATACTTACAAGAAGGCCTCCGGATCAACGTAACTGATGTTGTTCCCTGATAAATCCACGTCAATAAGGTACTCTAAACCTTTAAAAGCCTCTCTGTCCACTCTCGTGAGACGGTTATTAGCAATCTGCAGTCGCCGCATCTTGATATCACCAGGGAACGCCTTTAGTGTCGTTATGTTATTGCCGTTAAGATCCAAAATGTATACACTCATACTGAGCTCGTCATATGGAATTTCGGTCAGGTTGCTCTCTGAGCAATCCGTTACCCAATTGATTCTGAAATAGTGACAGTCGCACTCATCGGGACATTCCAGCTCGAAACTCTCTCCGTTGAAGCCGTAAGTGAAGGTAATCGGTATAAAGATAAATGCAAGCAGCGAAAACCGTTCCATATTCAAGCAGATGTTCTTCATAGATCCGTCTTAAAACCCATATTAGCGGAGTCTGTAAAGAAAATAAGATCTTGTTTAGTAAACATGGCGATGTATTGATCGTATCATGATGTATTGATTAGAAGGTAGATTATGCTGGGATCGTTAATTAAAACGGTAAACATTAGCAGGGACGTGCGAAATGGTATTCGTTTTATAACCTCGTAAATGTACCGGTACCCTGACCTTGTAAACATGGATTTATTGGCAACTAGCTTTTACCGTCGACTTCGTCCGTGTGAACGAGTTATGTTTTTTTTTTTTAATGGGCGAAAATGGTATGGTAACCCCGCCTGCGCTAACGGCATACGCTGGCGGAGCACCAGTGAAGGGTGATAGATGAGAATGAAAACAGGCTAGTTAGCCCATCATGATAAATTCATCAGGAATTAACCATGACAGTTTCCAGGGAGAACCGCAAGGAGGTCGACCTGGTTGGGTATAGTGCTAGCAATGGGATTCTCAGTCTTCATTACTAACAATCCCTTTCCCCCCGGATTATGTTTATTGATCAGGACAAAAGGTAGCCCTATATCCTTCTTCATCCCAAATATTATGTGTATGCCATATTCCGTCCTATCGGTTTTGGCATAGAATGGGCCACCATTTCCATTCCCGTGGGTGTCTTAAGAGGCAATTAAGGGAGCTTATGGTGGAGGGTTGGGCAGCAGCTTTCCTCTTAAAACATCTCCAGTCTAACTGCGGTTGCCAATTCGCCTGCCAAGCGTGGCAACTGCCGGTAAAACCACTCAATGTGGAGGCTTATGTTCAGCAGTGGACAGTTAAACCAAATACCAAATTTCACAGTGATTGTTTAAGTCGTTAAAGCGCTATAAGGTAATAAAGAAACTCATTTACACATTTATAAATATTTGTAAGGATTATCAATAATAATGGCTCTAATAAATAAAAAAAAATCTGCTTATGTAAGATAAAAAAATATGTAAACTGTAATTTATCAAGGGTCGAATGAAACACGAACTTGATTTCAAAATCACAAAAAAAAGCTCTTTTTGAAAGGTTTTATTAGAGAAAATTAACATCACATCGGTTTGTTGTGGTTGTACGTTAGTCAGGAGCCAGACCACGTGAGTTGTATCTCGAATTAAAAGGGGCATTGTGTAATCTGGAGTGGAGTCGACAATAAGAGTAATAGCCGTCATCCTGTATGTGCCACTAGCTGCAGCCAGTTAGAAGTTTCCAGAAAGATTGAGACGTTAGCCCGGGCGAGTACATGTTCGTGAAATGGTTTTTTTTATCGCGTATTATTATTAATAGCTTAGGTTTTGTTTTGTTTTTTTTTTTTTAATAATATATAGCCCATGGTATGCGCTGATACAGCTTTCTTTAGCTGAAAGAATATTTTTTAAATCTGTTAAGTATTTTTAAAATGAATCTATTACAAACAAAAAATTAAATCTTTTCTCTTTATATTATTAATTTAGATATAACCGACTTTTGGAAGTTCAAAGAACTAGACATTGCAATAGGTAGGTACTTGTACATCTACTTATTCAAATTTCGATTATTAAAAATTAAATCTGATTGAGGAAGATGCGTCCATAATGCGAGGTCAGCAGCCATATTGTTATTACCGCGCCAAGTCGTGTATGTACTGTAAACGAATGTAGTGTGGATATGACCGTGGAAAACGGATAACTCTCTTTAGATTTACCAGAGGGAGACTTTGTACAAAAGTCGATTGCTTGGGTACCTCTGTCCCATTCGTGTTTCAACCGTGAAGCAGTTGTGTTTGCATGGCTGTGTTTCGGTTTGAAGGGTGGGATATGGCGTGAATTTACTGGGTACAGAGGAATAACACCTGAGTCCTCAGGAATGGCAACGCATGGGGGTATCATGGGCGAAACAGTATACTCTGTTATGTCCATGGTACTGCTCATGTCTATAGGCGACGGTTACCACTTTCCATCAGATGGGCCGTCAGCTTGTTTGCCATTCTAAGTTCTATAAAAAAAAAAAAAGATTTCTACTTTTAAAAGACGTATTTCATTTCTTATCGACTTCCAAATTTTCTCCTTTCTTAATTTACGTTGAAATACTAGTGAGAGATAAATCTGGTTAATTTATTTAGAATTAACCACGATGACTACTAATAGAGACCGCGTTGAGGACAACTTGAGGGTTTAATGACTGCAATGAGGCAGCCCCTGTTAGAAAGTCTCTTCCTTCAAGAATAAGAAGGTTTTCAAGGGAAACCTCGTGGAGGTTACTCCGGGGTATATCGCTGGCAATTGGGCCATCTTTTTTTTTAATAGTGACAATGGAATGGTGAGCCCGCTGGTATATGCTGGTGGGGCACCAGTGGGAGATGGTAGGTGAGGATGAATACATGCAGTTATCCCATTGTTGTAAATTCCACAAAAATTAATCACGACGGTTTCCAGGTAAAACCTATCTGATAAGGTATATTGCTAGTAATGGGTTCGTTAGACTCTTTTATCACTAATCCGTCCTTACACTCATAACTCGATGTTAGTTTCATTTAATAAAAAGAAGAACAGTTAATTATTATAATAATACTAGCTGACCCCGTAAACGTTGTTTTACCACTTATTGCGAAATATAAAAATCGCAATTAAAATACAGGGGTTGATCGTAAAACGATGAAAATTTTAAGTTGTATGTATTTTTCAATGCTAAATCATAATAAAATAAAAATGGAAAAAATTGTCAAAAAAAATAAAAAAAATAAAATTTTGGGGAGGGTCACTCTTATCATTGACGGGTATGAAACATAGATGTTGGCCGATTCTCAGACCTACCCGATATGCACACAAAATTTCATAAAAATCGGTAAAGCCGTTTCGGAGGAGTTTGGTAACAAACACCGTGACACGAGAATTTTATATATAAGATATACCATATTTGCGTTTCTCTATAAATATACTTGTTGTTCGACTATTTCGGGAATCCATAATTATAGTTTTTTTTTTTACAACACAGGTGACAAACGAGTACGCGGCTCACCTGGTGGTAAGTGACTACCGCCGCCAAGTCTATCGAATTTATATCGGCGATTGGTTGATTTTTTCGTAATACACTGATCGCGCGTAGTACTTTCGATCGAACAGCTATTAGTCGTAGGTGGAAAGATTTCGTATAATATATTAGGTTTATACCATATTAGGTTCTATTTTAGTGTTACCGTAAGTTCGTTTTGTATGCGTTATGTGGTGATGAATTTTTTGTGTGTCACTCATTATTTTTTTTATTGGTGGGCACCGGGCAATTCTGTGGGCCCCTTTAAATACGCCAATCATTTATATTTAGGAGCTAGCACAGAATATGCAAGGTGTAGTAGGAGTGGTTTGGTTAAATCTGCCGTAAAACCAGTAAACACTAGATTTTGCCAGTCGATAAATACGACTGATTTACCATGTAATCAAAATTACGCTCAGTGGAATTTTTGGGAGAAACCCACATTCAAAAGTAGGTGGATGTATTTTTTTTTTATAAATACATGGGATTCACATTAGTCCTAATTCTTCGTCGTACTGGTCAAATCCGAAAAATAAAAGAACATCAACAAAAAATATAAAGAAAAACTTATAGTTAAATAAATTTAGCTTTTTTTTTATACTACTTAGAATGGCAAACAAGCTGACGGCCCACCTGATGGAAACTGGTAACCGTCGCCTATAGACATGAGCAGTACTATGGACATAACAGAGTATACTGTTTCGCCCATGATACTCCTCATGCGTTGCCATTCCTGAGGACTCAGATGTTATTCCTGTGTACCCTGTAAATTCACGCCATATCCCACCCTTTAAACCGAAACACAGCCATGCAAACACAATTGCTTCACGGTAGAAACACGAATGGGACAGAGGTAGCCAAGCAATCGACTTTTGTACAACGTCTCCCTCTGGTAAAATTCAAGATTCATTAACAATTTTAACAAACAATTATTACAAGTATAACAAACATTAGATGGTAGTCAGGCGCGTTTTGCTGACTATTGTCGTTGTGGCGAACGTAACACTCTATGTGCCCCTAATTTGTCGCATTCAACATAATACAAATAATATAGAGACGTTTACTTTGAAGATTACCATCCTTGTCACGGTAAGAAATTGCCTATATATATTTGTATGTTTGTTTATTTGTATTCCATAATGTTACAATCTACTGACATAATACGAGTATTATTATAGTGAGCATTATGAATTCTGTCGGGCGTAGCAAGTAACGATTAGAGAGATGGCTTTAATGTATTTTTTTAAAACAAGTATAATTCGTGAATTATCTTATAGAATATCAACAATAAATTTTACTGTTATTTATATGAAACAATTTATTAATAATTAGAATAGATTAAGTATACGATTATTAGGAAATTAAATTAATTTAATAATACCCTTAGATATTAAGACATTGTTGTGTACGCGATTATTTACATAATGAGATGAAAAAAAACATACGACCCGCTTGATGGTAAGCTGTTATCGTATTCTAAGTATGCTTGTAACATCAGAAGCATTGTTACGTTAACAACTCTAAAGAAAACTCTTTAGGTACCCCTTTTTTTTAAAAAAAAATCCGTACTGTAATTTCTTGGGAAAAATCAATTTTTTTTTGTTAAATGTAAATTAGTGTTAGTCACGTTAAAGCCTATGTAAGTAGGTACATAGTATTTGTAAATACAACGGCATACGAGTAATGCGTGTATTTCATGTTCTAACGAACAAAAACAATAAAAAAACAAGCGATGTTTATCATTGTGGTATAGCTAAGCTCTTTAGGCATAAGTTAATGTAGTATACATTCTATAGAAATATAATGTTTTTATATGCTTAGAATCAGGTGTTATACAGGTACCACGCTGCGATGTCAACATCGCATTTTATAATTTAACCAGAAGTACAAAAATTTTGGTGTCACTGAGACGTGACGCAAGCCGCGAGGTCACAATTGTCCTCTTTCCGGACCGGTGCATACGATAAATAAATACTTACATGTGTATTGTTGAAGCAACGTGCTCCCCACTCGGTCACAAACTGTCTACTGCGAACGAATCCACTGAACGACGCCTGATGTGCCTCATAACGCCTAGCCACTCAATGATACTGTACTTAGTATGTATACTTATTATAGGACTTGAACTGAGAAATCGATAGGACCTACTGCTGCTACTGTGAATACTCCGAAATCTAAGTATTAATGCATAGATATTGATTATTTTCTTTCCAGTATACGTTGTTTTTGTTATAAGCAATTTACAAGAACTTTACAAATTTTCCTAATAAACACCTGAAAGGTGAAACTAAAGTTAAGGTTAAAGTTCTATGTATATAATAACTAATAACATTAATCCCACCAAATTGAACAAAGGTTGTTTTCTACAATATAACACATATTATACAAAGATAAGTAGTTACAGGTATTTTTAGCTGTTACAGAAAAGAAAAATATAGTGTAAAATCATATATTCAAATCATCCTAATACGTATTGCTATAATAAACAAGTAGGCGCTAAAGTTTTAATGGTGTTTAAATTCTGGATAGACGAATTTCTTTGTAATGGCAAAGGGTTTAAATATTTAACAACGCAACGTCTCGTCAGCAGACGGGTCGTCTTATACTTTTCATATTTTGTTACACAATTACTTATTTGTGTGATGATAGTTATTTTAAATCGATATGATCTACATCTCACTGATGATTCGTCTTGTATTATTCAAAGTAGGGAGTTACCCTAATAAGTATATTATACTTGCTATAGTTTATAACTCGTATATAATGTGTGAGATTATTTCAAAAGAAGAATGTGATAAAACAATAATTATGGACTTTTAATTAAATGACTTCAGCGTATATTTTATAGTAGCAAGACAGCAAAAAATCATCATCATCATGTAGCTTTACAGGATAATTGAGAATAATTTTAGACAAATGTATAATAATAATTATCTTGATTTTGTATATTGCTAGTAATTATGTATGGCTGTATGATTGTAGATTCGTTGCTTTATTTCAATAAATTAGCACAAAATGACATACTGACTTCTCTGACAGATATCAAAAATTCCAGACAATTTATCATATTGAAGACTAGGCAGCATGGTCTCCGACCTTAACCTGTTCCACAACGGAACAAACGTTAAAAAAAAGATATCAAAATGTCAATGTCAAATCAAACAAAAAATATTTACAATTACGATTTGTAAATTGCACAATTTATAGTATTTTTGCGTTAAATATAAAAAATAACAATGGCACAAAACGAAGCTGGTCAATGTACAGACGAGGAGCCACTAAAACAAGTGTTTGATAATGCCATGAAACTGTATGATACTATTGAAAATGGTAATGAAGCGACAAATAGCGACCCGGTACAGGTATGAAATGTTTTTGCTGATTACTGGATTTATGTACTCCTACGTTAAGTTCTAAGGATTAGAGTTATCAAACTGATGACAATTATTATAGTTCTATGTATATTAAGTTGATAGTTATTGATTTTTTTACTCTTGGATGGCAAATTTGAATTAAGTTGCTAATGTTTTGGTTTGGATTTTAAAAGGTTTCTAAGGCTCCATGATTTAGTAATGGAGCCTATGGCACGTCACATACTTATTTATTTAACCATTAAATATTTGTTTTTAACTATGGTAATGGGAAGAAATGATATTTTTCAGATGAGCATCAAAGCAGCTATATCAAAGTTTGAGAAGGCAACTAATTTGGTGTCCATGCTGGGTTTGTTCAGTAGAAACGAAAGCCTTGAGGAGTTGCCTACAGAGACACTACAGTACCTCTTACTGCCAGCATTGCTAGGAACATTGAATTTGAAATTATGTGGCCAGCCACGAAAAGATATAATTAATGTTGCTGAAATTTACTTTAGGTTAAATTATTAATTTTTTAACATTGCTTTTGCTACATATTTATCATTTTTTGCAGTGATTGCTAAATTATTATTATATATTTGTTATATTTTATATATATATATATATACATATATATATATATATATATATATATATATATATATATATATATATATATATATTTTAAATTCTTTATTTGCTTCTGTTTACCTGTAAAGTCAGATATTAGTAAGGATTAAAGTGATAAATCTGAAAGTGAGTTTATTTGTTGCCTCTTGATTCTTTAACAGCTCAATCAATTATTATAAATATGGCATAGACTTAGTATTTGTAAATGAGAAGGAATTAGGCTTTTTTTTAGTCAATAAATATATCTTAGCCACATAGACAGTGTTATTAGTAAAAACTAGTAAACAAATAATTTATTATGTTTGTTTCCAGAGATTTTCTCCAGAGATGCAAAGATTATGGTGTAACAGATGTTGAAGTTCCACAGATTAGTGATAACAGTCAGGGCACAGTCTCCAGGCCGCAGAGTGAACAAGCTAAGATTGCTAATATGGTTAGTGAAGTATTTATGAGCTTTAATGAAGAAAAATTACTTAGGTCAAATAAAAGATGTCAGGTCATATAACAGCCTGTCTGACGGTAAACAGAGTTAGTGTAGCCTATGGACGCCTGTAGCACCAAAGCTGTCATACACACATTGCCAACCCTTAAGAAAATGTATGGTCTAAGACAGCTAACAGGAGAATGATAGAGATGAATTAGTTGCTATTGTTTAATAATTATTACCTATTATTACTATTATAGTCCCGATTTTTGATGACAATATCATACAATGATTGATATATTGATAAATGCTTGTTTTCTTGAATTGTTTCAATATTAATTATGAATCCTATGGGTCAAAATATGATTTGAATGTGTATTTGTTATTTTACAAATGGTTAATTATGGATGCAATTGTGATTTGCCATTATTGGTATAACTAAAGGACATTAGAAGTTTTCAAGTTGTTACAGTTACCAATAGGTAATATATTAAATTGTAGTATATTAAATGTTCCATTTCAGGTACTGTCAAGAGAAGCCAAAATCAAAAGGTACAAAGAGCAAAAGGAGCTCAAAGACAAGTTGAGCACACTATCAAAATCTATGTCCTCGCCCAATGTGGATGATGAGACCAAACGGGAGTATTTCACAACCCTGCTACTCAATTATGTCAATCAAGCATTGGATGAGTTGAGCAGTATTGAGCAAGAGAAGCCTATACTTGAGTATATGGCTAAACATGCTGGAGGTTGGTTTAATTGTATTAGTGCTAGTTGTATCAAGAGTCCTTTGTCTGCATGAGTCACTATATAGTGTGTTCTATGTGCCAAGTTAGAATATAACCTACTTGTGTGCAGAGTTTTATTCAAATCCAATCAGTAGTTTTTGTGTGAAAATATAATATTTAATTTTTATTTAGTTCATATCAATCATAAACACTTTCACATTTATAATAGAAGGCGGGGGGGAAAAGGGAGTAATGGAGACTGAGAATCCCATTGCTAGCAATACACCCAACCAGGTCGACCTCCTCGCGGTTCTCCCTGGAAACTATCATGGTTAATTCCTGATGAATTCATCATGATGGGCTAACTGGTCTGTTTTCGTTTTCATCTATCACCCTTCACTGGTGCTCCGACAGCGTATCCCGTTAGCACAGGCGGAGTTACCATACCATTTTCACCCATCAAAAAAAATAGTAGTAAGGCTGGGGAAAAGGGTTTGTTAGCAATGGAGTTTGACAGTCTCATTGCTAGCAATATGCCCTATCAGGTAGACCTCCACATGGTTCCCCCTGGTAACTATTGTGAACATTTTTTGTTGAATTTGTCATGATGGGCTAACTGACCTGCTTCATCCTCATTTATCATCCATCACTGGTACCTCGCTAGTGTATACCGATAGCACAGGCAGGGTAACCATTCCATTATCATCCATTAAAAAAAATAGTATTAAGGCTTTTATATATTTATGTATCATCCATCATCATCAGGTGACTTGCTTTTTTTGACTTTAGCTTCTTTTGCACTAGTGTATTGTATTTTAGTTGCCGTTTACGACAACCTCGGGATGGTCAATTGTCTTAGTCACATGAAATGTAGTAGTATTCATATTTTTTTTATTTTAAAACGTGGCAAAAAGCTTTTTGAGGTGGCAAGGATCAGCAATGCGTTAGTCTCTGCAGTTTCATTCATGCATATGTCATTTTACATATATATCAATAGTAAAAAACTATTGAAATTATAGTTTTTTTTTTAATATCAAAATGGAGGTTTTAACGTTTATTTTTTTTCACAGAGCCAAAACCAATGAAAGATAAACCTCGAGCGCCTCCGTTAAAACCTGTTATTATCACACGCGATGCGATACAGAAAGCGGTGTATGGAGCAGGATATCCATCTCTACCTACCATGACTGTGGAAGAGTTCTACGACCAGAGGGTCAGAGATGGTGTGTTTCCTGGGAATGGCACAAACATACCGCACACCACCATACAGAACGCTGAAAATGATCCCGACGAAGCAGAGAAAATTCAAAAGGTATATATATATTTTTTAGATTTTTTTAGTAAAGGACCTTGGGTTTTTCAAAGATTAGTTCAATGCACTGTCTGAGTGAATTTCTTGGCTTTACATTCCCTTTTATTACAAGACATTTCTCATTAAGGCTTAATTCTTGTGCGTAAATAGTTTTTTTACTTTGATCTGTATATTATCGTGATTCTCTCGATAGTAGCTTTCAGGATGTATTTCTTATGTTTAGTAACTTGCATAGGCATTTTTTTAATGGAATGGTAACCCCACCTGCACTAATATTATACGCTGGTGGGGCACCAGTGAGGGATGATAGGTGAGAATGAAAATGCAGGTTAGATAGATCATCGTGATGAATAAATACACCTGGATTTTAGCACGATGGTTTCCAGAGGGTACCACATGGAGGTCGAACTGACGGGGTATATTGCTAGCAATGAGACAAATTGGGAGGGAGGGATTGTTAGTAATGCGGACTGCATTACTAACAATCCCTCCCTCCCAATTTCAGTAATAGTACCTACTACTTTATATACATATTTAACAAAGTAATTATTATGTAATTCCAGGAACATCTAGAAGATGATGACGACCCTGAGGAGTTGCAGAGGAAGCGCAATATGGACGAGTACAAAGATGATCACCGTAGGGGCTGGGGCAATAGATACAACAGGAGTTAACATTACTTATGTTCTGAGCCTGGAGTATTACATATTGACTCACTATATTAGTGCTCATGTTTATTTGCCTTTCTATACATTTTAAATTTATTTACAAGTGTTCATTCGAAGGTTTGACTCGAAAGTAAAATTAGGATGTGCTTATTAATAAGTATTGTTTCTATAAACTAATTAACAAATAAAATGTTAACTATCTTTTCAACCGAATGCAAAAAGGAGGTTTTCAATTCTGTTGTATGTTTTTTTTTTATGTTTATTACCAATTTATTACGTCATTTAAAAACCGATTTGAAAAATTCTTTTTTCATCTAAAAGCATATACTTACATATTGGTTTCATAGACATTTTATAAAAATCTATTAATTAGTTTAGTTTTTAAATAAAAATATTTGTTTTTGTCATAAATGAAGTCTTTTTTTTTTCTGTAACAATCTTATTGAGAGTAACTTGGTAATTAAGCTGGTGCCATATATAATTACCTTCTTACCGTCAAATGTAACGTGTAGTGGTCAAATTAGAACGATGACAGTGTCATGTGGTACACTTGGTCAATGCAGACTGACGGGAGTGGCCAGGAGGAGATTAATTTGTTATTTTAAAGTTAAGTTTACTTTAGTATGACTGAAATCGGTGCCTGAAAATCCTACGATATTGTGCCACGCTGTGGTAAAATGTACAAGCTTTTTTATAATTAAAAAAAGTTTACACGATTGATCAGATGATAGATAGATACTCTTGTTTCCTCCAAAAGATTACAATAGTAAACTCATTATAGATACAAACAAATTACAATAAATAATCACAATGAGAAAACAAATGGGTGATATTATCACCAAAAGCGATCTCTTCCAGGCAACCTTTGGATGGAGAGGAGTAATTATAAACAGTTTGAACTTAATTTAATTATTTAATTTAAATAATCGATTCTATAATTTAATTGGTCTAGTTTTAGATTATATAGACAGAGTGTCTCCACACAAATGCCCCAAAATAATTCATACAATTTGGCGTGCAAAATTTAAAATACATTGAATATATATATATATATATATATATATATATATATATATATATATATATATATATATATATATATATATATATACTACATGAACAATGTTAACAATTTTTATAAAAAAAAATATGTCTAATACACTTTGATGTAAAATTTTCATTTCACAATTTCACATTTGAAAATGTAAAATGCAGCTGTCATATTGAATTCTTAATTAAATTATTGATTTAATGATTTACGGATGAACAGTAGTGTCCCTCTTAAAACATCATCAAAAGCAGAACTGTGGTTGCCAACCCGCCTGTCAAGTTTGAAAACGACTGGCAAACCGGTGATGTTTTAAGAAGGAACGCTGCTGCTCATCCCTCGACCATTAAGTTGCCTTAATCGCCTCTTACGACACCCACGGGAAAGGAATGGATGGCCCATTCTATGCCGGTATACGTCCCTCTGTCTGCCCGACCTCAATTTCATCTTTTATTTATTTATAAGGTTATTTTGTGTGTCATTGTTAGTAGTATGAATTATTAATAACATTAAATCATTGTCGTGTGCTCTTATAAAAAGTGGATTAAGTATATGATTAAATTTGGATATTGTGGAACCTAGATATAAAAAACGGTATAATAAAATATGGCTGTATCTATATACAAAATTTGTAAATTTAAAATGTTTTATTTAATACTCGCTCTTATTTGATTTCTATCCACTACGTTTGATTATTTAATTAATTTAGTTATTAATTAATACGTGAGCGTTTAAAAAAATTGGTTTTATATAAGTAGTCGATGCGTTATATAATCTCTATGGTTGTATTTGTGACTGTAACTGTGGATTAACTTAAATAGGATAGATAGATAGATAGTAAGATTTATGTTTTAAGTATATTGTAGTATATTGCATGGAAATACAGAATATAGATAATAACTGACACTGATCAATTATTATCTATATTCTGTATTTCTATAGGCTGGGTGCTTTTTTTTAATTGATGAAAATGGAATGGTAATCCCGCCTACGCTATTGGGATACGCTGGCGGGGCACCAGTGAGGGATGATTGGTAAAGATAAAACGGCAGGTCAGTTAGCCCATCGTGATGAATTCATCAAAAATTAATCACGATGGTTTCCAGGGGGAACCGCGTGGAGGTCGACCTGTTAGGGTATATTGCTAGTAATGGGTCTGTTGGATCTCACTACTAACAATCCCTGTCCCCTCGGCTGGGTGTTTTTTGTTCTTCGCAGGTGACAAAATTGGCCATCTCGTAAGCGGCGGATAAGAGTTCGCAACGAGACAAATGTTCGACAAAGATTGTTCCGTACCTCTGTAATGGATGTAGTTTTTTAATAATTGAAAATGTAGTGGTAATCCCTTCTGTTTTTTTGTTATACACTGGTAGGTACCCCACCAGTGAGTGAGGGGGGAGGGATTGTTAGTAATGCGAACTACCAGTCCCTTTGCTAGCAATATTGTAGCCTTGTTAGGTCTACATCCACATGGTTCCCCCTAAAAACCGTCGTGCTGAATTCCAGGCGTATTCATCACGATCGGCTAACTGATTTGGCTTTTTACCTCATCTATCATCCCTCACTGGTGCCTCGTCAACGTGTACCGTTAGTGCAGGTAGATTATCATTTCATTATCATCAGTGATAACAAAATCAGTAAGTGATGAAAAAGTGAAGTTTCTATTGAGATCTGTTTGGAATGATAACCCCGTCTGTGCTATCGGTATTAGCTAGCGGGGTACCAGTGGGGGATGATAGGTGATGATGAAGGCAGGTCACTTGGCCTGTTGCGACGAATTCATCAAGAATTAACCACGATGGTTTCCAGGGACAATATATTGTTAGTATTATTATTAACATACCCCATACCGTTAGCAGTACAGTCACTGTTCGCCTTTATTAAACCCGTTTCCCACTACATTTATATTTATTTATTTATTTAAAGGAACTGTTAGAGTTGAAGTGAAAAGCGGTTGTTGTTATAGTTAAATTATTTAATTTTATGAGCACACACATTACAATGCACTTATTACAGAGCGGTAATGGCGACCGGCGGAAACCGCGGTGTTGCCATCTAAAAAGTTGCCATATATATTTGTTGACTTAAACAGGAACATATATAGCATATTGCATTATGACACATATAACTAATATTAAATACAATACAATATTAATGTACATGCCTATTAAAAATATTCACAGCATTTGCTTTAACATAATTAAACAGTACTAGTGACCCGCCCCGGCTTCGCACGGGTGCCATGTTGATATGAAATAGCGCCGCCGGTCCCCCATTACATTACATCACATCACATTAGAAACCTCTAAAATTATCAGTGTTCCTCTACAATATTATGCATGTATTACACATATAAACCTTCCTCTTGAATCACTCTATCTATTTAAAAAACCTCTTCAAAATCTGTTGTGTAGTTTTAAAGATTTAAGCATACATAGGGACGGACAGACAGCGATAGCGACTTTGTTTTATACTATGTAGTGATGAAATGAAGTTAACAATTTTAAGGAATTAAATAATACTAGACTACAAATATTTTAAAAGTTGCGTTATTAGTTATGGAAATATACATGTAACCTTAGTTGTAATATTATTAAATACGATTATAAGTGAATTAAATTAACATAACCATGAATCAAATGTAACACCATCGATTTATACTATGATTGGAAAGCATAAACCGTATCTAACACTCGATTACTACATTAATACCTGAATCATTCATGATTTCACATCTATCGTATATAACGTGTCCACGTTATTATGCAAATGTATTGTATGTATATATCCGCATTGCATCGAGTGACAGCATCTCAATTCATCTCGTGAAGTTATGAGCATCAATAGAACGGGTCCGTGAGTGCGTCACAGGCTCACCAGGTGTGCCCGCATTGCTGCTGAGTAAGTGTATCTACAGAATCCAAGCTACGTACATCTAGCCCGTTGTAGGTATAATACCATACGCGGCGAGGGAAGGGATTTATTATATTATGAAATATCATTACTAATATTAATGTGAAAGCAAGTTTCTTATGGTTACTTCTATATACTTAACCATTCTTTGTGAAATTTTATATACCCATAATATAAAGGATGGAGAAGGATATAGGTTATTTTTTATCTAGGGCAATAAATATATCCCGGTCATACGGAAGAAGTCGCAGCTAAAGTTAGCTAGTTAAAGTTAGATAGTTAGCGAAACAGAAACCACAACAATAAAATTTGCAATTTTTGTCTGTATATTTGTTCCGGCATCACTTTCAAATGACAGCATCAAATAATGTGGTTTCACAGTTGTGATCGAAATTCAAATTTAGTATATTTTATCTTGATACATAGAGTCACTTCTAGATAGTGTATCAAGTTGAAATAGACCTATTTCATTGATTATTTGCAACTAAAAAGGGCGTGGCTCATTTAGAAAAAAAAAATATAATAGATAAACTTTAGATAGATAAATTATTTGATTTACTTTGAAAATTTACACATACGAAGTTACTAGCAAAAGCTTGTTTGAATATGAAGTATGGGGTTTCAAACGGCAAAGTTGTAATACAATTGAGAGGTCTATACATTTGTTTGGGGTCTAAAGTGTGAATATTGTTACATTGCGTCAATCGTATGAAGCTTGATCTCTGCAGGGACACTTACTCAGTGCTGCCGTACTCTATAAAGGTCAATAGACGCAACACCTGTTGCTTTCACTGCTTGGGGCGTACGAAAGTGCAAGTGCGTGATAAGCGCTAGCTGCGTGTAATTATGACCATTTATGGCACGGCTCGCTTCTGCGACTGTAACGTAAGTTTAGGCGATTCTAAGTCCAAGCTTAAGATCCCGCTACTTACTTCTGCATGTATAAGACTTTTTAATGCAACTTAAATATAATACAATAAACTTTGTTTGTTTGTTCTTAGTTACCCGCAACCTAGGGTTTTCAGGTGGTTAGGGTCTGGCTGTTGCCTCCAAGACGGCACTCCCAGAAGGACTTTATACAAAAGCCGTTTGCTTGGGTACCTCTAACCTATTCGTGTTTTAACCATGAAGCAGTTGTGCTTTCATGGCTGTGTTTGGGTTTGAAGGGTGAGATATGGCAGTGAATTTACAGCGTACGGAGGCATAACACCTTACGTCTTCAGGAATGGCAACGCATGGGGCTGTCATGGGCGAAACAATATACTCCGTTATGCCCGTGGTACTTGCTCATGTCTATAGGCAACGGTTACCACTTTCCATCAGGTGGGTCGTCAGCTTGTTTGCCATTCTAAGTTGCATAAAAAAACCTGTTAAGGGCACTAGGAAGTGTACGCCACGTACTTGTGCGCCTTTTGAGAAGATAGCGTGGGATATTCAGCCGCTACAGCTG